TTATTACAGCTCCTTTATATTAAGCCTGGCCTTCTAGCATCGCCGCCTACACCTACTTTTTACCCTAATATACCCCTTAATTTCCTTATTATATACTGTAAGCTAATATAGAATCTCCTTTTAGCTAAGCCTCTATACTTAAAAATAAGGCAAAGGCTAAGGTATAGGCTAAGGCGCAGGCTAAGGCGTAGGCTAAGTACTATCTTGCCTTTAAAGTACCTTTTTCTATAGTACTTTATCCTTTACACCAGGCGGCTAGCTGCGCTTTTTAGCTACAGGTGTAGCTATAGGTATAGCTATAGGCGCTGCTATAGGCGCTGCTATAGGCGCTGCTATATACGCTGCTTTATACGCTGCTTTATACGCTGCTTTATACGCTGCTATATACGCTGTAAAATTATAAAAAGAGAGGAAGAGGATATAATTAATTATAACTAAGGCTGTATTTAGAGAAAGTATTTAGAATTAGTAAGTAAGTTAAGCAAGCGAATTAGAGGCTACGGAGTAACCTTCTAAGCTAATTAGAAGGTGGTAAAGCGCTAAAACGGGGGGTGTACGTGGAGTAAAAAAGGGGTGTACGTTAAGTTAAAAGGGGGTGTATAGTTAGTGGCCCCCTAATTAAAATATTATAAAATTAATATAATAATTCTATAAATTATATATTTAAGGGCGCTGCTAAATATACACCCTATATTTACTCGGTGTACACCCCTTTTCTACTCCGTATACACCCTTCTTACGTCTAATTTTCTAATTGGTCCGGAGGGCTCGGAGGAAGCTCCGGCGCTTAATTCTCACGCGCATCTATATGAAATGGGAAGGCTGTACAGCCTCACTATTTTATTGTACATTCTTACCGTTTCCGTGAGGCTATATATATAGGCCAGCTACACGTAAGGCCTCACGTGAGGCCGTACGTGAGGCCGTATATAAGGCCGTACGTAAGGCCGTACGTGAGGCTACTTATGGCAAGGCTGTGCAGTATACCCGTTTTACTATGCATACTTCCCGTTTCCTACAGTGTATATAGGCCGTTGTATTGCTACCTACGTGCCTACGTGCCTATAAGCATGCTAAAACAGTTAAATCCTCACCTTATTACGACCTCTCTGCATCAAACCTGGCCCCCCTACATCGCCGCCGCGCCTTCCTGGCTATCCTGATCCATTAACCCCTCTATATACTGCTCGTATAATGCCATCTAACGTTGGAGCTCCTTATAAGGAAGCAGCGCTGGCGCTGCCTGAGGCTGAGGAGCTAGCTGAGGCTGAGGAGCTGGCTGAGGCTTAGGATGAGCGCTATTATGACGCTGCGCAGCCCCTTTCCGTGGTGCTGCCTTCTTCCTAGGTGCCTTATCCTTTGCACCAGGCGGCCGGCCACGCTTCTTAGGTGCAGCAGTAGATGCAGTAGTAGGTGCGGGCGTAGGTGCGGCAGTAGGGGGGGGCCTAGGTATTACTGCATGCTTAAACTCGGGCGGATTAGTGAGCAAATCGTTGAATTCCGTGATAGCTGGTGTAGCGGCCGACTGAGGAGCACTCTGAGCGACAGGAGCTGGACGGGGGGCTATGAAAATAGGCGGTCCTGGCGGTGGAACTGTCGGCGTGCGTCCTGTAGGTATACCTGTAGGTCTAGCTGCCGCACCTGTGCCTGTAGCAATCTTAAATCTTAATAGCTCTCGCTGCGTATTATTGTACGTATAATGGCCTCTCCTCGCAATAGTAGGCCGGCCGCGCCGGCGCTTAATAACAGCAGGATCCTTTACATCCTTAAAAGGCCTAAAAGGAATAGCTAGCTAATATCCTCCTAGCCGAACAAACTACTAATAGTAATCTATCTCTTCCGGTTGTATATAGAGCACCGGATCTAGCCAATTTGCAAGCGCTCGGTGTAGAGGATTGTGCAGTTTATGCGCACACGGAATGCTATAGATAGACTTAAACGTTTAAGTATAATTAAGTGGGTTATATTTATTCGATTTGGCCTTTTAGAGCTGCTTCTTAAGGAAAATAAGCGCCTGCGGCGTTACCTTTTAATATAGGTTACGGAATTCGGGTTCTTTAACATTATGCGGAGTATAGGCGTAATATCTAGCTATCTTATCTTTAAACTTAGACCTGGAGTTAAGGATAAGGTTCTGTATATTAAGGAGAACGTTAAATAGATAGCCAGTTAACACCTGAAGGAAGCCCTTAAGTAGGCCGTGCAAGCCCTTATTTCGCGATATAACTTTGTAAGAAATCAAATCAGCATTATATATCTCTGCTACTTCCTTGTTTCTTAGTTATTCTTTAAGCTATGCTCTTGTCCTCTTTAGCGCTGCCTGTTCAGCATATACGTAGACCCCGTGCAAAGTTTAGGTATTAAATTTAGACGTTTTAGTGTTAAGAAAAATCACTTACGTAGTACTAAAGTGCCGCACCTTACGGGTGTAGCAGGTGGCCTAATTCCACCTGCATAGCCACCACTTATTCTCTATATATATTACCAGGTTAGGGCGCTCCTTATAGTTGTTAAGTAGCTTCTTCTAAGCCTTATTAAATTAAGCTATAACTTCCAGCTTTATTGTGGCGGTCCAACGGGTAAGGAACTGCCCCCTTTTCTCCTATTCCTTCTTCTAAATAGCTTTCTTCTCTTTATCTGATGTAGGCGCAGGTGGCGCGCTGCCTGCGGCGTATGTAGGTTCCTCCTTGTACACCTTAGCTAGTTTGGTGATGATATTCTTTTTAATGTGCTATACACAGAGGAGGCGCGCGACCGTAGGCTATTGTTGACGTAGTGTGTTCCTTAGAGCTTGTTCTTTATCCGTTAAGAAAACGCGTGGAATAAGAGAATAGCGCTTAAAGAGCTCGAAGAGCTGCAGTACTGCCCAGTTGTAGTTCGCCTCCTTCTCTTTTAGCAGGAAATAATAGGCAATTTCGAAGTTGTTGCTAGTACACGTGACGCCGGTAATATGCAGGAAGGGCATACCAAATCTATTGGTTTTATAGGTGCAATCCAATAGAATAACGTTGTGATTAGCCCGTAGGATCTCGATAGAATCCGGATGGGCAAAGAAGAGGTGTTTAATTTAGTTCTGCTTATCTTTTGTAAAGTTATATACATACTTCCTATCACGGCCGTTAGGTGCCGGGAATGTAGAGGTTTCTAACGTATAGAGGAGCGCCTGGATAGGCGTGAGGCCGCCGAGAAGCTCGTTCCTATACCGGGTGCGCTTATTGGTGATGTTGTGCGCCGTGATAGTAACCCCTTTCTTCAACAGCTTTGTATACATCTTATTAGGCTTTGTTCCGCTTAATGCATCCATTCGAATAAGGGTATTTGTGGATGCCGAGCGCTTCCTATTACAGGCGGCTGCCGTAGGTTTGAGCATAGCGTTGTAATTGTTGTGAGCTTCCTCCACCGTCTCCTATAGCTAAACACGTGAGCCATTAACTCCAGGAGGCTGCCGAGTAAGCGTACTGCTTATCTTACAGTCTACTTTGTTAGTAGACATACTGCGCACGCGTGCATGAGACTCTCTGGTGCCTCTAAAGCAGCATCGGTACCATATTTTCCTCGTTTCCTTCGTCTTTCTATCTGGTTTTGAACGGAACTTAATAAGCCCGTAGCCCTGCGCCTTTGCATGCTCTCTAAGCACTTCCTCGGCTTTATCTAGCGTATAGTAGGACCGTGGCGGTGGTGGTTTAAGGGCTATGGTAAGTGTATTAAGGAAGTTAAGGATCAGGATGTAATGCTTTGTGGCCACGCCGCACTTGGAGAGAGCATTTGGAATTAGTGAGAAACGTAAGCGAGCGAATCGGAGGCCCCGGAGCACTCCTCCGGACCAATCAGAAAATCAGACGTAAGAAGGGTGTATACGGAGTAGAAAAGGGGTGTACACCGAGTAAATATAGGGTGTACATTTAGCAGCGCCCTAATTAATATAAATACTTATTTCCCTTTATTTTAAGCTAATAAGCTAATAAGCTAGATTAGAGACTAGAATCTAAATATCTAGCTATTTTAAAGAACTATTACTTTATAAGACTAAGGTTTACCGCAAATATTAAGAATGTATTCTAGTAACAACGGCTTCCTATTTAGCTTAGAGACAGCAACTTAGCTCTAGAAGACGTTTTTATTAAATAAAATATACCTATACACACGTTAGAACTGGACGCGCGTATACTAAAAGTGCTATAGCCGTATTACTATAGGATATAACTGTTAGCGTAGTTAAGTTTTTAATATTATTATTCCTGCACTTCTATATAAAGGTTTAGATATAAGAAGAAAAAAGGCAGAAATCTAAAATAGTGTTACTGCATTTATGTCCTGTTATAGGTTCTTGCCGGTTGTCCATCGAGTCCCTGTTTCTCTCCTATTAGTAACTGCTTTTGAAGTTTTACTCCACCCTTTTCAGTCAGCTCCAGCCATTCGTCTTTTAAGGTTATCATTTTGCGCCCAAGAAGTAAGAGCCAGCCAATAAAGACAAGAAATCGCAGTAGAACCCCCTTTATAATTATAAGAAATTTCAGAGCATGCATGCCACGTGACAACAGCACTCCGCACGTGCTACCGTCCCCTCAACCTCAGCAAGACTTCCACCCTCTTGTATGAAATTAATTTCGTTAATTTCGCCCGGTCATATTCGAAGTGTGCAGCTTTACATTGCTAGATTCGAGCTGACTGTTCAAACCAGGGGATATTCAAGCTACTGAAACACGTGTAAAACTGGTAGAACACTTCATATGATTCCCAAGGCGTGCAAGATACAATCTCAAGTTGAACTCGAGATATTTCCTGGGGGACCTCGGATAACTCCAGCGTTTGAGAAAGTTGTCTTGTTGTTGAGTCCAGCTTTCTTTATTGACCCTTATTTCTCGTCTGGCCTCTATCTACAACGAAAAAATACCTGGATTGGTGAGATATGTGCGCTGGGGGACTAAATTTCGGGTGTTCGATAGTTTATAGTCTGCCTCGAAACGCCCGAAGTCTTAATTAAATTGGATTACGAGTCTAATTGGGGCGGTTCGGTTAACTTACCTGTGGCAAACCTTGAACTTAAAATGCCTCCAACTCCTCTACACATATTTAGAAATTCTCGATTCTAGTTCCCAGTCCTCTTTCATCTGCCAGTCTGACGAGATCTTCTCCGACAACCACATCCATCAGGCCTAGCCCCACGCTTTTATATATGACATTGCCCCTCTGCAGCCATTCCGTTAACCCTTTTCCCGCAGCATGTTCCTTCCCCTCCGCGCCTTTTCTCTTCTTACCGCTCCCGAGCTCCACACCACTCTTATCAAGATCATCAGTCGACTGTTGCGCCTCTTGCCGTCTCCTGTCCGCATCGCGCTTCAGCATCAGCAGCTCCCCAATTTCGACCACCTCGCGTCCACCTAACCCAGCCTGGATAATCTCGCCCGCCTCTTTTAGACAAGCCTCGACACTGTCTACGACGATCGCCCCGCCTTGCTGTGCATGTTTATGGTGGTGGTTACTATGCTGTGGTCCAACGGCTTGACGAAGGATATCAGGGTGCAGTTCCACCATGTGCGGTTTGTATGACCCGATGGCGGCAATATACCTGCCCTTCTTGCGGCCCTCCGTGCTCGTCAGGTATGATGCTGGGAAGAGCGGCTCGAGTGAAGGCGTAGTGCAGAAGATTGCAGAGGAAGCGCGGATAGTCGATTTGAGAAGACGGCCGTACTCGGTGTGCGATGGCGTTATGATGGCGATCTTCGGCCGTGACAGATCTGAAATCTCGGCAGTCGGGACGGTTAGAGTTGGAAATACCACAGGCTCGTCGAAGGGCTTATATAGCTTCTCTATGAGCCTGTGCGCGCTATCGAAGCTGCGGTTGATGATGCTCAGGTGGTGTATTTCAGGGCCGCGGAGTAGAAGTGCCAGCCGTATGTGCCAGTATGCCTGCTTGCCAGCCCCAAATACTGTCAGGTCGTGGACGTTTTTCCGCTTCTTGAACAGCATGGTCGACGCTAATGCTGTGCGGAAGGCTGTGATTTCTTCGGCATTTATGAGTGCCCGCGGTGAGCCCTCCTTGTCCATCAGCGTGAGAGATCCTCGAGGGGTAGTGCTTTGGCTACTGGCAACCGAGTCGGGGGGCACATCGAAGGCGGTTGTTGAAGAGCTCGTGGACGCTGTGCGTGCGGAAGATAGCGAGAGCGCGTCGAAGGAGGCTACAGGCGATGATTTGTTGACTGGTTCGGACAATGTTACTATCTTCACTCCCACCCCGTTATTGCTGCTGGCTGGCATGAGGAGCGTCGTCTGTCCATCGGTCCGCTTGAGGGCAGTCCGAATGGGCTGATACGAGGAACAACAGCCATTGCCGTCGTCCTCTGTGGAAGTGGAGTAGTAGTGGAGCGCGTCAGCAAGCGACTGTTGCAGGTCTAGAATATCTTGCTTCGTGAGGGAATGGAGGAGTGCGCGGACGTCCGCGTCGGTCAGGATGGTAAGAGGCATGGGTGTGATTTGCTTCTCACGGTGGCTGCGGGGCAAGCTTCAGTATAAGTAGCGCCGACTCCTGCGCAAATGTTAGTATGCGGCGATATGGCATGTCGGTGGTGAGTATACTCAAAAAAAGCCTTGCAGTTTTCTTAAGACCGCTGCTTGCCGCCGAATGGCCGTGCAGCCAGCCTTTTCCAAGGCGACATGATCTGATAGGCGCTGCCAAGCGCAATGACGAGCGAGGGGCAGAGGGGTCACGGTACATCTCAAATCACAGCGGTCATAGTGCTTATGCATCTCACTAGATTCTGTTATGGAGGCTTGGATGACTGGGTTGGATATAGGCTTGATTTCTCCCATGGTATTCGTACTTTGTAAGATGCCATGGAGTCTTTGAAGTGGGGCCGTAAAAAGGCAGGATCTTATTGGAGTTTTCAACGCCCGCTATATCCACAGAAAGACACCCAGAATGCCGTGTTCACAGTCATTACCACCGCAGACCCACTAGATCTTGATGGCGCTCTCCAGAGCCTTCCTGCGCTTGTCCATGCGAGCATTGGCCTTGGCACCCATGATACCTCCTCCCCAGTGGCGGTTGGTCTCCGCGTGCTTCTCAAGGTAGCCATCCTTGACAGCGGAGACGAGCTTGGAGAACTCCGACTTGTCCTCTGATCGGACCTCGGTGAGTGCGAGGACAGCAGCAGTCTAAGCAGCGGATTAGCATCGCACTTAACAGTTTTGAGCGTGACAGCCTACCTTCTGGTGCACAACCGTTCCGAGCCTGGCCTTGCCCTTGACTATGGCATAAGGCACACCCATCTTCCTGCACAGAGCTGGGAGGAAGACCACCAACTCAATGGGGTCGACGTCGTTGGGGATCAGCACCAACGAGGCCTTCTTGTTCTCGACCAGGCCGACGACGTGGTTCAAGCCATACTTGACAGTGTAGGGCTTCTTGCTGACATCCTCCTTCTTCTGTCCGTTGCTGATGGCGGTGGCCTCCTTTGTCAAACGCTCCTTCTTCTCGGGCTTGGTCTCGGGGCGGTACTTGTTCAGGAGCTTGAATGCCTGGGTGGCGGTATTTCTGTCCAGGACGTGCTGGAACTGCGCCAAACTCGGGGGGACCTTAAGACGGAGGTTGAGGATCTTGCGCTGGCGTTGGAGGCGGACGTATGCGCTGTTCGGCGTTAGATAGATACTCTGAAGTGAACAGCGATAAGAATTCGACGTACGGCCATCGCACCATGCGGCTCAAGTTGCGCTTGGGCTGGATATCCTGGCCGATGCCATAGTTGCGCGGTCGCTTCTCGATGAGGGGGTTCTGCCATTTGTGAGTATGATTAGCAAGACGGCAGCGGGAAGTGAGTACGAACCTTGGCCGGCTTCTTCGCGCCCGCCTTTCCTTGCGGAAAAGGCGCTGGGGCTGCTTTCTTCCCTTTTGGAGGCATGTTCGAGGGCTGTCATTGAGAACAGAATTAGCATGCGCTATGTTCTGAATCTCTAAGAGCAAAGACGGCATTGCTGCCAGTCTTAAAGCTCAGCCATTGCCAACATCGACACTGTCCAGCATAGCCGGGGCACGATGGAAATGCAAAGTGGAAGCTTACCGTCTAGGTTGTCGATGGGCGAAGTGAACAGGAACAGACTGCGAAAAGTTAGGTGGAGGATATTCGCCTATTTGCGTGCGCGCCAAGAGCAAAGCGAGCTAGCCCATCATGGTCTAGCGCAATACATAATCCTTGTCACGCTTGGCAGACACCTTCGTCCGCTCGTACCTTTCCCCAAGTCACGCTTCGCCATCTTTTTCCCATATCTCGACCATGTTTACATAGTAGCAATGTCAACCTGGAACCCATATGCCCGGCCGCTGGAGCACCCTCTCAAAAGCCTGGCTCTTCTATTTCTGCTGTGGAAAGCGCTGCTGCTGGTTGTAGCGGTAGCTAGTCCTGGCCCCGGCTATGACACTTCTACCGTCATCTTGCAAAGGGCTGGCGCTGTAGGTGCTGGCGAAAAACACGCGTCCTCCATTTTCCACGTGCTGGGTGAACGGCTAGCACTGAAGCTTACGAGGTGGGATGCAATCTACTTTGTAAAGTCTGCTGAAAGGGGTTACTTGAACGAGCAAGACTGGGCTTTCAGCTGGGCGTTTTCCCGTCTCATACGTTATCTGGCTAAGAGTAGGATGTTTCTCATATCATATCCAAGTCCAAGCACTAACCGATGCAGTCGTGTCCCCACAAGCCGACAATGCGCCTTTCAACACCTATGTCTGGGCAGGCATTGCTATCTCCCATGTGTCGCATCTCTTATCTGTTCTAGTCTTATATCGTCTCTTCATCCGAGTGCAGAGTGATGCGAACGAACACAGAAGCGCTTTCTTGGCAGCGTCTCTACATATCGTAACGCCTGCTGGTCTGTTCTTGTCTGCCCCCTACGGAGAGGCTCTATTCTCCTTTCTCAACTTTTCCGGAATGCTACTCTATATCGAATCTCAACGCGACCAATCTCAAAACTCGTGGGGTGCTCTTAGAGGATGCCACATCATCGCATCAGGAGCATTGTTTTCAATGGCTGCTTCAATTCGCGGCAATGGACTACTAAGCGGTTTGATTTTCGTTTACGACGTCGTCACCCATCTACCGAGACTACTGAGCTATAGCCTGAGTTTGAATGACTTTCGAAAACTTCTTTCCACCACCGTCGCTGGGTCCCTGATTATCGTCGGATTCTTCGGACCGCAATGGCTAGCTTACGATGAGTACTGCGGCCAAACGTATATGTCCTCAAAGTATGGGAGATCCTGGTGCTTGAGGTATGTTCCGAGCATATACTCCTGGGTTCAAAGTCACTACTGGTAAGTGCCGAATGATACACAACGTTTTATGATCTAACTTATTAGGAATGTGGGATTTCTACGTTACTGGACCATCTCGAACGTACCCCTTTTCCTCATTGCAACGCCTCTATTGTGGGTCATGGTCCAATCCGCTATTTTAAGCCTCGAAAACAAGCCAAAGTCACTAGTGATTGACCCTCAGTCACGTTCCAGCGTTGGATCCGTGGAACGAATAATCCCAAAGCCTAGCGAAGACCAACATCCCACCGAGGTCGAGCGTGGCTATCTCCGTCGTCTAGCGTTGCCCCAGCTAGTACTCGCTCTGATGGCTCTTACGAATTTCCACGTCCAGATCATAAACCGTATAGCCTCAGGATATCCTATATGGTATCTTTTCATCGCGAGAGTGCTCTTTCATAGTTCAACATCTGAAGCATCAAAGCAGCAGCCAGCAAAGATCACGCGTGTATTTATCCGCTGGATGATAATGTACGCTATTGTGCAAGGCAGTTTGTTTGCGAACTTTCTGCCTCCCGCGTAGTATCACGTTCCGACCAAACTGTTTACTACCTATGGTACCATTGCAAGCGTTCATGATGTAGAAATAATCACCTCTTATGATGCACAGATTGGACTGGTACTTCGTACACAGACTTTGGCCGCGGACCTCCCTACTGGTCGTCTGTTCGCTGCCTTTTCATCATCACCCTCGTCGCATCCTCATTGATCTCTACGGCATCGTTAGCCGATCTTACGATATGATCGACTCTAGCCACCGCTTGAATTCTCGCATTACGAAGGCATCTTCAGTGCAAAGTCAAACGCAAAAGCATTGAATTTATGTGCCAGTTGGCTCCAGAGCGATATAAATCCAGTTCCAATCATAAAAGTTCTACTAGATGAATAAAAACTAATTTTCCAAACGCTGCCTATCGCATGCACCCGAATCAATACCACACGGTATCTTCTGGAGCTTCATCCATCAGTGCCGCGTAGAATCGCTGGCGACCAAGTGACAATTGTGATAGGCGTCGTACTCCTGTCACAACTGTCATACTCCGTGCGCTCCTCATGTACGCCTCCATAGGTAATGTATACGAAGCAAACTAGAACACTCGATATCTCTCTCTTCAGCACGGGATCCCTGTCGGTCACCCCATTACCCATGGAGACAGTAACGACGTACATTCATTAGTTGGAACAAGGCTGCCCTTGATTGTGCTTAGCGCAGTTCAGATTTCCCTATTGTAGAAAGGAAGGTCTCTTGCTCAACTGGAACACGAACATGCGCTCAAACGAATAATGATTGGCAATTTGGTCGGCATTTGTCCAACCTGAAATTCTGGTTAGATGGGTTACCCAGGACACGGGGAGATTCAGCCAGTTCGACATCACGGGTGTCTGCCCCTTTGCGGATTGCACACACGTCAGACGCGATGACGCCTCATGCATGCTCGTGATAGGTGAACATGTTCTGCGTTAGATCCAACTTCGGCGAAATGGTGATGCTGGATCATCTCATTTTTTTAACCTATAGGTAAGTCTTACTTTCATACCCTATCTTTAGTGAGGTCAAATAGAAAAGCTGAATGGTGTATAGGTTAAGCGTCATATATAAGTTGCTTCCAACGCATTCTCAGCCCCGGTATACCTCATAGGTTTAGGACAATGCCCCGCCGGTTTGTACACACCTGATATGCGACCTGGTTACTGGTATCACTAAGGCTGCCGTGTAACTTATCTCGCAAGCCTCCAGACACCGGAAACCACATTCATGTACGACATATCTTCCCTCGGCTCGAAGAGCCTCTTCGCGATGGGCGCTCTGCAGCTGCCCAAATATGCAGTGTTCCATGATTAGGTAACTCCGAATTTGATTGCTCCACCAAAATCAAATAACAGTACGCCTTAACGACTCGGCGCGTTAGAGTATGCTCTCGAGCTTGCCTCGTGGCGTTCAGGAGCTTCAATTTGTCTCCACGACACCTACGGAAGGCTCGCACATTCAAACGCCTGGTATGGCGAAGGCTACAAGTGGCGGCATCTAGTCTTTCTTGTGTAGAAGCCCGAGGCCAAGTTGGACGAGGGCTTTTAGAAGAACGGGAAAATGGAAACCAGCTGATAACTGACTTGTTGCTGTCGGTGAGTTATAAAAGGCTAGCCTGTCCACGTTCCATATCTCTAGACTACTGAGTATCCGGACTTCACGCTCGCCATCGCTAATCAGCATGAGGCTGTCACTTCTTTCCCATCTGATATTCGTTCCACTTTGTCTTGCCTCCGTCATCGAGGAAAGAGCAGCTTGCCATGCAGACAACTGCGCTCGAGCGGTAAATGGAACTAGAAGAGGATATGACCATCCCGCTACGGGAACAAGGGATTGTATCAGCTTCATGACCACCGTCATCCCCGTTGGAACCATGTAAGTCAAATGTTTTCTTAAAGGAATCCTCCAGCCTGCTATTGCTTGAATGACTGCTGACTATCTCGTGTCAGAGTGGTAGAAACCACTAAAACGGTTGATTCAACCGTGACTATATACCCCTCAGGGATATCCGGCACCGCAGCGCGGCTCATCGGGGAAGCTCGTTGGGCCAAACGGCATCCTGCACCCCAATACGGTTATTTCACTACCAGTAGCAGCACCAACCCTATCCCAGCCTATGCTACCAGCGCGTGTTCCAATCTGTCACTCTACTCTAGTGCATGTTCTTGTCTGGGGATAACAGCTGCCACGACTACTGCTTCGTTCGTCGTAAGTCTCTCCGAGCTCTCAGGGTGCAAGTGTGTAGGCTCAAAGGCTAATCTAAATGCATAGACGACAACTAGTACGATATCCAAGACAGTGACGCAATTTGTCACTTTCTCTACGACAAAGGGATACCCGAATTCGACTTCTGTGATTTCTACTTCGTCAAGTCTTATCTGGGAGACGAGAAGTACGGGATATCCATATCCAAACTCAACCTCTCTAAATTCACCCATGTCTGGGACGGGGCCTACGAGATATTCACACTCTACAAGCGGTACAGCCGGACTACCCCAATCTTCCGCAAGTAACTCTTCTTCTTCCGAGACGCCCTCTTCTACACGCTCCTCTATCGGATCCTGGAGTCATTTCAGCAATAGCTCCATGGCGAGCTCGTCAGCTTCGAGTACAAGTTTAATCCTAACCGGGATTAGCGGTACTGCGCCCTCTACCGTCATCACGCCTACGAATAGCACCTTAACGCTCTCCTCTACATCAATCCCGGCAAACTCTTCAGTCTCTTCTACGTTACTTCCGAGCAATAGCAGCGCCTCACTACCATCAACACCTGTTCTGAACAGCACTTCCATTCTATCAACATCACTCTCAACATCACTGTCGTCGACATCGGCCCTGAACAGTACCGCGCTCTCATCCACGACTCTCTCCTCCACGGTTCCCTCGTCCACATCCCTCACGTCTAGCTCTATTCCATCCAGCACTTTGGCACCATCAACATCAATTTCGAGCAGTAGCGTTTCCTCATCCACACTAAGCGGCACCACACTCTCTCCTCATACAAGCAGCACTGGAATCAGCTCTTCCATTTCAAGCGAAACATCGACACCCGCGTCTCCCTGCGCCACAGGTTCTCCCAATGCACGCCTCTGTTTCGGGTCTTGCATCAACCCTCTCACCGATAACAACAATTGCGGTGGATGCGGGAATAGGGTATGTATCCTGACCGTCCCATTCTTTACATAGCAAGTATGGACTAATACCTACCTAGTGTGCCTCAGGCACCGAGTGTACCAACGGCCTTTGCGCGAGAGAGTTCTGTCGCTCGCTATGCGGTGCTTTCGGCAAGTGTGGCCCTGAAGAAGACAACTGCATCTGCGGCATCGTCGCCGAGGGCCGTGGCGTCTGCCTCGATGGCGACACCACATGCTCAAGTCTCTCCAGCTGTAAGAAAAGCTCCGAATGTCTTCCCGGGTATGTTTGCGCGGTTGGAACGTGCTGTGACACAGACACGGTGAGGGGTGTGTGCGTGAGCGAAGCGGGCTGTAGGGCGGGCTCTGAGGCCATGAAGCGGGATCATGAAGGGTACGATTTTGAGTCCACAGGAATGCTCGTTGGAGGTATACCGGGGATTTTCGGGGCTCATAGGATTGTGTGAGGTAATAACTAATGTCAAAAGACCAGAGCAAGGGCATAAAGTTATTCAAGAATTGGAAAATTTAAGTAGTTCGGTGAAGACACATATATTCTAAATAAAACGGATCTCGCGTATACTTTTATACTATTACTATAGCTCAAGAACAGGTAGTACAACGCCCCCATGTGCACACAATCTAGTACTTTCCCGTCCCGTTCCGGGCGGAATTGAGCCACTCATGCTTCGGCCTGAGTTGTGGTTGTGTTGAGGTGAGTGCACCTTGAGTGGGAATTGAGCGGCTTGTTGAAACCCTAAATCTTCGACCTGTCTCAGAAGGCCCATTGGCGCAGCCGTAGGGCTGCTAGATTCCGGATCCAAGGCACTTATTCTCAAGTAAACTAGCTCTCCAATGGAAACCAGCCCAAGGCTAGTCTGTGCCACTTTGACATCCATGCAGGGTAGAAGTATAAGTGGCTGACACGAACTGTGACAAGCCCAACGGTGTCTAAAGCTCTAGAGTAGGCTCAGTAAGTAGTTAAAAGTGTACTGTACATATAAAAAATAGACTCCACCAAATGAAATGCAATGTGCGAGAAAACTAAATAATTGCTACTTATCCTGGGATTGCTCTAGGCAATTCTAATGTAATATGTTCTTTAACAGTCCAGCGTCGTCTTGCGGTCGACATGAAAATCATAGATATGCCCATAGTTCCACCGTTAGCCCATTCTTCGGAGTTCTCCTCTCTGGCCTACGCATGAGCCGTGCGGGTGCGCCCTGTCTATTGCGAACACAATAGACATGCCCCTGATGTGTGACATAATTAGCGCCAGTGCCCATCCAGACTGTAATATGGATATCCCAATTGCGCGTGACCATTCGTCCTCTGACTCTGGTTCGAGTTGTCCCATGATCGAAATGCCTGTCGAGTAGTTAGAGACAATCTCGTCTGAGAGAAGCAGATCATATGTGGTTATACCGGATCCATACATGGGTAAAACCATGCAATCTCGCAGCTTCGCGAGCTACGTCTTCATTTCTATCAACACTGTCGTCGTCTGCCGGCAGATTTAGGATCTAGGTGATCTACGGAGAGAGAGAGTAAGCTTTATATGATCCTTATGTTTGGAACTGGCGCGAAAGATTTAGGTGTAGTAATAGCGCAGAGCCCAAGCGACGCCTTATGGGAACCATACCTGTGAATCGTTTACGGTTCCACCCTCCTCTGATTCTGTGTAGATCTTGGCGCAGCCATGATCGGTGAAGAATCGATAGTACAGCAGGTGGCTTAGATATAGATAAATAAGATGAAAGGTATGCACACTCGAAGATAAAGCACAGAGAGCTGAATGACGGCAAGAAAACATACTTGGAGTATATCAAATGCCCAGGAACTCTCAATGATTCTGGGACTTCTTACGGTCGTACCATCGTCACATTTATAGCTCCACAGCTCACTCATCTACGCGCGCTGTTGCTTCTAGCTGTCTCCGAGTGAACACTTGATCGGTAAACGGGAAAGGACTATCCCGCCACATTGATCCCCTTTGGTCAACATGAAGCGTGGCTGAGGTTTGACCGATAATAGATTTACTGTGCCGCAAGACTGAGCAGCTGGTTTTGGCTTGGACGTTCCCGGATGTGGTGATGACGGAGTTTCAGTCTGTAAATGGCACAGTTCCGCTCACGTGTTTCTGGCGCATGAAGAAACGGCTGCACACTTCGAGCCGTGCCACAGCGCGTGCGCACCAGGACAAGAGCTGAACCATATTTCCAGACTTGACCCACTTCTGCTCCATTGTTCCTGGCGCCTGAAGACACAATGGAAGTTTTTCGAACTGTGCCGTAGCGCCTAAGCGCCCGGGAAGAATATGAAATCCCGAAATCCTTCAGACTGGGTGTGAAATATCGGAGAAAGATAAGTGATTGGACCACAAGAGATCTGAGTTGTGCTGCAGGTTTTAACAGGTTATCAGTGTTGTTCCGTTGCAGAAGCGCTGGAACAAATGGCTGGTTCTTGAAGAATTCACTTCGCCTGATCTACTGAGGCACAGTCGAGGGCTGAGTTGACATCAAGACATGGAGATATGTTGGTGTTTCGAACTCGTCTGCATTGATTGCGCTGCTTTTTTGATGTTCGTGACATTAGCTCGTGCTTCCCAGGTGAGGTTCTCAGGAGGTGCAGGGTCCACACATGTTTAAAGCCGAAAGCTCAGTAATTTCTAGAAGTTCTAATACCTACTAGCGCGCCAAGCAAGATCTAATTAAAGCTCAGCGGCAGCCGGCGCCTATATCACAGGTACAATATGGCGTTTCATGTTGCAGCAGAGTAATTAAATACTGATGCCCTGTTGTTGTTTGAGCTACCTGATGCAAGCGTTCACCAAACGATTTCGATTGCGTTGGTCGTTTCTTACTTTTCCCGCACTCTCAACATCCTCTTTCGCAATCACAATCATCAGCTGCTCTCAAGCCACTACGACATTGTGCGCACAACGGCTACATTCATCTCAGAAACAACTCTTGAAAGGCTGCCGCAAAGAGCTGTCTGCAGAACGGCAAAGAAGAATAGCCATACTCCAAAGCAGAGCCGAAATTTTAGAGCCCGCACAACCGTTCTATTGCTTGACGTCGCACAGCTATCCAATGGACAACATGGAAAATCACCTGCCGGCAACCCCTAAACCTAACGAGGAGCCTTATAATATGGAGGATTCAGAGTCCATGATGCTCGATGATCCCCCCTTCCAAGACCGACGGTATTAACCTTGCTTTACCGATGGAGTTGAAGAAATAGAGGACTACTGTCTTGGTGGATTTCACCCCGTACATCTCGGGGATAAATTGGGAGATAAAGGCCGTTATCGAGTTATCCACAAGCTTGGCAGTGGCGGGTTGGCCACTGTGTGGCTTTGTCGAGACCTTGAGGCGGAAAAGTACGTTGCCTTAAAGATCATTATAGCCGCCCAATCACGCGAAGATGGCGCCGACTTGAAAATGATGAAGCTTGGGAAACCTGGAAGTGAAGAGCTCGGATTACCCGAACGTCATTTCTGGATCGAAGGACCGAATGGCCGGCATCTCTGCTTGGTTCTTCCTGCCCTCGGACCACGAATTGATGATATTTGGGAAGTTTTTGACAATCCTGGTAAAACCTTGAGATCCATCGCATTACAAGCCACAAAAGGACTTCACTTTCTTCATAGCAACGGTTTATGCCATGGTGGTTAGCAGCAGGCATCCTCTCCTTATATCAGAAGTAGCTAATGTAAATCAAGATTTCCGTCCTGCAAATATCTTGCTCAAGATATCCAACTTGGACCATCTCAGCGAGGAGGAAGTCATCCAGGCACTTGGCAAACCTGAAACTACGGACGTCCACACAACGTTAGGCGACGACCCCGAACCGATGGCGCCGAAGTATACCGTAGCACCAATATCCTGGCATGATGTTGACCGGAAATATCTAACCGACCAGATTTCAATAATTGACTTTGGCGAAGCATTTGAAACAGCAACCCCTCCCAAGGAGTTGGGAACGCCAACCGCCTACTGCTCACTTGAACTCTTGATCGACAATTTGCCCAGTTTGGCGAGCGACCTCTGGGCTCTTGCATGCACTATCTCCGAAATACGCTCTGGTCGGCGCCTTTTTCGCGATTGGGACGGAGATGGAGATGTTAAATTTCAAATGGTCCAGCTACTGGGGAAATTTCCTGAGCCTTGGTGGTCTTCTTGGGAACGCCGAGATAATTGGTTTGATGATGAAGGCAACCCGTTCATAAGGGAGAGCGGACGTATCTCTGTGAAGGGGCCGAGGACAATTGAAGGCTATTTAGCGGAGGGACTTCACTTCAAAGTCTTGATTACTGGTGAACCGAAAAGCCTCACGATACCTTCCGAAGAGGTGAAGGTGTTGGCCGATCTTCTAGGGCAATTGCTGAGGTATGATCCTAAAGAACGCATTACGACTGGAGCTGTACTCGAGCATCCATGGTTCAAGCTATAGTCAGAAGAGCTTTGAAGAGCTATCAATGTTCGCAAACACTTAGATCTATCATCCAAATTCTGAGTACTGTGAAGCAATCTTTAGTGATTTCTCCGCATGCTTCTTGTCCTGCTGATCCATGTGTGCGAGCTTCTCAAATTTGTACACCGCTAATAGCTTAATCTGGGCTTTGATTTACCTACACCTTACAGCTACTTTGTGCATTTTGGGTCTTGGATTATCCGCTTCAGGTAGCGCGCAAAAGTTTCCACAAGTTCCTCTGGATGAACTTTATCCACGAAGATTGCATCCGCCAGCATTTCAAGCTGTGTTTCTGGACCAAGATTCTTCTCCAAGCACTCTTGCCCTTCACTTGCCTCGACAATCTCCCTATTTTTCTTTCTTAATGTGGGTAGAAGTTGAAGCTACATGGATCCGCAGCAAACTACCTAAGTAACAGAACTACAACGCTTCCATGGAGCCCTAATTCACGACCCAGGATAAATTTGAGTCCGCTCTATGTAAGACTTGTGCCGCGGCGGTTGAGCAAGGGTGAGCAGACCTGAGGAGACTTGAGCCAAAGCTGAGCCGGGTCTGAGTCAACCTTAGCCACAGCAGTAGCCATAGCATTGCAGAGTCATGCAAGTGGAGAGGCGGGCAATGTGCGGATCACGGTGGTATAACAATGTTCAATGGCCGGCATCAAACTAACATGTATATATTCTAATCATACCCTCAAGAGAGCACAGGAGAAAATGAAGCGACGTTCGAAGCAGATAACATAGGATCGGGTGATATAGAATAGCGAAGTAGGAATGGGACCATGCATAGGGAAACCCGGAAAATCAAAAGGGGAAAGCGGGAAAGTTGATGGGTGATACGGTCGGCTATAAGTTCGGAGGTTCTGAATTGGATCTGTTAGAAAGTAGGACGCATGGCTTGAGATAACCAATTTGTTGCTACACGTTCAAGCTTGCCAATCTTGGAGGATTTGCATGCCTGAAAAGTAGCTCACCGGTGCTTTGAGGCCTTGGCTAGGGAGAAAAAAGCGCAAGTAGAGCGATTGACGCTACCCGGTGGATCTCGAGATTACAATGCCGAGTGATAAGAACGTAGGGGCCCACTGCAAGCCGAAAAGGTCGAACAGGCGACTGTCCTGTGTGGTTTGGCCAGGACTGGTAGTCGGAGAGTCCTAAAGAAGGGGACAAAGGAGATTGCAAGTCATCCTTACTGTTTGAGAACACGAGAAAATAGCCAGATTGGCGATGCTGCATGATTAGCTCTCAAAACGTTGGAATCGTCGCGAGGACTCGCTGACCCCTGCGCTAATCATGGGGATGAAGGTGTGGAGCATACAGAGTCAGATCTAAGGTACACAGGAATGCACTGCGGGCGTGTTATACGAGCCAATATTCATGCAATGTGGAAGCGGCAAAGTTGAGCTGAGCAGTCATATCTGACTGCCTGTATGACTGCCGGCTGACTGCAAGCGAATGCATGCTGGGTCACAGTCCCGTTGGCTACGCGCCTGGCAATTCAAATCAGCGTCGAGAGCCACGCAGAAGCGGAATCACCGTAACCCGCGAATGGAGAGGGGGGCCGTGTCTGCTGGGCGCCTGTTGAGCGATGGTGATATTTTTGGCTCGACTCCTGAGAACGAGGCAGTGTTTCGAGACGCATGAATGATCAGAGGGACATTATCTGGATCTGGGGTCTGTCAGGGTTGTCTCAGGCCTCAGGCGATTCCTCGGTGGTGGCCGGGCGTCTCACGAAGGCGCCGAGGAGGTTTATACATGCTGGAGCCTTCACATCCAGCTTGGTGTGCAGGAGGGGAGCAGCAGGACTCTTGCAGGGGCGCGTGGGTGGTGACCTGAGGGCTGGTGCCGTGGGGTCCTCGGCCTGGCAAGGTGAGCGGGCGGTGGCCAACAGCGGCATGGGAGCGCGGTCCACTTTTCGCGCCTTCATGTGATGCTGCCAATGCTCGACGATAACGGTGTTTCTCCGGCATCGAGGCCGACTCGCGGTCGGCGAGGCATCTGGAGGGGCCCGGCACAAGGCCATCGCGCGACCTACTGGAGGCAGTGCCGAGTGTTCCGCCCACGGCTCCGGGCCGGTCTTGACAGCAGCGATGTGGCGACGTCGCGCTGGATGCCGCCCTGGAGGTGCTGATGGTGCTGATGGTGAGGGAGTCCGACACACGGCATGCTGGAGATGGTCTCATCATCCACCGCCGCCCGCTTTCCTTTCCGCCCTCCACGATCTGCAGCCAGCACCCACAGCAGCCAGCAAGTGGACGCGCGAGACGGGCTCCAGCCAGTCACAGTGCGCGCATAGCGGCCGCACCCACCCCCCGGCGGCCTCCCACGCAGGCTCTGCTGGGCACTGCACCTGGCACCCGACACGCTATCCGGCAGCGAGTGTGGGAGCAGAGCCAGCCTGGAGATGGTGTCGTTCGCGCTCACTGGGCGCCGCCCCAGCGCAAAGCGACGAGGAAACCAGGCACTGGGCCCCAGGCAGAGAGGGTGGTCTGCGAGTCCAGCTTCACCCGGGGGCTATCACCACTCCAGTGTCCACGAATGCTGCCGCCGTGTCCGCCTACCGTCGCGGTTCGCCATCGAAAGCAGACGAGGAAGCCTTGCACCAGCCCGAATCCTGCCAGTCCTTCGGCAAGCCGCTGACCCTGTGGGCTCCAGCTGCGCGGCGTTATCACCACCAGAGACGCCACAAACGGCCTCCCAGTCTCCTTCTGGATCCGACTCCAGCACTGGTGCGATAGCTGCGCTATCTCGTGTTCTGGCCCTTCCCACTCCCAGGCCTTGATAGCACCAGCCTTCCTCTCTCGCCCGCCAGCAGAACATCACCATCCTCAACACCACACGCCGTCCACTCATCCACGTCGTGCTGCTCCCCAAGCCCCGGTCTACATCTGCGCTCTCGCAGACATGGTCAAAGCGCCTGCGACACCCTCGACCTCACCCCTCTGCCCCGAGCCGTCCGCTGCGAACCCGCCCGCCATTGCACGCGACCACCTGCTCGCCCCTCTGCGGAGGAGGGCGTGTGTATAGCGCTGCGAACCGCCGCCATGTTCCTCCCTCGCTCCATCGGTGATGTGGCCCCGCCCGAACCGCGCAGCCGCGCCCAGAACAACCCGACCCTCCTCTTCAGCTGGTGGTGCACCTGCTTCTCGCTCGTCATCATCCTGTTCCGCCTCAGTGGCCGATATGTGCGCAACGAACGACTCTTCAAGGAGGACAAAATAATAGCCCTGAGCATCATCCCGCTGTTCGTGCGCATGGCCTTCGTGCATGTCGTCCTGCTCTACGGAACCAACAACGTGAACATCACCGACATGTCAAACGAGGCCATACACCGCCGCGAGCTCGGGTCGCGCATGGTCCTCGGTGCGCGCATATTCTACGCCATGTTGTGAGTAGCCTGTGTGCCATGTTGCGCAAGATTTCATTTACTAACGACGTACTAGCATCTGGGTTGCGAAACTCACAGTCGCTGAGTTCCTCCAGCGCCTGACCGTGAGGTTCTGGAAGCGAAGCTACGAGATAGGCCTCAAAGGCATCCGCATCTTTCTCGCCGCCACTTTCGTTGCCGTCGTAATCTCTACTCTTGCCGAGTGCCAGCCGTTCGACCACTACTGGCAAGTCTCCCCAGACCCAGGACCGCAATGCCGCCAAGGCTACGCCAACCTCATCACCATGGGTGTCGCCGACATGATCACCGACACTCTCCTCGTCGTTTTCCCGATTCCGATCATCGTCCAGTCCGCCATGCCACTGAAGCGGAAGTTCTCCCTAGTGTTCCTCTTCTCCATGTCGCTAGCGTTGATCGCCATCACAGGGGCACGTGTCCCCTCGGTGATCGCCCACCAAGGGGGCCAACAGTTCCGGACAGTGTTCGCGTCAGGTGAGATTTTAGCTGCTACTGCAGTATCCAATGCCATCATTCTTGGTTCCTTCCTCCGAGATCGAGGTATAAAGAAAGCCAAGTTCAAGTTTGGTTCCACCACGGATAGCATGGAACGACCCGCAACACGCAGACCAACACTTCAGCAATGGGGTAGCGACGAAGACCTCATCCGAGACATGGGCTATCGCCTCAACCCGGATCTTCACCAACAGAAGAATGTTCCGAGGCCAGCCCCCGTCGCCAACATCGATCTTCTCAAAAATGGTGGCAATGGAGCACCATTCACAGGCAAGGATTGGCAATTTCCCAACTCTCCAGTCGAAGCTCGAGATAGCGAAGAATCTGACCTCAAAGCACCTGTCCCTGAAGACCCTTTGCCGAGTCCTCGAGATCTCAGAGTAATCCCACCACGCCGCAACGTATCATTTTTCGACGTTGGTGGACTGCTCGAGGAAGGGTCTCTTCCATCGGTTCGTTCGAGTACCATCACCGCCACCACCAACAACATATCACCCACCAGCCCCACGAGTGTCCATGATTTTGCGACAACTCGAAGGGGATCCCGGGCCCTCCTATCCGATCTTGGGGGGCTCCTCTCGCACGGATCGTTTCCCCGACGCTCATCACGGCCCTCGCAATCCGAAGAGAACCATGAGATGACGACGACGCGCAATGGGAAAGCGGCGAAACCACCACCATCACCGCCGACCGGCGTTATCGGGCCCATGCTCACCCGACACGAGACCCTTGTCTCTCTGCAGGACGCAGGAGGCCTGCTTACCAGCGGCGGATCGCAACCGGACTCGTCGTCACGATCATCAAAACGCTCATCGCTTAAACCCCCCTCCTCGAGTTCACATGGCGTGGGTCACTCCCTCACTCGACAAGGCACGATTCAGTCCTTACAGGATGTCGGCGGTCTGCTGTCCCCAAACAAGTCTACCGGCTGACTGATCTTCTCGAGATGCAAACAGATCGATGACGACTTTTCTCATTCATTATTAACTGCATGGTCTTGGTTTTCCGCAATGATATCCCACAGGCGACGAGCTTGATGATTTTTTATATTTACCAGGGTTCTGGATTTTAACGTGTGATGGTTACGAAAGACGGGATATTTAAGGAGTATTTAAGCGGGCATTTGGGTGCTGGGCTGGGTTTGAATTTTCAGACTATCTACGAGGAACAATTGTTTTCACTGGGATATCCGGCTGGACCCTGAACGGGCTTTTGGGTGCGAGGAATGGAATATGGAGCGGAAATCTGTAGGAGCTAGGAGCTAGAAGCACTTGGATGGTTGGGTGTATGATAAGGCCATAGGGCTGGCGAACGGATCGACTAATTACGATCGGGATCTGCCCCACTGTAGAAATGTTAATTCATGCATATCAATCAATCAAAACAGCCATCTGAGATCTAGTCCTTGTATCCATGCCAAAATGGCATGCTTAAGTGTATGTTTATTATTCCTGACATTGATTAAAGCTGCTTTACCCGTTTTGTCGATGTCCGTGCCAATCTGCATCAAAAGTCCGTCGGACTTCACCACCTATGACCTCAACCTCGCGGCCCGCAACACCATGCTGCACCTCTCACCATCGACTTCGCACCCTATTCCTCTCTCCGAGAACCGCCGAAGCCCCGATATCACTGACGGCGCGCAATTGAACCCGAAATCACCGACTCTGAATGGCTCCACACCCATCTCTCTCACCGAACTCTCCCAATATCTCCACACACACCTCTCCACACCCTTCACGCCCGATGACGAAATCCACTCATGTGGTCAGGCGGCCCTGAAAGTTCTACCAGTCCGACCGGAAGCGTGCGTTAGGCTCGCGTACGAGAAGCTCCACGCGTACCCGTACAAGGATGTGCCAACCTGTTGGAGGCGGTTGCATACTGAGGGTAGTCTATGGGAGGTCTTGACTATCATCAGGAAAGAGGAGGAACGGCTGAAGGCGGAAGGGGAGGGCAATGTGGTGAAAAGACTTAGGCAGGGAGGGAGAAATGAGGAAGAGGGGGATTGGGTTACAGACGTTGTGAAGAAGCTGGATATGGCGCTAATACTGAGCGGTGGGCCGGGAAGAGAGGACGTCATTGAGAGGTTTATGGGGATGTTGGAAGAGTTTCTATCTCTCTTCTCGTCGTCTAGATCTGATTCTCGGCCCTCAAAACGTCAAAAGCTCACCCCTTCCCACAATATCGACGTCCAAGTCATACCATCCTCCTTTCCTTCAACCTCCATCCCAGCTCCACTACTTCGCAGGCCCATAACTCGCATCTGCGCCCTCTCCCACGCGGGCTTTCAGAGCTACCTCGATAAAAGCGATGGAAAGCCGACGCCGCTAATTCTCACGGGCGGGTTGGAAGAATGGCCAGCGATGCGGAAACGGCCATGGAGCGATCCGCGGTATCTACTAGGCCGTACGCTAGGAGGACGGAGGCTGGTGCCGGTGGAGGTAGGGAGGAGTTATGTGGATGAGGGATGGGGCCAGCGGATCATCACTTTCAAAGAATTCATGGAGACCTATATGCTTCATACCCAACCTCCGGCCCCAATAGCAGTAGAAGGGGAAAAATTGGAAGAAGAAGAGGGAGATGAGGTGGGAAAGGAGACGGACATTGCATATCTAGCACAGCATCCCCTGCTGACCCAACTCCCTGCGCTTCGGTCCGACATCGTGATTCCGGACTACTGCTATACCTCCCCGCCACCTGTCCCTAACCTCCCAAATCCACCACCACTACTTGATGAACCGTTGCTCAACGCCTGGTTTGGTCCCGCAGGGACTATTTCCCCTCTACATACGGATCCGTATCATAACATCCTGGCGCAGGTGGTGGGGCGGAAGTACGTGAGACTGTATGCGCCGGGGAGTAAGATGTGGCCAAGAGGGGTGGAGGAGGGTGGTGTGGATATGGGGAATACGAGTGAGATCGATTTGGAAGAGTTGCTGCAGAATGAGTTTCAAGACGAGTCCAAAAGAATAGGAAAAGATGAAGGATCAGGGGATAAAAGAAGAAACTTTGACGAAGCGTTTCCGGGCTTCAGAGATGTGCCATATTTCGAGGGCATACTCAGCCCTGGCGAGTGCCTATACCTGCCGGTGGGTTGGTGGCATTTCGTGAAGAGCTTATCCCCGAGCTTTAGTGTTAGCTTTTGGTGGAATTGACCGAGACATCAGATCCATTCCATAATCAAAGGTAGGCAAGACAGAATCCAAAATAGGGCTCAATTACGCCACTTGAGGTGACTGGTGCGGGTCAACGCTTATAAAAGTATCTATGAGAAACCCCAGGGTCATTTATTTGGAAACTTACGACTACGAAGAGGCCCATGCGAAGTACACGCAGCGGCTACAACGAATCATTCACGCAGTCAATCCTGCAACTTCTCGTGACTATTGTCAGCAATTCGTGGCCGAAGCTCTACAGAGCAGATCCGGGTAGGTCAATCACATCTTCTCTCTAGTCTGATTCCGGAGCCCTGGAGAATGGCTGAAGAATGTGGCGACGCGGAGGCTACGCCGCGTCTGCGATCACACTTATCACACGGTTGATTCCGTTGATGCTTGTAACGTAAGTGAGCTGTTTCTTAGCGGGTGTGCTTGGTCCACTACCATACAACTCTGCTTTTATCATAGAACCGTCGCCCGATTCACATGCTTCAGAAAAGAGATAGTTTGTAAACACGCAGAGGGGCACGCGTAGGTTACATCGCATCTGCGAAAAATATCATCACACGGTCAATTCTGTAACTCTTTCCAACTAAAGTACGCAATTCGTTGCTAGATCACCCCTGGACGTGTCATTCTAGGTAGTTGATTGTCTTCTATATCTGCTCCAATTCGTATGCCTCAGAAAATAGCTATCTTGTGCCCACGCAGAGGGATGCGCGGAGGCTACGCGGCGTCCGCAAGGAAGTCTGTTCCACGGTTGATTCCATTACTCTTTGTAAACAATCAAAAGGCTTTCTTCGTGGAGGCCCTCCAGCTCTCTCCTTCTCTCGCAATACAGGCGCTCTAATATCAATGTCTTGGAAAATGGATACGATGCGACTACGCGGAGGGCATGCGGAGGGCAAGCGGCGTCTACCAAGAAATCATCATGCGGTCGATTCCGTTACTTCTTGTAACTGAGCTTGCTTTTCTCTTTGTGATAGTCCCAAGGCCTATTCCCCACCTTTAAAAAGACATCTCTCTAATATCCGTCCCTTGGAAAAAAGATAAGAACCAACTACGCGGAGGGCACGCAGCGTCCCCGTGGTATCTGCAAAAATCGTCGTCAAGCGGTCAATTTCGTTGCTTCTTGTAACCAATCACGAGATTTTCTTTATGGTGTTCTAATATCCATACCTCAGAGAAGGGATAACATCCAACTACGCCGAGGGGCACGCCACGTAGACGCTGCGTTTACCGACGAAGTATTCACGCGGTCAATTATGTTACTTTTTACGACTGGTTCAAGCCATTTCGGCGCCGGGGTGCTTCAACTCGATTCTATCTTCTCTCTTTCTCTAGCCTGATTTACGTGCCCTAGAAAAGGAATAAGATCCAATTACGCGGAGAGGTACGCCGCGTGGACACCAGGTACGCTGCGTGGACACAAGGTCTACCAACAAATTTGCCATTTGGTCAATCCCGTTCTAACCACCAGCTGGAGTCAGTCCTACGGGGGTGCTTCAGCCCAATATTGTGTCACCGTCGACCACCGTCTGATTTACGAGCCTCAGAAAGCGACTAATTTAGAACCACGCAAAGGAGCACGCGAGGGCTAAGCAGAGTCACTATAAAAACTCATCGTACGGTCAATTTCGTAGATACTTCTTACACTTTCACCCTATGTCGTAGCAGGAGTGCTTTAAGGCCTCACCGAGCCCTCCCTTCTTTCGCATAGTAATCTTGCCTACGCGCCCTAGTAATTCGCTACTTCTAAGCTCACGTCGAGGTCCTGCAAGGGTACGCAAAATATCCCCGTTGAACCCGCCCTTCCCCGTTGGCCCTCACGCCTGCAAGAGTTTCCAGATCTGGTATCTTCCGAACTCGAGGGCCGGGCAAGAGTGGAGGACATGTTGAAAAATAATAGATGGCTGAATGCGGTATAGCACCAATCTTGAACTACTTTGAGGAGAAGTATTGGCTGCGGCGGGTTAACATAGGGTGGTGGTGCCGGACGGATGAGAGGTAAAGACTAGGTACGTAAAAGGTACACCGTGTCTGTTGATGAAAGTCCCTACACGGTTAGTTTCGTTGGAATTTGTAATAAAAGCAGACAATGCGTCTGGCTCCTGTACCACAACATATCAGGAGAATAAGGCAATCCATGAAGCAGCATCAGAGATCCAAAACGCCATATTTTTTCCCTCGTTATGAACCGCATTCAGTCCCACGACTCGAAAGACAGAGGAGATGGGTATACAATCATGATCGTAATCACACGACCCCGTTTAGCCCTACCACTCATGCAACCATCCACCCCACCCGTATGCACAACTTCACTGACCCCCTATCCTTGCTTACTACTGACTACACACTCTTTTTTACATCCCAGCACCCCCAGTCCCTTGCCCACCCCCAAAGAAAAACCCATCGAACAAGTCAAACCCACTTCCATCGCTCCAATCGTGATTCCCGTCGAAGCCCATTCCAAACCCGAGGTCTGCGAGCCCTCCTGCTCCACCTCCTGCCTCACCCCCGTTTACAGCCGCGCCCTGGACAGGGAACGAGTCCAGGAAGTCAAGCTCTGAGAACGAACCGAGGTCAGGATAAGCCGAGGAGATATTTTGCGCGAAATTACTGTACGGCATCTGGTTACTGAGAGCGTACGGCGAGATATTCGGGTTCTGGCCTTGTTGTGTCGGTGGGGAAGTAGTGGCAATGGCGTCGGATTCGGCGGAGGACATTGTCGAGATAGGGGGCCGGAGGGCCGGGTCGAGGGCGAAGGCGTGCTGGTGGCGTAGTTGAGGGGAAATGTTCCGAGGGTCTTGTTTGTTGAATTGCTGCTGCTGTAGATTTTCCTGCTTGATGGCGTGGGAGGTAGGTTGGGGAGGTGGCGGAGGCCGCATGCTGCTGAGCTGGCTGCTGATGCGGCTGAAGGAGCGGGCGTCGGTTTCGTCGTCGCTGAAGAGGTCGCGGAGGTTCATGTCAAAGCGGGGGGTTGGGCGTCGGCTGCTCTGGAAATAGCTGTGCTGGTAGCCGGTTGAGAGCTCGGTGTCCGAGCGTGCGTCTTGGTCGGAGTTGTAGGTGCTTGGGGATTGGAAGTTGGACATGTTGGCTTGAGAGGCGGTTCCCAGGGCCTGAGGCCCGAAGCCGGTAGTCGACATGCACATTTGGATCGTGGCTTTGCTCATGCGGTCAAAGGCGTCCCTGCAGGCTTCGGCGGGTGGGCATTTCTCAATGAGATCTCCGAGGACGGATGTTGCTGCCAGGACTGTAAAGTCGACGTCGTCCAGTGACTTTCATATGTTAATACTTGAATTTAAAAACAGATCGAGTGATAGCTTACTAGATGACTTCGTACTACTGGCGAGTGCCAGACGGCATATAAGAACGATATCCCTACTTTAGTTAGCCTTACATTCTACCTATTTTAAGGGGCGTTAACTTACCAGCCATGAACAGGTGATGTGTTGCAAGGAATGTGTAGTTCACGAGATGTACTCGATGAAGCTGCCGATACAACTTAAGCACCTTCTGTCCAGCTTCTGCAACCTTGAGGAAGACTCGTTCTTCATCCTCCCGTTCTTCGATGTTCAAGACCGAAGGACTTGCGATGTCTCCGTTAGTTGCGCCTAGCTCACCGGCCAATACCGGAGGGACGGATAGGCTCTGGCGATACAACATGATGATGGCTTGCCAATAATTGAGTTCGAGGAATAACGGCGAGAACTGCACTCCCGTCTCCATCTGATTCGGTGCAGATTCCTTCCACTCCCATAATCGGCGATCGATGTCAATGCGCCAAGATCTAAAAGAGTCGAATCTCGCCAAAAACGGCGAGGGTAGCTTCGTATGCATAAAGTCATTTCCTTGGTTTGCTCCACTATCTCTTGCTTGCTGAGCTTGCCGGTGTTGTAGCACTTGTAGGATTTCGGACTGCAACAGCCGTAGTCTGAAGTAGTGTTGAGCTACCACCTTGTAGCTCGGTTCAGCGCCTCGAGGAGGGCTCAGGAAACCCTCTTTAGTGATGTACTTATCGTCCAGCATGGAAGGGAATTCTGTGGTGACGACCTGATCCGTGATTCCAAAAGGCCTGCCAACACACGTACTGACAAGTCGGTCAAATGAGTAGACACACCACCACAGTCGTCTGCGGAGGTCTCGCACCCATTGCCGACGACCCCTCTCTTTTGCGTCAATCTTGATGCCGTTGCCAGCACCCGCTGTACTTTCCGGATTCTCTTCAACCTTCCCGAAAGGATGCTCGTCTCCATTGGAGCCGTCAATGCCTACACCGTCTTCATAATGTAATCCTAGATCTACTCCTAGCCGAACCGCAACTCCAACGATGTACCACAAACCGGGTGCCACTGGTCGCAGTAGAGCAAATCCAGCTAGCAACAGAACAGCTTGCAACTCTTCGAGACCGCCTCCGAATCCATCGGGTCGGTCTGCTGCCGGTGAAGACCCAAGGAAAGTTTCGAGGTGCACTATGGCTGACGCATGGTACTCTTCGGGCTGGTGCTGCTGGCTTGCAAGCTTGCGCTTCTTATGGCTTGGCGGAGAGAAGGTTGGTGCGTTGGAGTGGTCGGAGGTAGGAGATTCTTGGGGATCAGAGCTGCCCATGATAATGCCGGCACCAATTGCAAATACAATATTAAACATATATGATTCCCGTGACGTTCTATGCCGCCCTTCGGCGGTGTAGGTCCTCTCAAACATCTCCATGAATTCTCCGCGGTGCAGAATAGGGATTTGAGGGTTTGCATGCTCAAAGTAGAGCTCCACGAGCTTTAGACCTAGCTCGTGGTCAGGAAATGGTGCTTGGCGAATAGTCGGCTTGGTGTGGAGGCCGAAAAATGAGTCTCTCATGGACGTGCCCCCATCGGCGACATTTCCGGGGATCGTTTTGGCTCCCCGGATGCTTCCGCGCTCAGATGAGGCGCCCGAGACAGAGCTCTTCACCGCCGCAAAGACGACGCGCGCAAACGAGATGCCCGACGTCGACCCTAGATATCTGGGGTCACTGGCGCCCTGGACCGACACCATGCCGATGTTTGATACTAGCTTAGTAAGCTTTTCTCGATCATATTTCTCGTTCTCCTCCTTTATGGCGCTCTCTGATTTCTTGGCCCCTCCATTGCGGTGGCCGTCACCACCGGCGGACGGCGGCGGTTTGTTCAAGGGGAGGCCGTTCCCAGACGGATAGCTCGGCTCGAAATGCTCGGGCGGGGCAAAGGCAATCGAGTTGTCCTGCAGCAGCGATTCGAGGTAGGACACGCGGGTCTCGAGGTAGTAGACATAGCTATGCGCAGGTCAGTATAGAGACGCCGGTATAGGTATAGGGCTCTCGGGAGAAAAAAACAGAGCTTCGGGTAGGCACAGCTCGGCGCAACACCCACCTTCGAGGGATCTCGCGCTTCGTTATGGGGTCGTAGCCCACACATCGCACATTGGCCTTCTCGCAAGAGGCACAGGCGGGCAGGTTCTGGTCGCAGCGGTTCTTCCGCAGCCGGCAGCGATTGCACGCGGAGACATTGCGGAACGAGGACGCTGACGCGCTGGAGGCGGCAGAGGCCGCGGGCGACGAGGGCTTCCCGAGGAGCAGGTCGGTGGGCGAGGTGCCGTCGCCGTCAATAGAGGAGTCCTCCAGGGAGCGCTTGAGGCCGGTCATCGAGGCGGCGCATGGCAGGACGTCGAGGTCATCCGGGGTCGCTGGGGCTTCAGCGCGGGAGCTCAGTCACACTGTTGAAGTCGAAATCGGTCCCCACGCTGAGGCCTGCTAATTCCAATAGGCACGGAGTTGGGGGCGACGAGAGGCGGGTCGGTCCCGCATTGCGCAAAAAGCAAAGCAGCCTGCTCCCAGCGCGCAAGCCAGCAAGCATTGGATATGGCGGCTCTCTTATCGTGAACCACGAGCGCCTGATAGGCACGCTGGCCGCGTCTTGTCACTGTTCCCGGTCGCAGTTCGGCGCCTCTGGTTTAGCCACCAACCGGCTAGAGGTGGGAGGGCTGGGAGGGCTGGGAGGGCACGAGGGGTACCAACTCCACCAAGCTGCCCGGTCACGATGCCCGCATGCTGGCCAGCTATCACGCCCGGACCTCGCCATTGGATGCGCATGCGGAAGGTCCCTCAAGTCGGCCTGGAGCCCCGCTGCGTCGTTAATAGCGGGTAACTTGGAACCCTCATCGCGCCAAGCACTAGCTGTCTCTTCGCGTCTCGGCTACAGAACTTGGACTACAGTGCACGATAAAGAAGCAAGCGTGGCAAGAAAGGGCATATGTTCGGTACCAGTAGCTTCATGTATCGTTGCTTCCAGTCCCCCAGAACGCTGTTATCCGACATGTGGAGGTCTGACCTTCTAACGGGAAAGGCGAAGACAACTCCGCCGAGGTATCGATGGAGTCAAATGCGTATAGAGATGTCTGACTACACGAAGACTTTGCAGTATATGCTTCCACGGTAAACATCATATCTCCTTGCCGATCTAGGATTCCAAATATATCATCCGAGGTCCGTGTGTCAGGATGCTTGCATCAGATGTCCTTTTCATTTCACTCTCAAACGCATCTTGTTCGATCCGAAACTCCATTTGGATTCACTGCAGTTCATATAATCTCTCAGATAGGGCATTAAGATGTATCTGTACCTACCCTAGCGTCAATTTGCCAACCCTCCGTCTATGGTATCACCAGTCCGAGCGCCAATCGCTAGCAGAAGAACGAAAAAGAACAACACGCCGTCCCTAGCCCACCTTATACATCCTTGACTGTAAACATCATACTAGGGTCCTGCGCCACCCCCTCCTTGCCGTCCCACTCCAAACACCGTTACCGACTCGACCGTCTTCAGCCCCAGTTGAGCCTTGTGGTTGATAAGGAACCAACCCAGGCTGTTTCCATTCGGAGTCCCCAGCAGAGCCTTCCCCTCCTCGGAGTCCATGCTCAACGTTACACCCGGCCATTTTGACACAGGCCGCCCTTCGAGAGCCCGAGCTATGGCAGCCTGCGATGGGGTGTTCTTCACCGGAAGCTGGAAGTAGTACCGCAGATTTTTGACGTCAGTTCCCTGAACGTCGGCCTGGTGCTGCCATTCGAGGAAGAGGACGTCTGACAGCTTATCGCCCAAGGCTGGGGAGTCGAATACAGGAGGGGACTGTTGTTCGCCCTTGAAGCGTGGACCGTAGACTCCAAGGGCATAGATCACACCTTCCATGTTATTGTATATGACGGTGTGGAAGGCATTGGTCGGCTTGGAGCAGTGAGTTGGCTTGCTTCCACGCAGAGCTTATAATGCGTGTCTACTATGGATCAGACTTACCTGGTACCTCTTCCTGTCAACCGTGTAGGGTTCCTCATGCTGCCAAGTCAAATGAACATTTCCTCCAGACCGGACGCCGTTCCTCTCCCTACGAGATGCTGTCGAAAGGCCCAGATCTTTAACAGTACTCCGGATAGGCATTGAGACATCGAACCACCCACGATGTTCAGACACGGACTCCAACATATGCGTTCCGTCCGCCGATTTCCAACCGTATCTCTTCAACTGCGTATACTCGGTATACCGGCTCTGCAAGGGGAATCCTAAGACGGCCGTAGCACCAGCGTTCTCCTCTTTCGCACCTCTCAGCAGCTTCCACCCCCTCGCAACCAATTTGTCCCATTCATCGTCACTCGTTGGTGATGGAACCGCTCGCTTGACCTGGCCCTTCGAATTCGAACTCTCGAATTCAGCTCCAATCGACGAAGTCGCTCGCGCCCGGTCATTATGCAGGTGTCGGACTAGCTCCAAGGCATGGCGAGGGTTGTAGCAAGGGGGGGGGGGGCGAGCATAAATGATAGTGGGCTATACCGATGGCTAGCACGGACGGGACGACAGCTACAGCGAGAGCCGTGAAGGATTGCTCGCGGCGGGCTTTGCAGTAATATTTTTTCATGCCCATGGCCTTGTGCGGCGAATGAAAAGCCGTCGGGATATGGGAGTCGCCTCCGTGGCTGGGTGGCTTGAGGTTGTTGTTGATGGATACTGGAGAGGTTGGACCAGGTAGGAAGAACGAGGTAATAAATATATCTCGTTAAATTTCGAAACCTAGAGTCGCTATCTTGATTCGTCTACTTACTGACGGATGCCGATGTTAGAGTGCATGCTATCTTCAACGATTGCGTTTGCTTACTGGTCTAATAAGTTGAAGGATGTAGAAAGCTGCTGTGTAAGGTGCGTCAAAGACTATCATTGGTTTACCGGAAAAAGAAACATGCGACTCTACAACTGATATATGAACTCGTACGACTACTAAGTGCCCAAGGCTTCCTAAGATCATATGAAGATGACATGAAGTCCCGAGTATGATTCATTTCAACCGTGACGATATTATACCAGAGCAATATTAGCACGCCTAGAATCATCAAGTCCCGTCTTTCAGTACCAGGCCATAAGTCTGGGCACACGGATTCGTCACTGCTCGGCTCTAATTTTACTCACTTGACACTACTGTAAGGGTTTCCCTGGCGAACAGGTAGTCGGTCAGTCAAAAGGCGCCTAATCTCTACTGCATCGACCTTAACATTAGACTTCGAGTTCTAAAAACCCCTTAAGGCACCCTAAGCAGTGGCAAACCGCTGTACATGAACTTGTCGCCAGTCTCTGCCGGCCTTTCGAACGCTACCACCATCCTTCTAGATTAGCGTGTCTACCTCTACATTGCGCTCTTCCATCCTGTATCAGGAGTTTACTTCTGTCGCTAGCAACGTTCACGAATCCTTCGACTACTTGTATAGCAGCTTGACTATTTAGCAGCTCTAAACTCTAGATCTCTTCCGGCTCCTCCCATTCAAAGATAACGTCCCACGACTTCAGCATTCTGCAATCGAATCTCCACCTAGCTGGAAAGACTCAATCAAATATCTTGAGCATTATGTCGCGCCGTTGCTCAAGGTTACCAGGAGCGCTTCTCGCGGTGCGCCAACGACTTCAGCTATCAGCTCTGACCTAACTTGGCACCATAACTTTCCGTTGGATGCCTTATCTACTTACCTCTCGACATAGCTGTCTAAATTTAGCAGGCCTTGTCCTGCATTGCAAGCGTTGCGTGAGATCTATCAAGACGCCTAGATCACTTACACATACTAGCCCCTTCCGTACGCATGCAACAGCGTGGGACATCTTGGCTGGCGCTTTCGTAGCAAGCAGCTATCCGGTGAAAGGAGAGGTAAGAGGATTGTATTGTCGAGCAGCGTGTAAATCAGCACTTCTTGCACTCTTGTCCTTTTGTGCCTACTTGTCCACCGTAATCGCTCTTTGCTGTTTTCTCTCCCATTACTCCCATTACTCCATCTAAATCCATCTACGTAACTATCACACACGTTTGGCCCCTCGTTCGTGAAGTAGATAGCGCTCCCCCAAGGCTCCGAGTAGTTGTCAGCATGCAATCTTAAACGCCTTTGGCGCATCGAAGGCGCAGCAACTTGATTAATCTGCTCCCCTTCCAGGTAGAATAGGCCTTACTATTTCTCATGAAAGTTTCATGAAGCTAGTCGGGTTTGGGTATCTCGAAGCTGCTTCGAGGGCCTGAACATGTTTTGGTGCATTCGAGACTCAACAGTTGAAGCTCTTTGAAGTGCTGAGACTTGTCGTATCTTGTCGGTCGTGGCAAGGTAACTCTTAGTACAGTACCAGGCCATGAGTTTGGGAACACGGATATGCCTCTGCACGGCTCTCGCTCTTGCTCGCTCGATATCACTGTGAGGAGGAGCCCGGATAGCTAGCATGCGGTGAGGCAAAAGGTATCCTGACTCTGGCATTTTCGAAATTCCATAACTCTAGGTTGCTAAGCAGGAATAAGGAGACCGAGAGTACCAGGATCTAATAGAGAAAGGGTGGATACGATGGGTTGCGTTGTAAGGACGAGCCTTCCTTCATAAGCACTCTATCTCCAACGACTTGGAAGAGCCGAACCAGCATAGGCGTCACATTCCTTTAGGCCCTTGAAATTCTCAACATCTGTGGAAAGTTTGCAGTCCATGTCCGATTCTAGTCCGAGCCTACATGATTAGCCCAGCGCCTCGAGCCCACTCAGATACTTGTAAAGGGAGATGCGAGGCATCTGACCGCTACGTTCCGTCGCTGGGTTCGGGGTCTAAATCTTCAGCTCGCCTCCGAAACTTGAAAGTCAAGGAAGTTGTGGTTTGGATGTGCTCAAAAATCTCACGGATGAGAGCTTAATGTGGAGCATCAACAAGAGTGTTGTTGCTAGGGGGCTACAGGTTGGCAGGGGAGCGAAGGTGTAAAAAGGATGACGGCAACGACGAATAGTTAGTGACCGTCTTCGGAGTGCTGTTGTACCCACAACAACACCCACGTCGGCTTTTGGTGTGAAGATATTGCGAAGACAAAAAAGGGTAGATGATCTGCATCATCGTGCTCGTTTACTTCTCTTTCGGTTGCTGAGCACCATCATTGTGAGCTTCAGACAGTGTGTTGTTTCGTGGGGAGTAGTTTTAGATGGTAGTACTAATAATCGTTAGTAAGTGAGCTTACAGTGTTCTGCTCATATACTTCGGGATGGAAGGCCGTAAGATTTGGAACTCCTACTTATTCATTTACTTGCCTCAACCCAAGATTTCTTCTTCTAGAGCATTTAGTCCGTTCTAATTCCACTTTCCTTGGCCAGCATCCTGGGTATTATAGGAATCGTTTTGGATGTCGTGGAAAACGTTCAAATGGTGCAAGCTTGAATCTACGTGATACGTAACTCTAGGATACGCTGGACCAGATGGCTTCAAGCCAACTGACATACCCAGTACCCAAACAAGACACATCTTGCCGGAAAGCACGATTTGCAGAAGCTGGTAGGTGATGAGCATCCCAAACAAGGGAACTAATAAATCGGATGTGTAGAAAGACGGGCTAACGAGAAGAGATATTCAAAGGGCTTCGCAGAGATGAAAATTAAGGGCCTGTGCGTTGCTGTACTGAGTGAATGCTGGCTAAGTCCAAGCGCTCGGCATAGGAATGAGTTCTGATGTGGACGCCGCTGAAGGTATATATTCTGGGGTATTTTCTTGAGCCTCCATGTACAATATGGGTACCGCCCCCATGTTCCTGCATACACTCCACCAACCAAATAAACCAAACCATCGCTTTCATCTGTCTAAAGGATCACCTTCTGGTGCCGCACGGGTTGGAGTCCCGATTAGGCTACAGAAAACCAATCTAATTGGCTTTTTCTTTTGCCTTTTGCTACAGTCAGGCCATTCATCCACGTGAACGCTCTCACAAGTCTGTTTTCGCGTGATCGACTATGGAAGGACAACCATGAGAGGCCGGTCAAAACGTACTCACACAGCAACTACTCCCAACCATGTCATCAGATAGCAAATCAGAAGCCACCCACCAAGCCCAACCAAAGCCCAATCAAACAACTTAGGTCGCTAGACTCACGGTGACTTCAAACCAGCCAAAAAGATGTCTCCCGACAAACTTACGTCGTCGAAACTTATGGACTTTTCCTCCAATCTTGCCCAGCTCAAGCAAGCCAAACCCAGCCGGCAGAATCCCAGAATCCCGCCACCATGGCGCTCAGAAACTGTGCCTCCCGAGAAACTCACGTCGTCAAAGCTTACAATAATCCTCTCTGCTCACAAGCAAGCCAACCCCAACCGGCAGAATCCCACTCCGGGCCCCCATCCCCATCCTGCCCACTCCCACCAGCATAACCCTCGCGCTGATCCACCTCTTGCGCCACCCAACACGGCCCTCGATTGTGCCTTGCGTGCGATTTCGATTCAGCCTCGTCCAAGGATGCCACGTTTCAGACCGTTCCAGGAGTCCTCGAATCCCTTCTAAAATCCCACATTTCACACCCTTCCAGAAATAGGCCTCGGAGAATAACCACCTGCCCGGTCGATGGATCGCATCCCATCGGCCAGGATCAGATCAAAGTCACATCCCTCAGTCGCAACAGGAATTGCGGAGCAAGGCTGAGCACTAGGCCAGCGCACAACACCACACCGCGGAACCCCACACCAGCATTGCCGCAGTCTAAGATGTTTCGAAAAGCCGTTGACGCGCTGAGGCACGTGGTGCGGAATTCCGATTAGCGGGATTGAGATAGATTAGAGAGGAGCTGGAATCGCTATCTGACGATGGACATGGAAAACGTTATGCTCCGCTATCTTTCGATATTTGACCGCATCCTGGCCACGTGGAAACGATTAAAGGGGCCACTGGGGCCTGCTAGCTGGCAGAATCAGAGTCATGTCCTCGTTCCAGAAGCGCGTAGAAGTCCTGAATCGGAGCCTGAATCGTTAGCAGGATTCTCGAAGAAACCGAGGTTGCCAGACCTTCCCAATCCCAAATCCATCTAACGCGAAAACGACAACGGCGGACTAATTCCAGTCATGATGCCAAAGCCAACAATCTCCGCCTCGTTCCATCCTCGGTGATCGCAATGGGATAGAAAAGTCATGGGAGCGGCACGGCTCAGGTGTAGTGAATCCGAACCCGACTCCCCCTAGCTGTCGTCAAACATACAGAAACCCCGCCCTTCATCATCGGGTCGTCTTGCCCCTATTCCGGCGCTACCTCGGCGTTTCATGCTCCAAAACCTTGCATCCCATCCCCCAGCCCCGACCCACCCACATGGCAAGCTGCCACGCTGCCCATGTCAGGCATGTCCACCCACTCACCGCGCCTCCCTCCACACAAGAAGAAATCCTGGGGGCCATGTTTCAGAACGACAGCCTTGTATGGCATGCACGCAATCCGATTGCTCGGATGCTCTGGCCGATGGCAAGTGCAGGGTCTCATCAGATTTTCGGGTCTCGGGCCACGCCTCTTGCTGCAGTGGACGAATCCAGTCACGAGGGGATTGGGTGAAATGCGGTCATGCGATCCTACATACCACCTACCGTGCATCATGCGACGATATGATACGGTGCAGACGCAACGCCTCATGATATGTTTGTTTGTCGAGCTATTTCTGTATGGTCCACCTCACAAAGCCGCAGAGTCTCGAAAAATTGATAATGATATAACGTGATATATAGCTTTCGAAATAGTGCAAATCTGACACGTAGTCTTCTATGTCTGGATATCGCGAATAGAATTTCCCAGTATTTCCCATCCCGTTCCCTTTCGCAAGGTATCTAGTATCCCGTAATGCCCGTCTTTTTCTTATCCCAGCGCCTTAGCAATAAGCAACGCGTAAAAGCAAAATCCAAAAAGTGGGAAGATATCCAATCCTGGGTCTAAGATCCTGCTTGTGCGACTGTAGGGAGAACGAAAAACTCCCAAAGCAGGAAAAGGAAGCAAAATACAAGAGGAACTAGACTCCTAACATGGAAAAGAAAATCGTGAACTCCCTCGCGGATTGCGCCAAAGCTATGCATGCAATGTGATTAAAAGGTGATGTGGAGGCGTGACCAAAGAAAAGGCGAGCAAAGAAAACCCATCGCAGACTCCCAATGTTCCCGTGGCCAGTCTAGCTACTTTTTTTGTTCCGACACCGGACCCTAGGATACTAAAATAAGAAAAAAAAGTCGTCGAAGGCCTCCATCGCCGGCGTTTGAGGTCTATGTTGGCTTGCAGGATGAAAGCGGATCCACGGATGGAAGAGGGTGGGTTAGACCAGGGTGGAGGATCAGGAGCGTGGAAGCATGACAGTGGCCGAGTCCTGTCATAAGCCACAATTCCTCTCAAGATCCATGGCCTTGGCCGCTTCAGCCACCGCCTGCTCCTCCTCTTCCCCCGTGAGCGTAATCACACTCTCCGTGTCCTCGTCATCATCATCCTCGTCGGAGTCCACAAGCGTGGACAGTGCCGCCTCGTCATCCGTGTCATCCTCCTCGAGGGCCCGCGCCATGGCGCTCTTGCGCTCTTCCTTCATCATCGCACTAGGTACACAGGCGACCAGTGCTACGCTGGCGCACATCCACCACGCGAGGCCGGAATAGCCAATCGTTTGCCCCGTACTCTGGATCATGCCCGAAACAGTGGGACCAAACCCCCTGCAGACGCTGGCGGAGGAGGCAGCGGCGCCGTTGAGTGTGCCCAGGACTTTCCTGCTAGGTGCAGCGGCCGCAAGCATGATGGCTAGGGAGGGAAGGCAGACGGACTGGGCCGTAACTTTCCACGCGAGGATAGCGAAGACACCTGGGAGTCGGAAGCCAGGCGGAAGAAGAATCAGGTATGGCGTGATGACGTAGAGAAGAGGATAGGTGAAAATGCCGAGCCAGAAGGTGCGAAGGGTCCCGAGGCGGGAATTGATCCAAGGGAAGACGATAAGTTGAGCAAACATTTGGTAGATTCCCTGAACGGAAAGAATCATGCCGATCGTCTTAGTAGATAGAGCGAAGCCGCCCTCAAATTTGAGTGGTAGCTGAGGTGGGACCTCAGATTCAGGAAGAGACATGAGGATCGGCATCAACTGCTCGAACGAGACTGTGTGACTGTATGACAATTAGCTAAGAAGTGCGATGAGCGCCGGGTGCACCTACAACGCAAGAAAACCGTAACCGATGATCGTCAAGCAGACCTGTCGGCTGAACGCGTTGCGCCAGCTGAGGTGCTGGACTTGCAGCTTTTCGGCTGCGCCTATCGAATATGGCGGAGGTTCCGCGAGGGAGGTTCTGGAGCTACACAGCGTAGGTGAGCTTCCAGTGCTGTGGAATGCAGCCCAGTTATCTTCGTTTAGCATCGACTGTGTCTCCTCGAAACAGGCATCCTTGTCGCTCAAGGGCTCTTCCCCGCTGCTTTTCCGGAACTTCCGTAGTAGCCACCTGCCCGCTTCGAGCCCCCGGTCTCGCTCATGCTTGATATCTTCGTGTGTCTCTTCCAAAAAGAGGAAGCCCACGACCAGCGCGAAAGCTACTACCAGTGTGCAGACCAAATTTGGGAGAAGGTACGGGTAGGAGTCGAAGACGGAGCCAGGAGAGAATATCGAAGGGTAGTTCTTGACAGGCTCCGTGAGCAGTCCGCCAAGGCCGGATCCAAAGATGGTGCTACCGAGGATTAGTCTGTGGTCTGAAGCAGGCGGTGGTGTTGCATACCCCAGACACCAGATTGAGGGCATGATCGAAAATGCGCGAGCTGTTTGCACAAAGGTTAGGTGCCTTTCTCCGAATTCGGAGCGAAGATCTTACGTCGGTGTTTTTCATTGGTGACCAGCTCTGCAACTGTGGTTTGTAGTACTGCAACGTTTCTGTGGCATGTGAGTGGTCGCTCGCTAATCGATGCAAGCAGATCATCACGTACCCGTTCAACAAGCCACCCATCGCACGCGCAAACAGCGCCATTGGCAAACTCTTTGCAAAACCAAAGAGACACATGCTCAATCCAGTTCCAAATAGCCCTCCGAGGAAACACCTCTTGCGCCCAATCTTGTCACTCAGGCGTCCCCAGAGCATGCTCGATGCACACTCGGCGAAGGCAAAGGCGGAGGTGACCATGCCAACGTACATGGCAATTTGCGCCTTGCCTTCGGTGACGTGGAAGGACTGGACCATGTAGTAGGCGTACGGGAAGATTGAGGTGAATGCAATTGGCTCGCATATCCGACATAGTGCTGGTGGAGTAAGTCAATTGAGCACTTGGAGGTGGATCAAAGCTGATAATGCTTGAAGTGGATGGAAATGGCGGGGCAGCATACCCAATATGGCCATCTGCTGGGTGGGAAACGGTGTCTTGTCCCTCATTCTGGCGGCGGCCCCGCGCTTGCGAGCCATTGAGGGCATGGTGGGTGGAAGAAGAGGAGCAGACAGAATGGAGTCAGTCAACACAGTCAGTGACGGCTGCGTAGAGGGCGGCGGCGGGAGGGTTTAGTATGAGAGCAGTAGGATGAGGGCGATTTTTCATAGGACGGTCAGGGGAGGCTCGTTTGATATTAACGCGGGCGTCACTCGAAATAAAAGTAAGGCAAGATTTCAGTGGCGCTCTGGAGGCGGTAGGCCTTGCTCCGGCGGACAAGGATGATGGCAGCGGGGAGGAGGCGGAGAATAGCGGCGACGACTGCTGTGGATCGTCGGCACGGCAGCACACTGACTGACTGACTGACTGACGGGAGTCGACAGGGCGGACGGGCAGGCATTTTGAGCACATTGGGGCGGGGACTGCTTCTGGCGGAGCAATTCACTGTGCGATGTGATAGGCGCGCGCTGGCAGGCAGGACAACCGCCGTCGCCGTGACTCCACGATGGGGCTTCGGTGACCAGCACAGGCACCCCCTGAGGTTGGGCACGGCCGGGCGTTTGGTGGGACAGAGTCTTGCGGCGTCGCTGGCGGGGCGTGACGAGGCCCGTGGCAGTGGGAAGCTAGCCGTGCAAGCTCGCCGTGCAAAGAGGCAAGGCGGGCGCGCGCAGAAGGCAGCGGAGGACGCGGAGGACAGGTCGGCCTGAAGGGTGGGATGTGCTGGAGGAGCCGTGCTGCCTGCCTGTTCCTCCAGCATTCTGCCCATGACGGCCACACGCTGCCCGCCCAGACGTCGATGAACACGACCCGGCAAACGCTCACGGGCTGCACTAGGCGGCGCTAGCCACTGCTTCCGGCTCCCCGGGTTTGGTCTCAGGACCGCGGCCAGTGCGCATCTCTCCCTGCGCAGTGATCTGCTGTGCGTCTCCCACCCAGATTCCACGCCCCCCTGGTGCAAGTTGGCAGGGCGAACCCGACTTCACCACCAACCTACCAGCCCAGAGCACCTCGGCCTGTTGCCCGCCCGCCGCAGCCGCACGGCTTCCCATCCACTTCCCCGCTGTCTCTGAACGCCGTGAAGGCGACGAGTCTGTCCACGGCGTGCTCAGGGGCGCCAGGGGCGGAGAATCGAGATGCTTCCGTGTGCGGGCGACGAGTCAGAACCTCGTGCTGGGGCAAATTGGTGCGCGATCAGCTGCGGCACGAATAGCAGCTCCAGGAGCCGCGATAGTCCCGGGCGCATCAAATGGCGGTGAATTGCGAGCGCCGCCCAGCGAGGCCGGTACAAAGGCCTCGTTCTCCCCGGCTCCCGGCAAGAGCATCCAGTGATTGGCATGGCCAGCATTGGTTCAGCACATAGCGTCGCGTCGCCACCGCTGCGGGCGGCCTGAGAGATGGACCACTCCCGCCCTAGGAGCAGGGCTGTCGAGCGCAGGGGATCCAGCCGTTGCATCATCGCCGTCGTCACAGCCATCTGCTGGCGATCCATGCCATGCCCGCGGGGCCGCGTCGCCTCAACACCACGGAGCCTTGTCGCGGGCGGGTCCACTGCGACTCAATGGCGAGGCGTGTGAGGCCGTGCTGGCACCTGGCACCGTCAATGGTGGCCGGCAGCCCGGATGCGCGCCCAAAGGGCCATCAGCTGACTCTTTTCACTGGTGCGTCGTTGAACGGAACGTGGGTCCGGGAGGCCTTCCGTCGCGTGTCGAAGGCTGGGCGAGTCGCCGCCGCTCTCGGGTTGCCGACGCTGGCCATGTAGCGGAAGGGTGGGAAGGGAAGGGTGGAAGGGTCCAACGGCCGTGGTGGAGCGTCACAGCGTGGTGTCTGATGTGCAAACCCTGTCCCTGCACCCAAGGGCGGTGAGGGAGGATTTAGGGCTGGCGGGGCTGCCAATTGGCCCAAGTGGCTTGCATATTCCCACGCGAGATTGACACGATGGACAGGGGCACGCTGCGCGTTGCGACGGCCGGCCTGCGCAGCGGCCTCCCAGCGCCTCCATGTGCCGTGCAGCATCCGGCTCCTTTGACGCTGATTGCTGCGCTGCGAGCGACGCCGCCGCGCCCTGGGGCGCCCCGACAACGCCCTGCGAGCCAGCTCCGCCGTTGCGACCAGCGTCCGGGGCTCCTGGCAAGTGGGCTCCAGGCGGTGACAAGTGCGCTCGAAGCGGCCAGGCGAACCAGTTGCCCGCGTCGTGAACTGAGCAGGTGACCTGTCGCCGTCCCGGGATCGTGGGTCAGATTTCTCCGATTGATCTCCCACTCCAATTCGGACGTCACCCTCAGCCCAGCCGCGGCCCACCTGGCCACCCACAGCCTGTGCAGGGTGGCAGCAGCGCGCACGAAATGCTGCTGACCGCCGCCGTGATTGCCTTAGGCTACTGTGGACACCGTTGCCCGACGCTGCGATGCCGTGAGAGGCAGTGGTGCCAGCGCATTTTCGTGGTCGCACAGCGTTTTCTGGGTCCGCTCGCTGCTGTTGTGACACCATCGGCATCCTGTTCGAGCCCGAGACACAGGAAGGCCGCCGTTTACGGCGCTGGAGACGTTCCAATGGACCACCGGCATGCCGCACGCCGTCCGCACCGTTATCGCTCCCAGCCCAGCGGCCCGCCGTGCAACCGGACCGGGCCCAAGTGGATGGCAGCAGTCTCGATATAAATTGGCGAATGCTCGTGTGCCCGGGTGCTCTGGCTTCTCCCGCGCTTCGATGACTGGACTGTCGCATTCCCACCCCTCGCTCCACTTCCTTGGGTCTGCCGGTGAAGCCGGGGCGTACAGAGTGCAGTCAGGCTGGATTGGAATCCTTTGTGCGCGCCCGTCTGACTGCTCTGGCGCGCTGTCGGATCCTTCCCCGAGGACGCAGTGAGTGTCGTGGTCCCAATCGAGTGCTGGCAGGTCTGTCCGTGACCCTACGCTGGATACATTGAATCTGACTCCACGTGTAACGCTGCATCATTAGCAGCAATCTAGAGCTTACCACAAGGCAGGTGCTGCCCGTCGCTGCCCGATCTGCCATGCCACAGATCAGACTATGTTTCGGATTGAACGGGGACCAAGAATGACGCCATCATGGTGCTCACAGTGCGAGGCTGCGATCGTGAGACTTTTGGTGTTTTATGGGGACGAGTATCGCCTACTCTTAGCGGCCAATCATCGCGTCGCCCGCCGGCTAGCGCTTTCTCAACCCCTCCGCTGGACATCGTGGAAGTGGACCGTCGCGACTCAACGATATGCCTGTACCCGACCCCCACCCGACATTGCTGTCATTCCGGAAGCAAAACTTGCTAGTCGAGTTGTAAGTCAGTCCCATTCGTGGCGTGCTGGATCTGAATGTGCCCAGTTCCAGGCTGCGCGTAGCTCGTTTGGACGGCGTTTTCGTGAGCATCACGCCAGGCGATCCAACGCTCTGGGTAGGTGTCATATTCGTTCGGAAAGGTATGTATTTTTGTGCGCTGTGGAGCTCTTGGAGTGCGAATTCCCAGCACGAACCCACGACTTCGGAGTTTGGCCGAGAAATCTGCAGCACTCAAGTTCTCAGACCACATTAGCTGACGCTCTCTTGTGTAGGGCCATATTCGCCAGCTGTTCTGCGATTCCAGATATCGTTTCCCACTACGTATCCTGCATTGCCACCACTGGTGACCTTCTCGACCGATGTTTTCCACCCTCTTCTGACCCCGTTGACGACCTACACCTACACGACTGGATCGTCGGACACGGACACTGTAAGCGCTACCGACGAGGAGAGACTGCCCCCGGGCGGCTTCAGCCTGCGCCATGGCTTCCCACATTGGTTTGGGCGGGCGCGGAGGAGTGCAGCCAGCTCGCGGAACGTCAGTGGGTCCGGCGTGGGGACTCCTTCAAGGAGCGAAACACCAGTCGTGAGCGAGTCAAAGGGCGATAATGCGGCTGCAGGAGGCTCGTCCCTGCCGGTGGCACCTCGCGGAGGTGTGCCGGTAGCTGCAATACTAAGATACGTCCAGTCGACGTTCAGCGACGAGGCGATACTGGATTCCATACCACTAGAAGCTGCTGCGAACCCAGGCGCGTACCATGCATGGCGGACGTACCGAGCGGACTTCTTGCAATCAAATATCACGCCACCGCCGACGTCCCCATCTGCAGAGTCTAATACAGGTAGCGTCGGAAGCGGTGGTCGGTCAGGGGACGCGGTAGGTGCGGCTCGGGCACGGCGACCGGGAGAGTGGAACTGGGAGGGCGTCTGGGAGGAGCGTGTGAGAAAGGCGGTCAGAGCAAGCCTCTCTGAACCCGTCCTTTACGGAGGCTTGGGTGGAGGCGAAGACATGGTAGTACAGATCTCAATCCCGTGACTTTTGGCAGTGGACTGATCTTGAACAGATTCGCTTTCTGGATGCAGATGATGAAAGCATCACAAAGATGACGAGGCAAATGCAGGCACTCGTTGCGGTTTCGAGTGAGACCTGAAACAGCGTAAACCCTGGCCTGCACAACAGCCATTACCACTGATGTTCGATAAATGAAACATTGACCATGATGACAGCCATTGAAACAGAAAGAGTAGACGTGCATATGGTGATGGCCCTGGGTGTTGTAAACGACGATGTAGATTTTGGTGACTTGGAGCTTCCCGACGTCAAGATAAGGCTGAAATCTAGTGCGGCAAGAGCCGTAGCTTCCACGATGGGCAGCCATCGCTTTCCGGTCCCAATACTGATAATCACTGCTGCCATTCGTTCCATCATCTGTTTTCACCCAGGCCACAGCAAGGTTCAATATCCCACCTCCTTGCTCCCATTACTGAGCCTCCGTCGGCCATGACCCCACTCGCACATTCGAACGCCCAAGAGGACAAAAGTCACGCTCTGCTTTTTCTGTCTGTTGCTCTCTTCGTATTCCTCGTCTGCTGCGCTGTTTTCGTTGCTATTAAGCTTCACGCCGTCAGGAGACAGGCTCCACGGCGTTCGTCTTCGGAAATACTTCGAGCTGAGAATCCTCGGGGCACTCCATCCACCAGAAGCCGCCGTTCGTCAGACAGCCAGTGGACCGATACGACCTCTTCACTTAGTCAAGAAGCCCTGCTTAACTAGGCTCGAAGCGGCTAGTCTCTGCTTGAACGACCAATCATGATACTCCATTCCAGTCCTCATCAACTACAGCCTCAACCTCTCCACTTCGTCAAGCAGACGCCTGCGAGAAGACTCACACGACGCCCTGCGCCTCGCAGGCCATCGGGGTTGCATTCGTATCAACAAAAAGCATCTCAATTCGGGCCGACCACATCCAGTCGGGCTTCGCCAGCGTTCTCGGTCCCATCTCCTATCAATGCATCTGGTGTGATCACGGCTGCGAAGCGCACCGCGTTCGGACTCGAAGCACAAGATATCATCAGCCAGAAGCCTAGCGACACCCCGCTCAAGGTTCGCAAAGTACGAGGCCGTGGAGCATCTGGATCCGACTCAGCCCAAAGCATTGCCAGCAACTCTTCTTACGTAAACCGTAGCAATCCTATAACATCTTACACAGGCCAGGAGGCTGACGCGATATCTGTAAACCGATCGATACAGTGTCTCCCGAGGTCCTCGAGTGTTTCCTTGGAGAACGTCAACCCCGGTCTACATAGCCAAGCAGTACAATCTGCCAGTTCGCTGGGGGAACGAGCAATTATAGCAGCTGGTGGTCAGATCACCCCAAAGCAGATCAAAAGTTCGCCAAGAATAACTCCAAAAAGACGCACATCAACAAAAAGGAGAGTCCTCACGAAAATGTTTGGAGGCTTTCAGACAAAATCGAAGACTCCACCTCGGCAGCGAAGCGGTCAATCTGAAAGCAGTCTATTTCGTAGGCTTTCGGGCAGAAGCGAATCCACTGACACCTCGCGTTCCAAGAGTCCCGCGACCGTTGCTCCATCCACCGAAACACTAATAACCAGCCAGTCGACTTACAATCTACTCGAGAGGTACTTCCTCTCCCCAACGCACAGTCATGATAAGGATCACAGTGTCAATGGGTCCTTCCGATAACGACTAACTCTTGACCTTCGTTCTTACTACGGCAACACATCGTAATAGTTGAATTCATGTTAACATAACTTTCAGTCCGCAGACACCGAGAAGCGACCGCGTTACTTCCGCACCTCCCCCTTCTCCTTCGACCTCAAGTGAGGTCGGATTGCCAAACGCTGGCACTTCTTCACAATCTGTTCTTCCTCTCATCAAGCCTGAATACCCGCCTCTACTGCATTTGGAGCTGAATTTCATTGCTGAGGTGGAGAGCCTTGATTGCAAGAGCGAGAGAAAAATATGGGTAGCTATAGAGGGCAGGGGAGCAGCTGACCCGCCAATCTCTGGGACCAGGAAAAGACAGCTCGGACTGGATGTTGTCATAGTCATTGACAATTCGTAAGTTGGATCTTTCTCTCTGAGCTTTGTTTTGCGTGAGATAACATCGCCAACATCTGCAGTCATACCTCCTCCCAAGAATGTCTCGACAACGCACACAAGAATGTCATTCTTCTAGCAGAGCTGTTGAACCGTCCCAACGATCGACTCGCGGTATTTTGCACGCATTGTCAACACCAGGTCCAGGATTCCGAAAATCTTACCGGATGTCACTTGCACCCCCTACAGGAGCCGTGTGTACAATCCTTGAGAGAGGAGCTACAATCCATCAAAGACCGTCCAATACTGCCCTTCCGACAGTCCCCGCCACTTGACGAGGCTGTTGGTGCTGCTATACGAGTTCTCTCTCAGTCAGCTAGCTCAAGAAGAGAATCATTGCGGGACGGAGCAACTCATGTTTTTGTGTTCTCTGCCACACCTGCGGATTGCCTTCACATAATTCCAGACTTCCCATTTGTTCACATTCACCTTGTTAACCCAAGCTCGATTCCATTTCCCATCCAGCAAGCGTCACTAGGAGCCTGGACAATGTCAACGCTTATCACCGAATTAGACAACTGGAGCGTCTTGAATGTGGACGCCTACGAGGACGTTTCAGATCGGCTGCGACAGACCATCCTCCATGCAAGAAACGGTGCTGTTGTAGGCAATTTGACAGATATCAAGATAAAGATTACACAGAAGCCAGGGTGTGGTCAAGAAGGAGTCATCGGAGAATCATTCAAGGCTGTCGTCAGACATGATCAGAGATTTACCTTAGTTGTTCGCCTCAGGGTGGCTATGGCCTCAACGGGAACACCACTACCTCAGGCCTCACCTGACCCAAAAGAAAAAGCACGGCCTAGGCTCGAAGATGCCATGGCTGAGTTAGAATCGTGTCTTGGAGAGGTCGAGGTGCCCCTTTTCACCGTCCAAGCCACCTATCGACACTCCCTCTTGCCAGAAAACAGTTTCATAGTCACAGAAAAAACTTGCAAGATCCTCAAGACCGATAGCACCGCTATTTGGAGTTTGCCAGCCACCGCTACCACCTCACCACAAGCCGACAACGCAAAAACGGAGCTTTACAAGCGCCTGGCATTCTTCATAGCAACCAGAAGCACCCCAAAAGAAGCACTCAAAGAGTTTGACACCTTCTTCAAACACGTCCATCATGTCGCCGCTTGTCCAGAGTTTGTCAGCTCCGTCCGCAACGAGCTCCACCACCAGATTTTGGTCATTTCCTATCGCGCAAGCATCGCGTCATCGACAAAGTCGTCCTCGACCACTTTCGAAAATCCTTTCCCCTGCCTTGGCCGCTTCTCCTTCGAGGCAAACGAAAAACAGCAAAACTACGTACTCGGCCTGGAACTCTCCCGGTATCGCTCCGCCTCAGACTCTCCAGCGACAGTTATCCACCAACGTACGACAGAGCGCATTACCGAGCATACCGAGCCGGATTCTTCCGTAGATGAGGCGGCACAGATCTGGAGGCATATGCGCAGAGACTCAAAGAGCCGACGCCGGCTACGAAATGGGTCGCATGAGAGTCTTGAACGAATGCAGTCTGCGGACGATCATCTGAGGGAGCTGAGGAAGAAGGCGATTCAGAATAAGAGGAGCATTGGTGCGGATACGCTCAGGAGCTTGAGTATGGCGTTGACGATTCCTACGACACCGGAGAGTGGGGGATCTGTACCCTGGCTTTGAAAGGAGGAAGACTCAGGTATCAGAATCGCATGACCCTATTCCAATAACTTTAGTGTATCGGATGTTTCTCTTGGAGAAACATTCGCCTTAGGCTTCCATCGCTGGAAAACATAGGTAAGTATTATTTTCCCATTGTTTGCCAGACGGTATCCGCGGGTGGAAGCTATGACATGCGGGTCGTATACCACAGAGCATAAAGAGACTCGACATCATGTCCCATCATGGAACCTTTCCATACTATCAACTGGCTCAAGAAGGGTACATCCTACCCTCAATACATACGTTGTTTAGTAAGCTTCTTCCGCTATCATAAATGATGGCACTTTTCAGTTCTATTCGTGCTGTACTGAACGTATGAGTACTTCCCAACTCTACGAGACGTTTCCTCGACATTGCTTGTCTCGAACGATCCGCAACTAGCGGTTTGACTTTTTAGCTATACAAACCGCAGTCATATCTAGCTTAAATACATAGTCTGCTCTCACCTTCCTTTCAGTCACAAGCTTGACAGACAGCCCTCTTTCCGTCTTCTTATCTTAACCACAACACCTTATGCGCAAATCAGCCACCATGCCCGACTCTAACCCTTCCGCCAATCCTTCTCCGAGTGACACATTGAAAAATGATCTTTCTACCAAGGACCCCGGAACCCCCAAACCGGAGCGTACACTATCAGAGAGACCTGCTCCCGCCCCCTCCCCTAGATTCGAAACGAAAGCTACGCCGAAGAATGGAACAAATGATGCACCGATAGACGTCGAGACGCCGGCACCCGATACCCCTAGTAGTGCCCTGCAGTCTGTCGCCGATCGAGCTGCTACGCCGCATCCGAGCAAGCACGACAACTCGCCGCCGTCAGCGGAAGAGAAGAGAAAGCATAAGACGATGCGAATGGGTTCTCCGAGCGCGAGCGTGAGCGCGAAGGATGATAGAGTGGGAGGGGACCCATTCGTCGACACGAAAGATGGTGAAGGCCAGCAAATTATGGAGAGTAGTGCAGAAACTGGTCCTGCATCAGGCACCCCAATCGGAGAAAAAATTGATTTAAACGCTTTGCAAGTTCACATGCAATCCACAATCGACAAATTCCTCCCCAAGAAATCCGGGCAAATCTCCGATATTACTGCTTTCCAAGTAGCAACTCGTATCCGAGTTGTTTGTGTAGATCTGCACTTGACGCAAGAGGAGGCTGTCACGGCCGCTCCAGAACTATTGCGGATGCCCCAACCCGCTTCACCGATCCAGACATCCACTCCGCCAGCTCCTGTACTACCCTAAGGTAGTGGAGAGACGGGTCGTAGGAATGCAGAGGGTCCGGGCGGTGCGTTGCCATCGCCTGCTCCTCAGAAGACAACCATGCGTAGTTCCTTTGGAGGACTAAAGCAAGTTGGACGACTCAGTCATGGAACACCTCCGCCAGCATCTCCTGCCGCCAACACTCTTGCAGCAACCTCACCGAGGCCGCCGCGTGCTGACATTTCGATACTACGACAGTACGTTCCGGGTTTTGGGCAGGCCGCTCCTGGTGGGGCCGTCACACTCCCTGTCTCTGGAACCGCGCAGAACACGATCCCTGACACAAATTCTATGCTCACTAGCGTATCTGAGTATAAAGTTAGTCCAACTGGTACACCTGCCCGAAAGAAATCAAAAGCGGGAGCAGACTCTTACGCCGCGTCGGCGTCAGAAAGTTCCAGAAGGTCTTTGGAGTCTAGGACCCGCTCCAATACACCTGCAGCTGTCCAAAGCACGCCTATTGCTCTTGAAACTGAGAAGGATGAGAAAGCGGAGAGCGAGGATGCGTCGCAGCATCCGGAAGCGGGAGCGGTAGCTGTGAATGTGAAGAAGGAGGATGTTCCCCAGGTTAAGAAAGAAGACTCTGATGGAAAGGGGGCTTGAGAGGACGGTTCTACAGCATGGAAGGAAAGGCGCTAAAACGAATTTGAAATGATCGTGGTTTGACATAGCTTTAGGATCACGGGAGTATCTCTTGAATGACTACGACGCGTGAACGCTTTCCAATTCTCACCGGATGGTTTCTGTAGGTACATGATAGTAGTAGCAAGCTAACAGTTGGTTTGGGACGTGTGAACCGTGCTTTTTTTTTGGCTTGAAATAATCCTACGCTTGCTCATCCTTTGAACTAACCTTGACTTCATCTTGTTTGGTGTCACCCTTTCCAATCAGTCCAGTCGGTGGACCTAACTCTCACGATGTCCGACAACACTCCTTCAGAAGATAAATGCAAACGGCCCCAGGAACCAAGCCCACCGACTGCGAGCGGGAGTGGAACATCGGGAAGAACACCATCAGGACGCACGACTCGGCCATCAGGGCCTACAACTCAGCCACGCCCAACACGTGTTGATAGGCAACCAAGACCTCCTCCAAGACCAGCACCTGCCGAAAGGCCAGCAAGGAAACAAAATCCCCATCGCCAGTTCGACACACCAATGGACAATGCAACTGAAGCAGAGAGAAGCAACGAGCACTGGACCCAGCTCGGCTGCGCCGCCGGCACTTGATGGTGCGGGAAGAATGGAAAAGCGATCGAGGAACAGTGAGGATGCGGAGGCGTCTTTTCAACGATTCCTGGCCTCGGTACAGCCTTGTCTGGCTTCAATGGCATCGGCAGGCCAGACGCAGGAGGAGGGGTCGCACCACGATGAGGGCGAGGAGGTGGAGGACATGGAGGACGCTTACTGAAGGAATCTGGCGGCAATGAATGGATGAAATACGGATGTAACGGGCAAAGATTGAGAGGTCTCGATAAGACAATGGGACTACAGTCCTGCGACATAGGTTTGGGCCCCCTCTCACCACTCCTTGGGGTGCCCCTATGGGCTTTCAGAACTCTGAACACGAAGTCAACGACAACACAGTGGAGACTGGGCAGCCTTTTGACGGGCCGGCTACATGCTAGCTGGGCAACTCCTTACGGTGCTACCGAGCGATCAAGAGTGGAACTCGTGCAGTGGTATATCCGGGTGCCCAGACTTATGACCTAGTACTGTAAATGAAGTAGGATATCGACAGGACTTTAGGTCAGTGAAGGGTAGAAATGCAAAATAAACTTACCGCATCTTGAATGAAGCTAGAATCTACCGGGACCCCTTAATTATGTACTGCTTGTCTACATGATGAAAGAGCATCATAGACGCAAAAACAATGTTTGAGGAGCAAGGGCGCTATTCACCTTGTTGCTACTGAGGAGCGTGAATGAACGGGCCGTCTCAGGGCAGCACACTCTCATCGTACACTTTTTGCGGAGCTGGATGCACCTCCACCACGGCACTTTCGTGGTAGTAGCAGGCTCTATAGTGTCAGTCTAAGAATTGGTGATCATATTCTAAATCTTCTTCTAGGTAGACACTTACCCTAGGTCCATGTACACTAGGCTGGCACTGCTTGAGGCCCCCTGGCACGTTATCATGATTTAGGAAACATCAGGTGTCACACGTTTGATGACTTTTCGGACCACCTCAGACGGAGTTATAGGAGACTGCCACTCTATGTTCAATGAAGCCTGACTGTCCATAAAGATTCCGAGCTTGGGCCGCATGTATTCTATATGTTTAGGTATCTACACTTAGGTCCTGGCTTGTGCGCCTACAAAGCCGAAAAGTGTACGCCGAGAGTGTACTGCCTAGAACTGCCCGGTGAATGAAAGTCATCGAGAGAAGAAAACGACTTTTGATGAGGCAATTTAGAAAAAGTGGATAAGATCCTTGGGATGTAGTGCACTCGTATGAAGCGTCCTTAGCTTATTTGTTGATCGGAAAGTACCTGAAATTCTAATGTGAGGCAGATGAGATGATGTTGAAACGGAGGAAGTTGGCATCTAGGGCATCGGGCCGGCTGAGCTCTTGGCACCGAGGCTCATCCCGATGACAGTCCGTTCGCGATACACTCCTCGGTACCTTTGTAACTTCTTCAACTAGTCCGCGGACACTTTCACTCAATCAAATCTGCCTTTTCTACCGACAACGTACAATACAACCTCCACTTGTTCTCATTCCCTCAGCTTCCCTCGCCTGCCTTGCATCCACCGCCTCGAATTCCCTTATTGGCACGAGAACCCCGCCGCCACCTGCACTTCACCACTTTGGGACCTATAAAGCTTCGCCCAACTTCCTTCCCCAGACATACAAACCGGCTCCCCTCTTTTCACACCACTAGGATACCACACTTCCACACAACAACCAGCTTAGGTGCTCGATCCCCGATTCGAGACGAGCTTCGCATACAAACAAACACAGGCGTGGGGCATGGCAAGCTCGTCCGCGGCCGCCGGGCTGCTAGGCCGGCAGCTGAAGCAGATGCAGGGGGACAAGGACATTCCAGGCATCAGCTGTGGATTGGTGGACAGTAACGTCTTTGAGTGGGAGGTCATGCTCATGATCAACGACGAGTGCAAGTTCTATGGAGGTCAGTGCTCTATACATTTCTCACAACTCGCGACGGACTTTGCCCGACGAAAGGAAGGCATCGAAGGCATAGGACATAGAGCTGAGAGTATCAAGACTGAGGACTGAAACAGGAGGATTCTTCCGCGCTCGCCTGACCTTCCCTAAGGAATACCCGCTCCTGCCCCCCAAGATGAAGTTCGAGACACCAATCTTCCACCCTAATAGTACGTATTCACCTCTCATAACATTCCTTAGCTCGAACTCCTATTGACACCGCTCGCTCAATCAGTCTACAAATCCGGTGAAGTGTGCATTAGCATCTTGCACCCACCAGAGGAAGATAAATATGGCTACGAGTCAGCCGCCGAACGATGGTCCCCAGTTCAGACCCCGGAATCCATCCTGCTATCCGTTATCAGCATGCTCTCGTCACCCAACGACGAAAGCCCAGCGAATGTCGAGGCCGCGACACTGTGGAGAGACGACCCGAAGGAGTTCAAGAAGCGTGTGAGGAAGTGTGTGAGGGATAGCTTGGAAGAGGGCATGTAGGGGAATTAGAGTAGTGGAGTCGTCGAGTCTTCGGACTCAGATGTAGAAGGGTTGCGAAGGCTGTTGATAGGCGGGATTGGGCAACGACTTAATGACATTACGATGTCAGACTCTTGTTCACGACTTCTGGGAGTTTTGGACTGCATTTTACAACACCAAATTTTTGGTTGTCTTTGAGCCTTGCATTGCTTTCGGTTTGCATGGTTTGGCTTATGGCATTGGTACACTGGTATTTTGGTTACTCATCTCCAAATATGGAGAACGCCACTAGGCCAAATTGCAACTAAACCTTCTGGTCATCCCTTCCGAGCAACAACGGAAGTGCTTTACGGCGAGCTCCCAAGTACAGGACACACTATGATGGCATGAATCCAGCATTCGGGTCCAGCAATCACTAACAAAGCTGATTTCGTCTCTGCAGATCATACTAAGAAGTCTAAAATGGTCCCAAAAGTCAAGCGTAGTCTCAATTCTCACGATATCGATCTCGTTTCGATCTAGAAGCCTCAAGAATCCCCCGCCTCTATCCAACATACAACCACAACACTCAAAAAGGCATTCCGCTAAATAATCTTCAGCCCGAGCTATCCCTATCCCAAAGCGGGGCAGCCACTCCGCAGCATCCTCTTCCGGTACTCTATCCGGGTCTCGATCTCCCCACTATCCCGCTTTTCTTGGCCGATATAAAGCTACCCTGCAGCATCTCAGTTCTACCTTCGGAAACACATGACGCACTAGAAAAGTTGAATCTATATTTTTGATTACGGAAATCAATGCAAACATGGCATCCATGCCAACAGACCTCCCCAAAATGCAGTACCGGTTCCTCGGACGCTCCGGACTGCAGGTCTCTGCCATTTCACTTGGAGGATGGCTTACGTATGGTGGACATGTGGATGAAGGTATGTTCAGTGGCGTTTCGTTTGAATTAAGCTTCCCGATTGTATTATGATCACGTGATGTTTTCGTTATTAATCTCGGTTTCTAAGCCACAAGGCGCATTCGCTAAACGGATAAGTTTACCTACAGATGGTACCTATGCATGCCTAAGAGCAGCATATGATGCCGGAATCAACTTCTTCGACTGTGCAGAAGGCTATCAGGATGGTGAGAGCGAGAGGGTGATGGGAAGGGCGATCAAGAAGTTTGGGTGGAAGCGGAATGATGTTGTTGTTTCAACTAAAGTGAGTGTTTTTGGTACTCCTTGAAAGTGGCTTCAGTTTCTTTATTTGTTCTATTTAAGCAAGTCGTATATTACTCATTTCGTGCTTTCGTGAATAAGATCTCTCATCCTATATCTCAAGCAGTCTAAAAGAGAGATTTATACACATTCTTCTAAGTCATTCATCTTCTCCAATCTTTGTTTTAAATTTCCTATATGCCATAATCATAAAAACCCCTTGAACCCAAATTCATGCCCCCAGATTTATTGGGGCGCCGCCCACGGCACCAACCCCGTCAACAACACCGGTCTCTCCCGCAAACACATCCTCGAAGGCCTCGCCTCCTCTCTCACCCGCCTCCAGCTCCCCTACGTGGACCTCGTCTACGCCCACCGCCCAGATCGCCACACCCCAATCGAAGAAACGGTCCGCGCCTTCAACCACCTCATCAACACCGGCCAGGCCCTCTACTGGGGCACCTCCGAATGGCGCGCCGACGAAATCGCCCGCGCGCACGGCGTCGCAGAGCGCTTGGGGCTCATTGCGCCGCTGATGGAGCAACCGCAATATAACATGCTTGTACGGGACCGGGTTGAGAGCGAGTACGCGCTTTTGGTCAAGGAATACGGGATGGGGATCACGAGCTTTAGTCCGTTGAAGGCGGGTGTGTTGACGGGGAAGTATTTGGATGGGATTCCGGCGGATAGTCGGCTCGGGGCTAGTAAAGATAAGTGGGTTAAGGGGGTGCGAGAGGGGGAGGGGAACGAGAAATGGGTGAAGGAGATGGAGGTCGTAAAAAAGCTGGGCCCGGTGGCGGAGAGGCTGGGGACAGATCGGGCGGGGTTGGCGCTGGCGTGGGTGCTGAAGAATGAGGCTATTTCGAGCGCGATTACCGGGGCGTCGAGGCCGGAGCAGGTTTGGCGGAGTGTGAGGGCGTTGGAGGCAGTGGAGAAGCTGACGATGGAGGTGGTGGAGGAGATTGAGGGGATTTTGGGGAATAAGCCAGATGAGATTGTGATGAGGTTCTGATTAGGGAGAAAAGGAGAAAAGATAAGGTTCTTAAGTTCCCATTTGTGGTTATAGATGCTGAAATACGACGACTGCTCCAGCAGTTCATAGTCACCTGACCTACATGTTACCTCCTTAAATCAAGACATAAGACGTCAACTGCTTGATACAACTCTGGACAGTGAGAAAGCTTGAAGTGTGAGCCATCAAATCGAGCGGGATATTGTGGGAGTACCTCTGCGACAAGCCACCTGGACAGCTGTGACGCCAAAAGGTGAAAGATTGTGGCTTGACACCGTGAATCGGTCTATATATTTGGTTTAATCCTGCCAATCCTCAACTAACTCGAACAGCAAGCCGGTCGGCTCAGTTGGTTCAGCGCCACCAACGAGTCCCTACCAGAGTTGTGAGTTGAATCCAGCCCTTGTCATGGCCCTTTCCCGAAGAATCGTCTGAAAGGGCGCAGCGAGGAAACAGTAAGTCCATCACGGAGTAAACTGCCCGAGGTTTCTACACTCTCCACGAGGAGAGTGGTCTTTTGCTCCTGGAGTATTCTTTTTGGATACTCTTAACACTCTTCCTACTGCTTTCTTAATCGCCTACCTGTGTCCAACAACATTACACTATTAAAGCGCCTGCCTTCGCTCGAGGTATCCGCAACATCATCTTTAAGCCCTGTATTGTTACTAACGTACCTAATTCAAATTAAGAGTTCAGACCCTATAATTCTCCCTGGCCCAAGTCTCAACATCAGTAACCTCCATCCCCCACCTCCTATTGACCGTCTCCTCCTCGCCCCAACTAACCCCTTTCCCCTCCGCAAACACAATCCGATACTTCCTCATGACACTCTCCGGCTCCCTCCCCAGCTCCTCCTTCAGGAACTCCACACTCCACACCTCCCTCCTCAACCCCCTCCCGAGCACCCTCTCCACCACCCCCGCCAGCTCCCCATAACTAATCGTCTGACTAGCCGCATAAACCACCCTCTCCCCCGCCTCAACCCCGTTAGGCTCACAAACCAACCTCGCAGCAATCCTCCCAATATCCTCCACCGTCGTAACCGTAACTCTATTCTCCCAACCTCCCAACGCCCTCACCACGACTTCCTTCCCCTTCCCCTTCCCCTCTTCCTTAACCGTCTCCACAACCCCAAACGCCCCCTCAAACAAAAAGCTCATAAAAATTCCCGTACTCACCACCATCCACTGCACCCCCGCCTCAGTCGTCTCCGCGCGCAACAACTCCTTCACAGCCAACTGCTCGCCAAATAACGGCATCAAGCCCCCCGCATCCCCAGTGACATCGTAATCAACGCCCCATTGCCACGGAAAAAACCGCAGCGGCGCTTCTCCGTTCTCTTTTCGCAGCTTCCCCGCGGCGAGCGCCGCGCGCGCGATGAGGAGTTGCGAGCCCGGGGGTAGGCCGAAGCCGTTTGCGCAGATGACGACGGAGAAGGCGGAGAAGTGGGTGGCGAGGGAGGCCGGGGTGGCGGTGAGGAGGTCGAGGGGGAGGAAGTTGATTTTGTGGGGGGTGAGAGAGGTGTATTTTGAGGGGTCGCGGACGGCGAGGGTGAGGTTTTGGGGGTTGGGGAAGTAGGGGAGGAGGGCGTCGAGGATGGCGGTGCCGAGTTCGCCGGCGCCGAAGAGGAGGATAGAGGAGGGTGGTGTGGTGGACATAGCTGGATGGAGGCCTCTGGAAAGTAGAGAAGTGGTGTAATGATTGTTGAATAAAGGTGAGAAGAAGAATCGTGATGTAGGGATGCTTCGAACAAATTAAAGCGGAACTGAAGGAAGCTCTTAGAGCCCGTTTTGTAGTTACTCTGGACAATTTTATATGATACTTACTATGAGAGACGGTGGAGATAATTATTTCTAGCATCTCGGATTTAAGCGTTATTAGCGTCGTTGGTCGTCTACGGACGTAGATATATTACTCAGCAGACTGTTGAGAGTGAGACTGACGGTGAAAGGTCTGTCTCTGTGGCAAATAAGCCACGAGGCAAAATTGATTTGATAATTTGAATGCTACCTACGAGTACCCTTCCGCGGATGGCTTTCTCCCTCTGGTCCCTATCCTACATAAACGCCTTGAAATTCCTTTTGATGGTATAGAGCCGACTTAGAAAGAACCGTCGTCCCAGAGCAGTTGCACGACTATTCATACTGGGAATCCAGAGCAGAGACACCACCGTTGGCCCATGATTTTCGGATGAGCTCGTAGACAGGCACTCGAATCTTAGATCGAGATTAGCTGTTGGTACGAAAACCGTAATCTGAGCCTTAGACCGAAAGATTCGAATATCCTTGGTATCTTGTAGGGAGCGATCCTTTCGATGCTCGTTGCGGCCCTCACTGTCCTCCATGCGGCGGTCCACCCATTCCTGGCGGTGGGAATCCTCCCGGAGGCGGTCCACCCGGTCCACCCGGTCCACCCGGTCCACCCGGTCCACCTTGGAACATCATGTGTGGAGGAGGCATTCCCGGCATACCAGGCATGCCACCCGGCGGAGGGAATGGCATACCGCCTGGGGGTGAACCGGCGTTCGGAGGGAAAGGAGGGAAAGGCATCGGCGGGCCTCCTCCCATGTTCGGAGGCGGGAAGGGCATGTTCGGTGGCATGCCTGGCATACCTCGATTCGGTCCAGCTATTGTGAGAAAGTGCTGTTAGCTTGAATACATTAAATGATGGGGTGTAACGAAAATTCCGTAGAACTCACGTCCACCTTGGCCTGGGGGCATGAAAGGCGGTGGAGGCATCCCTGGCATGCCTAGATATGAGAGTTAGCCAACTTCTCTCAGCGACTGCACAGCTTCGGGGCAGAAATTACCACCAGGGAAACCAAACGGCGGTGGGGGTCCTCCAAATCCACCGGGTCCAGGTCCTCCCATGTGTTGTGATTGCAGCATCGGATTTTGGTTCTGCTGGCCCGCGTCCGCATACGATGAGGTGATTGAGTCGATGACGCTCTGCGCTTTCTCGTGGCCAATTTCTGCGATATCCATGAGCCTTCATCCACTTTTATATTCAGTCTCGGGTAGACGTACGCTGGTAGTAGTCGACTACATTTCGCAAGTGGTTTCGTCCACTGTTATGCGCTTTTCGAACGCTCATCGAGTCGTGCGTGAGGTAGACATCGCAATAATCGCCTTGATCCTACTGTCAGTCTGAGAGTCTTGCAGTGCGCGTTCGAGATGAAGTCGTAGTTTTCGGGAGAGACCTACAGAAGAGTGCGGAGGAAATTAGTTACGTTACGCATAGCTTCAGAGAGTTATACTTATATTTTGGCATCTTGGAGAGAGTGTTGAGAGGCTAGTGTCTACGTGAGATTTGTTGAAACTGATCGCAGTGAAGTTCTAGGTGGATGAACTTGATGCGCTTGCGACGCGGCCAAGAAGTTTAGCCAAGGCTGCTTGGTCATCAAATATAATAGCGTATTGAATCTAGCCAACTTTAGGCCTCCACTTCACAGCTTTCACTACAACTAGCCACATCTCTGAATCCATTGCGTTTATACTTTCCTTTAAACTTTGTTTAAACGCCCAAGGTTCAGAGATGTCACTATATCACGCAAAGTCCTATAACTTGAAAGAATCATTACATCCCGAGTCTATTAGACAATCGGAGATACTCTAATTAATAAACTATACAGGATGTGTTACAACAACAAGGAGACGTTTGAGTATTGGATGCCGCTTTTCGACAACAAAAAAAAAAGGAATTAGTGTCCCAGCAGGGGTCTTAGCAAAAGATATCCAGCGCCAGACCGTCCTAGTCAAAGCAGATACAGAAAGACGGGCCTATGCAATCAAAATCAAACCCATCTATCCCAGCATAGCAACGTACCAACCGCTCGCTTTGAAATCCTATACATAATTAGAAAGGCCGTATCGACCATCACTACGTTTCGCGCTACTGGTCAGCCTTGTGCAACTCAGCCTTGTGCGACTCCCTCGTCTTCTGCCTGCTGAAGCTCTGGGTGCGTTGCCTTATCATGCTGCCTCGGCTCTTGACTGGCTCTAGAGTTGGGTCGGGCGCTGCTTCAGTCTCTTCCTTCTTCACTCTTGGCACACGAAGAAGCCAGTAGAAAGCTAAGGCCGCAAAGACGTTGAAGATGATGTACGCCCACATGATGCCAAAGTTGCGCCACGCCTGGTCCCAGTAGCTGACCACACTCGCAAGGAAGACGTTGGTGTCTGAAATCTGGCAGTAGCTGCAAGCCTCAGTAGCGTTGGGGTTTTGGAGCTTGCCACCCATGGTGTTAATGTAGGGTGCCATGAATTCCCAACACTGTCCGGTGGTAGGGTTGAACTTGAGGAATTCGTTTGAAGCGCATATGACCTCTGTGTTGGCGACGGCAGTAGAGAGCATGCCTGAGATTAGGTAGGTGAATGGGGACACGCGGTACATGAAGATCCAGAAGCCAGGGAGAGCCGATGGGGTTGCTAGGACACTGTCGGCTGTTAGCTACAAGTGTAGAGAAAGAGTAGGCGAGGGAAACATACCCGCAGAAGATGAGAGTAAACGAGAAGACCATGTTCGCAATATTTCCTCCCGCCTCAGCAGTCTCGATACCAGCGATACACATATGCGTGAAAGTGCTGGTAAAGAGAAGGAAGGTAAGAATGAAGAGGAACATGAGGGCTCCACGCTCGTGAACCGAGTCGGTAGGCTCGGCGTTCCGGTAAAGACCGATGGGATAGTACCAGCAGAAGAAGATGACAATGGCCATAAGACCGTTCCAAGGCAGCTCCACGATGATGTTGGACAACATGAACGCCTTCCAGGAGTAGGCCTTGGACGGCCTCTCTCGAACTTCGTAAAGCGCACGTTGCGTGACGAAGTGCGGCATGATCTGTTGTACCAAGTTGCCGAAAATTGTCATCAACATGAAGATGGAGAACATTTGGTTCTGCAGGCCTTGAATACTGTTGCGGGCCTTGAAGAACGAGAAACCGATGAATAAGGCGGAAAAAAAACACAGGGCGAACTTCGCGTAGATGTAGGAAGGCGTGCGCCAGTACTGCTGGAAGACTCGGACCGTGACCTCCTTCATCTGTGCGCCGAATGGTGCGGCAAACTCCCGGTAAGCTGCCTGTTCCTCCTTCCTCTTCCGAGAAGCAGCAGAAGCGGTGCGCTGGAGAGCTGTCGCAGCAGGCCTTTCTTCTTTGAGTGCAGCTAGTTCCTCATGGACCTCTTCGATTTCGGGGCTGTTGCGCCAAACTTCGGGCCAGTCAATCTCGGTCGTGGTTCCTGGAGCAGCGCCAATAACTTCGAGCATCCATTCAGCCGGATTGGCCTCGATGGGACAGGGGTGGGCACCGTTCCTCTCGAAATAGTTGCTCAGAGTCTTAGAGTTTTCGCCAATGTCGCCAAAGTAGACGGTCTTGCCGCCCCTAGCAAGGAATAGTAATCGGTCGAAACGTTGGAACAACATAGCAGATGGCTGATGAATGGTGCAGAGAATAGCTTGTCCGTTCCTGGTCAACTTGTCCAGAAGATCCAGGATAGCCCAAGAAGTTTGACTGTCTAAGCCGGATGTTGGCTCATCGAGGAATAGAAGGAGAGCGGGCTTGGCAGCCAATTCGACACCAATTGTCAATCGCTTGCGCTGTTCGACGTTGAGCCCTTCACCAGGAACACCGACAACTGCATCAGCGTAGTCTTGCATTTCCAAAAGCTTGATAACCTCTTCCACGTAATCCAACTTTTCCTGGCGGGGAACATGAGCAGGCTGGCGAAGCAGAGCGCTGAAGTTAAGGGCCTCCCGAACCGTTGACGTGGAAAGATGTAGATCTTGTTGCTGGACGTAGCCGGTCTTACGTTGGAATGAGGCGTCACGTGGTAGGCCGTCCACCAGCATTTCACCACTGATAACTCCCATAGTGGTACGAGTAGCAAGACAGTCCAAAAGAGTGGTTTTACCGGCGCCGGACACACCCATCAAAGCGGTAAGAGTACCTGGTTTCACCCAACCGTCGACGTGGTCCAGAATCCTGCGGGGCTGGCCTTTAATCTTGATGTCATAGCAAACGTTCTTCCACTGGAAGATGGCAGTTTGGCGTTCGATAATGGCAGTATGATCCTCGGTATTGGAGGCGACGACAGCACGGCTAGGATCAGCGGATTCGGCATCGCCGCCCTTTTGATCCAAGAACTTATGGCCACGACGGAAGACAAGGACCTCACCCTTGGATTTCTTTGCAGTGATGTATTCGGTTGCGGCAAGATAACAGCACATGAGACCGAGCATGAAAACGAACAGAATGCCGAGGTTCCTCCACTTATGGACGTGATAGTATCCAAAAGCGCTGTTGATGTAATGGTCTCCATTCACAGTGGCTGAGCCAGGAGTCGATCCCACCTGAGAGCAGATCTGGTTGGTGAGAGTGATGCCTTCGTATCCCTTGCCTGAAGGGACGAAAACAGAGCACGAGTAGTTCTGATTATGGAACTCGTTGATCATGAGGGACTCAAATCCGTATGCAACAGGGTCCAGATAATTGATCCATCGTGACCAGCCAAGCATGTATCTTGTTGGAATCGTGAAGCCAGTGTAGATGACCAGGGCCAAGATCAAAACGGCTGCGGGAGCCATGGCTTGAGATAGAGTCCTTGAAATGGAGGCGATCGTCCGGAACAGCATGGACATGACCAAGGTGAGTACGAACGAGATCAAGATGAAAAAGAAGAAGGCTCCTGGTTCTCTGCGAAGATTGGTCATGAAATAGAGAGCCATATTGAAAGTAAAGGCGTTGAGGATCTTGTACGGCATGTCCGTCAGCATGGAAGCCCAAGCCTCGCAAGACGGGTGATAGAGGGCATATCGGGAGTGTTTTTCGACAATGGGACGTTGTGCATAGAGCGTGAGAATCTCTAGAGCACTACCAAATGCGTTCATCAAGATGGCAAAGAAAAGGAGGGCGCCCCGTGAGTAGAAACTACCAGTGTCGTGTTTCAGGTTGTAGAAAACACTGCCAATGATTAGAGCGAAGATAAAGTTGCCGAATAACATGGTCAAGGTCAGACTTGGATCGCCCTTGAGTCTTTGAAGGCCTCGCCAAAGGCAGAGACGGACTTGTTGTCCATATGATAGCGTGTATGGAGATGTGACTCGCTGTCTCTTGGCCTGTGTGGCTCGTCGCGACTGCTTGAATTGCTCGAAGCTCTCGCCTCCAATTGGATACTGCTGGTCGTAGCGTTCGATGGCCTGGAGGAGCTCTTTTCGGTTCTGGCTGTCCTTCCATCGCTGCGCGTACTCGTCGGGAGTCCTCGGAACACGAGCTTCCCAGCCAGGCTGAACAACACGCTCCAACGGGCTGGTCATGGAGGTCAAGAAATCAGCAGTGGTTTGTCGGTCAGGGCAGATGAATCCCATGTCCGTGAAATACTTCTTCGCTTCTCCAGTCCGGCCGAAGAAGATCTGGCGTCCCTCGTAGAGCACGAGGACCTTATCGAAATGATCATAGGCCGACTGAGGAGCTTGGTAAATGGCAACGCAAGCCGTGGCGCCTTGGATGTCCGTCGCCATGCGCAGGGTCTTACAGAACTCGATGGCATTGGCACTGTCCAGACCACGGGTACTGTTGTCCCAGCATTGCAAGGGAGCACCGCTAAGGGAGGCCTCAGCGATACTGACACGCTTGCGCTCTCCACCACTGACGCCGCGGATATAATCGTTTCCTACGCGTGTGTTGATGGTGTGGGAGATGCCAAAGATAGCCATGATGACGTCTCGCATGTGCTCGGCAAAAGTGTGTTTATCGACTCCGCCGGGAATGTGGCGGGGAGCTCTAGCCCGCGCGGCGAAGGTGAGGGTGTCGCCAACGGTAAGCATGGGGAAATGGACATCGACTTCTGCGGTGTAGATGGCCTCTCCGCGGAAGTCATGGTTCATGTGTTTGGCACTGATGCCTGCAGAAAGAGACACAGGTTAGCGTATGATAATGCCGAGAGCACTGGAGACTCACCCTGATAGTTGAGATAGGAGTTCGGTTCCACGACGAAGCCGTGAGTTTCGCCGGCAATCGTCTTGAGGAAAGTGGAACATCCAGATCCAGGCGGGCCCAAGACGACAAGCATCTCCCCGCTCTCGACCAAGCCATCCAGGTTTTGGAGAATGTCGATTTTCCGCTGCTTAGACCGTCCCAGGAGGGTCTTCACAATGCCAATTCCCTCAAACAAGACATTGCCTACGCTTTTTTGGTAGTCGGTGGCAGAGCCAAATCCGTGGACGTTGAGGTTCTTGAAAGACACGCCGGCAGTTCTCATGGGAGCTGCCTTCTCGTCCGACTTGTGGAGATTGAGCATAGCCCTCGCCCATGCTCTTGCGCTGAAATGCTCGCCATTGGGATCTAGGGCCGAGTTGGGCTCGGGTTCGAAAGGGTCCTGTCCACTCGCGGAGAAGGTTGAGGCCTGGGTCAGTCGACGGGCCAATTGGTGGACTTGAGCTTCTCTCCGCTCGTCTTCAGAGTCGTCCCCGGCACTGCTGGACTGCCTCTTCTCACCCTTCTCGTCAGTGGCAGCTACACCATCGCGGGACACTGGCTCTGGCTTCTCAGGCGATAGAGTGGAGGAGTCGGAGGCGACGTCCGGGCCTGACTCGGAGCGCTCTCTGTTGACATTATGGGTGACCTGGGAGGTTGCAGTATGATGCTCCTCCTGCTTGTCAGTGTTGCCAAAGGCAAAGTTGCCGACGAGCGACATGGTGAGGAAAGGTGGATGGCGTTGCGGCCAGAGAGCGACGAGAAGGAAAACAACACACCACGGACAAACAGGGCTGACACAAATTGAAAGGGCTCGGGGAGAGCAGGGTTGGAAAAGTACATATAGGTTGGCTATCTACGTAGGGAGCGCTAGCCAAGGCAATTGCATGGCATCGAAGCACACCGAAGACGGCCAGGGTGTTGTTGTATTTTCCGGATGTCTTTGCTGGGAGCGCTCCGGCAACGCTGTCTTGGGCCTGGTGCGCGAATCACGCTGGTTCGCCGCCTGCTGACATGGCGAGTCCATGAGGGTCGTCGCTGCTCGTCACCGGATGCCCGCGACGCCGCTACCCGAGGAGGCGTGCCGCGATACTGCAACAGGGCATAGCCAAGCCTCGTTTTGCAAAAGCAGTAAGGTGCACGGGCGTTTTACCGCGGCCGCTTGCTCGTCGCGTGCAGCTCTGCCGCTGCTCGGGAAGCCCTCACTTCCGCCAGTGTGGGGCCATCAAAAAGGGTCCATATATCGCCCCTTGGCCCTCGCCCGCCGCGGACCGGCATCTTCTGCACAAAGGGCCACGATAAAGACGGACGAACGCCGCACAGATTGCTGGCCTTGGCCGAAAAGGAGGCCTCGCGTCCCACAGCCTCAACTCTCCACCGCGGCCAGGCCTGGACGCTACCTGGGTCGCCCGTCTTGCTCCGGTTGCACAAGCCGAGCTGTCACGTGCCTTGGCCGCCGCCTTGCTCGCGCCGACTTTCTCACGCCGACCTCCCTGCCGCGCTGGCGCAGTGGGCTTGGTTGTCGCGGGACGGGCACGAGTTTTCCGACCGCCCCGCCATGCGGCCTATCACGCTTCTCAGCCGCTGACGATGCTAGCTTCTCGAATGAGCATGGCTTGCCAGCATCACCGCCATCAATGTAACCCTCGCTATACCATCTATCTTGCCCTACGGAGGAGGATACACGCACACACGTACATATCCACTCAATCAGTCAGGCGGGCCCTCTTCACCCCGCTTCCAGCTTCACCAAGCTAAATCTTCCCCAACTAACTCGGCCTGTCCGGGGACTCGGGCTCTCGGATCAGCTCAACTTCAACATCACTCTACTCCTCGCCAAGGGGGACAGAGCAGCGGGTGAGGCCAACGGCAGATCCGCCCGTGAGCCCGTTTAGGCGGCGCGCCCGTCAGCGTCAGCATTTACTTCAACACCCCACCTCTCACGAAGATGTTGCAGCAGACGCGACCCGGGCAGAGCGCTGAGGGGCAACCACAGACCGCTTGTTCGCTGGTCGCCTAAACTGCTGCAGGGCTGTTAGGCCGCCACCGACATGCGGCCGATCCGGCGGCTGGCGATGAAACCTTGAATCCAAGACATCTCTTACGTTTTGCGCTTGAGGTAGGGTATCAGCTTTGCATTGAAGTGATCAGCTCACTTCAACCATTTTGCCACTAACAAGGCATAACAGGCGCGAGGATATGCAGGTGAGTCTAGAGGACAGTGAGGATTGATAGCAAGGTCGATAGAACTATGATTGGTAAACCTTCTCCACAATAAATCTATGTTCTCACGAACCCCTGAAACATTGATCGTGATAATCTCATTCGCCTCTAAATTGCCACATCTCCAGGGCCCATTCAATTGGTAACCACAGCAGCGGGTCGCAAGAAAACCGTCTCCGGGATCCGCGAGGTAGACAAGATATTCACCACCCCCATAAAGCCCATCTACATATCTCGCATCGTCATAGACTCTTTGCGTTAACCTCGCCCCGTCTCGAGGTCCTATTTGAATGGCAACTCAAGAAAGACGCTCGCTCTGAGCACCATACCACCTCGACCCTGCGAGGATGAGATAGATTGCGCCATAATGCCTTCTAAAACAAATACGTCGACTTGACGGCTCTTCTCCACTCTACCCATCTCACGAACTAGCTTGCCTCCTGGCTTCCTATGACCAGGCCCCAGCCCCATACTCCTTAAGATACGGCTTCGATTGAATGTCTACCTCATTGCCTCCCGCATACTAACATTCGTCACCATTGGCTCACACCAACAACGCAGCTCGTCCGTTTCGCCGTCCGGCCTCCCCTGCTCCCCCACCCAATAATACTCGCCTCCATCTCCATCCCGGTCAAACTCCCGACCGCCCGACCCCGCGTCTAGGGATCTTCGGCTTCTGGAAACCTGGTATCAGCTTTTGTGCCTTCGAGCGCTGACACCACGCGAGACCCTATTCTAGAGCTTTCTATTGAAGGAGGCACATACTCTTTCTAGGCCTTTTTACACTTGCTTGGCACTGCTTAAGATCCTTCAATACATTATTGAAACTTGTGAGCCGATAGTTTTCGCTAACCTGACAGCTGGGAGAGCTATCGCAGATGGCGTTGAACTGCGACTCCATGTTCAATGGAGCCCAACGTGCCTATCCAATGCAGAATGTCTCGACACCATGATATCAATTTTCCAAGGTTCAATACTTGGACATCCGCCTACAGCCTGCCCACACAATACCCGCCACCTACCCCTCCACAGAGATATCAAAACCCGAGAAATCGGGTATTGTGCATATGGCCAGATGCACGAAGTATCTCGTGACATGACGTTATAGTGCAGAAAGTCCAGCAGCAAGAACAAGATACAGTACCATCATGACCGAGACTTGAACAAGACAGGGATCTGTACTTCTTTGGGATAGGGCGGCGCCTGTTCCTTGTGCTTCCAGTCCATTTCTTGTTGAAATACATGCGGCCAACGTCGAGCCACAAGATGGTGTTACCTCCGGTGATACTTGGGTGACGCGTATTAGGATTAGGCTCCGCGCACTTTGATTGCTCCAATAGTGTGGATCGCCTGGATGGGAACCAATACGTCTTTTGTAGTGGCGTAGTAGCCGTCTTCGTGATAGAGTAGTAGCACTTCGTGTCCTGCGGCTTCCAATGGGCTTCTTGCTGGCTCTTGGGAACGGCGTCCTGTGGGACCATCAGATTCGCGCTCGATCCATCATTGACACAAACCACATCACATGCCATGTCCAATGCACAAGATCTTAGTCTTGAATCTTATCATTAATTCTCCTTCGTCCAAATATTGGATCTCCTACGCCTACAACCTGACTGTACAACACGCCAGCACCTAACACTCCTAATCGCTTCCCTACAAGGAGACCAAAACCCCGAGAAATCGGGCCATGTGTGCATGCCCAAATGTATCCTATTCGTGACGTGACGTTATGGTGCATAAACCAGAGAGTAAGATCCGAGAGAGACCTCAGCCCATCTAACATTTGACCTATCCTGCGCCAATTCTAACTCCCACAATGCCCGGCCCGTCACGCGCGCAAAGAGAAGTGCGCAAGCGAGTAAGTGAGTGATTAAACAATCCTGCATAGAAAGTAGACGTGAAAGGGAGAAACTGGAGCTTCAGCCTTAAAGAAGCCCTGCAAAGAAGGAAGGAATCTCGCGCGAAAGGAGAGCCGTGGGTTACTGCTGTGTCCGAATTCCCATGCAAATATATACCGATAAGCCGCATGCCCTTCAGACCGCCTCTCCGAAAAACTGGCTCGCCTGGATGATATCCTTATCCCCATTCGCAAAATCCCAACCCACAATCGTCGGGTCTTGGCTACAGCAGATGATGCGCCGGGCATCAAATTGTAGTTTGAAGACACGCGAGTTGACCTGGCCGCCGACGGGCTGCGGAGCCGGATGGTGGTGATGATGGTGGTGGTGAGGCGCGGGGTTAGGATTCTGCTGAGGAGGGCCTTGTACTGGCTGAGCTGGCTGGGCCGTCGCTGCTGTTGTGGCAGCCGCGGGCTGGTGTGGGAGATTCGTGGTGGTGGCAGCGACGTTGACCGTTACCGTTGTTGTGTGGCCTGCTTGCTGGCCGGCCTGAGCGGCGGCTTGGAGAGCTTGTGCATGCTGGAACAGCTGAGCTTGTGCTGCGCTCTGAGCCGTCGCATGCGCAAGAGATGCCTGGTGCAGGTGTGAGTTATTAGCAACGCCATTCTGTATTGGCACAGCCTGCGGCTGATTCTGGTTGACAGCGTTGACAGCCGGTATCGGTGGGTGGTTGTGAGTGACCGGTCGTCGAGGACGGCCGCCTGCTGCGCGAACAGCCTCGTGCTGGAGAAGCGTCTTCGAAGGGGCCCATCGCCCATCGTTCTCGCGCTTCCAGATAATCACAGTCTCGTCGTAAGAGCCAGACACAATTCGGGCCCACCGGCTAGACCCGCCGCCAGGGGGAAGCTTGGCGCCAAACGCGAAGATATCCTTGGGATCTCGGGAGCCTGCATTCCGCGCGCGACGCTGCTCTCTCGTGAACTCGGTAGGGACAAGCCCCTTTTCACGAGCCTCGAGGAACTGCATGTCAATGGCCTTGGCTTCGGCGGCCAGCTCCTTTTCGTTTCCAGGAAGATCGCTAAACTGGGCCTGCACTGTGCGGACCAAGTTATTGTGTCCCTGCAAGCAGGCAACCTCTGCCCCGGTCTCGCTGCAGAAGATGCGCACGGTCTCGTCACTGCTGCCGCTCACGATCCGCCGACCATCGTACTGGACACATGCAATGCCCTTGGTGTGGCCGGTGAAAGTCTTGATTGAAGAACCATTGCGCACATCCCACACCTTGATGCTACGGTCACCCGATGCAGACACGATCCGGCCGTCGAGAATCTGGATGGCGTTGACAGCCGCCCCATGTCCTTCCAGTGTCATAATGAGACTGTAGGGTTTTAGGGACTTGGCGCGCAGAGTCTGACCTTCTACCTGCTGCTGCAAGTTGATAATGTACGAGGGGAACCGGGCGCCAGCAGTCGTGGTTCTGGGATATGCATCATCTGTTGGCCGCAGCTCCTTGCGGTTCCACACCTTTATTGTTTTGTCTTTGGAGCATGTTACGAGATATGTATCATCGAACCGAAGATTGAGGACTGATTCTGAATGCGCCTTTTCTAGCTTCTTGATTAGTTCTCCAGTCGAGAACCGCCATAGGAGCACGTGACAGTCGCTGCCACCCGTGATCACGATGTCCTGCTCCGGCCTCTCGTCGAATTGTAAACACAGCACAGATGCCGCGTGCCCAACCAGAGGCGGCTGCACTAGTCGTTGCGTGTCCAAATTCCAGATCCGGATCGTCTTGTCCCGGCTTCCGCTCACTAGATATTTACCAGAATATTGTATTGTGTACACGCATTCCGTGTGAGCTTCCTCCTGGTGATTGGGGTGTGGCAGCTGGAAGTTTGAGTAGCGTCCAGAATTCCAATTTTCCTCCAGTCTCCGCTTCTGCTTGTAAAGGTATTGCCAGTTGATCTTAGCGTCGGGGCTTGAAAGTATGAGTGAAGGCTTCACTGGCGGGTCCAGGGCCATCGGCGAGATAGAAGCTATCGAGTTGGAGGTTTGGGGAGACATTGTGGATTGATCTCCGCCCGGGATATCATGGAATGCAACGTCTTGCATCTTGTCGTCAGTGCCATTAGTGGTAGTGTCGTCAGACTCCACAAGGCCGTGCTGCTCTCCCCACGCTGGCGTGCCCTCCTGTGAACCGTCCAAAGTGAGAGGCTGAAGGCGATTATGTATGCTTCCATCCGTCGCAGCCCCATCCCCGAACAGCGGTTTCTCTCTAATGCGTTTCTTGTGTGTTTGCGGTTCATAGTCCATATCTTCAGCCGTTCGTGCTCGCGTCTTGCGCTCCTTCATCTCCGCCTTCCGCAGCTTCTCCGCTTCCTCATATTTCCGGACTTGCTGTGTATTCGACGTCCAACCTTCTAATCCAAACAGTAGTTTCCACAAGGGGCTATCCAGGGTTCGAGATCGCCACGATCTGGACAGAGTCGAGGCGCGTAATAGGGTCTCTGGGTCCAAATAGGAAAATATCTGGAAAGTTACTTCAGGCGGAAGATAGATGACCGGATCCAGATGTAGCAGAGGATTCAGCCTCTCGACCAGGCCAGCTATGGATGACGTCTGCAGTGAGCGGAGGATGGCATAGCAGAATTCTACGATTATCAGTATTAATGATGTTGACATTCTCGCCATGGGGCTCGTACCGCTGCGTTCGCCCTCACTCATGCCCAGTATGTAGTCCGGCAGAACATACTGGGCTTCTTGGTCAAGCCCTTCGCCTAACCTCGAGTCCGTTCGCATTACCGTGTCGCTCCCCGTCTGGCTGCGAGTCTCCTCGGAGTACCCCTCGTCGATCTTGAAGGACGAGTTTATCATCGAGGGTGCCCGGAATGTGGGGGTGTATGGCGAACTACTGAAGGGCCCTGCGCTCGAGTTGGGTATAGACGCGGCCATGTCGAGAACCAGTTGGTTCCGAGTGGCAAGGAGAATACCGTTGGGCAGCCTTTTCAGCTTGTCGGAAGTTGTGTATATGATGGGTCGTCTATAGATTCGGCGCTTCGGCGCGGTGCACCTTCGGGAGTCTCTCCGGCGTCGGAGTGTTTGTTGGGGTCTTTGTGTGTAGGCTTCGCGATGTAGTGTCGGGCCTGAGGGAGTGAACTGGTCAGAAGCGGGTTAGCCTTCCAGCAAAAGAGGCCGATCGGTGAACGGAGGTGCAAGGCGAGGAACAGCGCTCGACGTGGGTGGGAGTGGTATGTACAGGCACGGTGGGAGGCTGACTAGGGCTCGTGGGCTCAGGCCGCCGATGCGGCTCGGGTGTGGTGGCGCCAAGGGATATGGGTGTGGCGCTAACCTAATGTGGCCGTTCTAAATCACGAGCCAACACTCAAGGGTTCGGAATGGTTCAGCATGACCACCATCTAAAATGCTTCACTCTAAGATCTTCACGTAAAAATGTAGACAGTACTTCGGTTAGTTGTTTTAGCATCATGTAAGCGACGGTGCTAGAAACCTGCGGAAGAAAGCCATGCAGGCACGCTGGGCATGAAAAAGTGGCAAGTATTCTACTCAGCCCGTGTGTATACCTGTCTGCCACTGTATGAGATGCTTCAGCAATTTTCCACATAGCCCAAAGTGAAGGGCTTCTATCTCGTTCCAATTCCTGAAACTTCTCTGAAGCACCCCCAAGCAGTGGCAGACAGATGTACACACGAGACGGCTTGTTCTAGAATGAGTGTGCCACCTTCACCTTTTCCATGCCCCGCGTGGCAGGATACGGATTTTTTGAGCTTCGATCACTAAACAGGAACATGCACTTCGAAATTCGAGTTGCCGTTCATCTAAGTTTGATTGTTGCTCATTAGTGGATTATACCAGTATTTCCAGGATATGTACACTCTTCATCAATACACGTATTTCCAAAGACCTCATATACAAGACATCAACCCATATATCTTCCATCAACCCAGTCGTATTACTTGCAGAATTTCCCAAATTTGCGGTTCGTGATGGGCTGTGGGAATAGTCCGCCATCCAATAACTGGAACAAGTCCCACTCGCCGGCGCCTCCCTCAGTCTTAAAATTCCAGAACATCCACCCCTTGGTTTTGGACTCGAAGGTATCCAGCTGCGTCTCGATATATTTTCGCACATCGTCCTTCTGTGATTGCGTCCAGCTCGAGACCTTGCCAGTCTTGCCCGCACAAGAACCAGTACGCGTAGCACCATCCCAGGTTCCTTCGTATCTATTTCCTCGCTTGAAACCATTCAGACTCGGCGCGCAGTCCGTCAACGCGGCTGACCACTCGCCCACGAACGTCCACTTATCCGCACCGTCGTAGCTGCTGGCCGCGTCACAGACCTGTTGCCTGTGCTGGGCTGGAGTCATCTTGATCAGGTTCTTGTCGAAGACCTGGTACTCGTGATGATCTATCACTACGCCCTGCGCGTTGTTGTCCGACGGCGTCAGGAAGCCGTTCCAGTAGGCCGGGCCGAAGAAGCCATCGTGCAGAATAACGGGAGTATCGCTGATTTTGCGAAGATTGTTGTAGCCATCGCGGTAGAACTTCTTAGTAATAGCACCGTTCGTATCGATGACAGGCATCAGAGGTTCGTTGACTAGCTCGATGCCGACGACAACATCTTGGTACGCTGCTTTGGCATATTTGTTCTCAATCACGGCCAGGACCGCATGCGTCTGAGCAATGCTGTCGCCAGTGCCCCACGTGGGATTACCGGCATCAAAGCGGTGGCCCGAGTTGTCGAACCCGTTTTGCGATTTTGGTGCGCCATGTAAATCGATCAACACTTTCAACCCGGTAGTCCTGGCCCAGCCGATCGCTTTATCGAGATATGCCGCCGTCCCCGAGGTGTACGGCCCGCCGTAGTTTTTGTATGCCCAGTATCCGATTGGGATCCTCACGATGTTGAATCCCGCTTTTTTGATCTTCTGGAAATCCGAGAGTGAGACCCAGCTATCCCAGTGCGGCTTGAGGACCTTCTGGCATCCTGCGGCGCCGAGTTTGGCGCAGAGGGTCCATTCGTCGTGCACTTCGTCGGTTTTCGAGTTCGCGAGATATATGGATGGAGTGATGAAGCTTGGTTCGGTCAGTAAGAGTTGGATATGAAAAGGAATAGTCAATACTTACGGTTCTGTAACGAGCCATCCTCCGATGTTCACACCTCTAATCTTTGTGGTACCCCAGTCAAAGGCTACGGCGCGCGACTTGAGGTCTCTGTGATGAACATGTTCGGCGGCACATGTCGTCGCTATCGCCGCTACCACTGCAAAGTAGTTCTGGAGCAACATAGCACAAAATTGGACACAATAACGCTGTAGAGTGACTAGAATGACATTGAGGGAGAGGACGAATAAGTTATATTAGTCCGAACAAAGCTATCCTTGCATTACGAGCGATGGGATGACACCATGAGAGAAGGAAATCAAATGTTGTCGTCCCGGAGCAAGGAACCAGGTGGGGCAAGGCGTTCTCCTGAGCAAACACTGGAACGAATGACTGATGATGAGTGTTGCATGGGAAACAGCAGATCATGCGCGATTCGTTCAGGGACCAATCTCATCTAGAACGCGCCGAAAGAAAAGTTAACACCGTAACGCCTGTATCGACGCCGATTCTACCCGTGATGTGATCTGAAAACGTAAATCTGCCATAGCTCTTTAGGATGTGACGAGCTTAGAGAAGAAGTTCCATTGGGTGTCGAAGGGAGCTTGGCAAGCCACTGAGTGAATTGGGATAAATTGTTGCAAAAAGTCAGCACCTAGCGAGGCAGGGGATGAGACCAGGCATGCCAGGCACACGCCGTCGTGCTCTCAGCTCTCCAAGCGAGCCGCCGGTTGTATCGATCCGGCCTCGATCCCACGAGGAGGCGGACGTTTGATGTTACGAAGCAGTGACATTGCGGTTCGTGGTATTGAAGCCCGTTGGAAAATCTGTTGAAAGATTGCGAACGTGGAGATGCAACTCTCTGCATGAAGCAGGAAGGAGATCCAGAGATCTTGGCATCCTTCACGTGGATCCACGGCAATCCTGCGGGAAATCGTAGGTTTCTTCTCCAATCGGCTTCTCCGAGACTACGGTTGCCGGCTTTTTTGAAAGTGGACCGGCAATTAAACGCCAGCACGACGCCCCTTTTTCCACTTTCACGCTACGCCCGCCCGTCCTGTCAGTCCTTCAAGCTTATCATATCGATACCCCGCAAGCGCCATTGATATGCAGGTACGGTACCTGAGAAGCATCTCCAACATGTGATTCGGTCTGCTCTACAACCCTAAATATTCTTACTTTAAAGAACATTGTCCAGGCCTAGATCGGTATGCCAGGGCTAGATGACCTCCACCATGAATCCTTCTGGGCACTAGCTCTGGTATGGAGACTCGTATTGACCTACAAGGTACGACGCTGATTTCAGCAGACTGCGAGTCGTTAGCTCTATGTAATCATAGTGGTGTTTCTGAGGGCCGCACTGCGGGAGCCGCCGGCATTTCCATCAAGAAGTTCGACTCAAAACCAACCCGTCGTAAGCCACGCCGAACTTCATCCCAGTCGTGAATTTGTCCTTCCAGATGTCTATGTTTCCTCTTCGATCTCTGAGGTAGTATTGTATCTAAGTAAGTACACACGCTGAGCGTGAAAAAGGTGGCACACTCACTAAGCCCTATGTCTCGTGTGTACACCTCTCTGCCACTGTTTGGAGTCCTGAAACGGGTTTCCACGTAGCCCAAGGCGAAGGGCTTCTATCTCGTTCAGATTTCTGAAAATGTATTGAAGCACCCAGGCAGTGACAGACAGGTTTACACACGAGACAAAGTGCTTGATGAGTGTGCCACCTTCCCTATACCCCGCGCAGTACATACTCTCTCCACGAGTAGTCCATATCTTCCCAAGTCCCAATGACCTGTGATAGTAGGAAGCAACAAAGCCAAAATTGAAAGACTGCGCTCGTAGCATCAGCTATGTATTTCAATCTTGTCTTCAGGCACACTTCATGAATATCTTTCTTGTCCTGCATTTCCATCCATATAATCACGGCCTTTCCTAGAGCCTATGCAGTTTACCTCAGAGCTCCCATTTCCAGCATTTGGTCCTAGTTTCTCCGCGTTTCTCGATCTTAAATCTTCTCCGCTTGTTCTCTTCGGGACATTGATACAGGGGCGTCGTCCTACGATATGTCACGATGCTTAACAACCTGAGCGTGTACCTTTAATGGTCTCAGCCGTCTTCCATAGCAAGCATCAGACGGCGAGAGGCCAGGAAGTGCAGCCATTTCGCCTTGTTAGTAGATTCCGAGACTGACGTTTGCTTCCCAGAGCTTCTGTCGGAGCTTCTGTCGGGACTTTTGCCGGAGCTTACCCTGCACTGTGGATGCCCTGATGCTCATGACCCCTCTATCAAATGCATGCTCGTACGCTCTTACGGCTCGTCCATTGATTTTCCGGAGCCTGTACAATAATAGGGGCGGCCCTTGCTAACAATACTTATAGAAATTTCTCTTAGCTCTCTATTTTATATAAGTATTATTAGCTTTGAAGAGGCTAGAAACTTTCTCTTAGCCTCTACCGGTGTATTGCTAGAATATGCACTTCTAAAGAACTGCCAAAATATAGTTATGCTGTGTAGCGAGACTGTATATGGCTATTATGCTGGGGACTGTACGCCCCAGAGCCTGCCTAGGTGCCCAATTTTGTGAAGTTCATAATTTTTGGCTAGAAGAGCACGTGACATATCAGCCTGAGGAATCGGCCTGCCCGGATACAATCCGTGTCGGTACAACAACAACAACTACACAATGAATTCTTCGTGTTGAGAAAATGTACGGATTCATTCTTGAATGCCTTTCAATCTCGTCCAACTTCACCCGCTCCACATTCAGAGCACGTGACCTGAGATAGCTTACATTCTCTCGGCTATGATTGGGTAGTTAGTGCATATTGTAACTAGCTTACGCTCACGCTTACAAAGGTATGGAGCACGCGGGGCATAAAAAAGGTGGCACACTAATTCTAGGACAAGCTGTCCTGTGTGTATCCTACACCTGGGTAACTACTGTAAAACATGTTCAGAAATATAAACAAGATAGAAGCTCTTCACTCTGCGCTATGTGGAAACTTGTTGAAGCACTTCAAGCAGTGGTAAACAGGTGTAGTCTACAACCCCGTAAACTGTATACACACTATTCCTGTGCTTATGTACGCTTGTTTAGCACAGCTTGAGGTCCTCTGATGTATTATTAATATTTGCAGAATAACCAGTTCTGGCATTTCTGATAACTCGCCGGGCCACCTCAGACGGTGTTGAAATGCTTGAGTGTGCCATTTTTTTATGCCCCGCGTGCGGAGTAAGGTAATAACAGCAGCTTCGCAACGGGAAGCTTCCGCTGCACGATATACATCTAGGCATAATAATATGCGCCTCCATCACAGCCTCCCTACAAATGCATGAATCAACTTCCGCTGCTAGGTATCTATCGCGCTATTTCTAACCGATGTCGATTTATCGTGTCGTAACCCGCACAGACCTCTTGCCATCGCCTGCTCCTTTTCGATGCGTCCTCCCGAGTCCCGCCTTCTGGCTCACTTTCTCTATTTTATCCAACTTCTATCAAAGGCGAATCCGAAAATATGAGCGAATTTTGAGCGTCCAATACTGGAAGAGCCCGAGAAGCGCATTGGAGACTGTGATTATCCTCTGCTGTGCCGCCTCCCAAATGCCGAGTTCCGATACCCCTTTTATCGTTTTCGCCAGCTGAGGCGCCCCGTGGCTTATGGCGAAGCTTGTATAGACGCCGCTCGCCTGTTTAGAACGCTTTGGGATTTCATTTACTTTGCCTAGACTCTCGCAGGGGCTCTCAAAAGCACCTTCGCGCCCACTGTTTGCTGTCGCTCTCTTGCTTACGATGCTGTCACTCGCTTTCGCATCCCCTTACCTTCGTTTTTGATATTGTGTGTGAAGCTGTGTTTTACTTTAATACTATTGTCTAATCATCTTGCCTCGACTGAAACATGAGGTTCATTACCCTCCTTTCGCTTTCCGCGGCGGCGCAACAAGCCATGGCTGCGACGTACACTGCTGCCAACGGCGAAATTTTCAACATCGAGCCTTCCACGGACTTTTACGGCGGTGATCTCGCGCTCGAATGGACGGACACACTGAATCAATGCCTCGACAGATGCTCTGTCACCACTGGATGTATACTTGTCTCCTTCCTCGGGCCGGGGAGAGGACCATGCTATATGAAGAATAGTTACTACCAAGCCCAGACCAATACGCAGGTCACTGGAGCAAAATTGATTGCGTCAGCCACTGTGTCATCTTCCTCAACCTCGACATCCACATCTAAGTCCTCGACCATCACCAGTTCCGTTTCGTCCTCGTCATCCAAAACGACAGCTACAATCAGGACTAGCACCAGCACCACCTCGGCTTTTGTGTGCACTACCAGCGCCTCCGGGTGGGAAGTACTCGGAGACTTGAAGAACAACGGCGCCAAAACCCCTGTGGGCACGAACATTACTGGTGTTCTGACAGGTGACGCCGCTGAGGCCAAAACGGACGGGGGATACACTCCTCCAGGCGCACGTGGAAGTACTGCCTGTAAAGCGGATGTATGTTGTATCTGGTCTTATATCGCCGTCGACCTCCAACCTTTTTTCTTGAACAGCGACGGTACCTGCAATCAATGGGCTCGCAGAGCTGTTCGCCTTGGATTCCACGATGCTGCCGGCTGGTCTAAACCCAACAGTTTGGCAGGAAAGGACTACGGCGGTGCGGATGGAAGCATTGCGCTCTCTGCGGAAGAAGCAGCGCGATCGGAGAATGAGGGCCTAGAGGACATCATTGCCAAAGTCCAGGAATGGCAAACCACTTATGGGGTTGGAATGGCAGATCTCATTCAGTTCGTCTCCAATCTTGGCGCCGTGGTTTGTCCAATGGGTCCTCGAGTGCGGACCTGGGTTGGCCGTAAGGACAGCTCAACGCCTGCTCCCACTGGCCTTCTACCAGCCGTCACGGACAGTGTCGACAAGATCGTTTGCCTATTTGGGGACAAGACGCTTAGCTACACCCAGCTTGCTGCGCTTTTGGGCGCCCATTCCACATCTCAGCAGTTCTTCGTTGACCCTAGCAAGGCTGGCGAACCACAAGATGATACGCCTGGGGTATGGGACACGAGGTACTATCAACAGCATAGACCTGGCCAAACGGCACCATCAGGGGTTTTCCAATTTGCGAGTGATTTGGGCATTGCGAACGACACGCGCACTAAGAGCCAATGGACGTCGTTTGCCATATCTGGCCGGGCAGCGTGGGCAGCGGTAAGGTCCCTTTTCTGAAAGATTTTCGAGACTCTCACTGACGTATCTATCAGAGCTACGCTACCGCATACGTCAGATTGAGCCTGCTTGGTGTCAACAATATGAACAACTTGACAGAGTGCTCACACGTCTTGCCGAAAGCGGTACTCACGTTCCCCTGAAACATCGCAGCGATCTGATACAGTTGAAACCCCATTTGTACATACATACCCATATACCAAGATAATAGTAATGTCAAGTCACGAAATATTCATCCCATGGCCAGCCTCAGCCATGCAAGAATGAGAGGGCTGCTACCTTCTCCATCATCCAAGAGCCTGGATCCCCTAACATATACACGGACCAATTCAGACATCCCTGATAATCACCTGCCCACCACACGCCATACCACATACACACCCCGGTAAAAAAACCCATTTTCTCGTATGTCCCAAGATATCTTCCTTGTCTCTTGCTCTGTCGCACGTCCATCTTGCCTCCATGTGCTCAGATATAATCCATTTTATATAGAGATCAGCGATGCTTTCCGTTTGGATACGAGCTTTCAGCTGTGAGTGGCCTCAGCTCCAGACGTGCCAAGTGAGGAGAGCTTAGATCTGCCTTAATTGGTGGCCTAGGGGGATGTAGTGAAATGTGCAAATTGCTCAGATCGGTGAGAAGTGTGCTGAGAAAGAAAGCCAGATTAAAACACTCTTAAGATGGAAGGGATAGAAGGAAAAGAAGTCACGTGAAATGGGGCGTAGGACACCAGGTAGCCTTTTTCCACCACTTTCATCTCCCAAACTATCCAGGAACAAACACGATTATCAATCCCCGCTTTTTATCTGTATTTATTTTCTCGCCTAAATCGCAGACACACGTGGGCTATCAAACACCTACCCGATTGGTGTTGACTTCTGACAGGGCTGTAAGTCAGCGATGCGCATCACTCAACCACCAATCAATAGCGCCATACGACGCACACCGCGAGCTTCAACGCCCTCGATCGTCCCGCTCAAGCTTCTTCATGCACGTTGAAAGTTCCCGCGCCCAGGAACTTGGTGGAATCGTGGATTAGCTTGTTTCCCAATGACGCAAAGATGCCGTTCCCCCACCACATGAAAAGTGCTCGACTTCGCATCCCAGCGAACAGACCAGGCCAAACAACGTATGCATGTCAAATTGCAGATGCCTAATTGGCATGTTCCTGGCTATCCTCGAGGATTGGCACATATTATTACTCTACTAGAGTGGAAACCTCGATCGGAGCATGGGGGTACCTCTTTCCAAGAATCTACCTACCTGCAGCTTGGATGGCTACAAAAAGATGGCCATGACCCACCTGAACACTGAATAGTGCTGAAACCCCAACTCTCCCAAGCTCAATTGACATTATGAAACCGCAAATCTTTACTCTAGTCTCTTCTGTTGCCCTGGTCAGCGCCAGCTACACCAAGAACCTCAATTACCGCAGTCCTTCAGAGCACCATCCTGCGCTCGGCATATCGATTCACAAAGTCGTCAAGAGGAATGACCCATCCAGCACTTGGGATCCGTCGAAACTGAACTTTACTCATGGCATAGCTTCTGGCGATCCTTTCCCTGACAGCGTGGTGCTCTGGACGAGAATTGCTCCCTCGGCTGATAACGACAAGTCCAATGTTACGGTTGAGGGTTACGTACCGCTGTACAACCATGATACGGAAGAGTATGTTGCCATGTCAAATGCGCCAGTCTGTGTGCAGTACAAGATATCTACCGATAAAGAGTGTAAGAATGTGGCGGATTCCGGGACAGTGTACACTTCCTCCGACATTGATTACACAGTCAAGGTAAGAGACAGCGATACACGGTTGTTTCTGGTTCTCTCCTGATAGTACATGAAGTTTGTTCCTAACAATGAATCAACAGGTTGAAGCGAAGAAGTTGAAGCCCTACACCACGTACTACTACCAATTCAATGTCTGCAATTCGAACAACGTTAGCCCGTTGGGGAGGACTAAGACGACGCCTCACGCCGATGATGACGTTACCAAGGTTGGTATCGCTGTCTACTCTTGCTCAAACTTCCGTAAGACTCATATCTTGACCCGCTACTCTAGGATCTACTGACCATTATTAGCATTCGGTTTCTTCAACGCATACGGAAATCCCGTGCGAAAAGTACGTAATCTTTTGACTTTTCCTAAGCTCAACGACACTGACTGGCCACGCAGGATTCCGTGGACTATGTGGTCCATCTCGGCGACTACATCTACGAATACGCAAATGGCGAATACGGCTGGGGCCAAACCATTGGCCGAGTGCCTCTTCCTGACAAGCAAATATACTCATTGTACGACTACCGGAAGCGAATCGCAACATACCGCACAGATCTCGATCTCCTTGCTAGCCACCAGCAGTTCCCGTGGATTCCTGTATGGGACGATCATGAGGTCTCTGACAACACCTACCGCGATGGTGCGTCAGAGTTGAACAACACCGAAGCTTCCTTCGTTGAGGATGGTGGGGTCAGCGTTGATCAGCGGAAAATGAACGCTGTCCGAGCATACTTCGAATGGATGCCGATCAGGTAAGACTTCCCAAACAAACATAACATCAGTTACTAACCCTCAAAGACAAGTTGAGATGGACGACAACCTGCGCATCTGGCGTTCATTCTCCATCGGCAAGCTCCTTGACCTCATCATGCTCGACACCCGCCACTACGACCGCTCCATCACCGATCTCTACTGGAACACAGACTACGTCCACGAGATCTCCGACGATGCCGGCCGCAGCATGATGGGTAGTCGACAAGAACACTGGTTCTACAATCAACTCTCCTCGTCCTCCAAACGTGGTGCTGCATGGCGCATCGTAGGCAGCCAGACCGTCTTCAGCCGCCTAAATGAGTCAGTTGCGTACGGACTCGAGAACCCGCTCGACTACGACGCGTGGGACGGATACCAGTCCAATCGCAACCGCACTTTTCAGCATCTCTACAATAATAACATCGGGAACAACATCTTCCTCTCCGGCGATAGCCACGCGTCCTGGGTCTCCGACCTCGTCTGGCTCGACGAGAAGACCTACGACCCCGCCACCGGCGCCGGCAGCATCGGCGTTGAGTTCGCTGGCTCTGCGGTGACTTCGCCTTGCCCCTATGGTGCTAACATCTCGATGGCGTTGGCGTATAATGCTACGAAGTTCCTGGTCGCTGCGAATAAGGAGCTGCAGTGGAGCGATATATACTACCGCGGCTACTACGAGCTGCATATCTCGCCGAGCGAAGTCGAGGCTAAGTACTTTGGGCTGCCTACGGTAGTTACTAGAAATAATTACGAGATCAGCCTGGCGAACTTTACGGTTCAGAGCGGGGCTAATAAGCTGAATCGGCCGGTTGCGGGAGGGACGGTGGAGAGCGGGAGTTTGAAGACGGGGAAGACGGTTATGACGAATGCGACTGTGGATACGGGGAATGGGACGTGGTTTGTTAGCCATTTTGATTTGGAGGTCCTGTAGGTAGGTTTGAAAAGGTATGGGAAGATGAGGGAATGATATGAAGAGGTATAAGATTCTGAGGAAAAAAGTTCGCTGAGGACCGTAATGTTAGTATTCTATCTACTTGGCACATCAAATCAGATCGTTTGGAGATGCCACGGCACGCTGGGCATGAAAAAAGTGGCACACTCAGCAAGTACTCGGCCCGTGTGTACACCTGTCTGCCACTGCATGAAGTGCTTCAACAAGTTTCCACGTAGCCTAGGGCAAAGAGCTTCAATCTTCTTTAGATTCCTGAAAATAGATTAAAGCACCCTAAGCAGTGGCAGACAGATGTACACAGGAGACAGCTTGTTCTAGAATTAGTGTGCTACCTTTTCCGTGCCCCGCGTGGACGGTTACTACACGCTTTAAAGCAGACCGTGGATCAAAGGTAAAAGTGGCATTGTTGAGAGGTATAAACGGGAGCCAGTCCGAGCGATTTGAGCTCGATTTTGACATGTTATTATCACGGCTTGTGAATTGGACAGTTTGAGATTGTCCGCGGCACAACACGCTGAATTAGATGCCAGAATTTAGGTTGATTTTGATGTTGCGAGATGTATGAACGGGGGCCAGTCCGTGCGATCTGAACTCGATTTGGTCATGTTGTTGACGTGACACACAAATTAAGCCATCTCTAGCATGTCATTGCCCTGGACCCTAAATCTGACTACAGGAATTAGGTTGATTTCAATGCCGCGAGAAGCATGGACGGGAGCCAGTCCGTGCGATTTGGGCTTGATCTGGGCATACTATTGACGCGGCACCTAGATTGGACCAATTTCAGCATGCCATTGTCACGGATTGTATATCGACCTCTTCGAAAAAGACTACTTTTGAAACTGTCAAGATGTATAAAGTGGAGCCAGTCCGTGCGATTTCGAGTCAGTTTTGACATACTATTGCCGGCACCTTTGAATCGATCCATCCCGTCACACCTTCTACCTAGTCGGCTCGCAACTCGGCTCGTCCGGCGGCACACAAGGCAAGATCGCAGGATACACACCTCCTAGCTTTTTCTCGAACTCGACATAGCTCGCGCCCAATTCTTCTTCTACGCAAATAGTCTTCGTCACATCACCGAACGCGACGCTTTCGCAGGCACCAGTCGCGAGATCCTCTAATCCAGTTCCAGCTACTAGGATCTTCCCGCCGCGCATCACGAGCTCGATGTTCTCTTCAGGGGCGTAGATGGCTCGGGCGAAGGGGTCATGGTAGGAGAGGGAGGGAGAAGTGCTGAAGATGACGATGTCGGCGAGTTTGCTGGGGGCGAGGGAGCCGATGTGGTCCTCGAAGCTGGCGGCGTGGGCGGCGTTGATTGTCATCATTTCCCACATCGTCTTCGATTCGATAGTCCTCTTATAGCTCTCCTTTGTTACTGATAACGCACACACAGCTTCTCTTGCCATAGTCGCAGATCCGGAGGGTAGCCAGTCAGTGCCCAGAGCGACGTTGACTCCAGCTTCAAGGAGGTAGCTGACGTTCAGCGTCTTGCCGTATAAGAAAACGTTGCTTCGCGGTGACCACACGACGTGGGCACCGCGTTCAGCAACAAGATCGAAGTCCGCCTCCGTCAACCCGAGGGCGTGAACAAGAGCTAGGTTCGGAGCGATGATATCGTAGCTCAGTCCTCCCCCTGCTGGCGCAGGCGTCACATCGTACGTCTCGCTGGAAAAGCACTGGAACTCATTCGCCGCCTCTGCGTCCACGCCTTCACCAACATGGGCCAAATACCGGTAGATTTTCCCTGCCGTATCGCCAGTCGTAGCATTAGGGCCGTAATCACAGTCTCCGTTTCTCAGGATGCCGCTCATATCGTCGAGCGGGAAGACAGCCCAGGTAGCTGCCGGGTTGTACAACCCAGCCTCTAGACCAGCGACGTGGTCCAGATTCCGCGTTAATCCAGACGCCATGGGACCGCCCACGATCGAGGTGGTGCCAGAGAAGACGTGGCGCAGTTCTCCCCATTTCACCGCGTCGGCGACAGAGCCGTTGACTTCCGTCTCGCGACGCTCATTTCGCCTAGTTCCCACGCGCCAGTCGTGTCGGTGGTTGACTTTGACGCCGTTGTCGGCTAGGGGGCGGAAAGTGGAGAAGTCGAGATGTTCGTGGAGGTTGATGAAGCCGGGGGAGATCACTGAGTCGGTGCAGTGGATGAACGTGGTTTTCCTGGTCTTAGCTTCTTGGATGCAGCTTTTGCCCATGCATGCGATCTTGCCGGCGTGGATGAGTATATGGCTGTCGTGCAGTGCGCCTTCAGAAGTTAAGATGGTGCCGGCTAGAAGGATTGTTTCGAGACTGCCTTGTGTGGTGATCTTGCATCCAGCATGGGATGCTCCCATGAATCCATCCATAGTCCAGATAAATGCCAGTATTGACATAACTAAAGCTAGTTCAGAGAGAAAGAAGAGCCTGCCAGGGCGATGAAAACGACGATTCATTATGGAAGCGAGGGGCACCGTAGACTGTCTATTCAGTGCAATACAGACACGTGGGGCATGGAAAAGGTGGCGCTCTAATTCTAGAACAAGCTGTCTCCTGTGTACACCTGTCTGCCACTGCTTGGATTGCTTTAATGTATTTTCAGAAATCGAAAGAAGATAGAATCTCTTCAGCTTGGGCTATGTGGAAACTTGTTGAAGCGTTTCATGCAGTGGCAAACAGGTGTACACACAGGCAGAGTACTTGGTGAGGGTGCCACTTTTTCCGTACCTAGCGTGACAGATAAGCATAATATCACATGAACAGGTTTTAGTAACGCTGCTTTAGATCCATCATATGAAGCCGGACGAACTACTGCACCTCTCTGAAGAGCATACCCAGCTACGCTGGGCCTGATAAAAACATGACTTCGTAACCTGCATAAGAGTCTTGGTATGCAAGATAAGAAGGCGAGGGAAGTTGTGAGAGGTCACTAACTAGATAGATGTATGTGTATAAGATTCGAAGTAAGAAAGTGACGTGGAGGGTGTAGAATGATATTCCGGTCACCACCATTGACTTCCAAGGGACACGTGCCCGCACTATCACAGCAGTGAATTTTCCTTGCAGAGACTATGTCCCTCGAGCCACCCTCGAGCTAGTCGCGACTAAGAGCGCAGAGTAAGTACCACCAAGGTCGCCCACAACGCAGCTTGGAACTCCTAGATTTGTTGATATGATAAGGACAGTTGGCTAGTTCGATGACCGAGTTACTATGCTACGCTATCACTAACAATTAACGGCCTCGTTGTGTTGAAAGTCTAAGTCGAGGTACGTGAAATGAAGCCTGCAAAAACTTTTGATGACTCCCTCCATCCACTTAGACTCTTGGCAGCACCAGTTCCCCCATTATTACTAGTTGCTGACGAATCCTATACAGAGCTCCAACATTTCAAAAGAAGCGTCTCTCCCAAATCCGTAAGGCTGTCCGCAAAAGCGACGATACAGTGAGAATCAGACATTACCAAACAATCGATAAATATCCCCGTGAACCCTCATGATCTCGTGTCCCCCGCAGAACTAGCGCGTCGATATATATAGCCCGCAGCCACTCCCGAGGCTCCCGCGATCGCCCCAATATCAACGGCTCACACCCCGAGCGTGCCTCGTCCCACGGCTCTGTCCTCTCATGACCTCTACGCAGTCAATTGTCTGGACAGCAGATCTGGGACGAGTTGAGTGATCCATTCGCCGGCAGTTCGGCACGACCCTAGTTATCAATTGCCCCATTCGACCCAGAGCTTGTGGTTTCTGGGGTTGCATGGTGCGCTTTCCAGGAGGACGAAAGCGTTGGAATACGAGGTCGATCCGTCCGGACGCGGTGTTTCCGGACGTCATTGGGGAACCACATGACCGAATAGCAAGGCACATGTTTTTGTGTGTAGGCGATGGTACTGGCGTGGTCGTGATGTCGAGGTAGAGGGCCTTCAAATTGGGATTATAAAAGAGCGGTGGGAGGATCTTCTTTTCGAAACGTCGATACTTGATATCATTTCACGAAACTTGAGTCAATTTAGTGCCAAAGATCTCCTGTTCACCTCAGTCTGTCGCTTCAATTCCGACGATATAATAAACAAAATGAGGCTCTCATTTCTCGCACCCGTTCTCGCCCTCCTCCCTGCCTTCGTTACGGCCCAATACGACGTCCCCTCTGCCCCGTTCAAGCTCGTCGTGCTCTCAGATAGCTCAACCCTCAACGGCACCGTGCTCTATTCATGCCACGAGGGCGCCTCGATCGAAGGCCTCTGCACCGGCGGCACCTCCAACCCAGCCTATTCAACATACACCCACAACACCTCCTCCAATGCCGGCGAGGTCAACGAGACCCTTGGGGCCTCCGGCTACCTCATCTGGGTCCTTCCAGGGGGTACTTTCAACGAGTCCGAGACGTTGACTCTAAACGTCAACCCGATCTCCAATGTCGCGCTGCCGCTCTTCTGGCCGAGTATCGAAGACTCGACGTCGGTGGCATTCGACAGTAACGGGTTGCTGAATATCCAGGGGTACTTTGACGATCGCGTCGTTCCGATTGTTGGCAGTACCTCGTATGTGGCGTACTACCGCTGGTACGTGTGCACTACGTATTACCAGGGGTATACGTATCAGACGCTGGCATGGGCATTAGGGGAGTTCCCACCGGAGAATCCGACTTGCCAGGCGGTTAGTGTGAAGCAGGTGTTTTTGTAGAAGACTTAGGGTTACTGGGGTAGCCGATGATCCGGATTACGGTTGGAAGAGGAAAAGAAGAGATATTGCGGACGCAAGATGAAGAAGCCGGTTGTCTTGAAGATTGTGCCTACAAGTCGTGCTCAAGCTTAGGATAGCAGCTCATAATGTTTAAACGCTTCATGATTATGACAAGTCGCAGCGATCAACTCTGTGACAAGCCTCTTGACATACTATTTCGAAGACTCTAGCCATGAGCCAGCAGCCCACACGCCGACGCATCCGAGTAGAGCTGCCGCACCCGCTAATTGTTTGCTCCAGCCACCATCAGCGTTGACTCTAGCGGCACCCTCTCTATTCAATGAGGGCCTTGCAGCTTTGGCCGCTGGCGCTGGTTCAGCTTCGGGCAAAGCTGCGAGAGACTCATTATGTCTCCTTACATCATTGATCATTCTTTCAATAGCTTGTAGTTCTTCTTGCCACGCCGTCTCATTTCCAACTCCACCCTCAACCTCCACATTTTGGACGTTTCCGAAGAAGTCCATGACGAGTCTTGACCTAGCAGCGGATTCACCACCGTTAAAGAGGTCATATCGTACGCCAGGGTGTGAATGTATCTTCTCTTCATCGTAGCTGTCGAACAGATCCCCCATTGTCAGCTTACTCGATGGTTCGCGGACTTGGGTTTCGAGGAAGTCGAGGTTGTAGTAAGTGTATCGATCGATAACGGCGACGCCAACATCGTTATCGGCGTGGTGGGAGTAGGAGGACTGGTCCATCTCGGAGCTTCCTGTGGCGAGGATGTTGGGGGAGTAGAATTTGGAGTACATGGTGTTGGCTTGGCAGGTGTCAATCATGAAGAGCATTTCGTGGTAACTATAAGACACATTAGTTTAGGAAGCGTGAGAGCGCAAATTGTACGCTACGTACCGTTTCTTCTCCCACATCTGCTCGAAAGCGTCCGCTAGGTCGAACGCGCTGATCTCCTCTGCGTCCTGAAATTTCAAGAACTCGTTGCCTCCATGACCTGTCATGTAAACGAGAATATTGCTCCGGTCATCTGTCAGGAGCCGTTTACTCCTAGGCATATCCTCCCCAACCCGATCCGTAAGCAGACGAATGAAGTTCTCCACCGTGACTTCATATCCACGGTAGTCCACCTCAATGTTGTCACCATATAGATCTAGCGCACGGTCGGCGTTGTTGTAGACAGTGCCAGGAAATGCGTTTCGCGGGTTGCATGCCATGTCGTCGGGCAACATTAGGATGATCTGTGAGTCTGGGATCCCGAGCCGCTTGACGGTGCGGTAGAGGGAGAGGACATTTGCAAGATGGCGGTAGTTGAACCAAAAACGAGAGGTGGAGACCAAAACAGCCCAATTCGAAGTGTGTTCAGCGGACGTGAAGGTAACGAGTGCGACGAGGAGCACGATGCCCCTCAGAAGAAGGCTCATCTTGGTGAAACGAGGGGTGTCTTGAATGGAAGTGAGACTCAAAGCATTTCAATGTACAGAAAAGACGCGGGAAGTGAACACAGCGTATGGGAAGAGAGGTTCGTGATAGACGCTTGGTGTTGATGTTTGAGAAGCAATTACCAATCCTCGCGGGTGAACTGCGGCGCGTGGGCATGGCATCACCGCGGAGGACCAAGAGCTACACTATCCCATCTTTCGCACGCAATCCCACTGCTGTCGCTAGTAAGTCATAATGGATTGTGGAGTGTCATTGCAACTTTCTTGTATATAAATTCATCTCTCCATCCGCCATCCTGACGTCCACCGTCTACAACCCCGTCCCCCTCCGCCAGCTCTCTGCCACCGGCGAAGCTATGGCCCCAGATCGGGGCTCTCTCTCCAGCGAACCTCGCTCTCCCTCCTCTCCCGGACGTCAAGAAGAAGAAGATGTAGATTCCATACCGCGTTCCCGGAGCAATGCCCAGCGCTTCCTCGCCTCCCGCGCCGACGAGCCCCAAAACTTCACCCTCCGCGGCGTCCTCGTCGGCCTAGCCATCGGCGTCGTAATATGCTTCTCGAACATGTACTTCGGCCTGCAAACCGGCTGGGTGAGCGGGATGGCCATGCCCTCCGCCCTCATCGGCTTCGCCTACTTCAAGGTCGTCGCACGCGCCCTCAACTACCCATTCACGCCCGTCGAAAACGTGCTCGTGCAATCGGTCGCTGGGGCTGCGGGGACGATGCCGCTAGGGTGTGGCTTTGTGGGGGTAATACCGGCGCTGAATTATTTGCTGAAGCCGGAGGAGAACGGGCCGCTGGATATTACTTTGTGGAAGCTCATAGTGTGGGCAGTGGGGATATGTTTCTTCGGGGTGGTGTTTGCGGTGCCGCTCCGGAAGGAGGTTATTATAAGGGAGAAGCTTAAGTTTCCCAGTGGGACGGCTACAGCGCTCATGATACGGGTCTTGCATGGGGATGAGAAGTCTGCAGCAGTTGCAACGGCTCGCAGGAGAGAGGAGGCGGATACGCCTGGTGAAGAGGAGCAAGAGGGGCTCCTAGCTTCTATGCCTGTGGAAGCAGAAGACAATTCGTTCGTTTCCAATCGAAAACAGACGGACGAGGAGGGTGTAGAACTTGGTAGTGACGACGACTGGAAAGCCAAGATTCGGCTTTTAGTCATCGCTTTTGCTGTGTCTGCACTTTATGTATGTTTACTCTTTTCTTTTGAACATGTTGATCAAACTGATGCTTCTACGAGACTTTGATATCGTACTTCATCCCGCAGCTCCACGATATTCCAATCTTTGGGCTTCCTTTAGCGCACAAATGGCTCTGGACTCTAAACCCATCCCCGGCGTATGTGGGCCAGGGAATCATAATGGGTCCAGCTACAACGCTCCATATGCTCATTGGAGCTATCGTTGGATGGGGCGTTCTCTCTCCTCTAGCAAAGCACAAGGGATGGGCCCCAGGAGAAGTAGAAGACTGGGAGACAGGAAGCAAAGGCTGGATCGTGTGGGTTAGTCTCGCGATCATGCTCGCAGACTCCCTCGTCAGCCTAGGCTGGCTCATCCTCCGGCCTATAATCTTCTACGCACGCGTGTGCTTCCATCAGCTGCGGGAAGCAAAGCGCTCTGAAAGCAGAGACCTCTCATATATTTCAGCCCCATCTTTAAGGCGTCATCAATCCGATGATGAACCAGACGCCCCAGAAGCCCATCTCATTTCCACGCGCACAACAGTAATTGGTCTCGTCCTGTCGCTCGGTCTTTGCATCGCCGCCGTTCACATCTCTTTTCCCTCTTTAATCCCAATCTATCTCACCATCCTCGCGCTCTTACTCTCCCTCTTTCTCTCTATCATGGGCGTCCGAGCACTAGGCGAGACCGACCTCAACCCCGTCTCCGGCATCTCGAAGCTGACCCAGCTCGTTTTCGCTTTCATCACACCCAAAACTGGTCCCGCGGCCAAGAACGCCATCATCATCAATCTCGTCGCTGGCGCTATCTCTGAGTCTGCAGCACTCCAGGCTGGCGATCTGATGCAGGACCTGAAGACCGGACATCTGCTTGGCGCGGCACCGAACGCACAGTTCTGGGGCCAGATTATTGGGTCTGCTGTTGGCGCTGTCCTCTCGGCCGTAGTGTACAAGCTCTATACGCATGTGTACACCATCCCGGGAGGCTTATTCCAGGTGCCCACGGGATACGTGTGGGTGTTTACTGCGAGACTAGTCAACGGAAAAGGCCTTCCGCCCAAAGTTGCTGAGTGGGCTACGGGAGCTGTTGTCATCTTTGCCATTTCGACGATGATGAGAGTGTGGGGTGTTGCGAGGAAGAAGGCTGGACAGGCGGGGTGGTGGGTTGACTGGATCCCTGGCGGTATTGCTGTCGCTGTTGGTGCGCTGCTTTCTCCTTACTCTCTGCTTCCCACTTGCCATATTTTCTACAAGCTAACTACGTGCTAGGCATGTACAACGTCCCCTCCTTCACTCTAGCACGCACAATCGGCGGCCTGATCAGCTTGTGGTGGAGACGGTACAAGGGACGATCGGAGACACCTATCGTCGTCCTTGCGAGCGGGCTTATCCTAGGAGAAGGGCTCTTTAGCATCGTTAATCTGCTTTTAGCTAGTTTGCATGTGCCTACCTTGTAGAAAGTCTAAACGCAATGCGCCGCAAATATTGCTTAATATCGCTTCTTTCTAATAGTTGTCTCATGACATGATGTTTGTGCCGTGCATCAGCTTGATAGTCATCCCATGTTATAAGCCTTGACCATCTATGGTTAATGGATAACAAGCAGTGCTTCTTCCGGATCTTGGTAGAATTCTGATACGGCATGGAACGACGCCTCAGAGTCACGAATCCCTTCTCCTATGAAGTCAACGTGTAGGATGGGCCGATCTTGAGCCGCTTCTGCTTCAAGTGTCTCTTTGTCGCTTGCAAATCCGTCAGACGGGTGTTGGCGGAATACAAAAGAGCACGGCTCTTCATAAGCTGAGAAATTCGGGGGTAGCGATGCAACCAAGTCTCCAGGCTTGGTAGATGCTGGTAGAAGCGCTAGCGCACCGCTGGTGAGTCGAGCCAAAACCTTGCCTTCGACGACTTCTGTGTTGGCGCCGTGGTAAATAGCATAGGTAAGGTACAGTGGGACCGTCTCAGTCTTTCCTCGGAAAGCCTCAGAAGCCAATGATTTCCATTCTCGTAAAGCTTTTGGCGGAGGGAGAATCTCGTCATCTTGGACTGCGAATCTCCAGGCTGAATACACCTTTGGCCACTGAGCGTCCAGTTGTTGAAAGACATCGGGTTTGAGGTGAGATTGGGTCTGGCGCTGGTATTCTCTAAGTCTTTCCAGAAGTGTCTTTGCAGACATAAAATGGGAATTGAATCCGTCGCGAATACCCTTGGGAATGTTTTCAATCGATAGTTCGCGGCTGATAAGTAGCACTTCGTCGGTTATACTCAGGTGACACCCAAGAACATCTCCGTATTTCAAAACTGCACGAGAGTTTCGAGGTGTACTCAGCGGAGAGCCATTCCGGTAGCCTTGTGCGGCGCTTAAAAAAGGAGGGCGGGTTGCAGACAACGTCAAAGGTATCCTATGAGTCCAGTCTGGTACCCATGACGGTAGCCCTTCGAGGCGATATCGCGCCATGCTCTCGCCAACGCATGCAAAGAGGGTAGGAAGACCATACAAGTTCTGGATCCACCAAGCGACGTCTAGGAACAATTGGCTGACCGTTTTCGAGTAGTCCATTCCTGTTGTCCAGAGTTGACCATCCGTAGCAAATCCGAGATGAGCGAAGACCATGTCTCTGGGGTCGGTCACCCCAAGCCCCCTTCTTGCCAGCAGCAAATCAATCAGCGTATTTCCAAAGACAACCCTTTCTCCAGAGTAGTAGGAAAGGACGGTGTTATCAGGGGCCGAGTACGAGGTGAGCCTTTTGCCATGGTGTTCCCAAGCTTCATGCATCTGTGAGACGATACTAGTAGCTGGTGCTTCTGATATTGAAGCTTGCCCAGTCCCGTCATCTTCACTCTTTTCTTTCCTTAACGCTTGGTAGAACCTCTCCCACCTTACCCTCGTTCGTCCACACTGGATCCACGGGCTGGCAGAGAAGACAAGCTCTTGGAAGACCCAAACGCGCCCGAACCATTGCCTGCTCAGGATCTTGTCTAGTCTGGCGTCTGCTGTTAGGCTTAGTTTTTTACTCCAGTTCTTCTCTGATTTTTCTTTAAGAGAATCGGTGATGGTAAATGGCGGCCGAAGCGATCGAAGTATTCTCTCTTCGTCGTTGCGATTGGCGGGTCCAAGGTAGGCGACAGTATGTCGTGCAGAAGTGTATATCTGCCCCATGATCCGAATTTGAGCAGTCTTCTCTTCTTCGTCGCTCTGGTTTATGCAGACACCATCAGCCCATAAGAGAAGTGTGTGGTTCTGGTCGCGGAGGTCATGTATAGCGGCGTGCAAGCTGTCCGTTATGCTCAACGAGGAGCCGTCGACTATGATTGTCTTATTCTTTTCCGGACTGCCCCAGACATAGGAAAGGGCTGTGTAGTGCATGTAGATATCTTCAACGCACATCGATATCGTAGTATGGATAAGACGGCTGTGGATTGGTGAGGATAGATCTTTGTTGGGCTGCAACTCTAACAAGCGTATGCCATCTTCGTCAGAGATGGGCTTGTACTCGTATATAGAAATGGAAGCCATTGTGTTTGCCTCTAGAGGAATGTAGCTCTGCCTTATTGAGGGAGAAGGAGAGACTGAAAATCAATAAAAAGGCGTGATGAAGGCTGGTCGAGTGCTGGCTTGTCAGCCCAACCTCGGCGACAAGGGTCCATCCATCATGCAGAGATAGAAGACCCCCACGTTGGATAAATCTTCATAGGTTTGATTGATATAAATACAAGAATATATGTACGCACATAGGTAGCTGTGTACAAGAAGAGAAGAGCGGAGAAGTGGGTAGTATGCATCGACCAATAACTGGAATTAATGCAAGTCCATACCTACAAGAAACAGTAGGAACATGTTTCAACCACTGCTTTTAACGACTCCACCAATGGCATTTTAACGCTGTCAATACTTATTTTGACTCAAAGCAGCCCCGACAAGTCCAACCACCGGGTTGAAGTTTTGGTAAGCACAGGACGAGGTGATAGCCACAGTACCGTTCCCAGCCATATCAGTAATGCCATCTCTTACGACACCAAACATAGGATACACCCCATCTCCAAGATCTGTAGGAAATGGGATCATGTTCATCTTCGGGCTAGACTCGTCGGCGTTAAACTCCCAGTTAACGTTCGAGCCCACGGTGGTCGAAATGTTGGCTTCAGAAGACATCAATGCCCACACGAAGACTGCATCTGTCGGGAAGTCTGAGTTGCTGGGAACAGTGCCGCCTGAACAAATCGCATCTTTGGGATGGATGCGGTACCAATAAACGACACGGTCTTCTGTCACCTCCGGCGCGCTGCCAGTTTTCCACCAAGAGATGTAGTACTGTGCAATGACCCGCCAGGCAGAGTGATCAATACCATAGACGTAGCTGCCAGCATCGCCCAGTTGCAGAGATGCTGGGCCAGTCTCGCTTGCGGGCGGGAGATCACGGATGTAGTGGGATTCGGGGAAGTCGTTCCATGTGAGAATCTCAATGATATCTGGCTTCACCGTGTTGATAGCGTCCTTCCATCGGTAGTCGAAAAGGGTGTCACTATATTGAAGCCAGTTACCCCATTCGTTCAGGTCTTTGAATTGCCAGGGTGAAACCGCTGTGATGTATGGGCCTGTCCTGCCAGCGCTTGAAAAGGCCGATTTGAAAGCAATATCAGCATCAGTCGTAAGATTTGCGTGCTCGTTCAAAGGCCAGGCCTGCCAGTTCAAGAACCCGTCCGCCGAAGGGTAGTCGGAAATGACCTTGGCCGCTTGGGTTTGCGGATCAGATTGTGCTGCCATTGAGTAATTGTCCAGCGCTGGCGCAAGGGTTATACTGTGGCCCGCAGAAGATGCAGCACTCTTCAAGCTGGCAAGAAAGTCGTTTCCGTAGAGTTCCCCTCCGAAAGTGGACACCAGGACATCGCCGTTCCACTTGAAGGCTGCGTCACTTGTCGCGTGCTTTGAGATTCTATCCACCATGTAGGATGTGTTCCACGCAACTCCAGTAGGGCAATCATCCTGTCCAGATGCGTAGTTCATGTCGAAGGAGTACATAATCTTGAAGCCCTGCGCTTCCGCGACGGTGAAGGCATCATCGATACGATCAGCTTGCCATCCTAGGTTTGGAGTCGAGCAGTCCGGGGGCACCCAGTTCAACGCTGGCATTCTTTAGCCTTCGGTCCTCGAACAGGTCCTGAATAGTCATACCAAATCCGTCGATTCCAATTTGTTTGGCCGATTTGATGTCTGTCTCCCATTCTGTCTGCGAATAACTATATGAATTTTGTACCTGGCGAAATTGTTAGAAATCTGATCTAAAGACTAAACGGATCGGTTCAGATATATACCATGAAATGAGCGAAGACGGTTGCGCCATGCACTGCCCGAGCACCGGCGCTAACCAAAAGGATGACAGACGCTAAAGAATGCATTTTTGCTGCCCGCAGAGTAATAGAAGGAGAGAATGGTCGAGGAAGCCATTTGGGAGATGACCGGCCTCTATGTATATATTATCGGAAATTGACGATGGGGGCGTAAGATGTTAGGGTCGCTTTGGGAAAAGTTGCAAGGGTAATACCAGGATCTAAGTATAGTGAAACGTTTTAACCCCGATGGCGCTCTACGTCGGCCTAAGGTCTGTTCCGACCGTTTATATTAAGTCGGTGACCTCGATTTAGTAGGAATGGGGTGAGCGAAGGCGATGGGATCACGTGCACCCGTGACCAAAGTATGGCTTTGTCAGCATTTTTGCGTCACGCTGTCGTCGTCTACAGTGCCCCTTCGAGAAGGATAGACGCGTATCCGTGCCGCGGATCTAGGCCGATCATTGGAAGCATCTAACTTCTAAGTATATATGACCATATCAATTCTACAGGCTTCGTTTCGACAGTTCGAAAGGACACCATCTGACTCTTAGATCTCCCAGAGGCATTCGAACTCCTAGAAAGCATCTGAACATCAGTCAAAGCAATGGCTGACATTACCCCTTTCAAAGTGTCTATTCCGCAAGAGTCTCTCGACCGTCTCCACCAGAAACTAGCTCTGGCTGACTTCCCAGACGAGCTCGACGAAGCCGAGTGGGATTATGGCGCACCACTCGCAGATATCAAACGCCTGACCAAACACTGGCTTGAGAAGTATGACTGGCGAGCAGAAGAAAGAAAGATCAACGAACTACCCCAATTCAAAACATCTGTTACCATTGACAGATTCGGAGACCTTGATTTGCATTTCGTACACCAGAAATCTCCAATCAAGAATGCGATTCCATTGATATTTGTCCATGGATGTAAGACCACATCCAACTTGCAAGTTTCTATGGCCATACTAACACAGAGCGCCAAAGGGCCTGGCAGTTTCCTCGAAGTCACCAAAATCCTGCCCCTTCTTTCTGGTAGCTCCGACGGCTCCCCGGCCTTCCACGTCATTGCCCCTTCAATCCCCAACTTTGGCTTCTCTCAAGGTGTCAAGACGAAAGGCTTCGCAGTTCCACAATACGCAGAAGCCTGCCACAAGCTCATGCTGAAGCTCGGCTACAACGAATACGGTACATAAAAGCCCCTATCCCCGCTACATCCCCTCCTTTCATTCCATCCATCTCCCAACTAACACCCCCCCAGTAACCCAAGGCGGCGACTGGGGCTGGTGGATCACCCGCACAATCGGCCGCCTCTACCCCACCCACTGCCTGGCCTCCCACTACAACATGCTCTCCACCGTCCCCCCTTCCCCGACCACCAACCCGCTCCTCTCCCTCCAACACGCCTTAACCCCCTACACGGCCGCCGAGCGCGCCGGCCTCGCCCGTACCGCCTGGTTCCGCGCCGAAGGCCAAGGCTACGGCGCGATCCAGAACACCAAGCCGCAGACCCTCGGCTACAGCCTCGCCTCCTCGCCCGTCGGGCTGCTCGCCTGGATCTACGAGAAACTGCACGACTGGACCGACAGCTACCCGTGGACCGACGACGAGGTGCTGACGTGGGTCAGCGTGTACTACTTCTCGACGGCCGGCCCGGCCGCGAGCGTGCGCATCTACTACGAGAACACGCACGATGCGCAGGACGCGCGCACGGGCCTGCCGGCGTGGAAGCTGGCGCAGCGGTGGACGCCCGGCGTCAAGATCGGCGTGGGGCATTTCCCGCGCGATATCTACGTGCTGCCGCCGCTGTGGAGTCGCGCGCTGGGCGAGGTGGTGTACGAGGGGCGGCATGAGCGCGGTGGGCATTTCGCGGCGTATGAGGTTCCGGAGCTGATTGTGGGGGATTTGAGGGCGATGTTTGGGAAGAGGGGTGGGGCGTTTGGGGTTGTGAAAGGGAAGGATGGGGTGGTTGGGTAGGAGTTGGATGAAATGGGAGTCTGGGTTTGTTAGGTTAGGAACGGTAATGATTAAGTTTATTTGATAGGAATAAGGTAGTGATATCACGAGAAACGAATTTCCAAAATTGAACTTTTGCGCATTCAACACGTCATGCATAAAAGAGTACAGCAATAAAAATACACATGTCCGGAATTTCCTCATCCACAACACGCTCCCAAGTGCCCCCGCTTGCACCTCGGTTCAAAATACACGACCAGCCAACCCGTATTCTAAGAAAGAAGCATGCACAAGGTCCAGGAAAGTAGAGTAAATACAAAACTCAAGACCCACACGCATAGTACAAGTCGCGTGTTTCATCGCCTAATTTGCAGTGACGACAGCTACTCGCCCTTCAATTTGTCCTGTTTGACGGAGAATGCCATTTCTAGCAAGTCCTTCTCCTCCTTCTGGTGAGCAGCCTTCAGACCCGTCGCCACACTGGCGCTGGGGTTGCGGCCAGCGTACATGACGTGCCTGCGGCTGTGGTGCTCGGTATTGTTGAGTAGGGTCTCGATTCTTGGTTGAGTGAAGCTCCAGGCACCGGCGTTGAGTGGCTCTTCTTGGCAATAGACAATGTTCTGAGCGTTGGGGTACGAGTCAAGGTTCTCCTTTAGTTGTTGCCAAGGGAAGGGATTTAGTTGTTCGATGCGAGTAATGGCAACGTCCTTGAGCCCGCGCGAAGCACGTTCCTTGTGGAGCGCAGCGAAGACTTGGCCAGAGCAAAGAATGACGCGTTTAATGTTCTCATGTGACTCAATTTCGCCTGTCGCATGACCCTCGTCAGGAATGATCCATTGGAAGTGAGATTCCCCAGTGAATTCTTCAATGTCTGATCGCGCTATGGGATGTCTGAGGAGACTCTTGCTGAAGAATAGAATGAGAGCTAGGTTTCCATGTCAGCATCTCCCAAGGACGTGGTTGCATCAGACTTACGTTTCCTAAATTGGCGGTTCATTTGTCTCCTAAGGATATGGAAGTAGTTGGATGGCTTTGTGAGGTAGGCGATCTGCATATTGCAGTCTTGGTGCTGGCGATCGAGTTTGTCGGGAGACGGGAAGATTCTAGGATCCTCGTTACATAGCTGTAAGTATCGTTCCATACGTCCCGAGGAGTGCTCTGGTCCTTGACCGTCATAACCATGTGGCAAGCTCATTACTAGACCAGTACGTTGTAGCCATTTGACTTCACCGGACGCAACGAACTGATCGATGATACATTGAGCGTTGTTGGCAAAGTCACCGAATTGTGCTTCCCACATAACAAGAGCATTTGGCGAAGAGAGGGAGTAGCCATACTCGAAACCAAGCCTATATGAAGGATGTCAGCCATGTAACCAAAGTTCAGAAGAGGTAAGACTCACACTCCGAATTCGCTCAATGATGAGTTCGAAATCACGAAAGTGGCCTGATCCTTGTCGAGATGCTGTAATGGGGTGTAGGTAGCTTCGGTTTCCTGGTCGTGAAGAACAGCATGACGTTGTGAGAAGGTACCACGCTCCACATCTTGACCCGAGATTCGGACGTGGTGTCCGTCCATAGCGATGGTTCCGAAAGCCAATGCCTCAGCAGTCGACATATCGATATTTTTGCCCTCACTCACGGTCTTGGTGCGGCCAGCAAGGATACGCTTTAGATTCCTGTGTACAGTGAAGCCTTCCGGCGCGCCACCAATAGTCTCAGCAATGTGATCCAGCTTTTCCTTTTCGACGGCGGTCGGAAGATGGGGCAGAACTTCAGTGGCAAGCTCCTTTGGTGACTTGAATCCGTTCCAAGCAGAAGTGAGCCATTCCTTGGCATTCGGCTGGTAGTCCTTGCTGCGAGTGAAGCTCTCATCGAGCATACCCCACACCCAGGACTTGTGCTCTTCGATATCTTCCTTGGTAAATGTCTTCTCTTCCAAGAGCTTGGTGACGTAAGTGTCTAGCGCCGGGGGATGCTTCGCGATTCGCTTGTACATTAGCGGTTGCGTGAAGAAAGGCTGATCGGTTTCGTTATGGCCTTGCTTTCGGTAGCACACCATGTCGATGACAACGTCCTTCTTGAACTCAGCACGGTAATCGGCTGCCAACTGGCAAACGAAGTTGAACGCCTCGACATCATCGCCGTTGACGTGGAACACAGGAGCATCGATGGCCTTGGCAATATCAGAGCAATATGGTGTGGAACGGGCAAATCGAGGATCGGTAGTGAAGCCGATTTGGTTGTTGACGACGATGTGGATGGTGCCTCCAGTATGGTACGACGGGAGGGAATGGAAGCCCATAGTCTCATACACAATACCTTGACCGGCGAACGCAGCATCTCCGTGAAGAAGAACACCCATGGCAGTCTTGGCCTCTTTCTCATCGTTGTTGTAATGGAGAATAGCGCGAGTCTTTCCGAGCACGACGGGATCCTCGGCTTCCAAATGTGAAGGATTGGCGACAAGGGAGAGCTGGACACGCTTTCCTGATGGCGTGGGACGTTCGAAGTTCATACCCAGATGATATTTGACATCTCCGGAGCCCTCGTCGGAAGGATCAGCGCTACCAGCGAATTCGCTGAAGATCGACTCATTCGGTTTCCGGACCACGTTACTCAGCACGTTGAGACGTCCACGATGAGGCATTCCAATGACGATGTCCTTGACGCCATAGTCGACACTGCGATCGATAAGAGCTTTCATGCCAGGAATCAAGCTCTCGCCACCTTCCAGACCGAACCGCTTGTCGTTCGGGTATTTCGTGGCCAAGAAGTTCTCGAAGCTTGTTCCCCAGATAAGACGGTCCAAAATTCGGCGCTTTTCGTCTACGGAGTATTTGTATGGCATAGGAATCTCCACTCGCTCACGTAGCCAATCGCACTGTTCGCGGTCAGGAATATGGATGTATTCGATACCGTATGATCCACAGTACAACCGCTCGCAAGCTGAGATGATGTCCCTCAGTGTCATTTTTGTCCGCGTGTCTGTTTTAAACCTTGGCAAAATACCCGGACCGAGAGTGAACTCCTGGTCAAGGTCCTTTTCCGTGAACGAGTAGTGGGATAGCTCGAGTTCGGGCGGCTTGCTGTATCCAAATTGTTCCGCCTCCGTCCGAATGCCTAGAGGGTCGATCTTGGCCTTGTGGTGTCCTCGAGCCTGGTAGGCGCGGACGAGAAGCTGGACTTTCAAGTGGTTCAGGACATCGTTGCCTTCGCCAGCTGTCATGCCCAAGCCAGGTCCCAGCGCTGGGCCCAAGCCGCCGTGTGGTGCAGGGACGATGGTCGGAGGTGGTTGGAAGGCCTGCGACACGGGCATGCCGCCCTCTTCCATGTTCCGGAAGTAGATTTGCCATGAGATATGGACACTGGAAGGGTCGTGCTTCCACGACAGGTACATCTCATCGACATAGTTGGCGGTATTGCCCTGTAGGAAGGAGTCGTTGGGGTCCTGCCGAGAGTTAGCTTCAAGGAGTCCTTCGAGATTCGCCACGATGCAGATGGAGTCCGTACCACGCCTTTGTCGGTATCTGAAGCCGCAAGAGCATAGCGGCGATGCTGCTGAAACCGAGGGACAGCCCCTAGAGCTCGTTGTTTCGAGGCGATTGAGGTCGCGGGAGACGTGCCGGCGAGAGTCGAGAAGTTCGACCGCGCGCACCTCGCGCCGCTGCAAGCTTTCCGGAGAGTGACGCGCAGCATGATGGAGCGAGCACTAAGAGGAGAAGAGCATTAAAGAGGAGCTGTTTGAGAGAGGGAAAAGGAAACACAGCATGCAGCAGTCAATTGGTGAAGCGGAGAGGTTTTTAGGGCGCTGCGGGAGAGCATCATGGCCAGCGGGAGTTGTACCGCTGCTCCCAGATTTCAGCCACGCCAAGCCCCAGCGCGACTACGCCCCATGCGGCCACGAGACGTGCGCTTGCATGACAAAGAGGCTGCACCATTGGTCGTATCGCTCGCTATAATTAAAAACGCTCTAGAAATGCCTCACTGCTTTGCCTGTTGCCAGAACCGACAGGCCGCCTCTTCCGGTGACCCTCTGCAGTCCCGCATAAGTCCTGGACGCCCGAATCGACGCCCGAAGCCAGCTAGGCACGACATAGGTAGGTGTGGCTTCGGAAGAACTTCATGACCTCTTTTGGAGGGAGGACAGACTGCAGAATCGAATGAGCCAGCACCTTCTCCGCCTCTCAGCGCGATGACTCGGGCGAATCGAATCAAGCAAACACCTCAGATCTGGACGATTGGAGGCAAGAGACGTTGCAGGCGCCACACCTGGAACGTTGCGGCACGAGGCGCTGCCAGCTGACGTTGTGATGCGTTGCGATGCGTTGCATCTGTCATCGCCGCCCGCGAAATCCTGCAGAGTCGGAATCTGTACAAGGCAATGATCGTTCCGGGGTCACCGGAAGTCAAAGGTGAAACAAAACCTCTCACGACATGTTTTGAAGGTCCTAGGTATCACTTTGATGGGTAAATGAAGTCTTATCCTATCCTTTTACTCCATGTCGCATCTGACTTCCGATTATGATCCACCCTTCGCGGGGCTCCCCTTTGCTTCTGTCGTCTGTTCATCGTTGCTTTAGTCGTCTAGGTTCAAGAATTCCTAATATTCGACGGGAGGGCCGGCACTTTCGCCGAAGTACACGATAGTCCTAAAACTTGAGATCTCCTCGTCCTGGTAAAGTCTTGAACCGCGAACATTGCTGAATACAGAATGATCCAAAAACGGTTCTTGCACGCTTTCGGCTTTGTTTGCTCATACTTGGGTGGTGGGCTTCCAGTTTTAAAAATTTATGAGTTCTGGGCTCATGTTTTCTGGGCGTCTGGCGTCTAGGTTTCATGGTTATCAGCTTGGTTCTCATGATATAATATACCTTCATCCGCCTTCATGATTTGGCTGTCCCATCTCCGTACGTGACAGCAACTTTCCCTCATGTTGTGATTTGGTGGCAGGGTTGTTCGATTTTCCTACGAACCTATCTATGCCATCACACTCCCCTTCCGCTTTCAACCTCATCCCCTACCCCCTACCACACCCTAATACCCCTGCTTCTCCTTCGGCAAGTACGGCTCCTCCAGATACTTAACATCCTCCTCACTCAGATCATACTTCGCATTCTCCACCGCCTGATCGATCCTCTCAATCGAGCTGAGCCCAATAATCGGCCTCACCCCCTTCTTGATACACCACGCCGTCGCAATCGTCGCCATGCTCACGCCCCTCTTCTTCGCAACCTCCTCGACGCGCCCGACGATGGCCTTGTCGACCTCGTTCTCGCGCTGGTACACCAGCATATGCAGGAACTTGTCGCTCTTTTCGCGGACGGTGGACTCGCCCCCCCAGGGGCGGGTGAGGGCGCCGCGGGCGATGGGGGACCAGGGGATCAGGCCGACGCCCGTCGCGTTGCAGTACGGGATCATCTCACGCTCTTCTTCGCGGTAGATGAGGTTGTAGTAGTTCTGCATGCTGATGAACTTGTGCCAGCCGTGCTTGTCGGCGATGTTTTGCAGCATTTGGAACTCCCAGGCGGCCATCTGGGATGCAGTCAGTATACCGTAAGTCCGCTTTTCGGGGTTGAGGGTAGAGGTGGGGTTTGGGGGATGTAGAAAGGCGAGTCTAGGGGGTTCTAGGGGGGGCCTTCAACGTACCGATGAAGCACCAATGTACCTGACCTTCCCGCTCTCGATCACATCGTTCAACGCCTTCATGATCTCCTCCTTTGGTGTATCCCGATCCAGCCGGTGGATCTGCAGCACATCGATATATGTGCCCAGCCGCGCCACGCTCGCATCCACAGCCTCGAAGATGTGCTTCCGCGACAAGCCAACCTGGTTGACATAGCCGCCGTCGTTCGTCGACACCGCTGCGATGGTCGGCTGGCTACCGTCCTGGGCGACGCCGAAGTAGCATTTCGAGAGGATAACGACTTTGCTGCGGGGGATGTTGTATTTCTTGAGGGCCTTGCCGATGATTTCTTCGGATCTGCCGTTGGAGTAGACGTCGGCCTAGGGGGAGCTGTTAGCACTGGATTCTTTGCTGTTGGTATTGGTTGGAAAGCGAGCTTACAGTGTCCCAGGTGTTGATTCCGACTTTGTAGGCGTGCTCGAGGAGAGGCAGGGCTTTGTCTTCGTTCAGCACCCATTCCTGCCACTCACTGCTGCCATAGCTCATAGCGCCGAGGATGACCTTGGAGACCTTGAGGCCGCTCTTCCCGAGACTGCATGGCGTGAGCCAGATAATCCAGTGCAGCTGATTCGATATTAAGAACTCACTTTCCGTATTCCATCTTGACTTGCGTTGCGTTCGTGTGGAATTCTTCAGAGCTTCGTGGTGTCTAGAAAATGTTTGGTGAAGAAGGAGAGATTGAGGGGCACGACTATTGTATCTTTATAGCTGAGATCTCAATTGCGTCAACAGAAGCATTTGCCGGACTTAAAGCTTCGGCTCCAGCCATAGGCAGTTGGGGAAGGGTACAGAAATTGAAGCCGTCCACTCAGGGTGCGTCACCGTTGTGAATCTCGCCGGCGATGCCCCCCATGTGGCCCCGCCATTTAACGCAAACTCCGAGGAAGCTACGAAGCTACTCCAGATCCGACTTCAAATGCGTGACGAAGCGGGGAAGCTTCCGATACAAAGAGCGGCGATAGCGGATTTTCACGCGCATATGGAGGCTGCTCACTATTGGCTTTGTAATACCATCACGGTGCTTCATGTCGTGTAGCGAATCGCAGCGTATTGCGTGGATGAGGTGTTCTCTATCAAACACAATCTCATTCGCTAGCAATCTTGACTGCACTGCTACAAATAAAGTGGCGAGACTCCAGCTATCACCTGCGAGTCAGAGATATGGACATGTTGGCAGCATTCCAAAGGTGTTGAAAGGCGGACAGAATGGCTGGGCAAGCATTCGCGCGGTTGTTCACGTTTGCAGATTTTGGATTTTCAGTCACGTTTATAAAAGCCATTGTGTGCATAGAGAATATCAGGCCTTAAGCCCTTGCATTGTGCAACTCGCCCAGTCGAACAAGACTGGTGCTCAACTAACGATCAGACCCCTGGATCCATGCCAGATGCCGACCTGAACGCCGCCCGCGAATGTCCAAAACGATCACTCCCCTACTGGCCACCGCGCAGACGAAGCACCAAGTGCAGAGTGGACTCCTTCTGGATGTTGTAATCCGAGAGTGTCCGGCCGTCCTCGAGCTGCTTGCCGGCGAAGATGAGTCGCTGCTGATCTGGGGGAATGCCCTCCTTGTCCTGAATCTTGGTCTTCACGTTATCGATCGTATCCGAGGATTCGACTTCCAACGTGATCGTCTTTCCGGTCAGGGTCTTGACGAAGATTTGCATGCCACCACGGAGACGGAGGACCAAGTGAAGGGTAGATTCCTTCTGAATGTTGTAGTCGGATAGAGTTCGACCGTCCTCGAGTTGCTTGCCCGCGAAGATAAGACGCTGCTGGTCCGGAGGAATACCCTCCTTGTCCTGGATCTTAGTCTTCACATTGTCGATCGTATCCGAGGATTCAACTTCGAGCGTGATGGTCTTGCCGGTGAGCGTCTTGACGAAAATCTGCATGCCACCACGGAGACGGAGGACCAAGTGAAGGGTTGACTCCTTCTGGATGTTGTAGTCGGAAAGGGTTCGGCCATCCTCGAGCTGCTTGCCGGCGAAGATCAAGCGCTGCTGGTCTGGTGGAATTCCCTCCTTGTCTTGGATCTTCGTCTTAACATTGTCGATAGTGTCAGATGACTCAACCTCGAGGGTGATGGTCTTGCCGGTCACTGGTTATCGGGTTAGCATTGCGATGAGATGGCGGGGTAGTGGAGGAGACATACGAGTCTTCACGAAGATCTGCATTCCACCGCGCAGGCGGAGAACTAGATGGAGAGTCGACTCCTTCTGGATGTTGTAGTCGGACAGAGTGCGACCATCTTCCAGCTGCTTGCCGGCGAAGATCAGGCGCTGCTGGTCAGGCGGGATGCCTTCCTTGTCCTGGATCTTGGTCTTGACATTGTCAATGGTGTCAGAGGACTCAACCTCAAGGGTGATGGTCTTGCCGGTGACTGCAGCGGTTGTTAGAGCGAGGCTCAAGAAGCGGGGTGGCGAGCGGGGGCGACTTACGGGTCTTGACGAAGATCTGCATCTTTGCTGGTTTGTATGAGCTTGTTTGGTGGTGGTAAGAGTGTGTGAGTAGCAGTGGGGTGTAGTGCGGTGAGAGTGTTGCAGGTGTGTGGAAGAGAAGAAGCTGATGGGGGCGAGGTGGAGGTTTAAGTAGGCGGCGGTGGCAGTGAGGGCACAGGGCACCAGGCTGACATCAACGGCTTGGCACGCTAGTGCGGTTGCCGGCAGCGGCAAGCAGGTTCGAGCATCTTCTTCGCGCAATCGCAGCCAGCACGACAAAAACCTGACACGCCACACGCTGATGAGAAAACCAGTGGAAACCGCTTATTCACTGCGTGGAAATCTGCGGCCTCAACACCACAGCCCGCCCGGAGATGCGCTTTTTTGCCGCGCTGCCCGAGTTGGTGAGCTGAGATAGGCTGATCGCTGTATCGCTGCATGTGACCTTGCAAAAGGCCTCGCCTCGCCTGCTTTTCCACGGCCCCGTGGAGCAACTTGCAGCTGCCTGGAACCTTGGAAGCCTCTTCGACTCATCAACCCCAGGCCCTTCATCCAGCCGCCGCGATGCTGCCTGCCTCCACGACCCGAAAGCTGCCCGCTGCAGCCGCTCTGCATCCCGAAAGAGCCCTCCCGATAGAGCCCGGAGCGCCTCGATGGTGTTCGGCCCTGTTGAAGCAGATCATATCATGCCGATAGACTCAAAAAGACCTCACGTCACGCTTACTACCCCTCTCCATGCAGAACTTCATTCTGATGCCCGATTGGACGTGTATGTCGGCTGGCAACGCTGAATTCAATCTATGCCTACCTGCTATGCTAGTACGCGGTATTCTTCCTTACCAAATATTGGGCCACCACAAAATGCTGTCAAACCTCCGTGCTGCGCGCAATGACAGCAATGACATCGCCAAACGACCGTGCGTGGCAGCCTCCTAACCGCAGCATGTCACAGCCTCCACCACACCCTCAATCTCAACCGGCAGCGCCCGTCCGTTCTGGTTGCATGGGCCCAGACGTAGGGAGTCGTGCATTGCTTTCTCTTTCATCTCAGCCTAAGGCCCGGCTGTCCTACGGCCACAACATCACAGCTTCCGTCCGTATACTACCGGGCTGTTACAAACGTGAGTAACATAACACCAACGGGTAAGGAAACTCACATCTCAAAGTACCCGTGGATCGACCTATTCTTGAGATCGCTTTTCACTTTGGCGCAGAGGATATCAACTTCTTCCTTTTTCCATCCTAGGACTCGTGTCATCAACGCCAAACAGAAGCCTTCCATGCCGTCAGTGATGTTGACCAGGTTCCATCTGCCCAGCATCTTCAGGTCCTTGTCCTTGGGCCATGGGTTTGTTGGCCATGCGAAGCTCAGCTCGTGGATATCGTCGAACCCGACGTTAAGCATGTACTGCCGGAAGTGTTTGCTAGCATCAATTGGCCGTCCAGCCTTGCCTGCAGCTTCGATCAAGATCTCACCCCATCGCTCAAGGTCGGTTCCTTTCGCAGTATCGTCCGGTGACCTCGCGGGTAGAACGTAGTCTTGAATTTCGAGGTAACCGCCAGGGGCCAAATTGCTATTCCGATGTCAACGTGTGCATGCAGAAAGGTGGGGTTGGGGCGACTGACTCGTACGCCGACTGTATTATCGCCTGCCAGTCTCTAAACGAGCCTCCCATCAGTCGGAGATGTATGAGATCGAATTTTTGTTTCCACAGCCACTCGTCTTCGGCGTCATCTATTATGAAAGACAGATTCGGCGGGACACTTCGTAAATCAGCGAGCTACCTTCCCAAAATCAGGACACCTTACAACGACGGCTGGATCGGCGAAAGATCCGTCCCGACGACCTGAACCACTGTCAGTGCGTCTCATGGGAGTCTGCTCGTGTCACTGCATACCATGGCATCGGGGAATTCGTCCGCTGCAACACAACAACGGCTTGTCAGTCGCAATCGTACCATTTGAGAGAGGGCTTGTCGTACCAAAGTCGAGTGCCCAAATTCCAGTGCCTGTACCCACGTCCAAAACATGTTTCGGCTCTCGAACCGGTGCAAAGAACAGCTTGTCCTTGAAGCATAGGTTAAAAAGGTGGTGCTGCAGGTCTGGTACGGTCAGCAGGTTTCGTTGAATAGCTTCCAAGCGTTGTCTTACCGAGTCGATCTTTCTCTTGCTGCACGTAGCTGCAATTAGCCATATACTCTCAATCGGTGTGCGCCATTCTTACATCGTCATTTGGAAAAATGTAATTCCCGTCCTTGTACGCTGTTTGATCAATCAGTTATCTCCCGTCTGGAGCCGACGTTCGAAGAAGCAAGGCAAAATCGCATACCGTGATAGGTCCGGCCGTGTTCAACGCGATAGCTCCATATGGACTCTGCTAGTGACGTTGTGGCATTGCTTACACTGGTCAGGTTGAGCGTTTGATATCGGCATAGAAGGGTTGGATTACTGACGTATCATCGCCGCCAAAAGCACTGTCGTTGTCTTCCTGCCATCACAATCAAGTAAGTTTGGGAACATTAAAGACACAAGAAGATGCTCAGAGGCTTGAGGAGATTAGCCATCGGTTGGGAGGGTCAACAGCGAGGAGACGATGCGCCTACATCGACCTCCAGCGTTTGCGCTGCCAACTGCACTGGATTTGCCATGCTGGTCAAGTGACCGGGAGCTCTGCGGTATGGAAGATCCCGGTTGAATATGTGCTGGAGAGAATAACACCGATATAGGCGGCCAGACTCGAACGGATGGCTGGGGTTTTGGATGCGGCGTGTGGGAAAGGGTCACGGGAGCCTGGCGGGGGCGAGGATACACTCGGCCCGCAGCGACGGCGACATCAACCACGCATCAGCACGGAAGCTTGGTCTGGTAGCCGCCCCGATGGCTTCGAGACGACGGTGCCGCTCCCGCAGTGGCCGACTCTCTCGCTCCAGACGCAGTGCAACCTCCTCTGCCAAACGAACCGGCCGCGCTGCCCGCCGCACAGTCAACTGCAATTGCACGGAACGCTGCAGCAAGGCGGCCTCGGGGCCCTCGTGGTCGCATTCACCGCACCCGCTATCCCTAATGCGTGCGCCTTCACGGCGGCACGTTATGCATGGCAGATGCCATGGGCCCTAGCTCGGCCAGCACAGGCCGCGCAGGTGGGTGAAGCAGTGGACGGGGGCTCCTTCCCTATGGCCCGGCGCGCCTCCCTCTTCACCTCACTCCTACAAGTACTGTCTCACGGCACCCGCCACCCTGGTGCGTTCGTTCTCGACACTTCCCAGCATCTTGGGCACGCCGTCCTGACAACCTTGGTCTCTGCTGTAAGCGCTCCATTGCATACACGGCCACTCTCTTCCGGCCGCCTGCCATGAATCCTTTCGCCCTCGTGGCCCTCCTCGTCCTGCTTGTGCTCTATGTACTACGGGAGCTGCGCGCGTACCGTGCCCTGGACGACTTTGGGGCCCCGGCGACGGCCTCGTTCTCTCGACTATGGCTCTTTCGGGCAATCTACTCGGGCAAGATGAACCTGCACTTTGGCCGGGTCAACGACGAGCACGGTGAGTGATTGTCCATGGCAGCATCCACTGCCAGCAAACGCTGATGGGTCGCACAGGTGATACCGCCCGGATTGGGCCTCGCTTGCTCCTCACGCGAGATCCTGCATTGATCCGCAAAATGAACGCAGTGAGGAGTCCCTACACCCGCGCCGAGTGGTACAACTCGCTACGACTCCACCCTACCCGGGACAATATTGTGTCGTTCCGAGACGAGGCCATCCACAACAAGCTTCGGACTCAGATGTCGCATGGCGTATGTCCCGCCTTTCTTTACCTCTTTCAATACGACACTTGGCTCTGATGTAGCGGCTGACATGGGCCACTACAAAGTACTCTGGAAAGGAGAATATGTACCTCGAGCATGACATCGACGAGCGTCTTCTCCAAGTTTTGGGCCTCATCCGAAGCAAGTATGTCTCGACGGACACCGAGTACCGGCCGATGGACCTGGCCCGAATCACCACCTTCTTCACGCTGGACGTTATCTCGACCATCGCCTTCGGGAAATCTTTCGGCTTCCTGGTGACCGACGAGGACCCATTCGACTACCTCAAACAACTCCATGTCTTCCTCCCGGCCATTATGCTCTTTTCAATCTTCCCGGAAGTGCAGAAAATCATGAGGTTGCCACTGATCCAGCGCCTGGCGCCCCAAGCTACAGATGTCACAGGCCTCGGGAAAATCATGGGGTGAGTCAGGGTTGCACTTCATGAGACGTTACTCGCACATGTCTGACCTTTTGCTTCTAGGTTCGCCAGGGACGTGGTTGGCGAGCGCTTCGGCGTGGACAAGGTGGTCCGTAAAGACATGCTAGGCTCGTTCATCACCCATGGTCTCTCCAGGGAGCAGCTGGAATCAGAGACCATTACGCAGATGTAAGACCATGGCCCCTCCCGCACCGTTCTTTTCTCTTAGTATTGTTGCTGACTAAACCAAACAGTACGGCTGGTTCAGACTCCACTGCCACCTCTATCCGTATGACGTTGTTCCTTATCACGAGCAATGCCTCAGTCTACTCGACTCTCATGAACGAGTTGACCACCGCTCAGGAGCAGAACCGTCTCACGCGCCCCATTCTCCGCGACGCCGAGTCCCGCACTCTTCCGTACCTGCAAGCCTGCATCAAAGAAGGTCTTCGCCTCTACCCACCTGTCACGGGTCTCCTCGCAAAGGAAGTCCCTCCCCAAGGTGACATCATTGACGGCCACTTCGTCCCCGGCGGCACCTCGATCGGATGGAACTCGTACGGCATCATGCGTCTCAAGCGTGTCTTTGGCCAGGACGTCGACGTTTTCCGCCCTGGGCGCTGGCTACCAGGCGGCGGACAGACCAAGGAGCAGATTGACTACATGGAGGACGTTGTGATGCTTGTGTTTGGGTATGGCCGGTTTGGATGCTTAGGTAAGCCGGTGGCGATGATGGAGTTAAACAAAACTGTTGCTGAGGTGAGTTTCCTACATCTCCACATTATTTTAAGATATCAGAATGGTTGACCAGCGTCTTGCAGCTCCTCCTCCGCTTCACCTTCCAGGTCGCTAACCCCGCCTACCCCTTCCTCGAAACCTGCATGGGCTTCTTTCTGCACGACGACATGTTCTTCCGCGTGACGGAGCGCAAGACCACGCACCACACAGCCTCCAAATCCGAGGTCGAGCGTGAAAAGGAGGCCCAGGAATACTTCCAGGCCTACCGTATGCGCATCGGACAGCCCGGCATCGCGACCAATGAAGCTCGAGCCGATGGCGGCGCTAACGTGCTCTTGGAGGTCTAGTGCCTAAGACGTCTCTCAATGAACTTTCCGTGCGGTACCGGTGTTCAAAAGTTCAAGGCGTCGGGTGTTTCTCCGGGAGCTGGACCATTGCGGTAAGGCGATCAGGGGCGGACGTTTGACCTCGGGCTTTTGTGGCTTGTGGCTAGCTCTTATGGCGTTACGGTACCGATAATGGGTGGATTCATTGTGTCACTGTTCAGTTGACGTGCAAGAGGGGCTGGGTTGGTGTATCACTTTCTTAAGCTCCGTCGTGAGCCTAGATCCTAGAATTACTGCACTCTTCTGCCTTCTGAGCTAGGGCTGTGGAGGATACGAGCTAGGCAGAATAGCTAGAACAGCTAACTACAGGGAAAACACTCAAATCACCTGGTATCCACCTACGCTGACACCTAAATCCTGCTTATGCACATCCCCTCACTACTTCTGTACGCCAGAACCCGATCGAACAATTTTCAATGCCGTCCTCCCACACCCCGATCTGCCCCCAACGCTTCTCCACGTCAGGCCCACCCAATAGGCCCTCTGCCCTCCATGCTGTCACATCCTCAGCTCCACCACTCCCTCGCCACTTTCTTACTGCTGTGCGCTCGTCTAAAAACCCCTCCCTCCCTCCCTCGCTCACCACCCGCCCACTAATTTCTCCTGCGCGCTCCTCAATCCCCCCGCCACCCGATCACCCCTCTGTACGACTGTGATCAGTAAATCCCCCGACTGCCTCTACCCATGCCTCGCTGATCCCCCCCCATCTCCCTCCCTCCCTCCCTGCCTCCCTCCTCGCCTACAGAGCACCCGCTTCGGGCAGATCGACGCGTCGTCGTACTGCATGTCGCGGGGTTTCAAAGTCCCGCTTCGCGTGGAGGGGGAGGCGGGGCGGGGGGGGCGCAACACCCTCGCCCGAAGGGGCATCGCCTGATTTCCAAACGGCGGAAGAGAGATGGAGATCAGGTGATGTCGGTCTTCGGTGGTGGTGGTGGTAGTGGTGGTAAGGGTCGGGAAGTTTTGGGTTGGTTGGTGCCATCATCTGTGTCGGAAAGGAACCGCTGCATCCAGCATCCAGCATCCAGGACCCAGGAGCTGAGATATTGTGGCGAGCTGGAGCTGAGTGGACCCGGGAGGCCGAGGTCCTGTACTTTCGTGATATACATAAGCAGACCGGGGTTCGTACCGTGCGGGAGGCGCGGCAAGGTAAGAGAAATCCGCTTCGTGCTATAGATCGATTAAGACTTTCATCTTATCTTCACGATATCAAGAAAAAGGCAATTAAAGAGGCAAGCTGTCCATAAACTACAGCTATCTACACCCATACCAATCCAACGCAGACACAACATCCAGAAGTCCCCATCCGAGCAAGGTAACACGAATCCTCCTAACAGAAGAAGAATCCGCATCGGCCCGTCCGCGACTCCCCAATACATACCAACCCAATCCAACCCGCCCAATAAGACAGCAATAGATCAAAAAGCAGTACATAGATACAGACCGTGAAGCCGCTTCCAAAAAGCTGAAAAGTGGGGGCAAAAATCACATTCATTCTTCTTCTTCGTTCGTTAAAGAATATGGGTGTGTGTGATATCATAGATTCCTCGCTCGTCGTTCGTGAAGAAAAAGCCGCTATGCAGAAACACAAACATTTGTTGGTTATGAGATCAGATCAGATGTAACAGGGAAATCAGAGAGTGGGTCGGTTTGAAAAAAAAAGGTGGATACTGGACACATCGACAATGATAGATGTGGCGTTTAGAATCCCTTGCAATCCAGCTCCAATCGAGGAGACAAAGGATAAATTGAAGTGAAACATTGGAAATAAATCGTGTAGTTTCCAAAATTGACAGCTAACCCGGACGTGTGTCCGATAAGTGTAGAAGAAAAGGTAGTAGCTTGATAAAAAAGATCAAGGTGCAAAGCAAAAAATTCACAATCATCGACCATTTCATCAACACATATGAAAAGAGATCTCCTCGTCGCCAAAGTCAGATTCGTAAGACAAAAAGAAAAATAATCCGTCGTCGCCCCAGAGTGAGTGAATATAGTTGGTTAAGAATGTGGGAGATGTCGATAATCTAGCACAATCATGGGCGACCGGGTCGTTTGTAACATGGCGTTCGAGACGCCGGGGAATCAAAAAAGCAGCGTGTTCGTAAGAATGGTACCGCTCCGTAAATAAATAGCATCGTGCTTTTCTCGTTTCAGCCATAGGGTCGTTTCAGTGAAGACTCTTCGGTCGTTTGACACGTTGAGACCGTGATTCGTTAATGATGGGTCGAGCAGCGGAAGTGTAGTAATTGGTGAGGATGGAGAACTTGGAAGAGGTGTGATGATGTGATGGTCAGAAGATGAGGTGGAAGCAAAGCACCGAGGTCGGTCGAGAAGTGCTTAGTTGGCGCGGATGACGAGTTTCGAGAGGAACTTGTTCGAGAGAGAGTCGAAGTCGTTGCGGTCGAACTTGGTCTCGCTCCTTGACTTGAGGTAGGTGTCGTACTTGGAAACGTGCGCCCTGACTTCAGTCATGGCATCGCAGACCGCCGGGTTGGAGTTTAGCAGGTGGTGGTGCTTCTGGGTGTCCCACTCGTTGAAAGCTGGCAGCTTCTGGGAGATGGCGGAAAAGAGGCCGACAATGACGCCGACGGGAGTGCTCTCCATGTCGGTGCAGAACTTGGCGACGGCGCCTTGGTCGGGCACGCGGTAATGGCAGTCGAATTGCATCAACTCCCAAACGGCAAGCAGGATAGCTGCAAGCATGAAGATGGTAGGCCAGTTCTTGAGCTTCTCACCGCTGTATACTGAGGAGTACAGAGCGGAGAGCTCTTCCAAGACGTCCTTCTGCAGCTCACGCCACATGTCGGCCAAAGCGCACTTGACTTGGAAGTTGATCATGACGGGGGCGAGAGTCCGACCACAGAACTTGCTGGTGTTGTCTTCCACCTTGCCAATGCGGAGCTCCTCTTCGGAAAGACCGTCAACCATCGTAACGTGAAGAGTGAGGTTGTACGCAACGACAAGCTTGAGAGCCTTGCGGATAACGGGCAGCTTCTCCCGTTGGTAGTAGCGGTAAGCGGTCTTCAGGATCTCGGTGAGGAAGTAGGTGCCCTCAAAGTACTCGTCAACGAATTGCTCGAAGCCACCATCAATGTGGCGGTCAAGGTACTCCGAAAGGAGCGCGCGGGACACGCCATCAATACCGGCCGAAAGCTTAGCGGTGTTGACTTCAAACTCCCTGGGTGTCTCGTGAAGAGACTCGACCCAATCGACGTCAAAGCACTTGTCGTCACGGACGAAGACCTCGCGGGCATTGATGGGCAGATAGTAGCCGTATCCGTGGGTGATGTAGAGCGGGCGCTCCTGTTGCGAGAAACCCTTGATGTTGCCAACCGAGAAGCCCAGGCTGACGTGACGCTCAAAGTCCGCCTTCCAGTCCTTCATGAAGTAGGCAATGTCCTTGATGTCGATACGTGTGCACGGAACCTGCCATAACCGGGCGTGCGATGGCTGGCAGCCGGTACATGGGTCACCTTTATCACAGGTCTTCTTCAAGAACTTGCAGCGTAAGCAGGCCCTCAACTTCCTGATCTCGTGCGCCTGTTGCCGCTGCTCCGGCTTCAACGGTCCCCGCCTTCTGCCAACACGCTTCTCCGTCAAATGGTCCTTCTTGGTCGAGTGCGAGGGCGTCTTCTTCACAATAGTCTTGGCAACCTTGCTACCAGTAGGGCTCTTCTTTCTGCGAGCACTGGGCGGCGAGTTGATTGAGGAAGTAGTCGGCGAAGTGGAGGGAGACAAAGACTGCTTGATCGGTATCGGTAAAGCGGGGACGGTCTGCGGGCTGACGGAGGAGTGGGAGTGGTCGGGAGAGTGGAAGTGGTAGTCGTGATCGTGGTGGTGCGTTAGGCCATAGGCGTGCGAATGGGCAAGATCCAGGGTGTTCTCGACTTCGGACTGGGGCGAGTTCATAGGGAACTGGATCTCCTCATAGCTGCTGAACGAGTGGGCAGACCGCGGGGCATCGGACTGTTGCGACGAGTCGGAGTTGGTTCGGATGTGAAGGGTCTGACTCGGGTTGAAGATGGCCATGCCGCTAGTATTGTCGTTCGTAAAGTCGAAGGAATGGCGGTGACCGTGCATATCGACGGTGCTCCATCCATTGTCGCTACTTGAGAGCGAGCGGACCTCCATCCAAGTCTCCGCGGGCGAGGCACTGGCAGCACTGGCGGGCACGAGGTCGGTCGACGTCAGGTCGTTGTTGTTGACGGGGTAGTTGAGCAACTCCTGCTGGAAGTCTGCCATCTGGAAGGGGGCTGACATCTGAGTCAACTGGTTCATGTCCATCGGCGCCGACATGGCCATGAAGTTGGAAGCGTTGTCCATTGACAGAGTCGTGTTCATCATGGCCTGCGAGGTGGATATGAACTCGACGGGCGAGGTCTGGAGAGCACCGCCATAAGTCGAGTAATGCTGCGCGTCCTGGGGGTAAGACTGCGTCGTCGGCGGGAGCTGAAACCAGTCGGTCAGCAGGCCGTGCTGCGTACTCAGCGCGGTATTGAAGGGCACTCCGTTCGTCTGGAGGGGAGCAGCCGTGGCCGACTGCGAGCTCGCAATGGCGGAGGTGGTGTTGAGGCGCCTCTGAGGCTGGTGGGAGTGGTTGTGAGACATGGAGTGGTCGACGGGGACGGGCCAGGAATTGGGATGGCCGTAGAAGCGCTGGCTGTGCGGATCGTAGGCGTCGAAGGCCAGGAAGGCGTCGGTCGAGAGGTCGAGGTTCTCCATCGTGATGTTTTAGGAGAAAATAAGACTCGGTCAGCTGGGGCGCGGTGGTGAGCAGGCGCTGCTCAGGCGGTGTGATTGTTGAGGATGGCGGGTCGAGCTCGTCGTGGGCCGGAGGCGAGGGCAGACTGATCAAGGCCGTGCGCGCCAAGGCCGAGCGACTTTTGCAACTGGCGGTCAGCACGACGGCGCCGAGCGTGGCCTAGCACTCTGCACGCCGTGCAGCAGCGAGCGCCCGCCGCCAATGGGCCCGCCGCATCGCTGGCAACGACAGCTGGACGGGCGGGCGACGGGCGGGCGACGGGCGGCGGGTCTGGCGACGACGCCTGCAAATCAGGTGCCGGGCTGGCAGCGCGTTGCAGCGCGTTGCAGGCCCATCCTGAAGCGGTGCAGCTGCCGAAGCCGACGCCGCGATCTGCTACCGCCCGCCAGCCCCGCGATGCAGACAACAGCGACTCCTCGAGCGAACTGGGCACTGGGCTCTGGGCGCTGGGCACTGGGCGCTGGGCACACGCTCTCACGATGCAAACTCGCGCTGGCTGCTGTCGACCCGAGCCGACTCCGCTGGCCCCGGGGCACTGCTCCAGCCGCGGGGAGCCCCTCCTCGGCGCTCTCCGCACCGCCGTTTGCCAGAAGAGACGCTGCCACCCCGGCCAATGGACGCCGCAGCCGGCTGACGTGCCCGGCTGCAGCCAGTGAGGGCCCCCGGAGAGTGCGCAATCGAGGCGCTGCGACGCCTCCCGTCCAATGGAGCTGCTGCGCCTCTGGCGATAGCCCAGATAAGGGGGGTGATCTGGCATTCCGCGCATGGGAGCGAAGAGTGGAGGAGGGGTGCCCAGTGGAGTCCGTCATCATGCTTCTCCAGCAACAGGCCCATCCAGTGCCACTCCGGCTTGCCCTCGCAGAGTACACCATCGGGAGAATGCCATCGCGGAGACAGCTCGGCGTAACCGTGACAGCGACCTCGTTAATACCACCCCCTCGACAGTCCAACGTGCTGCGCCCGCCACCCTTCGCGGCGCGCTCAAACGACTGACTCCAGACGAGACGAGTGGAGCCGCGCTCACCGTATCGCCAACCGCGCTGTGCCTCGCCGAGTCCGCCTCGGCCGTCGAAAAGGTCGGCAGGAAAACGCTAGGAAATCCCAAAAAAATACACACCATACTCCACGCGCCGCATTCTTGGGCGCTTCCTCGTGCGCGCTGTCCCATCGTCGCGCCCACTGGGATCCATCTTCTGCAGTCGCACCGCTCACGCGTCGTGCGACCGCCGTGCCTGCCTCTCCCTCTTTCTCGCCCGCCGACGAGCGTTTTGGGAGCTGCACGTTCAGCCGCCCCATCCCTAGCCATGCGTCTTTGCCTCCATTGCCGCCCTTCTTCCCGCCCGCCCTGCTTTGGAAATCGTCCCAACGGCCCTCGTCGTCGCAGCACGCAGGCCGGTGCTACCGCGGGCGTGACAAACCGCGTGAGGCGCCTCGTGACTTTGGCTCCGCGTTGATGGGCGCTGGGAATGCACCCCTAACGTAACTCCACCTCTGCATCGCGGTCCGACGTCTGCAGTTCCTCGCATGAAGAAAAGCAACCGAGGCTCCAGCTGTCATGTCATGCAGCGCCCGCCCCGCCCGAACCGCTGGGGTACAGTGCCATTTCACCAGTCGGTGCCGCCGACTTCTCCGCTCCCTCCTCACAGCAGCTCTCGTCGTGAGGATTGTGGAGATTGACCTGCATCACAGCCAGCCGCCGCCGCGTCTCCGGTCGCACGAATGTACCCGCTGCCGTTGTGGAAGCCGTGGTTGCACTCCCGGCCTGTTTCAATGCATGGTACGGGAGCTGGAAGGGCTTAGCTGGGGCGCTGGGCAAGAGTACTGCTGACGACGACGTTGGAGAAGAGAGGAGTGGATGGTGAGGTGAGTGCTGATTCGGGTCTCAGATTAACGTCGAAACAAGCGGTGGTCTGTGGGCTGCTGTCGTTCATGTTGCTGAAGCCGCATCGGGAGTTGCGTTAGAGGGATGCCATGCGGCGTGACTCGCATGTGCAGTAGTTGGAGATCAATTGATGGTTGGTGTGAAGATATGTGGCAGGTAAGTGGACTGGCGCTAATGAAGATGATCGAGAGGATCGGAGGCATGAAGACAGTTCATTCAGGTATGAAATCCTAATGAGCACTACTCTCCATTACAAGAGTCGTAGACTTGGAGTGGAGATTATCAAGCCTCGCATCCAGCCATGCACTTCCTCTCCATCATAGTTGGCGCAGCGGTAAGTCATGTCAAGTTTAGAAGCCATTCTCCAAAGTCAACTAGCAGTTCAGCACTCGTCTGTAGCCTCAATCAATTCAATCGTCCACCTCGCTTTTCTTCAATGTGTATGCAGGTACCCTGCTCGCTATTCTCGCTATGTCGAGCTTGACTACACCCGAGACCTGCGCTACCCAGGAGTAAGATAACCCCTAAATCGACCATCAGTTTGTTCAAACTTCTTCAGATAATTATTTCTCCGCCCTTTCTCCGCTAGAATTACTGCCTCGGCGTATGAGCGAGCCGTGGACTCGCTGCAACGACTCAAAGAAAACCCCACCTACCTCACCTCACCACAACACCCACCACTCCTCTACAAACACCGACTCAACCATCCCCACCCCCCCAACAACGCCGTCGCCCCCGTAAACAAAATCATCGGCCCATAGCCACTCCCATACCCCCACCTCCCATCCCTCATCCACCCATCCTCCCGCAACAACGCCACACTCAACGGCCCACTAATCACATTCCCCACCCCGCGGCCGCCCGCCAGCAACCCAAACACCAGCCCCGTATCCAGCGCGGGGCTCTCCGCCTTCAACTCGGTCAACACGGCGCTCCACGTGCTGCTAAAGCCGCCCGCGAAAAACCCATACACAAGCGCAAACACGACCAGCAGCGCCACCTGGCTCGCGAAGCCCCAGAACAGGAACACGGCGGCCGCGCTGCCGAGCGAGGTGGCGAGCACGACGGTGCCGACGCGCAGGCGGTCGCCCAGCATGCCGATGACGATGCCGCCGGGCACGGACGCGGCGCCGAAGAGCGCGAGCAGCAGCGTGCCCATGGCCGTCGTGCTGTGGGCTTCGTCGACGGCGTACTGCGACAGGTAGGTCGTGGGGAGGAAGTAGCCGAGGGATTGCAGGATGTTGCCCGTCTGCAGCATCCAGAAGGAGGGCAGGCGCAGGAAGGCGAGGGACATGCGGCGCACGGTGTGGGTGCGGGAGAGGGGGATGCGCGGGCGCAGGAAGTAGAGGAGGGGCGCGGTTAGGAGGATCTGAGGTCGAGTTATCAGTCACGTGTGGTGGAGTTTTGGGGTTGGTGGGGAAGAAGGGGGGGAGGGCGATGTACAATTGCTACGGTCCATGCGCGGAGTGTGGTTCGTGAGCCGTAGCGTTCTAGACTGGCGCTCATGATGAAGGGGAGGGCGACCCCGGCGATGCTTTTGCCTGCCCACATGATGCCGTAGGCGAGCCCCTTGCGGCGCACGAACCATTCGTCGAGATACAGCGTGGTGGGCGCGAAGAGCATGCCAGCTCCCAGGGCGCACATGACGCCTTGGGTAGCGATGAGCTGCGGGACGGAGGTTGCGAAGGATGAGATGAGGAAGCCCACGGCTATGATGACCAGCCCAATGGGACCAACCCAGCGACGTAGACGTGGCCATCGCGACAGAACCGTGAAGGTGATTGGCGACAAGAGGTACATAACGCCCTGCAGCAGTTCGGTTAGTGTCGTACGGGCAACCTGCAGCGACTGCGTACGGTGGTTGTTGTCCCAATCACGGCAACGTTAGAGGCATCGCCGTTGATCTCCTGCGGGTGTTTTGAATAGTATTCCTGAAACACGCCGAATGTGAGAGAGAAGCCTGGGTTACTGTAAGTAATAAACGATGGAGCTCTGCTTCTAATGGCTCCGTACCCCAGACAGGAACCTGGATTAGAGAGCAGCCGGCTAGGAAGAGCCATGCGGCCATTCCTGTGTCTGTCGGCGGCAGAGATGGCTGCTCAATCTCCCTGGCGCGGGAGTCGGTTGATTGGCGCGCAGGTAAAGCGGTCGCATTTTCGCTGCGCAGTTGTGTGGAGAGGTTGGACAAGCTTTGGAGCTCAACGTCTGATTGAGGAGATGCCATGTTGTGCTGACCATGAACCGATCTTGGTTCTATGGGGAGGAAGTTGATTCTTGCGGGGTAGATGTCTGGGGTAGACGTGCGATAAATTGAAGTTTAGATGCCGCAATCCTGGGCAAGTACTCGCTTGACTTTATACATAGATTTGAAGAGTTGATAAGAGACTGACTGACTCATGGGAAGTTCTTCTAGGAATAACCGGCACGATGCAGTGATGTTGAAAATGTTTCCCACAATCCTTACAAAGGCAAAAGGTCAGTAGTATCATTGGTCGGTCGGGGCCGCATGCTGGGCTAAGAGCGCCACTGACGATGGCCGTCCTATCACGACTTCATAAACAATGGGTTCGAACAAGGCTGGCCAAAAATACCTCATAGCCCTGGAGGATTCGTTTGCCGCTCGCCGGAGCACTAGCCTTTGCTGAATATCACTGTTATTGCTGTAATTGAGAATGACACACTCGGAGTCTTCAGTGGCAGAACAGTGCACGTGGATCAGCGACGAGAGACTGTTTAGCGACGAGAGACTGTAACCATAGACCATGTGAGGTGGTCCGACAAGGTACTTTGCCTGCCAAATTGATGCGCAGTTCCTTCAAATTGTCAAATGAGGCAGAAGCACTTCACGCGGTGGGATGCAAGTGCACCCAGACTGAGGGAGGCAGGAGACGATAGTTCATGAGAGCAACTTCTATACTCGAGTTGGCAGACACCAGTTAAACACATCCACATCCCAAAGCTTCACTTCAACCATCGGTATCCACATACCAAAGCTTCACTTCATTCATCGATTCCAGCATACCTACCCAGTGTCAAACCACTTCATAAACAGTACCCGGACGGAAGAACCCTACACGTAGATCACGATTACTACGAGGATACAGGCAGCCCAGCCAATGAACTTTCCGAATCCACCGCCGAATCACATGCCCCAGATCCGAAGAGAGGTCATGACCCGGGACGCAAATGGCAATGTTGCGTTCTCCACCATGCCAGTGAACATCCCGACGAGACCCTTCAACGCACCACCCTTCACCACACCTTTCGTCTCACCATTTTCCACCGCACCACCCCCCGGGGGCCCCGTGAGCGGTATTGCTTTCTGCCACCTAGTCATCTCCCCCGATGAGCCATCCAAACCGATAGCCGAATTTTTCAACCCCGATGCTCACAAGGGACTTGCTGTGGAGGCTTCAAACCTAGTCCAGGCTGGCTGCACGGGTATGAGCCATGTCGATATCCCTCCGCAGTCCGGGTGGAAGGTATCTCGAACCGAGGGCTATGAATACGGCGTGGTGTTGGAGGGAGAGGTTCTGCTGAAGCTGACTAGTGGGGATAGTCGGGCGTTGAATAACTAGTTAGAGGGGATGTGGTTATTCAGCAGCGGACGGCGTGGCACGTGTGGAGCAACAACAAATATGCGCGGTGAGCGAGGCTGCTGTTCGTGCAGCACCCGTGTTCGCCGCTCGAGACCCGGCAGCCGCGCCCCGGGGGGACCTAGGTTGGCTAGCGTGTTAGAGCTACGTTTGCCAGACCGAGGGTCGTCGTCGAGGGGAGGAAACGGGTTGGAGGGAGGTCGTATCGTGATAGCATAGCTAAGAGCTCGTAGGTTTTCACTCGAGTTTGTAACTGATACTGTCACGCTGCCTCGTTTTATAGCGCCTCGTCATAGAAATTCGTACACTCGTTTTCCACGGCATGAGGAGCTTCATAGGGTTTTCAGCATTCTAAAAAAAGAGAAGTTCGGCATTTTGAACAATTAGTAAACTTGTGAGGCTACCCCAGACAGCGTCAACAGGGCGCACGCAGGTTGGAAGTGTCTCTGCTGCTCCTGGTTTCTATTAGTACGATGGAGCCCCACAGACAGTGGCAGGAAATTGTAAAGATATCTACGACAAGGTACTGTACCTCAAGATCTCATCAATTGCCTTCACGTCTTCTAAAAGTTGCTCATCTTCTAGGCGCTGTCCGACTAGCTGCAACGCGATTGGCGCACCAGCCAATTCCTTTGGATCATCTGCAGAGCCGTCAATTCAGCCGATAATGCTCGTGGGCTAGGGGGTCCGTAGATGCTTACACATAGCTTGTATCTCAGCATCGAGCGCAGAAATAGGCTTGAAATCTTCGTACTTCTTGTCCTTCTCCGGATCCACCGTGTCGTAAGGGATAATGACGGCGGGAAACTGATGGGTTAGGTCAGTGCTCTGTAAGAATCAAGTGAACCATGAAACTTACATCCACAACATTGACCCAGACCGTATACATATCAATCCGCCAATCGTCCGGCTTGACCGCCGTAAACGGCCCAGCCGGGCACAAACCCACATCAATACCCTGCTCCTGCCACGCATCAACCATCTGCTTCTGTAGCGCCCCTTTCTTCGCATTCCACTCCCACACCTCTTCCGGCTCTTTACGCGGCATATCCCAGAACCCGATTTTGTTGACTGAAGGTACCGGAGGCTCCCCAGCCTTGCCCAGCTCGCGTTTAGCATACGACATCCCGTCGATAGTAAACAGCTCAGCAGCGACTTTCCGAATCTCTGCAAATGTTGACGGCGGCACAAACTCCTTGACCTGGAACCCGGCCGCTTTGAGCTTGGCCACGGCTTCGAAGATGGCGCGCCGGATGGGTGGATGCACGGTCAACCCGCTTTGGCGGATTACACCGACTACTGGCTTTCGTGAAGAAGTGCCAGCTTCGTAGACATGCGGGATGATGGAGGGGTCAGCGAGCCATGGTTTCTTCTCGCGCACTACGCGTGTTAGGAGGGAGAGGTCGCGCATGGAGCGGGTAAGGGGGCCACAAACGGCAGGGATGCCGGTGTTCATGCCGGCCCAGTTGGAATTTGCGTAGCCGAGCATGGGAAGGAGACCGAAAGAAGGCTTAAAGCCGTAGACGCCGTTGGCGGCGGCGGGGATCCTGATAGAACCTGCGACGTCGGTGCCAATGCCTATTGCGCTGCCTCCGAAGGCCATCAAGCTACCCTCTCCTCCACTGCTTCCACCGCAGGTCAGGTGGGAGACTACTGGGTTCTTCGTCTGGCCGAACACGTTGTTGTGTGCTTCGGCGACTAGCATGGTCTGGGGGACGTTTGTTTTGGCGATGACTACTGCGCCTGCTGAGTGCACGACCTGGATGAGATAAGAGTCGTACGTTGAGGGATCGAAGCATCTTGAAATGTATCCATCGCTGGCATCATAGCCCTTAGCATGGAAGCACTCCTTAAAGGTCATGGGGATGCCATGGAGAGTGCCCAGTGTCTTGCCAGTTTCCTTGAAATGCGCATCAAGCTTCTTCGCTTCCTCAAGAGCATCCAAGAACATGATCTCCGTTAGACAGTTGCAAATCTGCTGTGCAACAGCTGCTCTCTTGCAGAAAGCTGTTACGACTTCGATGGCCGTGAAGCTTCCATCTGCTAGCTTCGCTGCTAGGGATGTGGCATCGTGCTTTTCTCCAGTGATCTCCAACTCTTTTTCAGTGAGTATGCCCGAGGACGCTGCATATGGCCGAAGATCAATGGTTCCTTTCGGAGGTATTTGCGAATCTGAGATTATCCACTCTGGTGGAATGCGAGATATCTGCTCTTTCTTCTTCTCTGAGGCGATATCTTGCCATGCTTTGACGGCCATCGAGATAGTACAGAATAAGGGTAAGGAAATAGGTAATATACTTAGGTAGATTTCCGAAATTCCTTTGAAGCACTTCACACGGCGTTAAGCAGTGCCAACAAACTCAAGGCTAGGACTAGTAAATTCAGGGCATGAATGAGTGAAAGATCAAATAACTTGAAACTTGTAGGAGCTTGACATGTGAGTTGAGATTAGATTGATTGATAAGAGAGGTTATGGAGTTCGAGTCGACCAATAAGGAGGTGCATACAGCAGTCCTCAGCGCCTGTATCTACCACACGATGTCACCAGACTGGTGCATACTCCGAGCATCGGGATGACATGGGAGTTGAGTGAAAGGTGGGAGAAGTGGAGACGTTGCTATCGATAGCTTAAAGATTACGCGATTTGATAGAGTCTAGCTCACGGGATGCCTAACTAGGAAAGGTGGGCCGTGGCTGACTTGACTTAGTCCCGTCTCGACCAACCTCCGACTTCACTGCTTCCTTTTCCAAATTCCATCTCCAAATCCCATGCGTTGAATTGTACTGGCATCATCTGATTAACTGGAGCCGAGATAGCATAGTGACTGGCAGGGCCGAGAGTGTTATCGGACAACCTCAAATTCATCATGCAACGTCGATCGAGAACCGGCTGTATTGACTGTCGGCGTGCAAAAGTGAAGTGTGACGAGGCTGTTCCTACCTGTGGTACTTGCGAACGACGTGGCAGACGATGCCAAGGGTATGCGTTTGACAGAAGGACGGTACGTCGGCTGTATATCTGAATTTCCGTAATCGTCATTCTAATTCAAGTGCCAAGGAAGAGGAATATCAAATGGAAGTCAATCATTACGGTTGACGATCAACAGAAGCATGAAAACAACAACGAATCGAACAGGCATCTAAAGAGGAAGAGAAGTGAAAGTGATTCGATCCAGTCCACTTCACCGCCAGAAGTAGAACAAAGTCCAAATAGTCTCGCAGAACAGCCCGAAGATGATAGCCCGACAGAAGTTGTGACTCTACGTATAAGCGACTGGGAGGTGGTGGAAGCGAATCTACTGTCCACTACTGATCTGTCTCCTTTTCCAATAGGCGATTGCTCTCCGGAAGATAGGTTAGGTCTATGTGCCTACTTCGATCGCCACCCGCATGAGCTAGTGATTGGCTCAGAACCTGAGTTCGTGAAAGACATGAATATGCATTTTCTTTCCGTTTTCCAGCAGAATCCCGAGGCCATGAGGGATGTACTTTGCGGGATAGGCCAAGTCTATCTGCACCGTATGGGCCAGTCTTCATCGCTTGTGCGAGCATTGGATAAGAGAGCAAAAACATTAGCCAGAATTAGGTCTAGGAACGAGATTCCTCCGAACATTGAATTCGTTCTGGCGATCATCCTGGGTATATGTGGCTTAGAGGTATGTATATATTTCATTAGTCCGACTCGGCTGACGATCAATTCCAGCTCATCGATACCAACTACGGCCCTGGCGATTTCTCCCTGCAAATATTGCATAGCACCACTGCCGTGTTCGTCAATCAATATCTTAGCACCGGGTCTATTCTCAGCGCCACATCTAAATTCTTTCTTCGAGGGCTTGCCCGTCAAGAGATGATGATTGCGATTACTCAAAGGCGGCGTCCGTCCATTGCTTGCTCACTGTGGCTGGACTCGGAATGCTACAATACTGCAGACCGCTTTATGGGGTTTACGATGACAATTATGCCCCTTTGGGAAGAAATATGTGGCCTGGCTGAAGACATGAAACGGAAACTTGCACCTTGCTCTTTTGAACATGACCTTGTTTTATCGAGAGCTGAAGCGACAATGACCACATCTCAAACCCAGACTTCGTTGGAAACAGCGATACTGCACTCCCGAGCGGCCGCGCTGCGAACTCGACTGGAATCGTGGCATCCCCCATCCATCCCTAACTTTTCCGGAAGCTCATCCCAGAAATTCTTCCGCCATGCTGCTACTTATCGAAGCGCCGGGCTGCTATATCTTCATCGACTGCTTTACATGCCTGGCCAGTCAGCACCAGCCGATAATATTGCTCTCTCCCTTGCCTACGACATCTTCGCTCATTTGACTGGACCCTTTTCATGGCTTCGCCTTTCCTTGCTACCCACCCTGATTGCTGCATGCGAGTTTAGGAGGGATGATGACAGAAAGATGGCGTTGGGTCTTTTTGAAGGGATGTACGGTAGCCGGAATACTTTCACTACGGACACGACGAAGAGATTTGTCGTGAATAGGGTGTGGCCGTCATTGGATAGCGGAGAGGAAGTGTCGTGGATGGAATTAGCGGATAGATACCCTGGGGAATGCGTACCAATATGAATATTTGAGTGTCTCGCTATATTGTATAATTAGCTCATTCAGATAGTTCGAGTTGGCCACGGCTGCGAGAAGTCCAAGTAGTTCTCGACATCTCGTGAACTCACCACAGCATTTTCACTCCAGTCCACTAAGTCTGCGGACTAAATGCTATCGATAGCCTAATTTTCTCCCATTTAAGTCAAAGTTCAGCGATTAGGGTTAAAAACGAACTCTCGTGACGCCATTAATATAGGAACTAAATGTACAGGGCAACCTAGCGCAGAAGCTCTGGGCCCTAGTGGTAGATTTTTTCTAATGACACAACCAACCATGCTATGCAAACCTCAACTCTTAAACCTAACAGCTCAACCAACCACTTATGATACCCCTCAAACGACGCCAACTCCTCCAATCTCTCACTAAACTACCCCTCACCCGTTCCCTCGCAGCAAAAATGCAACCAGCAACTCTTCGCCGCCACACTGAACGGGCAAAGTACGACATCGGCTCCATCTCTACCGTCTTCGACCAAAGCTTCTTCGCTCATGTAGCCTTCGTAGACTGCAACGGCCTTCCCCAATGCCTCCCCATGATCGCCCTCCTCCGAAACATCGGCGAAGACACAGACAGCCCAGATACAGCCGTGTATCTCCACGGCCACCCCCAGTCCGCCCTCATGGAACTAGTCAAAAAGAGTGACGACGAGCAGAGCCAGCCAATCAAAGTCAGCGTGACGGCTACGAAAGGTAAGCAGCTCTCTTGTCACGCTGGGCGTGAAAAAAGGTGGTACACTCGTCAAGCATTCTGCCTCGTGTGTACACCTGTCTGCCACTGCTTGGGGTGCTTCGGTATGTTCTTAGGAACTTGAAGGAGATAGAAGCCCTTCACTTTGGGCTACGTGGAAACTCGCTGAAGCACCCCAATCAGTGGCAGACAGGTGTACACACGAGCCAGCTTGTTTCTAGAATTAGAGTGCCACGAGTGCCACCGTTTTCATGCCTCACGTGCTTGTCGACCTGCAGTTAAAACCTCAATCAAATCACGTGCTAGCACGTCTCCTGTTTGCACCTCCCTAGGTAGACAGCATCAACGAACTAACTATATAATTGACGGCCTCGCCCTCTCCTCCGCCCCAAACGGCCACACCTTCAATTACCGAAGCGCAACCGTCCACGGCACCTGCCACCGCGTGCGTGCGCGCCCGGCCAAGCAGCGCATCATGCACGAAGTCACGAACCACATCGTGCACAACCGGTGGGAGGACGTTAACCCCATCGCCTCTTTCCAAGTCTCCCTCGTCTTCGTCATCCGCGTCGAGATCGACAAGCTGAGTCTGAAGTTTCGTGAAGGACCGCCGGGGATCCAGCCACGGGATGTGGAGAAAGACGGGCCGGATAGGGAGGGGGACGTGTGGACGGGCATCGTGCCGCTGTATGAGCACCTGGGGGAGCCGGTGGAGAGCGGGTTGACGCCTGGGGTTGCGGTGCCTGAAGGTTTGAAGAGGTTTATTGGGGAGAGGAATCAGCGACAGAGCGAGCATGCGGTGGAGGTTGCGAAATGAACATATGATACAGTGCCTTGTCATAGATATCTTTACACTTTCCTGCGATGGTCTGTGGGGCTCTAACGTACTAATAGAAGTCGGGAATAGTAGATACCACTTCCAATTTACGTACACCCTGTTAACATTGTCCAGGGTAGTTAGCCTCGCAAGTTTACTAATTGTCCAAATGCCAAGTTTCTCTCTTTTTGGGAATGCTGAAAATACTATAAAGCTCCTCATGCAGTGACAAATGAGTGTATGGATTTCTATGATGAGGCACTGTAGGGAAATTTGCGAGAATGGCAGTGCTAGAGCCTGGGCTTCATCAACCTAGTCAGTGCAAAACCACTGCATATCGATCAGGAACAATTGAGGTCGCTCTACCTAAGCTGTCTTGACTTTTACGTTTTATCTGAAATCCTGATAATGCAATGCAACCATGAACCTGTAAAGAACGAACATCACTCGTCTCCATCTTCCCATTCGTTGAAAATACTATCCAAGTTACCGTCATCACTATTGCCACCACTACGCATTCTCTCCCAAGCGGCAGAACTGGCTCCAGGGTCATCGCTGTCATATGCGGTATCAGTATTCGGGTCCGCGTCTCGTTCAAAGCCCACCTCCAGGACTTCAATGAGCTCTGTGAGCATCTCGGGCATTGTCCGACTCTCGTCGTCGTCCTGGTCGTTCACATTGATATGATGACACCAAATGTCCGCGAAGGGAAACGTGATCCTCTCGTCGCCTTGTATTGGGTATTCCAAGTGCAAGACTTCAAGTTGCAACGAATCTCGGATGGTCTCAAAAAGCGAGCGCCAGGTACCGTAGTGCATTCGTGAGTATTCGAAGTGGAGTGTGCGAAGAGTATTTTTGTGTCTGATGACTAGAGCCGCGACGTCCTCTTCGTCAAATTGGGTTCCTACGAAATGTAGTTTTTTTTAATTTCGAAAGCTGGACGGCGTTGGCGATGGACTTGACAATAGCGATGCAGTATCTGGAGCCATAGCCGATGGCGTCGAGATGGAGAACGAGAGACTCCAGGACTGTAGCTGCGGAAAGGAACCGAGAGATCCCATGCTCCCAGCCAGGAAGCCTCGAACGACCATGGTATGAACCGCTGATCCACAATTCGAGGGAGCGGAGGCATACAAATGATTGTTCCAAACCTCGTAACACCGGCGGGTCGATATCGAAAGCGTCATGAGGGACGATGGCTCCTGATCGAGAAAATCCATGGACCTAAGGCTTGGTGACTGTTTTGAGCTTCTCGAGTGTGAGACCACTTTTTACAATTGCTGTCAGGATTTGCTGAAAGCAACAGGACGCATATGCAACCTGAGAAGACTTTTTGTATGTCCTCGTAGAGGTTGGAGACATCGTCGCTTGGTAGAAGCGTATGGCTTTGAGCTTAGGAAAATTCTCAAAGGCTTCGACGAGCATTTGACTAAGAGTTCCCTCGTTCTTACGCCCGGTCGCTTCGGCTTGTGCCATCATTGCCTTGTGAAACTCGTCCTCTGCTGCGGCTTTGGATTCAATCAGAGCTCTTATTTCTCGTTCGGCCTTCTTCTGACGCAACACTGTGAGGCCCTTAGTTACCTCAACGAAGTCCTCTGGGGGCACATCCGCTACAAAGTCTAGTTCTCGCATTGTTGAACCAAACTTTCCATGTTTGGAGATCGAGACAATATTCCCAAGGGATGGTAAGCTTAGTATGCAAACCCGTTCGGAAAAGAATGTGATGCCAAAAGAATGAAGCGACGACGCGTAGACGGTTTTGCACGAGAGTCGCAGAGAGCTGAAATCATCGAGTGAGAGATCGTCGGTGATGAGGTCAAGTAGTTCCGTTAGAAGTTTCTCGATGTGGTATCGTGGTTGCTGTAGGTGTACTTGGATGATGGGAGCTGAATGAGGGGATATGCAAAATCTGGCTACCGAAACTGCGAGCATCAGAATACGCAGGTTTACATAGTCTCACGATCGACGCCAGTCCCAGCTAGCTGCCCTGAATTTAAAATGGTATTCCATGGCGATAATGTCCAGGGTGGCTTCATGAGCTATCATGCTTGGCAAGATTGTCGTTCTTTATTTCTATAATGCGTTGGAGGACTTCAGACAGTCATAGAGCAGTGCACTGTAGACCTTGCTTCCTGCGTTTCTTCTTCGAAAAGTTCTGTTAAAGCACGTGAAAGACTTGCGACAGATGAAAGCAAGCTGCAGGTATATTGCAAAACGTGTTATGCAACGACAAGATGAGTTTGATCCGAGCGCTTAGAGCGCTCTCTAACTCACGCTTTTAAATGCTTCGCAACTAGTCTATAATTCTACTTGTGCGTCGTTCCACCCCAAACAGCGTTGGAAAAGCGCGCATGTACTTCATAATGTAGTCAACTTCCCCTGCCAAATCGTTTGCCTGTGTGGACCTGCGTCATATACCACCTCTGTGATTGTTGTCCGACATCGCCATCCTATATCAAGTCGATCGAACAGCACGAAGTCGGCAGGGTCTCCTACGGCCAAGTCGAGTGAGGTCGATGGAACTCCTATCACGGCTTTCGCCCGAGACGAAACACACTCCTGATCGATGTTATTTGGGAACGCTCGATGATAGCTCAACTAAATTACTCACATATAACACCTCGGCATCTTTCTTAGTACCAGCCTGGTATATAGCAACGCCTAAGCTAGCAACACTCAAGGGATCGCAATTACCCTGAGGAGTGAACGCATTGCCGACATTGTTTACAGCAATCGCCCCATCGAGCTTGTACTCTTCAATCATCTCTGGTATAGGCAACGTACCTCTCGCTCTAGATTCGGCGCGCATCATGAAGAGATCCGAGGTTGGAAGACCAACAAATGAGACGGGAAGGTCGCCAATTTCCTCCTTCAGCTTGCGCCAGTCTTCGGGTGAAAAGAGGGTTAGGCGTGTGCAGTGGCCGAGGGTTATGCCCTTTCCCTCTCTTTCTGTCCAATTTCGTCCTTTGAGGATTTCCAAGGCCGACCAAATCAAAGGGTCTTTACTTTTCTCAAGATTGTAGTCCAGGTGCAGGTCGAGCGGTTTACCATTAAATAAAGCCATCATACTTATCCAACGAATATTCATCTTCATTTTGACCTCATCTTGCTCCACGTAGGGGGTACTTCCAACGACATCGACTCCTTCACGATGCGCAGCTTGTGACATCAAGTCTCGGATCTTCTCCCCGCCATCATCGCCGGAGAACAACGGTAATTGTGCGAAGGCGCACAGTTGCACTTCACACCTCTCTTTAAACTCCTTCTTAAGCTTGAGACCGGCATCGAGGCATTTGAATTGGACGTCCCCGTCGACTTCCACGAACGCCCTCATGACGGTAACGCCAAAGTGGATGCTCTCTTCGATTAGCTGTCTCCCTCTTCGTAGAAGATCGTCCTCCTCGAATCTCGACTTGGCCTGCGTGGTCAGCTCCATAGCTTCTGTGAAGTCACCCGTCTCTATTTCCAGATCAAGGAACTTAGGATCCTGAAGCAAGAAGCACTTGTCAAGATGGATATGCGCATGGCAGAGTGAGGGAGCTAGCAATCTTTCTGTACCAACGAGGACTCCGGGGAGGTGAGCGATATCATGGGGGCGCGACACGAAGGGCTCAATCGAAGCAATCTTGCCGTCAGAGATAGAGAGGTCCCAGAGAGTGGAGCGGGGTTTGCAAGGCAGACGCACGCCTATGATTCTGTGCAGAGGGCCAGACGAATAGACGTCTGAGTATCGCGGGGGAGGAGCACGAGAGCTGACTCTGGCAGCTTTGTCTCGGGCAGCGTTTTCATAATGTACTCTGGCCTCCGCATTCGCTTTGATGTCGTTGAAGTCTGGATTGAGACCTGCCATTTGACTGAGCAGAAGGGTAGTATGAAAGAAAGAGAGCAACTGGATGGGTAAGTCGATATGTGGATAATGCGAATGTATCGAGAGCAGTGGAGCGGACTATGACTTGTGGTGATGCACTCCTCGGAGTTACTAAAGGACGAATGGAGATGAATGTATCGGAGCTGAGGCGTGCTCTGGCGATGCCCTCGCCCTCCACCCGGGCCCGGCGCCGTCTTATACAGCTCTTGGGGATCTCACGAGACCATTCGGTCCCCCGAGAGACGATGGGGTGAAAGTGGGCGACAGCCCCGCGTTGCCTCTAGGCGAATAGGGACGCGCATTGTCCAGCCCTGCTGCAGTGCAGGTACCTCCTTTCGACGCGTAGTTGGCAAAAGCATCGCATCTCCATCATCTCCATCAGCATTCACCCAGACGTGCCCCCTCCGTCGCGCCGCCCCCATCGTCGCCGAGAATTCGACAGCAAGCGACACGCCATGCAGGCTCAGTACCGGAATTACCTAGACCCGCAGGCCGCCCAGCACTCTCCACATGCGACGACACCTCGCCGTGGGCCAGGTACGCTCCCATCCCATCTCTTTTTGTCCATTCACCACGACGCCCGCAACCATGATCAGTCGCGCTGACCTGGAGCAAACGTTCCGCAAACCAGGGCCCATGCTCGCCAACCAGCAAGCCGCGCCCACGCAGCAGCACATGCAGCTCCAGCAGGCCCACGAGGCTGCCCGCCGCGAGCTCATGAAGCGCCAGAGCAGGAAGCCCACCGACAAGAACATGCCCGATGGCGTGGAGAATATCTGCATTGGCGATGGCGTCCAACGGTACCGGGAGCTGCGCGAGATCGAGCGCACGATGGATGCGACAATGATGCGCAAGAAGCTCGACATCCAAGACTCCGTCACCCGCACCCAGACGCCTCGCTATGGCACCATGCGCATCTGGATCTCGAATACTGCAGAGAACCAGCCATGGCAGAATACCAGCATGGACCCCGATGCCTTTGATTTCGAAAGCGAGACGACGGCCACCTACAGAGTCAAGATACAAGGACGGCTGCTGGACGAGGACGCGGACCTCGGACTGGAGCCCGAGGCAGGCGATGAAGCTGCCGCAGAAGAGAGCGACTCGAATGCTATGGAGGACGGCGACGAGGCGACCAAGAAGGCCACGCCAGCAACGCGGCCGAAGATGTTCTCGCACTTCTTCAAGTCTGTCGTCGTTGACTTCGACCGCCCAAAAAGCCTCCAGCCCGATGGTTTCACGCAAATTGAATGGAAGCGACCCGAAAACGCAAACAACAACCCCAATGCCCCGCCCAACATGTCCGCGGAGGCCAATTTCAGCCAGCTGGAGTTTGAGCGCAAGGGCGATGAGAATATCAACATCACAGTCAACCTACAACGCTACGAGAATCCCGAGCGATACCGCCTGAGCAAGCCCTTGGCTGAGCTGCTTGACACAGATGAGGAAGACCGTGCCGGTGTGATAATGGGCATCTGGGAATACGTCAAGAGTCAGGGCTTACAAGAGGACGATGACAACCGCAAAATAATCTGTGATGATCGTCTCAGAGAAGTATGTTCTTTTCCATTGTTTCAGATAGATATCAGAACTAACCCACCTCAGATCTTCAACAGCGACACTCTGTTTTTCCCGTATCTACCAAACGCCATCGCACCACACTTGCTTGCTCTGCCGCCTCTCCAAATTCCATACACTATTCGTGTTGACAAGGACTACATCTCACCCTCCTCGGACTCTGGAATCCAGCCCTCCAGACCCACCGTATTCGATGTACAAGTCGCTTTAGAGGACCCACTGCGACCCATGATATCGACCATGTTCCGCACCCAAAAGCACAAGGATATCCTCGAGACGATCGCTGGCATGGACGAGAACCTGACGCTCATTGTGCAAGCTATCTCGCACTCGAAAGCAAAACACGCCTTTCTCACCTCGATGTCCAAGGACCCCGTCAACTTTGTCAAGCGCTGGATCAGCAGCCAGCAGCGCGACATTGAAGTCATCCTCGGCGAAGCTGCACGTGGCGGCGGTGAAGACGGAGTCGGCGAGGAGTGGAACCGTGGTGGCAAGGAGAGCGTCTGGGGCTCTGATTTGGCGCGGGAAAGCGTGGCATTATGGTTGGCAAGACAGAAGCACTAGCATCTTCTCAAATGCCTCTTCCGCGCTTCCTTCGTCTTTTCTGTAGTCGCGTATTGACTTGGTCACGTTTTGTAGGTTCCAAAAAACAAAATCACACGCAAACCTTTGGTAGTGGGAGGAAAGCAGAGAGTAAGGCCGATGGACCACTAGAACCGGTCGAGGAGCCAAGACAACCTGTCGAGGAACCACTACAACCAGTGGAAGGACCATCAAACCTAGTTGAGGAACTCTAGTTGAAGAATCACGAAAGGAAGTTGACGAACTACTATTTTAAACTTGCAGATCACGAAAAGGTATGCACACCAACGGTCCCTACAAGTTTGTAGGGCGTGCAGCTGCTAAGGAAAGGCGCTCAAAGGGGTAAAGGCGCCCAAAGGAGCTCCGAAACCAAGAGCTATTGCCGAAGTACCTAGGTATGCCCTAGACGCGTTTTCGAACGAATGATACCACTTTTCCTTGCCAGCATACTTGGTCGCTCTAGTTTTTCTCTCACATTCTTCACCTAGGCACTGCTGTCCATGCTAGGCTAGGCGCATTTAATCGGGCGTTTTGAGAAAATTACAGGTTGACTTTCGAAGTTGGGAGGTCTATTGGGTAGCACTGGGACAGGTGGCAAGTTTCATGGAGTTGCATGGGCCGTCGAGCAGATTCTACTATCCCAATTCTCATTATGAATTCTCAGCTTGTGAAGATTTGCGTGAGATTTTCCTCCATCTTGGCACATTCGTTCCCTCGTCATGATTCTGTGTTTCACCGTTTCGTTTGGGGTGGCCAGCATCTCATCAGAACTCTAGAAGCAAGGTTGTAAGGATGGAAGGTACTATAATGTCATTTTTTCTTCGCACGCAGCTTAGAACACAACAACAAGTTTACCAAGCAAAGACGAATAATGCCTCGTCATGGCCGTAACGCGACGTCCATCGCGATACGTCCGTCCACACGTAACACCGTCACGCACTCTACATCACGTGCCCTGATCACATGACCTCGGTTATGGCCAGCCGTCCGTCTACCTTTACATACAAGGGGGTAACATGAGCGGGCCAGCTGCCCTCCCTGCAAGTTTTAGGGGCATTATAGTCGTATCCATGCTATTTCTCTAGGACTTTACTATAACGCCCCCAAAACTTGCAGGGAGGGCAGCTGGCCCGCTCATGTTACCCCCTTGTATGGCTCCACGCCTGTTCCACGACCTTGTAGCTACTTGGTCTGTTTAGACCAATACAAAGTCTTCTACACGATCCGGCATTGCACTATGACATGCTTTTAGACTCTTAGAGCAGCTCGTTTGCTGAGTTCTTTCTCCCATGCTCATAGTCTGTGAGGCTCCAAAAACCTGGTGTTAATGCTACGGAGGACTTCCGAGGTCATCACATGATGGATGACGGCTAGCATTCACCGTCAGATCGATCAAATATCGATGATGAAATGCAGGTCCTTGCCTTGCCAGCCTTGCACACGCCACTATGCGCTCCCAGCTTGTGGCGTTGCCGCCTGCAACGGACCGTTCTGGGGTTCTGCTGCTCAGTGCAACAAGCCTCACGCCACGTAATAATCGTCGCGGGGAGAGAACAGCACCAACAACAACTTCACAGACTTCGCAAGACCTCGCAAGACATCGTCGGCCCATCACGCTGTCTGAGATATTGAAGCTTCCGAGCAGCCCGCACCTAAGTAAAGTCTCGACTGGCGCCCGCCATCATTAGAACGCTAGGTGAGTGTGATGACGTATTGGCCTAGGTAGCTTTGCTTATATTTCTCACCACTCGCAGGCTTTTGCTCTACTCCCACACAGCTTCTCCTCCACCTCCACCTACAAACCTCTCACTCACCTACTTCGCGCCCTAAATATATACCACCAAAACAATCGGCATGGCTTCCAAAGCACTCACCCTCGGCCTGCGCGGCCTCCAGGCAAGTCGCATACACACCACAGAACCTGCGGAATCGCTAACATAGCATCAGTTCCTCTTCACTCTCATCATCATGGCGCTTATCGGCAACATGATCGCAACTGCTGTGCACGGCAACCACAGCATCGTGAACTACGACATGTTCGTGGCCACCTTCGGCATGCTGTCCCTCTTGTACCTCATTGCCGCCGCCTTTATCGAGGCTTTGGCAATCCCCATTGTCGCCATTGGCCTTGATGCGTTCAACACCCTCTTCTACCTAATCGCTGGAATTGCGACAGCCGCGTACCTCGGTGTGCATAGCTGCAGCAACAAGGTGAGTCTTCGCGAGAACAAACGACCTGAAACTCAACTAATGTAAACACAGAACTACACCCTCCACAACAAGGTCACCAACAGCTCGCCCGACACCGGCGGGCGCTGTCGCGAGGCACAGGCATCCACCGCCTTCTTCTGGTTCGCGTTCGCCACTTTCGCCATCACCACTGCCTTGTCGGCCATGAACGGTACCGGTGGCGTCAACATGCGCGGCGGTATCCGCAGGCCGACCATGAGTCAGGTCTAAGTCCAATACCGTATGCGCGACATTAGGAACACATGGGTCAAGTGCGGACAATAGTGCTCACAAAATAAACGACTGCGTACGCTGTATTGATAGTATGAGCGTCATGACCTTGAGGGCCTGCGACTCGGAGTTTAAGGAATTGGGATACCAAGGTTACAAGTTGGGCATTACGGTCTGATGACGGTTAGTCAGCCTGGTGGGATCAAGCAATGCAACGGTTCCGTAGTGTGCTCCTATTTTGGGGTGGACATAGCAAGTCAATAATGAATCAAGTTAAAACGAATTACTTCGTTGCTCTTCCGGACCTTGGCGCATTATGGATCACTTTCAATCCTAGACCATTTTCCGACCATTTCCATTAATGAGACTATTTCTTACATACTCTCCTCTCTATATGACGTCACTAATTTGGGTGTATATCAAGCAATACACATATCATTCTGCGCTCCCAATATGAACATCCAACCGCCTGACTAGTCCGAACGAGACTATCACATCTATATCGTCTTGATACCCTCTAAACCCCACAAAAGATGATTCGTCGTAGACCAGGCACACATTCTTCTTCCACAAGATCAAAATATCTGGAAGTAACATCGACCCAATTAGGCCCCACAGATGACAACGCTCTCTGTCAGCTCTACTCATCAATATCCTCGATCTTAATTTTCGGAGAACTGCGACCTGGCGGCGAAGCTGGAATGTAGCCCGGAGCTACGGGAGTTCCATTGGCGTGAACATTCGTGCTTACGCGGGAGCTAAGACTTGGAGTGGCTGAAGAGTATCCCGGCGACGTTGGGAACGAACCTGGCACGCTTGGAGTGCGTCCTAGAGTTCTACTGCTGCTTCTACTGGAGAGACTGGTAGGTGTGGCCCGCTCGTCAATTTCCTTTAGCGTCTCTTCTAGAGACTTAGAACCTAGCGAGGTTGGATAATGTCCCGGATGTGTGAAGCTGAGCCCGTTCACATTTGTACCGCTTCCTTCATGGGGGGGACTCTTCGCGCCGTTTTTGTTTCCTACACTAGATTTGCGACCCCTCGGCGTTCCATCCTGCTTGTACGACCCGTAGGCTGGATCGAAAAAGGGCTCGTCCGGCTTATCGCCCTTGAAGGACTCCCAGCGGATCCACCATTGGTTTGTCTCGATGTCCTCATCATCCGAATCTTCGCTCATCTGTCTGGACCGTTTTTTGGGGGGCTGTGTGCTCTCCGCATCTTCCTCTCCCGGCTTCGCTTCCTCTGCATCTTCTTCTTCGTCTTCGGAATCAGAGTCTCCTCGCTCCTTCCTCTTCGCAACTTCCTTCGCAACCAGAGCCTGGTGCTCTTCGCGCGACATCGTGAACGGATTGGGCACTCCATGAAGCGGCTCGTCGTCCGGCCGCGATCTCTTCTTCCCACGAGACTGGACGCCGACAGTTGAATCTGGCGTATCTGGAGGCACATTTTTCTGCAACAGCGTCGCTAGCTTCGTCATGCCTGTGCCGCCTACTTTTCCGCCTGCATGTAAGCGTCGTAGCGGCCGTACATGGACATCCGCTAACAATACAGTCCTATTGTGGTTCGACGGCGAATCTCGAATCGTCTTATGCAATTTCACAGCCTCGTATTCATCCTCCGAGTCTTCGATATCAGGTGTACTCGATCCTCGGGGTGATTGGTCGAAGTCCAGTTTCGGTGACCCGGGCTTGTGAACTGTGCTGCCGCAAGTGGGTTTGCCGTATGGAGAGTGGTGCCATACTCGATACTGCCCTTCACCGCGGTATGGATGTTGGTAGTCTGTTTCCTCTTCTTCGTCGTGCTCGGAAGCGGCGGAGTGATGGTCTTCTGATTTGTTGCTGGAGTGGTGTGATTCGGGAATTTCGATGCTTTCGTATACCTCTTCGTCGCTGTTAACATCTGGTCCGCAGTCGCTTTCATGGGATATTTCGTCGCCAGTTTCAGAGGCTTCTTCGTCGCCAGTGTCCGAGTCTTCGTCATCGCCTGCGTCCGAGCCTAAAACTTCGGAGGGTTCTACATCCTTTTCCTCTTCCTGATATGAGTCGGTGCTCGCAAGTATTACTTGTGGATATAGGGTATCCTGTCGGTTGATCTCGTAGTAGCCAGACCAGTTGTCATCGGTATTCGAGAGTACTCCTGTGGGATACGGATTATCCGACCACCACCCCTCATAGTGACTCGACCAGTTGGAGCCGCCAGAGCTATTTGACACAGTGGCTTCGAATTCATCTCCTAGTTCACGAAACATATTAAACGGCGGCGATCCTGCTCCATCAACTTGATACGGTCCGTATTCTTCGATTTCTTCGGGTGCGTCTAGAGAAGGAACCAGTGTGAGCGTTGCGTCTCCCATATCTGTTTAATCGTTAGCCACTGTTTTACTGCTTTCGAAAGCTTGCGCTGTCATACCAGGAAATATCGTAAAATCGTCCATGACGTGCCAGTCGACGAGCGAAGCCATACTCGCTATGTGTCTTCGATACAGTGTAAATGTTCGTAGTCACTGTTGAAGCACTCGAGCGGTGGTGTACGTGGGCGTGCAGGTGTGCGTGCAAGTCCGTGGGCCTGAGTTGCGAGAAAGGCTGTTCGATGCGGGTTAAATAGGTGAATCGATGCGTGTCCTAAGAGCATGCGCTCTGGTTTTTTTATTTGGTTTCTAGGGTCGGTCCCCCTTTTCGTGTCCAATCATGTTCGTGTCGAATCCATGGTTCACCTTCACCAAGGTGGGATCCTTTCTAGCATGCTCGTAGATGTGTTTTCAATAAGCTAAGGATCCAATAAAAGACGACTAAGTGAAGACGATGGGTTTTTGGTCCGTGGGGAAGTCCGCCTAGCAGAGAAAATGCAGTACGGATAATCGTGTATAACCACCGCACGGCTAAGCTGACTCTGCATCTACCCTCGAGAATATCGTCAACGGATATTCTGTAATCCCGCTTCGTCCCTTCTATTATCGCAATCGTGTAGGCGACAGAACCCACTAGTTATAATGGTCAATTGCCCCTTCTCCTTCACCCCTTTCTGAGCGTCATGAACCAAAAGAGAGTCGAAACTCGGACGCCTCGTACAGCGGCTCCTACGAACAACACCACGAGATCTTTGAAAAAAAAAGACCATCGCGCTGAGAAAATGCACATCAGGAGTGGTATGTTCCTCACCACGCATTGGCCCACGCGACATGGACAAAACGTGAAGAAAGTTGTAGAAGAAGTTACCGAATCAACCGTGTTATCCATATAACAGCGCCACGTTGGGCGCACCTCTGCGTGGGCCTTCACCGTTTAGGCCACCCGATGACATTTTGATATGACATTTTAATCAATACACCTTGTGACAAGGTAAGTCAAGACTGTGAGAGTGTTTGTTAGCCTTCGACTGCGTACACCCCGGCGTAGTTTGTAAAGGAACGACTCACCATAGGCACCACATGTCGAACTCGCACCTAAAATCAATCACGCAAAGGAAGAATCAAGATAAAAGCCTCACTCGTTCATTCGTTCCTAGAAGTCATACCCACTATCCAAAACACAAATCTACTCCAAGAGACACCAAAATGCCGATTGCCGGGTATGAAACGCAACATGCACCGCCATGCAAACGCCTTTCATCAGAAAATGCCAGACTCAAACTCTAGAAAGAAAAGATAATCTCGCTCCACATCAAGCAAACATCGGCCTCATTCTTCTAGTGCCGCCACATTAGAGACCAGGAGCTCTTGGGATCCTAGTCCCTTCTCTAACAGTCAGCAGAATCACCAGGAGACATCCCATAAGCATCGTGATTAGAGCTTACGAGGTGCCCTCCTCCGCGGCAGCCCGCCCTCTACACCAAGGGCTTTCTTCGGCAAGCCGGTAGCAAGCCGGTTCTCTTTCCCATCTACCGGAACCGTCGTAGTCGTAGTTTTGCTAACAGGAATCTTGCCTTTCCGCGGTGTAGCAATTCTGCTTTTTCTCTCTTTAATCTCTTTGGTTTCTTGCTCCTCTGGCGACGGTGGCGTAGGCGCAGCAATATCTAGCTTCGGTATCTTTGCTGCTGGCGGCGTCGCATCTCCTGAAGTGGCGACAGGTGGTTTACGAGCCCTAGGCTTTACAATCTTCTTTTTCTCCTCCGCCACCTCTGCCTGCACCTCCTCTGGAAGTAGAGAGGCAGGCTCTAAAAGGCCCTTCCCAGGTGTCCCATTCGCAGCGCCTAGGCGGCGAAGGCGGCGAACCCGTGGCGTAGAGGAGCTCTTATCCTTCGCTTTCGACGTCGGCTTCGCAGACGGCGCGCTAATGCTCAAAGTAGTTGCCTCCTCGCCAGGCGCGTCTACCATCTCGATATCTGCAGGCGCCTCAACAGCAAGAACCTCCCCTTTCGCGTTTTCTTGGAAGTAGACTAGCGTCTCGTCCCATTTCACGGACTTGCGTTCGCCAGCTGCGGCACCCTCTCGCTGCCCATCTGCGCTCTCGTCAATGGCAGAGCCGGGAGAAACAGGCTTTTCGGTCGCAAGTTTTAGAACTCTGGCGTAGGCCGATACAGCACCCATCTTGTTTTTGCGGGTATTAGTACGAGTAAGGATGCCAAGTTCTTGCGCCTCCGTACGTCTGAGGACGATTGGCTCTCCTCCATCGACACGGCGGACTGGTATGCTCTTTGGAGTTTGCTGTTGCTGCGCATGGGATGACGGGGGGGGAATGCGAGATTTCCGAGTCCGCGTTGAGCGCCTTGATGACGACTTGGTAACTCCCGCCACGTCTGCGTCTTCAGGTGTTGAATCTGCGGTTGGGCTACTTGGCGTGGGATCAAGGGTGAGAGTTTGAGTGAGATCAAGAGTAGCCGTGTCGTCGTAAGATTTTTGTGGCGAGGGAGAGTTGACATCTTTATCTTCAAGGATTTTTCGAGGAGATGCGAGAGCGTGACGGATCACGTCGGAGTCGCGTCGATGCGAGAGAGACGACCGACGTGCAATGGTGGCCGCTTTGTGGGCTTTGTTTAATTTGCTTGCCGCAGCACGAGTAAGGAAGTCCTTCAGTAACGCAGTATCGTCGTCAAGGTGCGCTGTGAGGTCATCCTGGGTAACTTCCAGTCTGGCTGGTCGTGCTGGCGAGCGTAGCTTTGGTTCAGTTTGCTCTGAGATCAGAGTGTTGTCGGATGGCGGTGCTAGTGTCAATCCATCGGCAATGCTATCGATTGCCATATCGTCGTCGCCGGGAAGTGTAGACTCTTCATCTGCGTTTGTAGTGGTCGTAGGTAATACTAGCTCTTCAACATTTCCGCCGGCCACATGAGATGCTCTGGATTCGTCTGATGTCTCGGTGGACACCTGCCTTTCGGCCAGTTCCATTGTTTCATTCTCAATATTCAACGTCTCCTCAATAGTAGACTCCTCCAGCACTTCGGTAGTAGATTCGTTCGCATGCTCGGCAACATCAGGACTCTCGGTGATCTCGAGTCCATGGTCATCCTTAGAAGGACTGTCATTTTCTGAAATAGTCGCACCTTGAGTTTCTGCATCTCTAGTAACGGTCTTATCCTGGATAGTGGATTCGGGAACAACCGCCTCGATCTCGCTGTCTGACTCCCAGTTAATATCGGAGTCGTCCAAAGACTGAGGCTCGCTGCATGGCTCTTCGATATCTGCTGCTGGACCGTCGCCGACGAGTTCTACTTCTTGGACAACGGTCGTATCCTGAATAGCAGACTCGGAATCAACTGCATCAACGTCGTTGTCCGACTCCCAGTCAATCTCGGATTCATCTAGAGTCTGTGGGTGGTTGCAAGACTCTTTGATTTTTTCCTCAGTAGCTTCAGAGACTTCCCTTTGACAGTCGTGTTCAGCCACGATGGCATCCTCTTCGATGTTGTCGATGAGTGCTGGCTCTGATTGCTCAGGCTGGCCCCACGTTACATGTTCGGGAACAATCGACGCTGTTGCCTGGACTAGAATGCTGGTTTCCATCATTGCTTCAAGCCCGATGGCAGAAGTCTCTTCCTCCATGTTTCCGACTTCTGATTGTTCTAGGAAAGGTTCTGATTGGTCCAATGGGCTCGTTACTGTGGCAGAAAACGATGTTGCCTGTTCTAATACACTGGTGCCCACAGAAACCCCCGTAATGTCCACAGCGTCGCAAGTGTCTGCTAAGATTTGGTGTGGTGGTGACTGAGGGTGCTGAGGAATTGGTGAAATTGGGGTCTCGATTGGAAGGACATCGCTGTTCATTACCACCTCGTCCGTGGAAATGGTGAATTCGGTTTCATCGGTACCTAACTCGTTCTCTCCCGCTGCGGAGGGTGAACTGGAGTTGCAGATGTGATCCAACTCCACATAGCTGCCATTGTCACGGGTAGATGGTTCCTCATCGTGCTCGCCGAAAATGAAGGAGAATGTCGAGTCGTTCGCGGTACTCGATAAGGAGACGCGTGAGGAGGCAGCATGCGCAGTTGCGGCTTGGTTAATCGTCGCATTTTCAGGCTGTAGCATGCTATCGTGCTCAAATGCGGCACTTTCTGCTCCCTCTTGGTCATCGGGTTCAGAAGCGGCATCTTCCACTTGTCCATCAGCTGGTTCCAGATCCTCCAGGTCCAGGGTCGTCTGATGTGGCTTTTTCCCTACATATAGTCGTCAGTATCGGTACTCAATGGCACGCGGAATCTTGGCATACTGGGAAGTCCACTCTTCCTTCGATCCCAGCGCGTAGCACTAAAAGCTGGTTTCTTGGTCTCGATTGTGACATTGTTCCCTAAAGCGTCCTCATTCTTCAGTCGCAACTTTTTCACAGCGCGTGTAGGCGATCGGGACATATCCTGCTCTTCGTCTCCGGCGTTCGTGGTCGACGTTTGCTCGCCCGTCGAGTGCGATCTTAGCCCATGTTTATGCCAAACTTTCTTGTATCCTCGGTCGCGCGCGTAGGGTGACTTTGGTGCGCGTTCCCAGGCCCGGGGGATCTTTTGGAGTGGTAGAGAGGCTGGGTTGAGGAAGTTCACATCGGTCTCGTGCCATGTCTGGTCGAAAGTCGACGCTGTTTTCCGAGGTGAGGGCGCCATTAGGTGATGAACCTGGCGTATTTAACTGCAAGTGTAAGGATACTTGGAGCCCCAGCGCCTCCACGGGTATTATAGGTGGGAGAGTCCAAGTCGAAAGAATGGCGTTGGGGAATCTGGAGGTGCGGTGTGCCTGTGATGTTCTGGCGGGAGACCTAAACAAACCCCAAAACATAGAAATCGACGCTAGTGACGGGATTTGCCGACACGTTCAATCCGACCCTTCGAAAACTTAAGCATCAACTACGATTCACACTCTCGATCCCCAACATATCATCAACACGAATACTCTGCAGTCAACGCCGAGCTGTAGTGCCCAGGCTGTTCTCAGATCACCACAATGGTGCCCAAACCCGCCGCGTCCTCCGCCAAATCCATCGGGTCTCGTCCCCTACCTCCCCTACCGAAGCTCCGAGTCCGGAGACCAAACAAGCCTGAAGTGAATCCATGTCTGGGTGTCATGACATCAGTTCTGGGTATGTTTGGAGATGATTTCATTGTCCGGATAAGCACGTCGGATGGACATGTTGGTGGATAGAGGCGGAGAATGCGCTTGGCTGGGATCACATTGGCGCGAGAATATACACCATCTACAGAGTGTTATGCTTACATTTCTACTTTCAGGTTGTTGGGCCTCTTCAGGATACAGTGTTACAGGTTGTGCCCAGCTTGAGCAAAAGTTGCGCGCATGCATGGATGCGCCGGTACGTTCACTCTCAATTACATGCATCACGGAAATAGCTGCGACCGAGTCGCAAGACTTCGAGCATATCTTCGAATATTATCTCCCCCACTCTCGATGAATTGGACTAAAAACTTTGCTTTACAGAGACCTGCAAAAGGAAAAGAAAACATGATCAATTATCATCTCTCGCGAATGTATCCTAAGATCAAAGGACCACATAGACGAGACTGAGCGTCGCGAAAAAAGAGAACTTCGATTTCGAGGAGATGTAGGATACTGGGAAGTGCATACCACTACGAAATGGACGTTGGTGGATTACGGCTGAAAGCGATTGCATGGGAGGAGTTCGCCATACCGGACCGCGACACTCTACGGCGTTTGGATGATTTGTATACTATGTAAATACCAAATGGAACACCAACACACCACCTCAGCGCATATCCGGTTGCGAAAACGCGAAACGAGCTTCAAATGGTAACAGTCCCGGAATGCAAGTTAAGCAACACTTAACCTGGCTGAATTGGACTACATTCGTAGCAAGTCAGCCTTATTAGACCTCGAAACTGCTACAGCTTGCTATCCAAGCTCTGATAAACAAACCTGTCAGAGTACTCATAAGCGAGTTGTCTTTGCGATGTGCGAACCCTGACCGACATCAAGATGCAGCATCAAGAGTCAAAACCGTAGGTCACACCCCTCAAAATATTGGCTTTCTGCAACCGAGCAGACCTGCATGGCATGGCAAGCCACAGCTGGATTTGATGTGTGATCATCAGGAACAGCACGATTGGTTGCCGCGAGCGGCTGCAGGACTCAGCCCGCACGCCTCCAAATGCTCCTGCATGCAGAATATTGAGGTGCTGCGCACAGCCACCGGGGAGCCGTTGAGTTTGACACCGCATTCGAATCAATATACTCCATGTGGTCCTTCGAGGAGGTCCAACTTGGTCGGTCGTCGAGTCGCCAGTCGGCAAAACATAAACCCTTCTTTATGAGGGAGATCTGGGACAAAGATCAAGGTTGCGCAGATCAGGTTCTTCATCGAGCTTCTGCCAGCTGTTGAAAGAAACAAAATCCTTTGTAAGACTTCTATATACAAACAGATGAAGCACCATCAATAAAGCTTCGGTGAGCTGCCTTAGATGTGGTTCAGGCATCAAGAAGATAGTTTTCACCACTAAGTCTGCATGTTGTTGAAGGGAAGGGAACCATGGTACAATACGCAAAGTTTGGGCCTACGACACGGAATACACTGACATCCTCCTCTTTACCATTGTCGGAAAAGGACGAGAGAATCTATATCTGTCTAAACTGTCGGTTTGATACCTCTATGGGAAATGCCGTACGCGTGATATTCCGAACTGAATAACAGTGGAGAATCACATTGTTTACTATCTAAAGTCCGTGAAGAGCGGAGCTGGATCAGCCTAACCCTGGAGGTGCGCTGTCCCACGCAGAAAGGATGCGGCAGAGGTGACAGTCTGGACTCGACGACAAGGACTCCGGGTCGACTGATGCTCTTGTATAAGGCACTTCGAGACAGCAAACTTCTAGATCGCTCTCGATTTCGGATTAACAGAGGCAAATATTGCGCCAACCTGTATCGGAAACAGCTTCCCGCAGCGTGATGGCGCGCATGGTCCCGAGTTTTACAGTGTTTTCTAGAGCAGAGAGCACGGATGAGGTTCAGTCAGCGCTATAATATCAACTGGGTACCTCATACCCCCGCTGGACAAGTGCCGTGAGAGAAAAGCCCCCCGCAATCGACGTCAACAGTGGAACAGCAGAGGGTGGTTTTATCGCCAGCACACACCACGGCCACGGCCCGACTGACTCGACGCGGTTGTTGATCGCCGGTGTGAAGCTTGTGACGGCCGGCGGCGTGGCTATATTTGTCAACCCCTGCTTTCGTTTACAGCCCCCAAATTTGCTTGTTCGGCACCGCCATGCCCAACAAGGCACCACTGCACCTCAGCCGCTCCTTAGCCGTGGTCACCTTCATCTCCCAGCACGCCGCCGGCCTCAAGCCACAGGACGCGCTGGTTGGCTGCCACAGCGGCCATCACGTCTAGCCTCAGAGGGCTGAGAAACAACCCCCTCGATTGGCCACGATGCAGAACGGGCGGCGGCGGGACGCAGCTCGCTTTGCCCTTTCGAGCTCTACGGATCCCAGCGCGAGAACACGGCCTTCCTGGAACACGAGGCGATGGCAGCATGGGCTGGTCGCGACCCACCCAGGCATCGCTGCGTGAGCTCTCTCTTCACCAGATGCGCCGCGCCGACTCAGCCTGCGCGCCTTTTCGTTAGCTCGACCCTGGATTCATTTGGTGAAGCTCCCCGGAGCCTGCACTAGAAGAGGTTCCCTTCTCCCCAGGGCTGTGCTCGTTTCTCGTCTCGACTCTGCACAGTACTTTTCTGCGGTCCTCGCGCCTGTTCCTTTCTTTGGATATATATCCAGTCACTTGCTCCTAATTCTTCATACCTCTCAGTCCCTCGCATCACTGATCTTCATCATGCTCCGCTCGACACTCGCCTTCCTGGCACCCGCCATGGTATCTGCCATGGCCTTCCCCTGGGCGGGTCCAGAGCCCACGCTCGTGATGCCCGAGGGAGACAACTGGAGCCCTGCCCCCACAAAGGCCCCAGAGCTTGGTCTACTCGAGCTTTTCAAGAAGCGAGCTGCTGGTGACAATACTTGTGGTTATATTAGCGGTTCTTCTGGTAAGTGACGGGAGTTGGATAGACAAGTACACACAGCTTGTTAATACTTCTTCAGCTTCTTCGTTGACTTGCAATGACTCCAACTACGTTTGCGCAACCAACACGTACTACGGCGTCCACGGATGTTGCGATCCCAACAGTCTTGCCTCATGCAGCATTCCCACTACATGTATCGCCAGCAGCGATCTGGCCGCCTCCTGCACGGACGCGGCTTGCTCCTCTAACAACTACATAGCCAAGTGGTAAGTTACCTCGCCAATCCGTGAAACTTCCGGGCTTGACGCTTACAATCGCGTAGTACACTTACCGATTCGCCGTACTGCTACGAATGGCGATATGTGTACTCTACACGTACTGTCATGACTGAATTCGGATGCGCCGAATCCGCCTTCACCATTTCCGTCCAGCGAACCTTCAGCGGTGATCTCAACAGCGCTGCTGCAACCAGCTCCGAAGCCGTCATTCCCATCTCCACCAAGGTCATCACCGTTGTCCCCTCTTCGTCGTCCGTTTCGTCTTCTTCGATTCCCACATCCCCCAGTGTCACCGGCACTGCCGCGACCGCTATCGCCACCTCTAGCAACATCTCCCTCCCAACGACAAAGAAGAAGTCCAAGTCGCATGTTGGCGCGATTGTGGGAGGCGTTATTGGCGGTCTCGTTGTTATTGGTGCTATCATCTTCGGCATTGTCTTTGCCTTGTTGAAGAAGAAGAAGGCGAAGAACGCTGCCGCCGCCGCTCCACCTCCAAATACCCAGGGTCCCGCTCCCGGCGTCGCTGAGTTCAAGCCGCAGCCCGGTGGATTTGCGCCCCAGCAAGGCGGCTACCAACCACCACCACAACAACAGGGAGGCTACTACCAGCAGGATATCAAACCAGGCTTCAACAACCAACCGCAAGTGGGTGTTCCTGGCCAGGAAATTGGCGGCAATTCGCAAGCACCGTACAGCCCTCCGATGAGCCCCGCTCCGCAATACAGCGCACCGTTTAACCAAGGCCCACCACAAGGCATTTCCGAAGCTGCTGGTACCCCCATCCAGCCCGCACCGCAACAACCACACGCGCCACAGCACCAGGTGTACGAGGCCCCGTAGGCGCCCTCACTCGCTTTGGATTCTCGTCACTATTACAAACATCAAAAATTCGCTTAAGCGCCCCTCGTTTCCACCATACCCTCTCTGTTTACACACGGAGATGTCGCAGTCCTCCAATCTATCTTTGGATCTGCTTTTCGGCGTTGTTTGGATAATTCGTCACGCCCGCCGCATGCGCTATTTGGAATGAGTTAGTCTCTGAAAGTTTTTCTTCTGCTATATTATAGCTATTTAGCGGAGTCTTTGGACCGGTAGCATGGCATGGAGGCCTCTTGGATTGGGGCTAGATGAATGGGACAGAAGAATAGCATTTCCTCAGCTGTAGATACTGTATTTTGCAGAGCCATACTCGAGCAAATTTTAATCGTATTTAATCGCACCATACTCTCCTAAATCCTAAACAAAGACGTACTACTATTACACTTCTTGGCTACTCATCATCTACCTCGGTTTCTAGTGTTTGTTACCGTTGCGCAATTGAGTATACCTAAGCGACGGTCCGAGATGGGCAGATCTATCGATTCCGGTCAAGGTGGACCCCCTGTCGAAGTCTAGCTCCAACCCGTGACGAAGCGGTCGAATTAAACCCTAGTCCGAGCTTCCAATCCTCTCCCACCCTTGCGCCCAAGGAAGCCCTTTACATTGACTCGACCTTGGCACCACCCCAGAGCCCCTAGCCTCTTCGTCTCCAGCTCTCCAGGTCTCGTGTCTCGCACAACAATACACGTAGCTTACGCGTATCAGTTCCATGCTATTTACCTTACAGGCCCCGCACGCCTCGGCTTTTCCAGCCGTCGCCAGTCGCAGACGTTGGCGGGACAGCTTGTGTTGGCGCTAAAGTGCTACAGCATGTCTTTACGTCCGGTGAACTAGCGCTAAAATCAAGCCACAGACTTACCGTATAAGGTAGCAATTCCGGACGCCCTTAGGGAGGATTAACAACTGCCTAGCCAATGAATCTTCAAGCCAGCTGACTATTAGCCCAGAAAAGGAGGTTTACAGGGGTCGACTCAGTTTCCGCGCTGGTTCACCGGACGTGAAGAGATGCTGTAGAGGGAGGAGCCGCGCAAAACAACGGCGGGACTGGCCTGGATCCATGGACCGGGTACGACATCCTGCTCGCGACAGGCCCAAGCGAGTGGGTGCGGGTGCCTCGGACGGAGGTCCCTTGGCCCAGCTGGAGCCGCCCTTCTAGCGCCCGCCCCACGGACAGCCGCCTGGCCTCCGCGCGATGATCCTGAGCTGTCCTGGTGGCAGGGTGGGCATTTGCTGGACTTGATAAGCTTGGGGTTAAGTGCTGACGAGGTGCGATCGGACGGGGGAGGCCTGCGGGCGAGGCTGAGCTGGAATGGAGGATGTCAGTGATTTGTGTAACGGAGCAAGGGGTGGAGTATGGGGAGTTGGTTATCACCGAGTTTTGGGGGCTGGTTTGAGGGCGTTGTAAACAGTGGGTACGTCCATATGGATGGGATAGCTGTGAGGTCTAGAGGAAGTCGTAAGGTCGGAGTCGATTTCTTGCTTTCTTTTTGCTGTTGATTTTACCTTAGCTCATCAATTCATCGTCGCTTTTCATCTTTACCTCTTGGAGTTTTACTTGTGAGCATCCTCATCCAAGTACTTTGTATTTCTACGCCTATACGAAGGCTTCACAGTTATGAGCTCTAGTAGTCAAGAAGTATGAGGGAATGTCTGTGCTATGCTCCAAGATGGATCGGAGGCCATTTTCGGTCTTCACAACTGCACAACGACTTTCGTAGCCGACACCCCCTTCTTGAGCAAGTCTAACGCCTCCTGAATTTTCTCAAGACCTCCTTCAATTATGGTCGGTTCCGGCTTCGCCTTCAATCTCCCATCCTTGAGCCCTTCTTCAAAGAATTCAAGCCACACTCCCATCCAGACAGGCAGCTCCTGACCCGGCGTTGGGGTAGGCGCATAAACTGCAAAGTATCGCCGTCAGCCTTCCGCACCTTCTGAACTTACTCTCACATACCGCTGAATCAGGATAAAGAAGGTGAAGCCAGTACTTACCAAGAGTCCTCGCCACATCCCCCAACAACACAGTACTTCGCTCATACCCCCCACTCGTCGTCGCAATCAGCTTTCCCCCACCGGAGGCATGCACCACCTCGGCGCTCTTCACGCTTGTATCAGGATCGGAGATCGCATCAAACACGCCGATCAGCGTCGTTCCTTCCACTGCCTTCAAGATATTCGCAACCACATCCGGATCCGAGTAGTCGAAAACATGCGTTGCTCCGAGCGAACGGACAAGTTCGTGGTTCTTCGGGGACGCTGTCGATACGATGGTCCATCCAGAAGCCGCCGCAAGCTGGATTGCAGATATCCCGACTACAGAACTGCCGCCCCAGATGAGAATGGACTTCTTGCCACTACTAGCATTGCTCGTAGATTTGCCTGGCGCCGGCTGGGCTAGGTAGTTTGGCTCATAGAGACCTGCAGCTGCAGTCGCTAGTCCGATGGGCAGCACAACGGCATTAGCATAAGGAATCCCCTCTGGGATATGCGCTGCAGCGACTTCGCTAACAATGGTGAAGAGCTGGTAGCCGGCGTGGGCGAGGTTCTGGGTCCTGGGGGCAATGGCGAGGCTAGGCCATACGATTAGCCTTGAAGGTTATGTATAAATTGCAGATATAGGACATACCCGACTACACGGTCGCCCTTCTTGAAGCGCGTCACACCTTCTCCCACATCGACTACTTCGCCTGCGATTTCGAACCCAAGGATCTCGAGCACAATGTGAGCTCGCTTGTTTCGTGCCTTATGGGGGGGTTGATTACTTACAAATGGGAATGTTGGCACCATGCGGCCATGATCTTGCATCTTGTGATCAGCTTTCTTCTACATCAGCTCACATGGAATAAAATGTCATGAAATGTAGAAGGGTGCATACCAGGATTGAGCGCTATAACATGGTTCTTAATCAAGATTTCACCTGGTGCTGGCTTCGTCAAGGGGCTTTCTTTGACTTCGAAGCGGGCGCCTTTGGATGGGATCCATGCTGCTTGGTTGGACATATTGACGAGTAAGATTGAGAATCTGGAGAACGAGACAGTGATGGGTGTTGAGATACAAAGGAGAGGCGTTCCCCAAGTCTCTTATACATTTCCATTGCTTCCATCGCCATTGATCTGCTGGGACGGTCGGAGGAATATAAAAATTTGTGGGTTCATTTGGCTTACTCGGGCCCCCGTGGGGTTCTTTCAATGCCGCTGCACTACAGCCTGAGACTATATTTGTATCAGCAATGTAGGAGCGGCATTCGAAGAATCCGACGAAATCCGCGTCTTACATCTCTCTCAACGCAGAGTCGGTAGCATTGTCGAATGACCTCAGCAAGGTCGGGCCAATGCTCGGCCGGTGGACGAATCGGGAGGTAATCCAACGTCGGGCCGATTCTAGTGGCTCTCATAAGCCAACATCTCAACCCCCAGTCCCTCTTTGGCTTACTTTTTTCCTCTTAACCGTCCGCATTGTTTCAGTAGGCGCAATGGCGTGCGTACGCCTTGTGTGATATACTAATCAAGCTTATGGGGGTTGCGAAGCGGGCGCGTTTTCTTCATTGCTGCATCATTAGTGTACAGACTCTTAGCACTGTCAAGGCCGCTTCGACACACTTTCAAAATCCCAACGATTATGGAGGCTATCATTTTGAATGATTTGCTGACTTGTTGAGCCACGCCCGACGTCGTCAGCCAGTTGCTGACCGCCTGGCAAAGAACGTCAGACTCCTCAACGAGGATATGAATTGTGACAATAAGTCGGAAAGGGTTGAAAGTGACCATTATGGCATTCTCTACTGTCCTCTTTGTGTACAAAAAAGTACTCTGAGGTCATTGGTTTGGTCCTCTCCACTTGCGTCAGGCTCTTCAATTTCATTTTTGATGCTTCTGGTTTGTACACACATGCTTCAGTTCAATGGAGTAGTTCGTGAGGGAATTTCTCTTGTGCAGGAAGCTCTCATCAATCTCCCCTAACTTCAATACTTTCTTTCTTATCCGAAGCTGGTGCCTAATTTAGTATCGAGAGAAATCTTAGCTTATCTCCTAAGCTTCATTTGAAAGGGAGTAGAATAGACCCCTTAACAATCCTAACTCGACTGGCCTCGTACACCTAAGAAATTAACATCTATCGCACCAACCTGGCTTTTCATCAATCCAGATCTGCTCTAGTCTATGTTTTCTCGCTTGGGCATGCTTCTGAAGCCTCTAGACAAGGTCTGCCACCTCCAGCACATAGTCAGAAGTCATGATGAGGGCGCCCTCACCCGTCTCGAAACTAATAAGCAAGAACGCCCCAAAAAGCAACGACAATCAGTCTCGTGCGTCAGTCATGTGTCCTCAAACAGCGCTTTCCCTAGCTTCATCCTCCCGACTAGAAACTCTCTAGGTTCATACTCTAAGCTTAGAGCGCAGATGCAGAGGATTCTGCTTGCAATAACGGCTTTCCTAGCTTTCAGAAGATGCGTCGAGCTCTATGCAGGGGTGCAAGAGTGCTGAGCGTGGTGTTCTTTCCCCAAAAGTGCTCTTTCCTCTTTAAACACAAGCAAAAACGACGCAGCCACGTAGAGTAAACCACATAATGCTTCCTTTCCTCTTTTCTCTTCTTTACCGCATCCACCTCTCGACAGGAAACTCTCCATTTTTTATCCACCCCATCATATCCACTATTCTTACCTCGTTCTACCATCCGGCAGTCCTCGCGGCTGTTCCGGCCTGCCTCGGCACTGTCTATCACCATGTTATACTTGGCAATGTCAAGGAATTTACATGCGCGGACATCATTGTCCGCGTTACCTCGAGATATGCCATAGCATGGGCCGGCGTCTTGTACAAGATCTGGTACGATGGACATACCGAGCCAAGCGACCCAAGATACCTAGATCGAGATGAGCTCCCCCGGTTTGAAATCCGGAAGCGGGTGTAAATCTCTCGACGGTTATACGGGTCGTGACAACAGGTCAGAATAGTCGTGAGGGGAGGGGCGCGGCCGACAAGCCTCGTACTCTGGCACGGCAGAGTCCTTCGGGGCGCACCCCCCAAACGTACTACGGCCGGTGAGTTCATTGTTCGGCTGCCATTGGAAGGGCTTTCTGACAGGAACGTGCTTTAGGGGCTAATCGGCAAGCTTCACTCGCTCCACCCTTTAGATTCCACGGAGATCGCGATCGAATCACGTTGCTTCCAAATCTCTGTACCGCAGAAAGCCGTCTCGTTATTAGATCACCCCGTTCAGCCCGATGTGATGTCGAAAGATCCGGCATACAGAGTCCCCATCTCAACGGAGGCTACAGCTATGCTCAACTAGAACAACTCCATCGTATCACCACTACATCCTCCACACTTCGGCCCTCTGCCAAGACTTGCCTCAATAGGATCTTACTCGGACTGCTAAGAAAGTTCCTTTTCCGCTACTTCGGTGTTCTATCGTCATCTTGCCATCAGAAACATTCTCTGAACGTCATTTCTGCGATGTTGTCGCTCAAGCGCCAGCTCGTTCACTGGCTTGCCGCAGCCAGTGCGGTCTTCACCTACACCCTCATCTTACGGGTGAACAACTGACGCATCAAATCGCTCCACCCCTACATCGAAGGCCCGACTTTCATCGCTTTGCTCGTCTTCGTCTTCGGACAGGCTTATAAGATCCACCAGCACTCATACCCTCTGAATGTCTACTATACCACAGCGCTCGGAATCGCAACAGTATGGCTCGGAAGTATCGCAAGCACAATCAACTATCATTGTGCATCAGACCCTATCGAAGCAAAGACCAAGAATGAGGCTCTCATCCATCTCTTCCTCGGCGTCGTGCTAGTGTCGCAAGCCGAATGGATCCGGCTCCTACTACGCAGGAACACGATGTTCATCATCATATACTCTACCTGCCTCCTCAACCTACCGTTGGACTCGAAGCGAGATGCCGGTGTTGGTCTTCTAGTCTGCTTCTTGTGGGCTATTTTGCGAGCAGCCCTTGCATAGTCATCTACGAGGTTGATACGCCCCGAGATTCGGTCGTTCTGGGGCTTATGCTTTCAAGCCAATGATACGCATCTTGCGCGGCTGGTTCAGATGGTCCTTATGTCGCCGCTGAGTCTGGTAGTGGACACGCTGGCGTTCTTGATCTCGGGGTGGGTTCTGCCGAAGGATGTTTGGCAAAAAATCAAAGACATGAACGAGCATGGAAGTCGAGAACGGAACACGGAAGTTCGAGAGGATTTCAAGGTTGAGGAAGAGAAGCTTACGAGCCTTGACCGTTCTTCGGTTGAGGCTTTGGTTGAGGTATCGAGAGAGCCAACGAAGACACCAATGACGGGGATAGTAGTTTCAAGTACTATGAACAACGGCCGTCGGTTGTGATTACCCACGGAAGCTGTGTTGCTAACGCGGGCGTCTGGGAGGGAGACGGAATTACAAAACAGATCTCTTGACGCTTCTGGAGGACTTTAGATATGAAATATGGATAGTATAGTAGAGATTCTAATAGTAATTCTGTACCACGCAGTATGACCTCCCAATGTGCATACAAGCACTTTCTTCTCCCGTTCGGGGCACTAAGCTGCTCGTTCTCTAGCCTGAGCTGTAGCTGTGCTAGGGTAGGTAAAGCGCTTCATGTTATGGACAAATCTTAACATTTAAGTACCTTTGTTCCGTCTCCATACTTCACACAAGTGTTACTGGTCCAATTTCAATATCGCCCCGTTCCATCACCTCGCCATGCATGATCCCATGAACATAGCACTCACCAACAAGCTGAAAATCTTCTCGATCCTCCACAGGCCTGACCACAAATGGCACGTGACCAAGCTCAAATACGCAAATCTTATCCCGAACCATCGTCCCTCGGGGGACCAGCCCAAAATACCCCCCGCTAGTCACAGCAAATCTGCGATTTCTCAATGCTCTACGAAAGCTTTTCCGCAAATCTTCAAGTGTTCTTTGTGGATTTCGTGAACGAAGACTCTTAAGCGTGAAGTGCCCTTTTTGGCGGCGCACACTGTACACTTGTCCAGGAAGGGATGGCATATTTCCGGTGCTCTCGTCTAGGATTAGACTGAAGGCGTCGCTGTACTCTGGCGGCGGTTTCTTATGGCCTGAACCATCTGCCCCGGCTACGAGAGTCTGCCAAAAGGCGTCGAATATGGTGGTTTCGGTGGGGTATGATTGAGAGGCTTTTGCTATATCCACGTATGTCGTCCATTGGCTATTCCCTTGCGCCGGGTTGTCGATGTCAAGGACAGGCTGTGTCGTAACGCATCCGAGCGTAACAATGCTATCGAAAACTTTTCCGGGAAAAGTTACGGCTTTTTTGTCATCGCTCAATCGATAAGTGATGCCCTTCCATTTTCCAGTCTCAGGATTCCTGGCACTGGCGTACTCTCCACCGGCAGAATAAACAGACCATGAGCTGGTTGAATATCCAAAGGAATCTGTTACTCGGGGGACGCTCCAGTCGGGAACCCATGAAGGTGTTAGAAGTACCTCATGGTCGACGGAAGTCAACAGACGAAGGATGCTGCTGTTCGGAAATGTTCTCAGAGATGCTTCGAGGTAGACTTCTCTGACGGTGACATCGCTAGAGTAACTGAGCGTGAAATTAGAGTAGTCCGCCTCCGAGAAGGCAATACCCAATATGCCATAGATTTTGTCCTTCGGTTCCGTAGCCTGTGCGTACCGAGACGTGACCAAAGTACTAAGTAGAGGTGGTAGTGATTGAAATGCTTGAAGTTGATGCCTCTGGAGCCAAAGCTCATAGGCAATCTTACCACCTAGTGACGGTAGCTGTGGTAGGTCGTCGTCGGCAGCAGTCGTGTCGTTCTCAGTATCTGCCTCTAGCCAACGCTGGACCCCTGATATGTTCAGATCAATGCACCATGCTGCGAAGTCTTCCCAGGATGCTTCCACCTTGCCGCATTTTACGTAGACTTCACTCGAGAGTAAGAGCTCCTGGATGACCCACAACCTTCCAAACCAAGGTCGTCGGAAGAGCTGCTTGACTTCTCGCCAGGCCTGTGCTTCAGAATGAGGCAAATACAATCTTTCGAAGTCTTCCGGTCCAAATTGATTGTCGTTGAATTGAAGGCTCGAGTGCAACGTCATTAGCGTTTCAAAGGCTATAGATGGCGAATCTTCCCCGTCGTCACCCAGCCATACCACAGTGTTGGATGCATGGCTGTATATCAAGCGCATCAAGGGAATTTGGTGCTCTTTCTCAGTGGTATCCGCTTGATTTATGCAGATCTGATCGATCCATAGCCAGACACTTTGTTTTTCTGCCCTGAGATGGCGCATCGCACTTTCTAGGCTTCTTGAAATCTTGATTACAAATCCGTTGGTGAAATAGATTGGAACATCGAATATGGGCGCTCCCCAGACATAGGATAGGGCTGTGTACCAGATCGGCTTCTCGTGAACGAGAGAAATGGCGTGATTCGTGAGTCTGGTGAAGTTATCTACTTGGCCATACTCAAAATCAATAGAAGCAACATGCAAGGCCCCATGGAGATCGCTCTCAAAAGTACCGGGGTGGAGTTCTAGGATGCGGATTTCGCTTTGATCTAGGCACGAATATACACTATTGCTGTGTCGCTCACGTTCTCGGTCGACTGATCCTGCTTTCTTAGAAGCAATATATTGACGAATAGCAGCATTTGCTGTCTCGTCCAATTGCCCTAAGACTCCCGGAATGCCATCGCTAGTGACTGGTTGAAACAGTAGCCTTGTGGGGCCTAGGTCCTCTGCGTTCACTGAAATGTAGCAATTGCATTCATCTATCCCTGGTGGCTTGGTTAATTTCCGTATATCCCTTGAACCAGGACGGTGAGCGGGAGTCAGTCACCTTGGCTGTCGACGAGTGCGCAGCCTCGACCGTGTTCCAGGATGCGATGGACCGCCCTCCCGCCATTCATGCTCCAAAAACTCTGCGTTTACTTGCAGAAACTCGTATCTGTGGGATAGTCGTGATAGAGATCGAGCTGAAATAGCGACGTAACCAGAGGTGCTGCCACGTCATCCGGCTGCGGTGCTGTCTACTTTTTAGAGAGTTACACCCGACACCGCAATAGGCGAAGCCAGTCGTGTCGTTCAGGCATCAACTTTTTGTACCAATCCCGTAAGGAATTAACAAAATAGCCAAGGACACTGCAAGCAACGCGAAATACCCAGTGAAAGGTAGGTAGCTCTTTTTGAAAATGCTGTTCTTGATGTATGCGCTACTTTTTTTTTGTTAATTTGATCGTTAGGTGATGGAAAGGATGGTTTCTACGTTGGTACTTGAACGACAGAACTGGCTTCACTGTGCCGCAATACCTATCTACTTAGGTGTGCTTTCGTATGCCTGTCTGTAGCTAGCAAAGAGGATTGTCACGAACCAATTGCCTATTACCGCAGCGCTACGTAAAATGATCTTGCGCTCGGGTATTACCTGACACCCTAGATATACCTTCCTCATGCTTGCCATATCTTACGTACTACTGCTCGTCAAAGGTCGGCTATAATGGTCCTGATCTTCCTACCTCAATTTCACGTAACAGCGCGTTGCGTGTGCGCGATATCAGCAACGGTAACGGTATTGATGTCTTCCCCAAACCCTCAGCAGCAACTACTCGTGGCATCCTCGAAAGCCCCATATCGGACCTACCAAGCCCGTTACGAGGCTGCGATGGACAGTTCGGTAAAGTTATTAAGGAACGATATATGGTTCAACTTTCTCCAGGCTAGTCTTTCCAAGAACATTATCAAACTATTGGGAGGAATATAAATGAGCATTGCACGGTCTTAGATGATATCAAGGAAAATACCGGTGTGAAGGAGGTCTAGTGTCCCTGAGAAAGGACCAGATCTTAACCGTTTCAAGATGCAACATTAGGTATTTATTGAGAAGATCTTGCAGCACCGTAAATAAGTTAGGACTAAAGGAATTACAGGCCGAACTAAATCTGCGCACGAACCTAAACTCGAGCAAGCAACCCCAGAGAGAAAATGGCATTCATCCCAAAATTAAATCGATCATTTCGATATCTTGATGTTCCCACACTTCCTTCATAACTCGACCGAGAGCCTTCCTGTATGCGATGCCGTCTTCCCACTCAACCAGCAAAACATTATAGAACTCGTATGTTCCCGATCTCTCAGGGAACTTCTTATGACGCAAGTCTGTTCCGTAAGGGCACTCCGACAGAAGCAGCTCCGGATATCCGGAAGGTATCACGTAGCCGTCGAGGAGACACCCCTGGGATATAGCGACCAAAGTCCGATTTTCTAGCGGCCGGCTGGCGAGATCTTCTCGTGGATAATGCAGTATCCCCGCCAGTGATCCATCCAAAGCGCGGAGGATAACAGCTACTCCCGCCGGTGATCCATCCAGACCGCGTATAATAACAGCTCTGTTGCCGTCTATCTCGTTCCAGCAGACTCGTAGGGTGGCGCTTTGGGCGCGGCAGGATAGTAATCTACCCCATGACTGAATTATTGGGTCCTGATGAGGGGCAGGTAATGGTATCGGATACCAGAACTGGGTTTCGGGGATGGAATTGTGTTGGTAATAATGAGTTTGAGGAGAGATCAGTCTTGGTTCTTGGTCGGCAGAATCGATTTCGTGCTTCGTCCATCCTGGAGGGAGGTCATTCGCTCCACTAAGGTATTTGGTTCGGTCTAGGCACCAGGAGTTTTGATGGGTAATCAACACCGGGGTCGAGTCCTTGCTTTCCTGGCTGAACCATTCAACCATCGGGATTGTTCTTTCTATTGCGTTTCCCCGTCTCAGATAATCGCACTTGGCGCCCCATAGCATGTATCGAATCTCGCCTTTCCAACCAGCCCATGACCAACTTGGAGGACACTTCGATTCGGCATTTAGTTTTGAAGCGGCCCTTCGTTTACATGCACCACTCATTTGCCACAGAAGCGCAACGTCTAGAAACATGACCGGAAGGCCGTGGATGAAGCCGCCCTGGAATTTATGGCCGAGAGCGGTTAATATTCCCGCAAATGCTCGAAGTCCGTCTTCTCCATAGGTCAGTTCTCGTTTGTTGTACGACCATACCAAGAAGGCGAAATCAGGTATGGATGGGTAGGGCCGAAAGAAATGAGACTTCTCAGACCATCCTCTACCCTTTCCAACGAGAAAGTCATCCGATTCCCGATGTTCTTCACAAACAGTAGTACCGCATTCCCATCGCACGCCGTATCTGTCAAATTTCAGTCTTCTTTTGGAGAAGGTATCCTCTTGAAATGTCCATGCCCGTCTTGCCCATTTCGTCTTTGATCGTCTCCGAATATAAATATCTAGGATCTCCCCGTCATCTGTTTGGAAGGTAAATGTTTCCAAGTCGTGTTTCCTAGGGCGGGATATGCCTTCTAAGCCGGGCAAGCCAAAATCTGCGTGTTCACCTTCAGCCGCAATGATAGTGAAAGCTGAGTTATCGAATATTGACCCCATAATGCTCATCTGGGTGTGGCATTCAAGTGCATCGTCTTGTACAATACACAGCGAATCAATCCATATATATCGCTCTTGAAGGGCTTCTGTAAGCTTAATAGCATCATGTATCGTTCGAGGAAGGCGGGATAGATATTGCGGTGACTGGAGGGCGCCTTCGCGTTGGAGATGTTGTACATTACTCCGCAATGTTTTAAAAGTATTAGTCTCACCCCAGACGTAGCTCAATGCTACATACTGAAGCCCTTGAGTCGCAGGTACTAGACATCGTCGCATTGTGTCCACAAACCTGGCAGGGTACGTAGCCGGCAGGTCTCTCGTCGTTAAGGGCTCAGAACACTGTGTCAAGTGATTCTGCTTGCAGGTATTTTTCCAACCCTGGATTTGCTCCATGTCAATCCAAAACGGATTGACTCCTTTTTGTCTCACACAAAACTGCGGTCCGAGTGTTGACTTGAGTAACTCCAACGCGATCGAATTATGATTCCCTGGGGTTTTCCGATACACAATCTTTTTGTAACAATGGCCTTGGTAATGATGTATGAAAAACTTCTCTAGACTGGTTGCTTTTGTTCGTTGAAAGCACTTAAGAAATAGATTCCGGTGAGTAGCGCATCCAGTAGAATCTACGAGTTGTGCCCAAGTACCGAGTTCGTAGAAGGCGTCCAGGCTCTTGACACTCGTGTGTAAGATTTCCACAATTTTGTCGCATATGTTGCATCTCGGGGTCTGAATAAAGATATGAATTAGTTCCGCACGTAAACTGGACTCTCGCATGTTAACTTGGACAAATTTCGTCACCCTCTCAGAGATCAAAATCTGACGACCAAGTATCTGTCACTTGAACAACTTTAGTCATACTGCCTATGACTGGGGCGGCCGTGTGATCTTCTGCTGCGTGGTAGCAGTAGAATTACATTCAACTAGACACGACCGATGCCCCGGCTACAGGTGGATGTCATGCAAATCTTTTGCCCAAACCTACCTCATGAGTGACCCCAGAGTCGTCAACAAACTTATCGGAATTGGGAATTGCTCACTAAACCGCCCGATTTACTTTTCATCCTAATCATTTCTTCAGAATCTTGATCCACGGCCGAATGCGACTGCTTCTGCTTTGATGCCATCATGCAACTGGGCCTAGAAAACCGATCGCAAGCGTGCTATAACGCAAGGAAGGGACATAGTTCGCCTTGAGCATGTCAAAGAAGGTTTTGAAGACGTGAAATGACTCATGAGATACGACGATTTTGTGGGAGAAGTAAAGAAGGCAAGAAGGCTGAGACATCTAACGTTTGCTTTTGCTGCCTGGATGCGCCGAGGCTTCCATGTGATTCTACAAGACGATTTTCTATCCCGAACGACGTGATGCGGAATTCGAAAATTCAGGATCCGTTCATATTGCTAATGCGTGTAAGTTTGAAAGATGGAGATGGTGAGCAAAGGTGAGCAAGGGTAGGTAGATCTGACCCGAGCTCAAGGTCACGTGACCAGCAGGGGTCAGAGATTGTGCACATTGGAGTAATTGTGCACATTGGAGTAATTGTGCAAGAAGGCCGCTCAAATAGGCGTTCTCTCTATCAATAATCTTACCAGGTTTTTTGAAATGCGCTATGGTTCCCGGTCTCTAAATGAACCCAAGAGACGGCATGAAAGGAAGATGCCCAGGTTGCTTACGTAACAACGAAGGGATGAGGCGGACACCCATACCTACCACCTACCTTCGTACTCTCTCCTCAATCTACTAACTATTCCCTTTCATCAATCCGTGTCTGCAGCAGCTATGTATACAAAGCATAAAGCACAGGTATTCCGAGATGCACTAGGAGCAATATAACGGTCTATCTTCACGTTTCCTAGTCTGATTATCAATGAACTCACTGTCAGCCTGCTGTGCCGCATTCAAAGATTGCCTCTACAATGTGCCCACTTCCGCCACTGATAATCTGCAACAGGTAGGTTGGGTCAGTGAAGCACGATATATCAGTACAGCTATCATTCTCGCCAGTTTCATGTTAGTATTGCGATGAAATACATTCTTCTAAGTCTCCTAATACTGAACACTCCAGAGTCTAATCAGCAACCTATATCGACCGCCGCTTCTCAGTAGAACATCATTTTCAAACGCCAGTCAGATTTCTGACCTCGTCAGCAAAATCACCGCCACAGTCATGACACCACCAGCGCCTAGCGAAATTTCAGACAACCCTCGAAAGGGACTTGGTGTACTCACGAACACCTATGATGCTAGCCGCGATTTTACTCGCCGGTGTTGTTTCGCGACTCCAGACATCACGATCTACGGCTGGCCATCCAATGCGGCGTCATAATCTCGACAACGCCACAGCGCCGGATTTTGAACATCTCGGTCTCGATCGCTTGCACCCAGTCATGAAACGATATGAGAGCCCAGACGACGAAGACGCGTTCTGTGAGCAGATGCTACTTCTTGGTGCGAAGTGGTGGAGCTCGTACTCTCGCTTTTCGCTGTTGAAAGGCGCGGAGCTGCACGAAGAGGATTGCATCTTTTTGCTTGAAGAAGGTGAAGAGCCGGCACCGGAGCTAAAAGAGAGATTGTGGGTGAGAGTAGCGTGGTCGAGCAGCGGTGGGCTTGTAGTGTCAGAATTTGACACAACTCTCTATGGTTATGACCCGGATAGCGACAATTTTGTCCCAGACGATGAGAACAAACTACGGCTTTGTAGGGATATGGACGAAAAGGCGGCTGTTCTGAAGGAGAAATTTGAAGCTAAAACTTTTGCAGGTGTGGAAGAGTGTCAGGGAAACGCTTTCATCAATCTTCAGAATTGGAGGGAGGCTGGGAAATTGAGTACAATTCAGGAATCAATTGTAAAAGACCAGTGATGACGGGACGCTATAGCGTACCATTACTTTACAAAGACCAAGTGACAGAGACCCCTGCATCCGAAACCCAAATAGAGCAAAGAAAACCAACGTCAATACTCGTCACTGATGTTGCTGTTGGCATGCTCTCTATTCCTACCAGCGTCCTTGCAGTCGCTGCGAACCCAGAAAATCTATGACGAGGGCGGTTCGTGTTCTGAAGCTACCCTAATAGCGAAATTTCTTTCAGTCAACAGCAATTGCAGCTGGGAAGGCAGGAGTCAAGAATCATTTCAAATATCCGGAAAACCGTCTCACTATAAGGGTAGTCTATTTTGTTAATACCACATCCGCACATCATGTCTCAGAAAAGTTGTATTAATCGTCTTTGTTTCTCGGCGTTCAAGAATACGGGTAGGGAGACCCTAGACTTTATCAGTTCCAAGATCTCACGTCAGCAATCTTACATCTCGTGTCGCTTTTCCTTTCAGACACATTCCAAATATCCATAAGCAGATACTAACTATGGTATCGAGAAGGATGCGCGTACGTCCTAACCACTCTAACTAAGCCTTCGCCAAGCAGATTCGGTCCTTTTCTAAGCTTCACATCGTGTGACAATCGTTTCGTTGCCAGTGACAAGTGTGGACACCGGCTTTCCACGTCTGTAGCATTGGAGACAGTTCGTCGTTGACGCTGGGAATGCCTTGCAATTATGTGCTCTGGCTTCACCAAGCTTCAGTATTGACACTAGATTAGCACTATAGTCTACAGACTGCCTAGTGTAGTATATCAACCAGTGGTATAATAAAGTCTATAGCATTCTAAGCACCTGCGAAATTTAGTGCTAGATTCACTGCCAACGAAACCAATGGGCCCATGACACCTGCAAATAGTTGAATCCGACTCTTCCATCCACCCTCCTTCTTGTCATTAGCCTCTTTTATCTTCTCATCGGTCTCATCATCAGGTTGGCATCTTAACTCCTCCCGGGTCCGCATCTGTATCGCATGCTCATCTAGTTGAGCATCCAATTGCTTTCGAATGCGGTCCCGCTTCCGATCATTTTTCCTTCTCTCCGCGTCTTCAAGCTGCTCTCGCAGGGTACGAATCGTCTGCAACTTTTCGAAGATCCGTTCCTCGAGTGCGGAACTAACCATCTTTCCCGCACAAGTACGATCTAGGCGTTGGTGATCGTCGAAAAGTTCGCGCTGAATTTGTAGAACTACATCAGCCTTTTTGAGAAGGGTGGCCACGATAGCCTCGGCGCGATCTCGACTCCTGGTGTACATCTGGAAGACGCATGAACCACCGTCGACCAGAGTGGACCAGTAGTGTTGGCGGAGCTCTTCGTCTCTTTCAAGGCCAAGTCCTAGGCCATCTGTCCCCTTTACTTTTTCCCACATAGTGGTCACAAGTGCGATATTGGGAGAGGCATCGTCACCGCACATTTGGGTTAAGATGTCCATATATCGCCTAGCAGAACCGGTGAATTTGTTGTCGTCGATCTTTTGCAACCAGATGATTCCCTTAAGAAGGATCCCCAGGCGGTATTGGGTACTTAGAAAGCGGGTAATCTTTGCTGTATAATAACATGAGCAAGTGCGTAGGCGGAGGGTGGACGTAGATAACGGACCAAAGATCTTGCCGTCAGAGTCTTCGTCATCGTTGAAGCCAGGCGTATCAACCACAGTGACGATGGTTTGCCCAATTTTAGTCTTCACAGCCGTGCAAGATTTGGTATCTGGAACGATCAGCGTCACTAGGTCATGTAACGGCGAGGACATTGACGCATTACGCGATCTTAGATTACGACCAACGGACACCGAGTCATCCTCGAGCAAGTTGATGAAAGAGCTTTTGCCCGATCCAGTAACCCCCATCACCAGGATCATGTATTCTGGGCCGGGGACATCGAAAGATAAAGTCCGATCCTCTGGACGCTGGCTTGACGATCTTACCCGGGGACGAGTCGAGGCTGGGTTGTCCTGGAGGTCCCCACCAGAACTAATTCGTCGCGCCGAAACGGCTGGTCTGAAGCTCCTGATTCTCCATTTCACCATATTGGCAATTTAAAGATACTCATAAGAGAGAGAGCTCAGTATGAAGGCGATAAGGCTGCTTTCGACTTCGGTGTGCGGGGGAGAATGCAGCCACAGAGCTTGGCGTTCTGGAAGGACCCGGACCGCACAAGGTCATTCTTGTTCAGCCTTACTGCATTATCTTCGTCAATTTCTCTCATTCACGGGGCTTCTTTCGGTTATTCGCATGCAGCTTCAATGATGGCAAGGGAAGGGACGCGTAACCCACTATCAGATTTGTATTTTATTGTCGCTATCGACTTTGGAACAACGTACTTGACTGCTATTATGAAACCCGATATCTAGCGGTGCTAACCTCGAAAACAGCTTTTCCGGGGTGTCTTGGACATGGTCTGGTGATTTGGCAAACATCCGTAACATACAATCTTGGGGTGCTGCTCGAAATGGATGGAATGGAATCGCCGAGGACGCGAAAGTTCCGTCCGTAATTCGCTACCGCCACGGTGTACCAAATGCGTGGGGTTTTAACCTCTCCGAAGACGACAAGCTGACGCTAAGCTGGTTCAAACTTATACTGGATTACGAAAACCTCCCTCCAGCGATCAGGGATTCTTCGAGAGTGCAGTCGGTTTTCAACAAGCTAAAAGCTCAAGGGAATGGCGATCCATTTGAGACCGCTATACAAGTCACTTCTCATTATCTAAGACACCTATGGGAGCTCGCTAAGCAAGAGATTGAGAGAGAGCTTGGTCACGCTTTCATAGCCGATGAGGTTTGCAAAGTCGTGCTCACTAAACCAGCAATGTGGAGCCAGCAAGCATGCAGCAGAACTAAGCGGGCAGCCAGAAATGCTATAGATCCGCCCGCACGCAAAGACCCCTCCGGGACACGCAGATCTCCTTTCAGGGAAGTCTCCATCGAGATGATTTCCGAGCCAGAAGCCGCTGCGCATGCAGTTCTTGGAGCGCCTAACGTGGTTTTGAGGCCAGATTTGACTCACGTACGTCTTAAATGTCTAGCATGTTATGGTCCATTTCTGACTGGTGAAACGCAGACCGGTGATGTCTTTCTAATAGCCGATGCCGGCGGTGGAACAGTCGTAAGCACTCTTATCAGACCAAAAAATCATCTCTAATTTAGGTAGGATGTAATTAGCTATACTGTCAAGAGACTCAAGCCATTGGAGTTGGAAGAGTGTGTTGTTGGAAAAGGTAGGGAGCTAGATTTGGAAAGATGTCTGGATTTCGATTTAACAAACTCGATAGGTGGTCTTTGTGGTTCTATCTTCATAGATGAGGAGTTCGATATCCTTCTTGAAACTGAGATTGCTGAATGGCTCGCATTGGAACCGCACCTTAAGCGGAGGTTCAAAGGCAACGGATGGGAGCACAGTATAAAACGAATTTTCGACCCCTTCGATCCTAAGATAGCAACGCCCACCTACGAAGTTGAAATCCCAACAATCGGATTACATGAATTCTCTAGGTAAGCATGCAAAGCATTTCGCTGGGAAGATGCTAATTGTGTAGTGATCAAATTGACCATGTTTTTCAACCGGCTTGTAACGGAGCTAGAGGTTTGATTCATGAGCAAGTGTGCGAGATACGTAAGAAGACGAAGAAAAATCCGAAGGTGGGTAGTGATGTGCGACTGCTGTCATGATTTGTACTAACAGTTGACGTTAATAAGGCAATTATCCTTGTTGGCGGTCTTGGGACCTCAAAATACCTCGCATCTTTGCTGAAGCTGCAATACGCGAGGCAAGATATCGAAATTCGTCAGCCTTCCGGAGCCCAACCGTGAGTGGCCAGTGATGATCTGCGTTGACATGTGCTTACTTTCGCGAGGTGGACGGCTGTTAGCCGGGGAGCAGTGATGGCAACCGCCCAACGAGCTGTTAGCTCTAGAATTTCTCGTTATCACTATGGATTTTGTTGGGTAGATACCTTCAATCCTGATATTCACACCATCCAAGAACTGGTCTATGACCGGGCGGAAGGCACAAACCTCGCTGTTGGTCAAATGAAATGGGTCGTGAAAAGAGTAAGTACTTATCTTACCTCCTTCGACTTTGATTTCCTCTAAAGCTAACACAATCTACAATAGGGTGATACAATTGGACATCTTCGCCCAGTGGTCGTGCCTTGCCAAAACAAATTCCGATATGAGGCAGAGATCGCCAATAGGAGAATTTATGTTGATATCTGGCACTCGGGCTTCGACCCAGCTCCAAGACGGCAGACACATGGTAACCAAGTATCCATTCTGGCACTCTGAGTCGGCTGCTTATGTTTGTTCTGTCGCAGATGTACACAAACTGTGCACTATCGTGTGCCATTTACCGAGGAGTCTGCGATTTGGTGACCTCCCAGAATATATTGGAGAAGATTTGGTTCCATATCGAAGGCTTGAAATCGACATCGCTATGTCGCCGCGAGGAAGTGATCTCTACTTTGCTATTTATTTCAACGGCGACCTTCTTCCCACGGTAGGTCGCGAGACACGTCCAGATCAAGGATGAACGCTAAGCCTATTTTAGGAGTACCAATGGCCGAACAGAGATTTCGCACAAGGGGGTATTTCCATTGAAACAGAGTGAATATGTGACATGCAAAAAAAGATAACAGTATGCGACCGCTTAGGTCGGTACTGCAACATCGGGGCCCATGGGCGCTAATATGAGCGTGATCTCCTTGTCTATATCGTATCAGACTTTTATAGGAGTTTTGCGTGATTCAAAAATGTGAGGAGATGAGTTGGGTTGGATTGATGGGGCTCGTCCCACTAGTTCTAGATGCCGGCTTGGCAACCCGAGCCTGATCCATGTCAAGATGCGTGTTGTCAATCATTAGCCTCCCAGTAGTATCAATCCGTAACAAGCGCGTGGAAAGACAAACCGTGTATACGTACTTCACCACAAGTTAATGTAAATGCAACCTCGTAGATTTAGCCCCGGGCTGGACGAGCGGGAAGCCGGTAGGTCTGCAGCATCCACACCCTTGAGGCTGGAAAGGCTGACGCAAGAGTAGCCCTAAGGTCGCAGCTGCGGACAGAGACGAGAGCAGGTATCTTGAAGACGGCAGAAGAAGCAGTATCTATCCAAGCTATGGCATACCTGGAGCTTGACAGCCCTCGAGTTCAAGCGGAAAACACCCGGTTCTCGACGGACATCATTCACGAGAATCCCTTCGCTGACGTGGAGAGCTGGGAAGATGATTCAGATGAAGACCGGAAAGCCTTGACTCCACCAAGAAATATACCCCACCCCGGCCGCCATTCCCTAGATTTCGAATACAGCAAAAACCCTGGCATAACAGTCGATCTCGTCAGCGACCTTTCGACTTCCATCAAACCGTCGGCGCTACCCGAAGATTTGAATCAGGACGAGCTTATTGATGAGGTTCATCGCCTCCGAAAACAATTACACGAAAAGGAGCAAATACTGAGGGAGGCAAAGAATGAGCTCGGCCTTGAGAAGCGGAAGAGGAGTTACCGTCTCGATGACGAGTACTTCAGGGCTGAAATGATTCAGTTACAAAGAAATATCAAGGAATGGGCGAGGACACATTTTACCAACCAGGAAGGCTACGTTACCAAACCAGCTGCGAAGAGTTTTCAGCACCTTACTGAGAATCACGAAGTGTGGTTGCTCTCTAAGCCGAACCGTCGGTTCCTTATTGAGGCTCGAGTATGGGATCTACTTCTAGATTTCGTGATTAACCCACATCCTAGCGAGCGGTTTGGTTATGTTTGGGCTGGGCGATTAGGAAAGCGAAAGCGGCACATCCGCGACCGTGGGCCCCGAAGGGACAACCTGGTATCCCTGGATTCGATTCTTCGAAAAGGTATGCGTTTGTGTTTGTGACAAGCTACACTTATATGCTGAATGATCTAGAAACTCGATCCGATACTATTGAATATGAAGAGTATCACGAATGGAGATCCTTAACGTATAATCTTCTGTTTCCAGGGAGAGGACGGGAAACAACGCCTCGAATCGACATGAAAGAGGTGATTGGCCAGCGAAATATGGTCACTCACAAGATATGGAAAGACCTGAAATCCTACGTCACACGCGCAAATAAAACTCTTGCTAAGGACAACCTGCGTGATATCGTCCGCGACGCGATGGCCTTGGACGTGGATTTTAAAAAACAAAAAGCGGACTTCTTCTTTGGCTCTTGGGGCGACGCTCTGTATGGCTACGAGTTTGTGCCTGAGCATATGGAAGATCTCAGGAGATCAAGCAAGCGGGACATGGTCCAGCTCATGGTTTCGCCAGGGCTTTTCAAACGTGGAGACTCGTCCGGTCATAACTATCATAAGCCAAAGCTCAAGATTGTCAATGCCAGAGTCATATGCAACGGTCCTAATCCGTCAGAGAAGAAGTCCTTCCTAAGAAACTTATACAGCACTGCTCCGAAGAGAAGTAAAAGACGGAACGTAGTGGTCAAATGACAGTCCGCTAGAAATCGTTAAAACATCCTGCTCTGGCACCGTTGGATCTATCTCAACCTCTAGGAAGCCTTAGATTGATCTATACGTCCTGAGATGCTTCTTATCTATGATGTTACAAATAGTTGCGAGGATCCATAGAATCAACCGAATGAGGTCAAACTCGGTAGACGAGGAGTAAATTCTGCGTGCACTGAGCATCGTCGTCTTCCTCTCCGTGACTGCAAAGGTAGAATCATATCTACGGTCTGAGGTCTCAAGAAAGAGTATGAGGGGCACCTCAGCCAAGCTCTGCGCGTCTTAGTTGCAAATACCTATAGATTCAACCACGTAGGAGGGATTTCAGGAGACGCGGGGTATATCTCGTCCTAGCCCCGATTCTGTACCAAGGCAGTCTCCCACTCGAGAGCCTGCTTAAACCTACTGGACTCACTCGCGTCTACCGAAGTACCATGTAAGTGCTGCCGGGCGTTGTATGCTCATGTTCTGTAGCCCATTTTTGTGAACCTATACTAATGGCGTGACTGACAGTTGTGCTATGGCCTGTAGGTAGGAATGTCCCTTCCTGCTCAGCTCGTGGGGAGTCATCCGGACCCCCAGTCGATTATCGTAATCAGAGAGTCATGTTCCGACTCTTTGCGACGCATCTTATTTTCTCCATGCCACACAATCAGTCAAAGTGATCATCCTAACCATTGTAGAGATCGATTTGCTGTCCCACGCATGTGAAGTATCTACAGCGAATAATGGAGGGATTTTGTCAAGCAAGACTATGCCGTCACAAGAAGATAGCGCGGGTCGGCGTCAATCGAAAGACGTATCTCTGCAGCTTCATCTACACCTTATATAAAGATTTTTTTTACTATAGCTCCACTCTCTACTATCACTCTAGTGCAACAAATGAATTGCTTTGGTCGCTGGACAGTTATAAATCCTAGACCAGCGATCGCGTGCAAGCTTCTCGAGCAACTAGTTCCCAATCCTATTCCAGCAAGACATTAAAGTTGCGAAAAGGAGTCCCGCGACTCTCGGAGAGCCAGCTTGTTCGTGTCTGCTTGAGTCCTCCGATACAAGGGCAACACCGAAACAAGGTTACTAGAAGTCTCCTGGTCTTTTGATTAATAAGCCCCCATTTATAGCCTGCTGTGTCTCAAAAATCTCGAGCCCCCCTCTTATACTTATCTTACAGATTACCATAGAGATAGCGACCTTTGAGCCTGTTTATGTACCTACTTTAATTTACCAAAGCGGCTCGTTGTTACATGATTGCGTGGACATCGACAATTCCATCATTTTAGACATCAGCCCGTTGAACGATATGGTAGTTTGGCTCGGAACCCATCACAAATTACCGATCCGCTTCCCAGGATCATTCCTAGATGTACATACAGCGAGTCGAAACTCTGCTCGAACGTAGAATCGAGTTTACGAGGCCACGAGGCTCTTATTGCTGTGCTTGAACACCGGATATGATGGTAAGCGTACTGAAGAGATTTCGCGCATTCATTGTCATATGCCTTCAAATGCTTCTCAACGAAGGGCTCCAAGCCCGCACGTCCCTCTTCATCCAGCGACTCAACACCGGCACTACCCTCCTTCAAGCAGCTGCCAAAGAGAACTTCGACATCGAACGGTTTCCGAGCCGCATAATTGAACCAGAAACGTTTCGTGGCCCACGACTCACGCATAAGACAAGAAAGAGGCTTCTCACCATCTGAGCCTTCTCTTGCCCTCTCAGCTCGTTCCATCGCTTGCAAAAATTGCTCCAAGCGAGATTCGTAAGCCTCCACGAATTCTTCGATGGTCCGATCTCGAAGAAGATACGAGTTAGGCCCCGCCAGTAGCAACCACCAGGGCGGTTCGGAAGCGTACTGGCTAGGCATGGCGTTCGTGAATTCGAGGTTAAGAACAGCCTTGATACGGATCCACAAAAATATTTTGAGGTCGGAAGTCGTTACAAAAGACTTTGAAAGGACCGCGGTCGTCAATACAATGCCTGTCACTGACTGCGCAAACAAATGGCGGGAGATATATCGGGCATGAGCCTCCACCGGATTGCTACAGAGGTTACGCTGGGTCTAGAGATGCGTTTTCTGTTTAGACACCAGAGACCGGAAATATTCGCCTGCAGATGCAAACGGTGCCGTGGGGAACTTGTCCACAGGGTAAAATGCTGTAGTTGCCAGCTCATTCATGCTGTAGGTTAGAGGTCTCCTTATGACAGACCAAGAGCCCGTAGAAGAGGCATTTGAAATGGCTCCGATGTGATCGAAATTGAACTTGAAGAGTTGAAGTGTGATATCAGCGATTTGAGAGAACACATTCTCTAATGTTTTTCCGTCAATTTGAGGATTCAAGCAGAGTCGCTTCTTATCAGCAGGATCCCGGAGGATATCAGAGAGGTGAATTCCTTCTACGAAGTCTGAGATGATGAACGGTCCAAAATGCTGTGGGCTGTCTTCGGTCAGTCCCCAGCTGAAGGAGCCCTGGAACCAATCGAGGACTTCGGCTCCACGTCCTGGCCGGCGACTGGCGACAAAGGCCGCAATCTCTTTTTTTGCGTCGAGGACCCGTCTTTTCCACTCTTCCCACTGATCATCCCCAATCTTCTCATCGAACAAAGTCATATCGGCAGGTTGCGTTGAGTTGAATCGTGGGTGCTGCGGGGACTGCGCGTGAGGAGGAGAGGTGTTGGAGAAGACGAGACGTAAATTGAACAATGTGCCAGCGGATGGTAGATATTTACGTCAAATGGGCTAGCTGTGCCGCTCATGAAAGTTTCAAGTGAAAACGCCACAGGGCGTGCGCCCATCACCCGTCACACGCTTCACCGCCAGAGCTGGCAGCTTGCAAAATCTCTACAAACCAAGCAGGTTCTTCTGCATTGACACTGTGGGTAGTAATACGTTCCTTACCCTGCCTATTGACTCATCCGGAGATAGTGAGAGGCTGGCCTTAGGTTCGTAGTGTATAGCTAATCGATGATTTCGCAATTCCAAAGTTGTATTTCAAATTGCGGAGATAGTGAGAGGTAGGCATTAAGATCCATAGTTCGTAGCCAATAATCTATCGATAGCCTAGTATGCCAACTACTATGCAGGGGCTGTATAAGTATAGACATAGATGATTGGCTATCCCCTGAATCTCTCTTTACGTTCATTGGCCACTCAACAGGGACCTTGACGATCTCGAAAGTTTAACGGTGGAGTTCCACCGACACATGCACTAACGCACCTATCTCGGCACCTCGGGAAGCATCTGACTACGCGTCTTTTAACGTGTAAGCCTACTTTGACTATAGAATATAATCACGTTTCCACCATAGAGCCCCTCAGGATATCAGCATTCCTTCTTCTAGTCATCTCCTGTCGCTTTTCTTTCACATTGAATATCAGCAGAAATTACTGGATCTCCAAGAACTCCAACCCAACAGCAACGATGGCCAACCCACCCGAATCCAACGTCTCCTCAGATTTCCCCTTCACCTTCCAAACCATCGCCGTCCTCGATTCAAAAATCGCGTACATTGACACCCGCGACACCCGCCACATCACCACCACCGCCATCTTCCTCCACGGAAACCCAACATCCTCCTACATCTGGCGCAACATAATCCCCCATGTGGGCCTCAAACTTCGCTGCATCGCCCCCGACTTAATCGGCATGGGCAAATCCGGCAAACCCGACATCGCCTACCGTTTCGTAGACCACGCGCGCTATCTCGACGCCTTTCTCGACGCTGTCGTTCCAGAAGGCAAGATGGTGTTCGTAATCCAAGACTGGGGTTCCGCCTTGGGATTCCATTGGGCGCGTCGTCATCAAGAGCGGGTGAGTGGGATCGCGTTTATGGAGTTCATACGGCCGTTTGCGACGTGGGATGATGCCGGGGAGAGGGGGCCCGGACAGGAGACATTCAAGGCATTCCGCACGCCGGGCGTGGGTCGGAAACTCCTCGTTGAGGATAATCTCTTCATCAAGGCCATACTGCCTGGCGGCGTGGTGCGCGGATTGGCTCCCGAAGAGCAGGTGTACTACGAAGCGCCGTATCTAGACGAGAAGTCCCGCGAACCGGTTTATCGGTGGCCAAATGAGTTGCCGATTGAGGGATCGCCAGAGGATGTGTACGCGATTGCGGAGGAGTATCACGAGTGGTTGTTGGGAAGTGCTGTTCCGAAGCTCCTGTTTTGGGCGTCGCCGGGAGTGTTTGTGAGAGACGAGCAGGCGAAGTGGTATGTGGAAAAGCTGAAGAATCTGAAGGCCGTGTTTTTGGGGGAGGGGTTGCATTATTTGCAGGAGGATCATCCGCATCGAATTGGGAGCGAGATTGCTGAGTTTATCGATATGTTGGATTCGCGTGTCGGATCTAATTAATGTTTTCTAATCCTATTTTTACTCTTCTAGCGAATTCTTAAGTCGTAAATTACACAGTTAGAAGTAGCCTTCTTGGACGTAGAAATAAACATGCGGGGGATTGCCACGACCCGCTAGGCGTCTCTTCTACTTACGGACGAGTGTATTACAATATAAAGCCTCAGTTGGTACAAGTGCCGCTTGTAGGAGCAATACTAAAGGCATCAAGCCCAAGCCCACAAGCGGTGGCGATTCCGGGACACGAAGTTTTGAAAGCGATAATAGCAGTATCACCTCCAGCCACAAAAGGGAACGAGTACTGCCACATTTGAGTATTCTTGCCACTCTGAACGGGTATAGTCAGGATGGTCGTTCCGTCGATGGTTGCGATGCTCGTCGCGGACGGGTGTCGTATAACCCAGAATGTGACGGTATACGAGACGCCAGCTGTCAGCTGCTGAATGGTGGTGCCGACGGTGGCGGTGTCCGTCTTTCCATGCATCACGAAGAATCCGGCATGGGCTCCGTCTTCTGCTGTGAAACCTTGAGTGGAGGCAGTTATTATTGAGAATGGCGTATAGCTGGTGGCCAGTTGTGAGCTGAGGAGAGCCCAGTCGGGAGTGGTGCCGGGAGTTTCGAAACCGGCGTCCTCGATCAATCCACAACTAGGCGATGGGGTTGGGGTTGGTGTAGGCGTTGCTGATGATGTGCTTGATGCTGCTGCAGTTGTTGCGGGTTCGGCCGATGAACTGTCTGAGGATGTTGAAGATATTGTAGGTTCGGCTGATGAGCTGCTTGAAGATGATGAGCTTGTTGTGGGTTCAGCCGAGGAATCGTTTGAGGGTGTTGAGGTTGTTGTGGGTTCAGCTAATGAGCTGCTCGAGGTTTCTGAGGTCGTTGTGGGTTCAGCTGATGAACTGTCTGAGAATGTTGAAGATGCTGTGGGCTCAGCTGATGAACTGGTTGAGGATGATGAGATTGATGTGGGTTCAGCCGACGAACTGCTTGAGGTTGTTATGGGCTCGGCCGACGTGGTTGAAGAGGTGGAAGTAGGGGAGGCCGAGCCGGAAGAGATGAGCTTCGCGCCCAAGACGGCCGTGTTAGATTGTGCATCGTTTACTACGGACTTCATGTAGCAAGGCCCTGGAGTTCCGGGAATATATGAGACATCAATGCAGCCTGCGGTTGCACTGCAAGTCTATTGTACTAGTCAGCTACATGTTTTACCGTAGAGCGTTCATGCCTACTCACCGAGATACAGCTCTCCAGGCTAGATTCCCAGGATATGGCCAAATCTCCGTCGTACCGGTCGATGAAGCACTCGATGAGATACACGGAGCCAGTGCTGTCGATATAGCACGAGGCATCTGATGCAGGACAAGAGAGTGGGCCGGTTGTGAAGCCGCCGGTGCAGGCGCCGGGAGTTGAGGTTGGATTTGCTACGGAGATTGTCGATGATGTGGATACGGTGGACGTTGAGATAACGGCTGAGGAGGTGGACGATGGGAGAGCGGCCTTGTTGACTGCTCCCCAGACGTCTGCATTCGCTTGTGCTGCACCAGCAGTGCTCTTGAGGTAGCAAGGGCCGGGACTTCCTGGGATGTATGAGACATCGACACATCCTGACGTCGCCTCACAAGCCTATTGGAAATGTTAGGTACCAGGCCGGCAGTATTAATTGAGTTCACTCACCTCAATACAGTTCTCTAGGTTAGACTCCCAAGTCGTTGCCAGGTCGTTTCCATACCGATCAATGGAGCACTCAATGGTAAAGACGGTACCATCGGTGGCGGTGTACGTCGTTCCGTCGGAGTCAGGACATGAGATGACCTTCTTCGCAGCCCAGACGCCGGTGGCAGTCTCACCACCAGCAATGGAACTCTTTGGATAGCATGCGCCTCCATTGTAGGAGACTGCAACACAGCCCGTAGTACTGTCGCAAGTGGCGAGACATTCCTCAAAACTCGATACCCATGATACTCCAAAATCGTTGCCACTACTCACTGTTAGCTATTGCTAAGGTTGTTCACTTCTCAAGTTACCCACTAGTAGTCGTAGTCGCAAGTGATGGCGAATGAAGAGGTGCCAACGTTGACAGTCTGTCCGTCCGAATCAGGACAAGACACAGTTGAATCCGTCTGGCGGGCTTTGAGGGGAGACGCGGCCATGAAAGTTGGTGCAATAGCCAGTAGCGCAATTTGCGCAAAAGAGAAGTGAGGCATAAGGAATGACTTCATGATATACGTACACAACGTGGCAAGCGAGTGTGGTTGTTCAAGAACAAATTATGAGTGACAGCTGAAAAGAGCACCTACTGGTAGGTCACCGAGATTTATGTGTTTACGTCCATGAGAATAGGGTGCGATAGAATACAGGGTTACGCGTCTGGTGGGCCAGATGAAGCATACAAAGACAAGGTTCACACTTTTGGAGTATTTGTGGCGTTTGTGGCGTTTGTAGCGTTTGTAGCCCTCAAGCGGTCTCCTCAAGGAGAATCGGTTAGCACCTAGGTAGATAGAGATTCCAAAAGGACCCAACCAGACGGTGCCTAAGCACGGCTACCACGGCACATGGCACCGAAAGGTACACGGGCTAATAAGCGTAGTGGCGGCGGCCGGCGGCTGCAATCTGTGGACATGAGTTATCACGGGATAAGCGACCTGAAAGTGGACATTTTCTTCTCTCCCCGTCGGTCAGAACGGATTGGAATTGAACAAGCGAGGAAAAGTATCGACTCTCGCCAGCCGTGAACGAGACATGTCTAGATGCGGTTCTTGACTCGGAAAGCGACAACAATCGACGAAGTCCCCGGGGGTCTGGCCAAGGAGGTTGATGGCCTGATGGATGATTGAAGATGGACGCTGGGGTCAATTCAGGGGATGCACTGCCCAGTGCTGAAACCGAATGCGGCGTGGCGCTATACCCTGCTGTTCATGGCCACCGGCTCGACTCGCTGATCACGCCCAACCAGCCATGCCCGTGGGTAATGCCACCAGTGAAGCCATCCCGCCATGATCGAAAACGGCGAGACACCACGCTATCGTGCCTCCCGGAGTCTGGCGCGCGCGACGGTATTGCTTGTACCTGCATGTGCCGCCTCCGGCGCCTTTGGCTAACATGTGGCTTGCGCGTGGCCGGCCGATAATGACCTGTCCACGGCATCATGGAGTCCGCCAGGCTCGTAACTATGGCATGAAGTAATGCAGCAAAATAGCTTCAATAGACGTGGTGATGGAGAGGTTTGGATCAAGTTACAATGGTACAGATTACATATAAGATTCCTCGCTGCCCCCTCTCTGACCTCGCTAAAGTCACGTGCTCCTATTTTCTATATACAAAAAGTGAAAAAACTCATTTCCCCCCATCAAACCTCTCGCTCACGGCTTACCTTCTAGTACAGTTATATGCTCCCGTTTTCCGTCCACGCTCTATAGAACTTTCTTTTTCTCCTGTCCTTCTCACTCAAATCACGTGCTTTACATCGGGGCGACTTAGGCTCACGTAAGCCATGAGCCTCCCAACTTTCAACGTCTACCCTCCAAGGCTTCCGCTGTTCGTCTATCATCCCAACCATGGATTTTCCGAAGATGAATCATAGAGCAGATAATACGTCGTCGGGCGGAGTAAGAAGAAAGGCTCGATACCCGAGGAAACTGACGGAGGAGAGGAGGATTCAAAATAGAGAAGCTCAGCGGACGTATCGTAAGCTATTAACAAGTGGGAGCTAATCTAAGGAAAACATTGACGAGATTCAGGCGAGAGACAGAAAAAAAGGGTCCAGGAACTAGAGAATCTTGTAGCCGCAAACGCGCAAACTCCGTCGGGTCCACATTCTCAATATGACTCCTTGCCAGAACGAGTCGCAGAGCAGGAAGCTCGCGCTGAGAGAGCTGAGACTGAAGAGGCTGTTGAGACTCAACCTCGCCCAGACAGTAGCACCAATGTGGAACAGCATGCTGAAGAGTCCCTGGCCGTGGAAGACCCGCAGTCAGGGCTAGAGTCCTTATGTCCAGCAATGGCACACCATTTCAAAAGCCTTCCGCCGGACACGACGGATACGCCAGAAGACCCATCACGTCAGCTCAACGGACCAAAACGTTTCCGATGTTTTGATTACGTACACTTAGACCCAGCAGACCAATCTGAGGCCGATGACCACCCGGATGAAGCACCCGGATCGCCCACAGCGCGTGAAGACGCGTTCGATCGAGAAGAAGCAGACAGGGCTTCACACATCTATTGCTCCCGAGTACACGACGCAGCCCGAGAACAGAGATCTATAGATCTCAGCCACTACCAGCAAGAGCCCACAGACACCCCATCTTCTTCTACGCTACCAGATACCTCCGACACCGCCCTCAGCGCCCTCTTCACCCTATTTCCCCTCCCACAAACCCCAGAAACTACAGCCCTCATCCACACTGCCATCTCCCGCAAGCTCGGCATCCAAGACCTCCTCCTCGCGGGCCTGCGCTCCCTCCAAGACGCTTCTCAGCCTCAACCACCCACACCCGCCCCTTCCACCGTATCCCAAACCACCACCTCCTCCTCCCTCTTGCCCCTCTTCCCCTCCCACCACCCAACCATCCGCCTAACGCCCTACCCCGCCATGACCGCCTACGCCACCAATGCGGCCATCATTTTCCCCTCCGTCCCCTTGCTCGCGTCCTCGGGCTGCCCCAGCCCTTTCCACAACTCTTCCATCACCCCCGAAGAACTTCCAGGTGTGTTAGCGAGCTATGCGCATATTCCACCCGACCTGCGCCCGATCGCGACCCAGCTCACCGTAAGACACCATCCGGTTATCGATCTGCTGCCGTTCCCCGTAATGCGCGAGCGGTTGCTGGAGCTGGTGCAGGGGGATAAGTTGGAGTTTGCGAAGCTGAAGCGGGATTTGTTGGCCAATGGAATGATTTGTTGGCGTGGTGGGAGCGGGTTTGTGGAAGGGGGTATGCCGTGGGAGGGGCGTAGTTGGGAGGCCAAGGGATGGTTTCTGAAGCGGTGGGAGTGGGTTGTGGGGGGTAAAGAGGGGGAGGTATGGAAGGGGGGAGTCTGGTGGAGGGGTGTGCAGGGGGAGGAAGTGTGAGAGGGGTGGAATGAATGCTGAGATGCTCCAGCTATCATCGGGCCTATGCTAAAAACCATTCGGGTGGGTGTCATTTTGGCCGCTTAAAGAAAGGATTGAGGAAGGGATCGGGAATCGAGTCGACAAAACCGAGCTCAGTACAGCAAGGATTAAGAGACGCCGAGGTGCTTTCGTGGAGGCTTCGCCCGCTTTTTTTGCTTGGAGTTACGGATCTAACCGCGTAAGAACATTTTTGATAGACGCGGAGGGCACGCAGAGGGGTACCCGGCGTCCCCCATTACCACGTCCCTTTTCTATGCACAAGCAACACAGCATAAATCAGCTTCCTTCCAAAAGATAGCTTCCGAGCTGCTGAGGCGCCTCCGCAGTCAGACCGTTCCGTTCAGTTACAAAGTTTCACATATCTAACCGCGTGAAACAGAGGATGTTAGACGCAGAGGACCACCGCGTCACCCTCCGCGTGTCCCTTTTTCCTATCAATTTTCGTTACAAAAGCAAGACGCCCTAAATTAGCCCATCGCCAAAAGACCAAGAATGGGCAGCTGGAGAGCTTCCGCAGCGAATGCCCGCTTTTCAGTTACAAAAAGTCCCGGATTTAACCGCGTGAACCACTTCTTCATAGATGCGGAGGGTACGTGGAGCCCCACACTGCGGTCGCTTGGCGTAGTGCATTCTTTCAACGAGACGAACGAGGTTCGAAATCGGCCAGGAAGTGCAATGGTCTTGGTGTGTGAGATAATGATGGGAAGGGCTTCTGAGGGGGCATGAGGACAGACAATGAAGAGCATCTTCGGGTCTGATTCTGAGTGTGTAAACCTGGTAGAGCGGTTAATGGTCCGAATCGGGCGTCTTCATATTTCCTCACCTCCAATCCCTTCGCCCTCACATTCCCCCCTTCCCCATCTCCCCCTCCCCATCCGGCCACTGATCCACCACCTCCCTCCCCCAAACCAACCTCCCCAGATTCATCTTCACACTCCACCTCAGATACTCACTCTCCACCTCCGCCACATACCCACCCCCATGACCCACAATACCCGACGTCGCCTTGGGCTGAAAATAGTGACTGAAAAGCGGCGACTGCACCGTAATGCACATCGGCCTACCCCCCTCCCCCCTTCCCTTTTCCACCGCACCTCCGTACTCCACCTCATCTCTACTCTCCGATATCTCGCCTCTCTTCCCCTCATCAACCCCCCCCAATAATCCCATCGCACCAATCCCGCAGCGCGAAATCATACCCCCGATCTAATTCCCTAATCTCAAATCCCCACAGCAGCTTCCGCGCACTGGCTTGCGTAACCGCGTAGGCGACGCTGCAGATGGTCTTGTTGCTCCGATGCACCACCCGCATGTGTGGCGGGTATGAGCTCACCATGGCGTCGTGTGCGGCGAACGGGTGCGGCTTCAGATGCTGCGGCGCCGGAACGGTCGCGTCATTTTAGCTAGCCACGCGGCTTGAGGGCGATGGGGCGGGGAGCTGGGTGCCGCACTAGCGGAGCCAGAAGATGGCCCAGTCGGGGCCGTAGGGGCTGGATTTGGGGAGTGAAGGCGCGGGACAGGCGTGAGGGAGATGGAGGCACGGGAGTTGGCGGCGGGGTGTGGTGTCGAGGTGTCTGCGTCTCTGCGTAATGGGGAGGGGAATGTGGTAGTGGAGTCGTTGAGAGCGGTTTGGAGATTGAGAGATGCGGTCGCGAAGGTCGAGAGCTGGGGTTGTAGGCGGAGGTCCCAGTCTGCGTCGTCTTCGAGGATGAGGGCTGTGGATATGTTTTGCTTGGCCATTCGGCGGGTCTGTCAGCGCTATGCTGAACATATGGCCTTTTGGTAGGACTTCATACAAGTAGGGCGTTCATGTGTGCCCGCCAGCTTCCGATATTGCCTTTCGCCATTGTCTTGTGGTCGTTTGGTGGAAGGACCTTCTCTAAGACGTCGTCGTCTGGTACCCCGTCGATGTACTCAATCTGCAGGTCGCTCAGAGTCGCCGCAAGGCTCATCGAGTCGTGTCGGTCGGTTCGGGATGGGAGATTCAGGACGAAGCTCTTTTCTAACTGCGCGGTTTAGTTAGCAGCGTGTCATACGCCCGGAAATTTAAGTCACAAACTATAGAAAAGCACGCGTACTCCAAGAGTCCCGTTTCCTACCTCCGTAGTCTTGCTATCTGTCCATTCCCTCTCACGACTAGTCCTCCGAGCAATGGAGCTCTCATGTCTCGCAAACAGATACGCTTGCAGAAATAGGAGCGAGGTAAAGAAATATGAAACCCCCACGACCACGACCACGACTCTCACGTTCCGCTTCACAAACATACTCCAAAGCTAATACGGCGAGGTGGAGACACCAAACTCTTGCTAGGATCTACACGAAGTGGATGACATGCAAGCAGATTCTCTCCATATTTTTCGTCGTGAGGCATTAGAAGAAACGTGGAGACTTGGTCGGCTAAAGGGCAGCCGCCGGCCAGAAGCAATATAGCGGATATTATGCACTCCCTGCTGAAGCCACGTTGGCGATTTGGGGTTAAGAAACAGATAAAAAAGAGCAAGGCCGTCTGATTGGTCTGATGTAGGTAGATAGATGAGACCAGACGAGGTGTTTTGACTAGAATTTTATGCAGGGCGGGGAAATGCCTAGGAACCAAGTCTCTACATACTCAAGCCCATTGAGTTTTTCGTCGCAAACTCGATTCATGTCTTATTTCTTATCATTGAGAACGAGTCGCTGAAAGGCTTTGGATTGATCCTATCATCAGCTTTGGATAAAAGATGGATCATTCCTCGCACGTCACCAATTTGTAAAGCTGTGAACAGGAAAGTGAGACCCTCTACCTTTTTTATTACTTAGTGTTGCTGTCCTACGGTCTATCGTCAGTAGTGATGTAATCCAGTCTTGAGAATAAGGCTTTAAGTACCCTTCTCTCTCAACAACCCATTCCTCAAAACTAAGCCTTTTCCTCAAAGTACTTTCTCACCGCCTCCGCCTGTCCCCACGGAACGACAAATACCGGGTGGATAATATTGACCGTGTCGTCTTCGTCCCAGATCTTCCCCTCCTCCTCGACTACGTCCGCCACCGTCCAATTGAACGCCGCACTCAACGGCGCAGCAGCAGCTCCAGTGCTTTTCTCATAGTCGTACACGTACCGATGCTGCGCCGCGCTCAGACCAGCGAGGTTATAGCAGGTGTGGTAGGCGTCTGGGTGCCTATTCGAATGCGTTAGCTCCATTCCATCTGCTACCCCGAACCTCAGGGTATAAATAGAGAAAGATGGACGACTCACTTCCCAGGCTTATCTCTCAGCCCCCCCTTCTGCCCCTGGCAACACGCAAGAATATATCGGACCAGGTCCTCCCTCCGCCACAGCCTCGCCCCCACGCCATCGTTACTCCCTTGCACGGCCGCCTCGACGATCCCCCAGCACCCGCCGACCCAGTGGCTGTAGCACCCATCTACGAGCTTGTTCGTCCGCCCCTGGAAACCGCCCTCTGGCTGCGTTTGCCGGCTCGCAAGCCAGGACAACAATGCGGGGACGTCGAGATGCTTGTGTAGCATTTCTTTAGGAGAGCCGATGAGGGCAAGGCATCCTAGGGCACAGAAAGCGTAGCCGCCGTGGGCTTCGTTAGTAGGGGCAGCGCCGATGCCGCCCTCGAAGGTTTGGCAGCGCGATATCCATTCGGGAAGCTTGGTGAGGAACGTTTCGTCGCCTTTTATTTTGGCGGGTGATGTTGGTGGGAGGTCCAGAGGGAGGTTGAGGAGGGTCAAGATGACCATTGCGCAGAAAGCGCCACGGACGTCTTCTTCGCCGCCGGGAGCCATGGTGAAGCCGCCGTCGGGTTGCTTCATGTTGCCTAGATAGTGCCACCTGGTCTGGTGTTAGAGAGGTCAGGATGTTAGGATATGTGACTGTATTACATGGCCTTTCGGTCTATCATGTCGTATGCTTCTTTACCGCCGACGATGACCAAGCTGAGAACTGCGGCGTATGAACCTGCCAGATGCGGGAGTTGGCCGTGGCCGCCTCCGAAGCCGCCCATGGGGTGCTGAGCTGCTGAGAAAGTGTACGTTACACTATTGAAAAAGTTAGGAGCTTCTTTCTATGGACATGAATCTGGTCTGATCGTTGTTGGAGAGTGATGGAAATCGACGCGCAGAACTTGAACAAGCTTGATATAGGGAATGAGAGGGCAGGGATGAAATACTGCATGTTGAAAGAAAGCAATAGAAGACTGGCCTACCGTTCGCGATACTCGGAGACGTCCTCTCCAAGACATGTCAGGCCTTGCAAGCTCCAATAAAGAAGCCAAGGCCGGGCAGCATCCATAGCAGCAAACTGCGCCGGATAGTTGCCCAGTGCTCTGCGGAGAAATGCGACATGCTGGGCGCGCTGCAGCTTCGGTACACCGAAGGAGTTCAGCTCGAAGTCGTACGGATTGTCCTCAAGGAATGGCAGTATGTCGTCCAACGTCTCGGCTTCAATCGCGGAGCTGTCGGTCACCAACTCATCCCGCAACGGCGAAGTAAACATCTGCAGCTTCGGAAACGAAGGCGGTGCTTGTGCGGACGCGGGCTCCATTGCGTCTTCGAAGCCTTCAGAATCAGAGAGCTCTTCGATTCGTTGTGATGTGGTGAGAAGTTCCTGCAGTCTGGCGGAGGGTGACTGGGAAGGAGCTTGCGGGGTGGCCATGGCAGGTCTAAAGTGCACGCCTCGACGCTTCTTCCTCAAAGGAATGAGGATGGGCATCTGCTTGTGGCTGGCGGACAATGAGTAGTTGTGCTACGCCGCTTTCTGCTCGCAGCGCTGGTGTCGCTAGTACTGTTCCCCAGTTCTAGTTCCCACCATCTTTTAGCGGACAGAATGGGGATTTTCACCGTCGTCACGAATCACCAAAGATTTTGGGTATATTCAGGAAAGCGAGCTGGTACTGATGCCATTTCAATTCTACGTGATGAAGTGCCGTTGAAAGCGCCCTACTCATTCAGGCCTTGAACTAGCGCACATCCAGCCGACGCCTGGGAGCTAACCTTCAGTGCTCCCCCATTCTGCCCATTCACAACCTTATGCCATAGATATACGTACACCCATAAATATCCGTACATTGTCCTGCCCTGGTTTGTGGGGCTCCAACGTACTAACAGAAACCGGGAGCAGCAAGTACACTTCCAGTCTACGTATGCCCTACTGACGCTGTCTGAGGTAGCCTCGCGAGTTTACTACTTGTCCAAAATGGGGAACCTCTCTCTGATTCGAAATGCTGAAAATGCCATGAGGCTCCTCATGCAGCGGTAAGTGAGTGTACGGATTTCTATGATGAGGCACTGTTTCAACAAGACTAAGGGCTAAAGTGTTATATGATTCAAAGTATCTCATTGCTGAACTCTATGGTTACAAATATCGCAGGGCCAATCGCTACGCCTTCTCCGCCAGCATCCTTCGGCTTAGAATGAGTGAGATACACTAGAAACTCCAGTACATGCAGTTAAGGAAATGGAATAGAGATGGAGGATACCGTGCCAGCCACATGTCGTGAACCGCGCCGCCTTTCCTAGGTAGCGCTCCCAACGCCTTTGCTCATCTTCGCATTATGATCAAATATATTCCCCGAAAACGAAACCCAGCCGGTGTTCCTCGAGTAAACCAAGCGCCTATAGAAGCCAACAAAACCGAGGCGACCACTAAGCTCTGCTGCCTGGCCGACTCTTCTTCTCTTTCCGCGCTGCAATCGCGTCCTTGCATTCATCACTGCAATACCACTTGGTCCGTGAATTCGGCGGCTTGTCCAGGTTAACACACCCAAGATGGAACCACTCTCTCGGACACCTTCCGTTGTCGCACGCGACCATCTCCCCGTAGCTAACTTCATTGCAGTAGCAATACCTCGGCTCGTCGCCGTCTTCGCCGACCTCGTCGCTAAGCTCAGCAGCCGGGCTTGACGCTGTCTCATCGTCTATCTCGATAGAGTCCTTAGCAGCAGGAAGAGAAGTTTGCGATATCGATGCGCCTTTCTTGTGGGACCGCTTCGAGGGGTTCCCACTCGTGGTTGTTTCGGACGAGGCGTGCGAGCCGCCATTGTTCGCCGCACGAGTGCTGCGACTACGGGCCATGGGGATCTCTGGGAAGGCTGAGCCGATGGGCGTCGCGGTTTTGGAGGTTCGACCAGCTCGCGTTGTAACAGGTGCCGGATGAGGAGGGTCAAGGTCGGGCGTGTCCGCGTCAGGAACATCCACCTCTTCGCGCTTGAAAGTCGCAGAGTCAAATGCTCCGTTGGTTTCCGCCGCTTCGTTGGGAGTGTATCCTTCTTTTGCGGAGAGAGCGGGTTTGCTGACACCTGCAGCTAGCTCTAGCTCTTGTATCGCGTTGCTTCCATTAGCTGCCGGACGATTCGAGTGAGCGGAGGAGGGACGGCGGCCGCGAGAAGCGTCCTGGACTGCGGAGTGGACGGAGTTGGCATTTGAGTTCTGTCGCGCACGTGAAGACTGTGGTCGTTGCGCGGCAGCTATGACTTCTCGAGATGATGCGAAGGTTCCTGCGAGGGGTGACGAGGCGATAGGTGGTGAGTGAGCGCCTAGGGCAGCACTAAGTCGATGTGTTAGTCCCTGGGGCTCAGGTGGTAACGGTGGGAGTGCTAACCGTTTCTTCGCATGAGTTGGTCCAGGAGCAGCTCTGGGTTTCTTCCTCCCATCAGTGATTGATGTTTCCCGTGGACTTGCTCCACCTCGTCCACCTGCTGCAGCCGCGTTCAAGGCACTACTTATCGATCGCTCCATAGTCGGAGCTGCCGCGGCCAGTGCTTTCTCGGTCTTCTTCTGCTTGCGCGGCTGTACAGCTCCATTGCTCGATATACCCAGTCCGTATGCCCTTGGTTCAGCAGCCGATGCTGCCTCAGCAGCGATTCTGCGAGCTTTTGTCTGCGTCTTCTTGGCAGGCCTGGAATCGTCGAAATCGGAATCAAGATGCTGATTCCGGCTTCGCTTGTTGGCCATCATAGCTTCGCGACGAGCTTCACTCCGCAGAGCAGCAGCGTCCACCTCGTGGATAGCGGCAGCGGCAGCAGCCAGATTGTTCGCCGATGCAACCTCGCGCCTTGATCGCTCAATTGTTGTGCCACCCTTCTTCTTTTCCTCCTTATCTGCGTATGCCCAGTGGTTGGGATTGCCGTAGCGGGCCTCCTCGCTGATCTCGTTGTCGATGTGTGGGTAGGAGCTGTTCATGCGGGCAAGGCCCTTGTCCTTCGTGCCCGTTGCGGCGGTAAGAACGACGAGCTTCTCATCGAGTGTAGGAAGCATGGAGCTCATGATCGCCCGCAGTCGGAAGAACTTTTGTCGGTGGCGCAGGTCCGCCTGCTCTTGGGGAGGGAGGGTGTCGAAATTCTCGGGGAAGAGCTCAACCATGAGCTGCTGGTGGCGCATACCGGCATCTGTGTGAACGGAACCATTTGTGCTACCGTTCATGCTGTTGTCTCTGCTCAGCCCGTGTGGTTGTGTCTGACGTCGCTGGGCGAGGGACGGGACGGGCATCTGCGCGATATCGTCGAGCAAGAGCTGCAGCAGCGTGGCGGGGTCGTGTATTTTGGCCTCAACCTCTTTGAACATGGAGAAATGCTTGATCATCTCCTTCGGAAAGGCATCGACGGCGTCTGTGAAGTGTGTAAGGGCTGGAAGGAAGCCCGGGGCGGGAGGTGTCTGCTCGGTGTCGCCCAGGCCAGACAGACGGCCAGCGAAGGTGCGAGCATAGTAGTTCTGCGGGCGAGCGATGCTCGAACGCGGTTGACGCGCTGATTGACGGCGGTCGGAGACCGGGGCAGCAGAGGCGCGCGCTGGAGGCATCGTGCTGGTGTGGAGCAGAGGAGAGTGGTCTGGTGGAGAGGCTTGTAGGTATTGCGCGCTGCGCGGGTGGAGGAGTGTACAAGCTATGAGGAGGGATGTTGGGTACAGTTGAAATATCTAAGGAGGGGGCATCATTGACACGCAAAGTCGGAGTGTATTGTGGGTATTGTGGGTGGTGAACGGGTTAAAAAGCTGAGGGGAGAAGCCGCCCTGCCCACAGCTGCGACTAAACGCCAAGACAACGGGCTTAAGGTCGGTCTTAGGTATCACACGTGACGTGCCAACCAGCCTTTCGAGCCTCACTTCTTGAACAGCGAGATTACGGAAAGACTAACCGCAGCGTATTCGTGAATGCGTTTAATTTTTAAGCTTACTTATGGTAACAATGCTCAGTTTTGTACAGCCTCTACATCACTATCAAACAGCAAGGAACGGTAACGCCTTCACTATCCTACCTATAAATCAGAGCGCCAATCCAGTCCATGCAAAGGTAATTGTAGTGGACAAGCCCGTCCAGACGCATTTATGTCCCCGTCAAGTCGACGCTCTCTATCAAACTCTCCCGCCATACCTTCGGCCTCTTCCCCTCCACCTTCTTACTGACAACTGACAGCCCAGTGGGGACGGACGGAGCCACAGGCGAAGACTCTAGCCCGACATCCCTGGCGTCCACATAGTCCCATCCACCACCGAAGCTATCGCGAATGCGTATAGCACGTTTCCTAACCACCTGCTGTTTTAGAGCCGAGCGCGATGGTGCATGAACACGGGGCGAACGACGTGGGAACAGCGATATTTGAGGCTTCGGGCTGGGTTTCGGGAACGCAGCAGTGGGAGCAGCAGGAGTCTTTCCTGGCGAGGACGTAAGATCAACTGCTTCGATCTCGGCTGCGGGAGCTTTTGTGGAACGTGGTATTAAGGCAGTGTTATCGCGAGGTGGCGAGCCCGTAAGGTTTACTTCTTCAATTGGCAAGTTCGGGTTGCTTGTTGATCGTCGCGGTGAGCGGCGGACCGGTACTGAGGAGTTTGATTTTTTGGCTGCGGAGCGTGTTGGGCGCTGGGAGGCGTTGGACGATATGGATCGCAGAGCTGGTCGAGTGGTTGGTTGGGTTTTTGGTTTTGTGCGGCGAGATGGTCTAGTTTTTAGGACTGCCGTTGATTGAAGCTGAACGGGCGCAGGAGGTGGCGATGATGCACAGAGATTGACTTGCTCGACGGCTTCAATGGTAGGTTCTAGTATTGGAGAATTGATAGCTCTGTTGATGAAACGATTGGCGGTTGGTGTCACGCTTTGTGACGCTCGAGAGAAAGATTCTTCCAGTGTCGTCGGTCGATTTCGGTGTGAAGTGGATGATAGGCAAAGCAAAGCTGTTTGGCGCTGAGTTCGGGTTGGAGTTCTAGGCCTAGGTGGAGCGGCAGTTGTCATTCTCGTTCTTGGTTTCTTTAGTCCGAGGTCAGAGGGCGATGGCAGAACTGGGGAGCTTAACGAATCCAGATCATGTCTAGCGAAGGACAGTTCCGGTGTTGAGGGCCGGCATGGGGACGAAGAGGTGTATGTCCGCATAGTTTGAGATCGTTGTAGTGGATCTCGGCGCCGTCGCTTCGTCACAGTGGGAGGAAGATCCTCCAAACTAGCAGGAAGCGGCTCCTCGATAGTAGTTTGGGATGACGTGGCTCGAGGGAGTTGAGTTACTGGAGACGAGAGAAGATTTGCAATCGTTCTTTGGCTGCGGATTGGGGACTCTAGATGAAGTAGAGGCATCCGAAACGACGACGGAGGAGGTTGAGATGCCCTCGTCGACAACAATGTGGTCTCGGGAATAGTTACTTCATCACCTTGAGCTTTAGTCCTGCTTTGAGATGCAGAAATTCCAGGTTTAGTAACTTTGGTGAACTTATGCAGGGCGCCTTTGGGCATTCCGCCCTCTTTCGCCTTTCTACCCTTGGCTCCAGTTGCCTTTGGTTTCAGTGATACTTTAGGCGCCGCCGCCTTCTTGGGTTTCCGGACGCCTTCTTCCCAGTCTTGAACTTTGAGAGGGACGCCAACGCGTACAAAAGTTTCCAAAATCCACACTTTCTCGATCTTGGTGGGATCATATAATGACGGCCCTCGCTTTTTGGGTGCACTCGCTTCTTCCCCATCACCGGCATCCGTTCCAGGAAGCACTTCATCTTCGGAATCGTCTTCGAGTAGCTCATCGTCAGGGTCTTCATTTTCTAGGTCGATATCTACGAGCTCAATTGGCGTGAAGGCGATACGTAGTTCGGTACAATTATCCGTTGTGGGGTGATTCCTCTTTCCATGAATGCTCTTGACAAGCTTAGCTTCTTCCTTCTCTATGGCCTCCGGATCATCAGGCCTGGAGTCGCCCTCCTGCCCTCTCAAACGGAGATGCCGGACAAGGAGAGCGGGAGCCAAGTTGCGAACGAATTTCTTTGCTCCACCCAATTTAACCCAATCGAAAGCATCCCCAGTAAACTCGCGTAGTCCTGGAAAATCAAGATCCTGGTCCCATTTTAGGCTTCCGCGCAACTTATCCAATGCTGCCATTGTAGAAATGGCTGGATGAGTGTAGTATTTAAGAATGTCCGTCCTAGGAAAGTCTTCCGGGATAACCAGCTTAGAGTGCTTTCGGGTGAACAGTTTACTCTCATTTGTGTGCAGTTCGTGAGCTAGTCGTTCTCTCCAGTCCTGGAAGCTTTTCGTGTCTCCTTTACGGATATTGCAAAGATCTTTCCCAAAGCCAGCTCTTGCTGCCTCGCAGGCCGTCTTTGGGCCACAATTCGGTATGCCTTCAGGAATATAGTCTCCCCCACTCATAAGCGCAACGAGTATCATTCCCTCACAATCAAGCCCAGACTTTCCATTTTTGGTCTTGTCCGCGTCGTAAATGTTAACGTGGGTCGGCACTTTGCTGCTCTTGGCCTCCGCTGACCAGTTGCGCAAAGTCAAGCCACTCCCAAACATGAGTGTATCCACATCCTCACTGAGAACAGCATCCACTATGCCTTCGCGCTGGAGTAACGCACACTCCGCCTCGGCCTCTCCCGGCGCAAGATGCATGGGAAAGCCAAACTGCTTGAGCAGTTGCTTCGCAAGGAACTCCGGGACTGACGCGACATTGTGGCCAGTGTGCTTATTTCTCTTGAATGGGGGCTTATTTGGGCCGTCAAATACGAATATCGGGTGTATACAATGTGATATGAGGCGTAATAGACGGTAGTAAAAGGTTCGCAGAGCTGGGTTTGTGCCACCTAGTCGCATCGCGCAATATTAGCATTGAGAACTTCGCATAAAAGTAGAAACACTACCTTTGCTCGATTGAATCTGAAAGAGCCATATGGAGATGTCGATAGCAATGCGCAACGGCCGCCCTGTCTCCTCAAACTTTTGTGCAGCGAGCTTCGAGAGCGCGATTCGCTCCCCTGGCCCGATTTCTTTGTATATGCTGGGAAGTATTAGCAAGATACAGTCAATTTGGGTCCAATGCACTCACCCCTTGATGCCCATCGCTTCTCCACGGTGCCGTCAAGATTCGAGGATGATGATGCCTACTTTGACGTTGCGGGGCGAATAAAGTGGAGCTCGTTGCCATGGCAGCAGATTCGCACGAGCCAAGTGAATGGAGACTCCACCACAAGAATGCAAGCCCACCATCAACACCCTTCGTCCATTCATTGCACATGTTTTCTATTTTGCATCTTATAACACTGGTATCTCGACAGCAGCACGTCCTTTTGCTAAAGCCCTTCTGACACTCCAATTATTGCGCCCGCAAGTCTGCTAGGATGGCGTCCGGAGTCCCCGCCGTCTCGGACGACGAATTCGACGTCGACAGCTATGCAGAATCATCCCCAGACCCTCTTGCACTCTCATGGACCGAGTCAAGGCGACCGACGAGAACTCGCGCGACTTCGAAACAGCCGTTGCGCAAGACGCCCCTCCGAGCAGGCTCTCCCAATAAACAGACACAAACAATGAACACGACCTTTACCTCGCCTTCGAAGTCCATGATTATGAGCACCGGCAAATCAGGCGGAGGAGCCAGCCCATGGAAGGTCAAGGTCACTGTGGAGGCAGTGCCAGAGCTGGAGTCGGATTCAGAGAACGTTGGATATGGCTCGCCCAGTCGTGGACGAACAGCACGCGCGAGAACTACCACCGTTCCTCTGAAGGATGCCGGTGCGTCGTCTCCTACTCGGCGAAGAGGCCCCGGCCGACCGAAGAAGTCAATCGGCTCATCTCCTATGAAACCAAAGCGGAGTGCGACACCAGTTTGGAAGAAGCCTAAGGCGAGGAAATCAACCATTGGCGTCGCGGATATGAGCATCGCTGATATCTCAACTGAAAACATCGCGGAGGAGCCTAAGAAACGACGGGGAAGACCGAAGAAGAGCATTCAGCCTGAGGTGGATGTGTCAAGTGCGGAAACAACGGGCGACCATACACAAGACGAGTCACAAGACGAAGGATATGTGGACATCAGACGCCCGCAGTCAGCAAGGACCAGAACAGTCCCTGTTCGTTTTTCTTCATCAGAACTGGGAACTCCGGAACCAACTCAGGAACATCGTCCCAGCCAACGCCTGGTCAGGCGCGGAACGCCCGTAAGATTCGGCGGCCAACACGAAGATACAACTTCGTTGACACTGCCGAAGACTATAGGAACGCCTTCAGTTGCCCCTAAATCAGTCAAAGTTCGCAAGGGCACCCCTGTCCGACTGGGTGGTTCACACAACAGTTACAAGCCTACTACTACATCTGAGAGTGGGTCGCAGATATCGACGACAACAGCCTCTGAGAGCGAAGGCGACTCGCCGTACATGTCTGAAGGCAGATCAGATTATGTAACGACATCGCATTCTGATACTGGATCAAGGCACAAGCTGACGACGGCATCTGAGACCGATTCGCAATACAAGCTGATGAGTGCATCTGGGACCGGGTCGCTCTACCAGCCGACCTCTGCATCTGAAAGCGGATCGAAATACAAACCCACGTCCTTATCTTCTGGAAGTGACCACGGAGATACGCCTTCGGGATCTGACGATGGAAATGATGCCGATATGTGGAGGGGAATGGTGTCACAGGATCCACAACATGAAGAAAGCAAAGAACAGCCCATCCAAATCGAAACGGAAGCCGAGAGCGATGATATGGACGATGGGAAGGAAGACGAAGATCAAGATGCTGTTTACGAATTCGAACATGTGGATCACACTCTCGCTGGATTTGACGGAAACACTACTATAATGGAGAGCGAAAACTTCACGATGGTCTCCATTGACTCCCTGCCTAGCTACCAAGCTATGAGCACCGAGCGAGTCGGCAAATTGACGTCGAGAATGGCGCAGAGTGCAATTGGGAAAAGACGATTCTTAAATACACCATTGCAGGGGTCCGACCGCAAGTCCTACGAAGAGCCCTCACAAGTTTCGATTCCATACATATCTTCCACCGGACTCACCCCTTCGCATATAGAATCTCCTCCACGAGTTGTCGCTAAGTCTCGAGGAGCCACCCCAGCTATGGCTATCAAGTCGCCATCGGTCCCACCGCGCATCGAAATTTCACAATCCTCCCCTAGGAAGACGCCAACACCAAAGCTTGCAAGAGCAGTCAAGGCTGGATTTGCCCTACAGGGGCTTGTTGACCCGGCTCAAGAGCCATCAGCAAAGGATTCCTCCGACGCCCCTATGGAGAAAAAAAACAATCACCTAGATAACCTGTTCAACGGTTTTGGTGAGGGGACAAGGCGAGAGTTGCGGGCCGACTTTCGTCTTGGAGAACAGATTGCCAAGATGTCTCAAGAATTGGAGAACAAGTCATCACCAGCTTCAGCGAGCAGCTTTAAAGTCCCCCAAGTCACAATCGCCGAACAAAATGTCTTTGGAAGCTCTAGCCTGAAACCGAGACCTGCTCAGAGGCTTGACCCTCGTCTTCCTACTCCAGATGAGAGGGATCAGTATTCGCTATCCATGCCCTCTTCGAAAGTCGCAAGTCCGGAAGTCACATATCCTGATATAGCAGCTCGCGCAGAGAAGACTCATCTCGCAAGCCCAGCTAGAAGCGAAGACGAAATGAGTTGGCGGGTAGATACGCCTCCAGTGGTCAAATCCATTGACCCGCACGGCCAGAGACTACATCAATACTTGGACTCCATGGATGCAGCCCATCCCGAGTCTCCCGAAGCGAATGCCGTAGATGAAGGAGTCAACGAGGATGGCCAGTCGGATATATGGCAAGAGGAAGCAAGCCGCTCGTCTGATCTACCGACATTGCCAAAGGCACGAACGGTCACGCACAAGGAACCAAACTTCCAGGATCAGCTTTTTGCTGATGAAAATGCCCTCCCGCCTGCCCGTGGAAAAATACCAAAGACCTGGCGTAGAAAGAGCTCGAGCGACTTTCATTACAGCGACGAAATGGAAGTCGAAATGGAAGAGATTACTGCCCCTCGGGTGTCGCATGCTGACCAGACATCCTCTACGCGATCGAGCAAGGGCAAAGAAAGGGCACAGGAGTTCTTGCCCATTGTAGAGTATGACGAGCAAGAAGAGGGCGAGAGCAGCGACGACACAGGAATGTTCTGGGAGAACAATCTCCCTGCCGTCTACAACAAAACGACATCGCTAGAGGAACAGACTAGCAAATTGGATCTCACCATGCTTCTTGGTGGCGACAGCAGCCCTGCAAAAGAAAGCTCAGTCTTGACTCCCGACCGTAACTCTCCTGCTCAAAAGGTCCCACCGAGAATCGCACAGCTCCAAGCCGCGCCTTATAAAGGTAGCCCACTAAAGCAACAACTCAGATCAGAGGATCTGGAATCAGAGAGAGGTCTTCGAAGTAGCCTAGCAAGCTCTCGAAATACACGGAGCTCTATTGGTGTGGACGGAAAGAGTAGCACACTATCCGATATTCGTCAGTTGAGAGCGGAGACGGAGGCACGATCGTATGAGCCACACAGCCGTACTCTCCATGAGATCAAGGAAGTTACCGAACACTCGCAACGATTTGCGCCGAGCGTATCCTTTTTACCGTCTTCGCCGCCTGAGGTCTTGAATGACGGAGGCTCCAAACGAAGCGTCCTAAGCCCAAAGCGCGCGTACTCACCGCTTTTCGATGGTTCAAACACTCAATCTCCTCGAAAAAGGGTTGCTAAAACTACGGTTCTAGAACCGAGAGTATCTAGGACTGCTCCCTCGGCATCAAGTTCAACCGGTCCCTCGATCGCAAAAACCGGACTCTTCTCCCGCCTGACTACTACTTTGTGGACCGCTGTAACCCCGGCTGCTTCCCCACCCTCACATCCGATGATTCTTAGATTCTCCCCTCTTCCCCGGGTTCAGCCATGGACAAGAACGCATTACAAGACTCTTGATATTCTCTTCCAAATTCACAAACGCAAGCCAACATCTTTCGCCCCCGCCTCTCCTTCTAGCATCAACAACGCACTCTTGGAGACCATACCGGACCGGAAGAAGTTCTTAGGCGCGGTGTACTCGAACTGGGGATACGATGTTACAATGACGGAGCAGTACTTAGTGTTGGCAGCCGCCTTCTGTCAATTGTTGACGTTGTCGGATATTAAGGAGTACGAGCGGACGACAGGGAAAGAAATCGACCGAGGTGATGTGGACCCGGGGCCAGACGGCGAGGTGATTGGGTTCGAGGCAGTTGTGAGGAGGCTATTCAGTGTAATTTCTGGAGAGGATGTCAGGAGAGATGAGAAGCTGGGCAAGGTCATTCGTCGGGACGTTGGGTTTTCTGTGACGTGGGGTCATTGAGTGCGGTTTCATGGCGTATGTGAGAGTGTATCAGGTCTGGGATGAGTTTCATGATGTGATGATTCTGCGTGGAGGGAGCTATGTGTTTTGGTGTTAGGTCTGGTGTTGGAATGGCTTTACGAATGATACCAATTTGTACTTTTTTCGGTTTTGATAGATCATGTTAAGCATGCGTGTTCTTATGGCTCTAGTTCGGAGTAACTATTATCTACGTGAAGCTCGTACCACTATCCCGGATGCTTCAAGAAACCGTCAAGAATAGCTAAGACGAATTGACCAATGGGAAGACAGGCTTGGCATCTGGTCTAAGCGCCCAAGACCTCACCTGCAGCCTTTCCACCAACTCCTTGCTCATCTCTCCTTTCTCCAGAATACAGCAGCTATGGCGAGCTTATCGACGATACCAGTCGACATATATTTGCACATCTTAAAGTTCCTCCGAACACCTGACCTCTATTCTCTCAATCTGGTCTGCAAGCCCCTCCGCGATCTAACAGAGCCAGCGCTCTACCGCAATATCCAACTCTCCTGGCGCGATCTGACTCAAACAGAGTCAAGAGACGCAATAGCCGATGAAGGCCTGGCTAGGCTATTACAAAAGGAAACATCGGGACCATTCCGCTTGCTGATGTCGATTTTGGGTCGTGCTGAACTGGCTAGCCTGGTCCGGAGCATTCAATTCACCTTTGACGAGACATTCAGTGACGTGGAACGATACCAAATGAACAACGGTGTCGCTGTTAAGAGTCTCCGGAGCTACTCGTATGACGTGCCACCGTCTTGGGAGGACTTTAAACGCCTTAATGAAGTCGTTCTCAAGGCGGATCTACCACAGCCACTTCGATGGAGGACTGAATTATCGAAAGGGGCCGTAGACGCATATGTTGCACTTTTGCTTCATCATCTTCACAATCTGGAATATTTAAACCTCGGCACTGGCTTTTTGCGCTCTTCTCTCTTCGTAGAGATTACGATGAATGACGATATAATGTGGGAAACGTCGCCGTCCAGTTTCGTGGGACCTTTCGGAAACATCAAACACATTGTACACAATGCAAACCAGTTGAGGAGCAAATACATGCCCACTATGGACGATTATTACTCCATAGTCCCCTTTTTCTACCTCCCATGCGTCGAAACCTTGGAGATTACATTGCCGGATTATGATGATATCCCAGGGGTAGCAACAAAGCCACCCGCGTCGAAACTGAGGTCGTTGATTGTCCGTCAGGCCTTGGTGAGGCCATTGACTCTGGAAAGAATATTACATCTTGCACCGAAATTAACCTCTCTCACCTGTGAGCTTTCCTACCTGGCAGAGGGTCCGCTCTCCCGCTATAACGTACCTGTCAATATCAAGTGCTCCGAGGTCTGGAAAGTATTATTGCGTTTGGAGCCATCGCTCGAGTGTTTGACTCTGTTTGTCACGCCTTATATGCCGGACGACGAAATCCAGATTCAGTGGCTGCCCCCCACCCAACGACATCAAAAACTACACTGGGCAGCATTTGATGCACATTTTGGCTCGCTGCGGGGATTCACAAGGCTGAAGAAGCTTGATGTTCCCCTGATCATGCTCCTAGGAAGCCATGCGCTTCGCTATCAAGAAACGACGATACTCGCTGAGTGCCTGCCAACAAACCTGGAAGATCTCTCTCTGAGCTACACGGAGGACAGATTTACGAAATTTGACAATTACATAGTGCATAACTTCCATAGGCATCTCTCCGAATACATCAGGAAGTCTCGAGATATCAATTCCTCGCTTCTATCGATCACGATGAAGATGGGAGAGTGGGGTTCTGCGCAGAGAAGTCTGGTGGGAATACCAGCACTGGCGGACGAGTGCGAGTGGTTTGGGGTGGCTCTGCGAGTTGTTCATACTGTGGCCAGTACGAGGTACTCGAATGGCGAGGATATGGTGAGAGAGGAGACTCTGTTCGATCCGCTGGAACCAGCACCCGGGCCTACGGTCTCGTACAAGCGGAGGAACTTCCTTGAACACGGCCCGTGACCAGCGCAAGCAAATTTGTACGCTCATTTAGCGCCGCGAGAGGAGCTTCATAGCATCTTCAACATTCCGAACAAGGGAGAAGTGGCAACGACGAGGTAGTATTCCGTCTCTGAGGGACCATTCGAAGTAGCTAGTTGGTAGGGTAGTAAATAGCAGGATATCAACCCGTATGCAATGCAGGATGCAATACCCAAAAGCGCAGCATTTCCGTCCCGGTGCCGCCATAGGCGAAGGATGGCACGATGGGTGACGGTGCCGTGAAGGCGCACCCTCCGCAGATCTGGTGGCGTGGTGGTGGAGGAAGAGGCGGGGAAGGCAGAGCGTGCCTGGCACCGTCTTCTCCACATTTTAAATTCGACCTCGCATCCTTACCTCGCCCGACCAAGCTCGACTCCTGGCCGTCGTTTCTTCCGCGAATGACGGTGCCATGGGCTCCTTTGCGGCCAGTGCTTTGGCCCAAGGGCCCTTCGCCGGCGAACCATGGAGCAGCAGCGCACGCCCGGAGGAGCCTTCGGTGAATGCCTTCCCGCTGCCTCATCCAGCGCCCTGCCGAAAATCTGACATGCAAACCCCACCTCGCGCGTGTATCAGCTGCTCAATTGCCTCAAGGACCGGCCTGTAGGTTCGTCATCGCCAGCCGCGTGCCTGACGCTCTGCCCGGCGGAGCCGTGGAGCTGGCTGCGGGGAGAGGGGAGCGCTTTCGTTCAACGTTGCCCCGGTGCTCTCACTTCAAGGGTTGCATTCACCCATCAAATCCATCGAACCCTGGTCATGGGACTTGTGAACGGCCGACGTAAATAAACACCTCACTACCTAGGTGCCTGCCACGAACTACACTCTCTCCTCTCCACCACCAACCTCAAAAAGCTTACACCACCCTCCTACCAACATGGTGAGCTTCAGACTACCTACCACGCTCGCATTGCTGGCCGCGTCCGTCATTGCCCAGGACTATGGCGGCAATGGTCCATTGGGTCCTGATGAGAATGGCAAGTATGAAATCTCCGCCGAGGGGATTCGTGGCCTCTTCATTCCCTACGGCGCCAGCATCAGCAACCTGTTCGTCAATGACACCAATGGCATCGAGCGCGATATTGTCCTAGGATTCGACAATGCAACTCATTACTCTGAGGATCCGTACCACCCGCATTTTGGCGGTGTTCCAGGTGAGTTGCACACACTTACCTGAGTGAAATGAGCGCCTTCGAAAATTAGCTAATTCCTCCTAGGCCGCTATGCCAACCGCATCAAGAACAGCAGCTTTATGATTGATGGCACCGAATACCATGTTCTGCCCAACGAGAACAACAACAACGATACCCTGCATGGAGGCCCCCACGGATGGGATTATGTGCGTTCTGCATCGTTTGATCTGAGTCTATGGTTGCTAATTTTGCTCAGCGAAATTTCACTGTCGTTGCGCACACGACTAGCTCTATCACCTTCTCTCTCGTGGATCCTGATGGCGAGCAAGGTTTCCCCGGAGAAGTTGTTAGCTACATCACATACACCATGACCCCGAACGAGTGGCATCTGAAGATGGTCGCTCTGTCAACTACCAAGAAGACGCCCATCATGCTGAGCTCTCACGTATGTCCACTGCCCTATTGCAAATACGGGTGCTAATCAGGTAATTTTTCAGACATACTGGAATCTCGACGCGTTCCAGAATGACGACACAGCTTTAGCACTGAACCACACGCTCTACCTGCCATACTCTGGCCAGCGCATCGGAGCCGATGGAATCCTTATTCCCAACGGCACGATTCTCCCGAACGACTTGTACTCGGTCAACGACTTCTGGTCCGCGCCAAAGCAGATCGGCGCCAACTTCTCGTCCCCGGATCTGTTGGGGAATTGCGGAACCAACTGCACTGGATACGATACCTGCTATCTGGTCAACCGTGCACAGAACGGTCCGTACGATTGGCGCACCGAAGGTCCAGTGGCGTCACTTTTCAGCAACTTCACCGGCATCCAGGTGGACATATTCACTGATCAGGACGCTTTCCAAGTCTATAGCTGCGGAGGCCAGAACGGTAAGTGCCCCTCAAAAACTGGGTTTCGCGCACGCTGATCGCAATGCAGGCTCAATCCCTCTAAAGTCCACCCAAGGCTTGACCGACGGTAGCCGTCCTCGCGTGGTGGAGCAGTATGGCTGCATCGTGATGGAGGTTGAAGATTGGATCGACGCCATCAACCAGCCCGAGTGGCAGCGGGACAAGAAGAACATCTTTGGCCCAGGTGATGATCCGTACGTGCTAGAGGCGAGGTACAGTTTCTCGGTCAACTAGAGTGGGTTTCATAACGGGTGGGAAGAGCAGCCGATGCGCTTTCAAGACCAAAAGCCTGGACTGAGTAGGTGCATGGGAATCTGGTGAAGATCGGGGTTTCTAATGAAAGCGCAATGACCCAACATTTACAGCAACTCGCCACAGCTCCGTGTACACTTGTCTGCCGCTGTTTGAAGCTCCTCGAAGTTTTTTCGAAATCCCGAACGCTGTTCACGGGAATATTATAAGCTTGCCGGGCGACCTCAGGTAGCGGCTGAATTCACTCCAGCCGCCAAAAACCGTGAGAAGCGGCACGACGTCATGAAATCCACACCCGCGTGGCAGCCTCAACAGCCTAACCGAAACGGGCCTGCTCCCACGTTTTTGTCCTTCTACTTCTTTCGATTGCCATTTTTCCTCGGCCTTTGCTTTTCATAGAACGCCCAACCTCTAACCTCGTCATCTCGCCGCGGCCACCTGCACAGTGCTCGCATCCACAGTTCATCACACTAGACATTGTACTAATCATGTACCGCACTCCAGAGCCGACTCCATCGATGGAGGGATATCATAACGAATACTGGAGATGCCATCCTAGAGTGGTCACCGCGTCGCGCAGCCTCATCACGGTGATGGGCACAGGTTTCAGCCCACCGACACCAAAGCTATACGCGACACCGCCACCGCTGCCGACTCACATTGCGGAGCTACACGAACAGCAGCGGAGCTTGATCTTTATGGCCGAAGACATGGGTCTGGGTCAGCATGATGCTGGTACGGACGAGGGAGGATCTCAGCAACCTGTCGCTTATGGCTTGGGGATCTCCAACTATGACGGCCAGGCAGATATCGGTGAGTGAAACACAGCACAGAAACATTCCCAAGACGCTCAGCATGCTGTCGATGCTCTGGGAACGGGACGGGATTGTGGCTGCGCCTTGATATTCTCGACGTGGTCCGTCGTCGGTAGCGCCGGGCCCCGATGCGCAATAGCATTGTACATGTCCTGCAAGAGCTTCATCGCTAACACCGCAGTAGACAGCGACGATGAGACAGAAATCGACTTTCCCATCAAGGATCTAGAAAAAGAGCTGCGAGCGAACGAGATCAGTTGGCTAGGAGAAATCCTTCCACGTCCTGACGAATTCGGGGACCTGAATTACAAGTCGCAAGCCGTCCACGGCAGTAAGCTCGATGGCATTGGCACCAAGCCCACGCGTGAGAAACGCAGCTTAGGAAGCCCACTCAAAGATGCACTCCGCACAACTCCCCCTCCCAAGAGACGTTGCACCCAACCATACTCTTTACTCGAAAACCTGCTGAGCTGGCACGGCGCCTTGGACCGTAGAGAGATTCCGTGGGACCAGATTCTTGGCCTGAGTGCCCCAAAGAACATTCCAGTTCTGTGCTTGTCCTTCTGGGCAACTGATACCTACCCACCAACAGAGCTTATGCGGGTCCTACCCGATGACGTCCAGAAAGTTCGATATAGCGAGGTGCACACGTTCAGGGAGGGTCACTCTAGGGAGGGTGAGTTTTATCGCCTCTAGTTACGAAGTCTTGAAACCATGACACTAATGAACTACACTAGACGCCCTGCTCTCAGATGAAGCCCAAGAGCAATCTCACACAACCGGTCGCTGGACCTTCATCACGCTAGCAGAGCACCCGCAGAACAGCCCCACCGACCGCAGCCACGCAATGTCACCGTGGCACATCATCGCCTTCCCGAGCAACGCGATCACGCGCTCTGAAGAGCGCATCTATGACCTCGACTCTGAAACCATCATGGCGGACTCGGAGGGCCAGAAGTCGCTCTACGCCTTCGACACCTACGGACTCCCCTACCCGCGTCTAGGCTCGCCGGCCCAACGCATCTCCCCGCCAGGCCGAAAGCGACCTTACGAGCACCCGGTCCCGCTGGGTATGCAGCTGTACATGTTCCCGCCGCGCGTATTTGAGAACATTGATTACGCCTACGATCGGGAGGCTCCAGTGTACGCATCGGCGTACGCGCCTATGACGGACGAAGACGATGAGATGAACCTGCATAGCTCGCACGACACACTGGACAGTAGTCCCTGCCCCGTTGGGCATGCCGTCATTACGCCAACCACATCCTTCACATCGGACCTGGGAAGCAGCAGCAGCAGCGACGCCCCCTTCTCAAGCTCCCCCATCGACAGCCACCTGTCTTCGTCCCCGTACTCTATCCCCATGCGGAGCACCTACCACTCGCACCACTCCTCCTCCTCTTCCCCTCTCCTTTCCTCTTCGCCAAACACAACCCCAGATACATCCCCCATGCCGCCATCACCAAGATCAGGACGCTACCTCCGCCGCACGATCCTCTACGCCGATGGCCAGGGCTCGATCCCGCTGGTGCAGACGTTCAACACCGACCCGACGCCGTGGAAGCAGGTCACAGCTGCGTTTGCGAGGGGCGCGGGCAGGATCATGGTGTGGAGCGAGACGGAGGCCGGGCGGGTGAGGGAGGTGGGGCGGAATGAGGGAGGGAGGTGGCCGGAGTGGGTGTTTAGGGATGATTGAAGAGGGTTAAGTGTCTGGGTCTCTGAGTGTGGTTAGATGGCTGTGCTAGGTGGTAGGTAGGGTGGTAGGGTAGTGAGGTTTGTGTATGCAGGGAGGATTGGCTAGTGGATATGCTTCAGGTTTATGATCTGAGAGGGAAGGTTGAGGGGTGTTCTGGTGGCCGTGGAGGATGCTGGAGAGGCAGGGGATGTGGGCTGATACAGACTTCATGTAACTTGTGAAGCTGGGTAGACTAATAGGTGTCGGTTTTCCAGCACTCAGCTGTCAATTTGTCGATCAGGTGCCTTTCACGTGCTCTTCCCAACACTCGAAGGTATTAGTCATACCGACTAACAACTCCTATTTAACTGAAGAAACCGGAACAAAGGTAGAACAAGGGACTGGGAGTCTCTCGATGCGCGAGCAAAACCAACAACTAAAAGCACTTATCAGTGGACTGGCGGTCCTGCAAACACCGTGGAGACCGCATTGCAATGGGCAGACAACGGCCATCGAAGACTTAAATGATTATCATATTTACGGATTACAGACTCTCTCAAGCTTCATCCACTAAAGCCACGGCAACTGACACTAGCAAATAATTGACTTTATACTTGAACTCGACCAAATCTAAATAGCACTGCGTCTCCTCATCACTTGCACTCAAACGTCCCCAATCCAGCCTCCAAGCGCACCATGGAGGGTAGTCCTCTGTGCTTTTTTGCCAACCATCAAGAGGTCGTTCACACCAGTTCGATACCGGCGAAGCTCCACAAACGATCTGAAGAATCCACCCATGAACACGATGGGAGATTTTTTTTTTTTTTTATACTCTAGGGAGAGTTCAGTCACACGTGCCCAAAGCGGCCTGTCACGTGACGTTGGAAATATCTCAAGCCTCACGTAGATCGAGAGGGACAGTAGTGCTGGGCCCGCAAGGCTATGCATTATACGCCTCTGCCTTGAAGCACTTCCATTTGCCAGGCCGCTATCCGTCCCTGCCTCGCAACACTTTAACCAACCAACCAACCAAAACCATAGCCTTCCAAAATCTTAGGCATGCATCCAAACAAACGGCGCCAAGCCTCGTCATCCCAACCTCATGCCTTTCCCTAGAAGCGTTCAAGCAAAGCACACACTGAAGCGGAAGAAAGTTCACGACATCCTCACATGCGCACGCCGCTAACCCCGTTCCTGAAATCCGATCCGCGATTAAAAAAAAAAAAAAAAAGCCGCTTCACACGATAAGACCCACTTTACGAATCACATCAGCCTCGATCCTGCCCCGAGGCACGGCGAGAACGGCGTCTGTCGTGTTCGTGAAAATTTATGGAAGCTCGAGCTGTCTTCCGTCTCTCTTACATTCCATTTGCGCCACGCCTTTGAAGACTTGTGTATATATTTCCTACTGTCACTTGCTGAAACAACAATGACTCCCCCAGCCCCAGGCGACTACACCTCCGTGCGCGCCGCCATCCTCGCGCTCCTCGCGCGCCCAGAATACGACGACGGCAGCGTCGGCCCCGTACTCGTGCGACTAGCATGGTAACTCCCCTCCCAAACCCTCCACCACCACTACCCACTAACCCACCCACCCATCCCCCAGGCACTCCGCCAGCAGCTACGACGCCTCGACCAACACGGGCGGCTCCAACGGCGCCGGCATGCGCTACGAAGCCGAAGGCGGCGACCCGGCCAACGCCGGGCTGCAACACGCGCGCGTCTTCCTCGAGCCCGTCAAAGCCGCGCACCCATGGCTCACCTACGCGGACCTGTGGACGCTGGTGGGCTGCGTCGCGATCGAGGCGCTGGGCGGGCCCGCGGTCGCCTGGCTGCCCGGCCGCACCGACTACGTCGACGACACGCGCTTGCCACCGCGGGGGGGGTTGCCGGACGCGTCGCAGGGCGCAGCACACGTGCGGGCGGTGCTCGTGCGGATGGGGCTCAGCGACCACAAGGCGGTGGCGCTGTGCGGGGCGCATAGTCTGAGGCGGTGCCATGGGAAGCGGTCCGGGTTTGAGGGGAAGTGGGTGTACAACCCGACGCGGTTTGGGAACCAGTATTTTCGGTTGCTGGCGCGGTTTGAGTGGGCGCCGAAGACGCTGGGGAGTGGGGTGCGGCAGTTTGTGCATGTGGATGAGGAGCTCAGGAAGGAGCTGATGATGCTGCCGTCGGATATGGCGTTGTTGGCGGATGAGAGATTTAAGGAGTGGGTGGTGAGGTATGCGGAGGATAAAGAGCTGTTTTATGCGGATTTTGCGAAGGCGTTTGCGAAGTTGATGGAGTTGGGGTTGAGGAGAGGTGAGGATGGGAAGGTCTTGAATGAGGATAATCAGAAAGGGGGGTATGCTTCTGCTCCTAAGAAGCTAGATGGGCTGGGACTGCCCGGCGTAGCCAACGAAGAGGCAGAGCCTTTGCGGGAGGAGAACGAGAAGTTCAGAGCTAGACTCTAAGCAGAGTTCGCTATGGGTTTGATGTGTTCTAATCGGACGAAGACGCTAGACTCCGGTATCTTTTTTGCTGACTAGACTTTATAGACTTAGACATTGATTAGACTAGACTCGTACACGATAATGTCGTGCTTGGTTGCTCACCTTTAGAAGCTTCATCATACGACCTTTTATCTTTACTCCATTGGCCGTGGAAAAAGGACCCCGGTATCTACACGTGATGGGTGCGGATGGAGTCTAAGGTTGGCGATCGATAGGACGGAGCGAAGGGCAAGATTTTGCCGACACTTGAACGCTCCTCTTTCGACGTCCAGGTCGTGATGAGAACCATCATCGGATGCTGATAGGATACTGTATCTTGTTCATGTCCTCGGCATTAATGCTTCAGATGCAAGTGTTTCATCCCAATCGGGACTTAAATTTGCAGCTCAGACTTCCGAAATAGAAGCAGCATGATTTCTTGGCCATGAAATGGACCGGTTAAGATCGTCGTGGCTAGGAGATATGGCCGCAGATGGTCTAGAGAGAATGTCACGGTTGCTGTCAAAGCTGTCGGTACTCGGTTTACGCGATCCCGGCTTTGAAACCGTTACAGTAGTCTCCTGTTGAACGTGGATCTTGGGATGGCTTATGCGCTGATCTCTATTAGAGAACGGGTTGATCGACCGGGATCGCACAGGCATGCCAGACGGAGACGAGATGCTGGTAGTAACAGGTCCGCACTCGATAAATTCTGGGAAATTGGGGTCCGTGTTCTTCCTGCGTGGAGCCGTGCTCACGCGACCGCCTGTGTTGCTAAAGGAGCGAGCAACAATGTCATCGAGGACGGATTTGAAGTCGTCTAGGAAAATCGTATCAGAGGCACACTTGAATACCAACGCGAACTTGGATTATCAGTCAGCAGCTGTGATCAATACGAAAGAAAAAGGATACTAACACGCCAGTATGGATTGATGCCTGCGTTGTGCGTGATGTGTAGAGCCGTAACAATGACGTCCGTCAAGAGGAAGACGATGGATAGCGCCATACACCCTATCATAACTCCGAAGCGAGGGCTGATTTTGATAAGTCCCCAGATCTTGAATCCATATGTCTTCTTGATGGCATCAATCAGCTTCCATGTTGTGAAAATCCACCATGGATCGCGGGCAAGAGCTTCCCATGGCCGGGTGCTGACGTTGACTCTGATGCCGAGTCCATTGAAGTATTCCCAGTTGGACCAGCACTCGACGATCCAAAACGGCTGGACCGCAATCAGGGTCCCAATGAATACTCTGCTGCCCCAGCGAGGCAAGAAGGGACGAATCTTCAGCCAGGAGATTATGTTGTGTAAGAAGTATGAGAGGAACAATAAGGTTGCGGTTGCGCTTAGATACCTGGAGAGTGAAGTATCAGCCTTGGCTCAATCCGTAGTGTGTAGTGAGTCACATACCATCCATAGTATGGATCTTGGGCAAAAATAAACGTGCCATGCCATAGTGCAAGAACCAGCTACAATAAGTTTAGCATGTTGTTCCATATCCATGGTAAGGTGTAGTACCTCGAGCAGAATGAGCTTGTGCAGCATCACTTTAGCACGGTAGTTGCAGAAGACGATGAGGATGAGGATGATGAGAGAGCCAACATTGTACCCTTCGGCCCAAGCCTCGAGGATGCTGCCATCGAGGGTCAAACCAGAGCGCGTTGGTGCAGCCTCGCCGGTGGAAGGAGTGCGCTTTGCCACGGGGGAGAAAAAGTTGGAAGGAGCCATGATTGAGAGCGGACTGCGCGCAGATGTCTTCACATAGAGAATGTCTATTACGATGCTAAACCCAGAGTCGTTCTGTGATCTGATGTACCGCAACCGTAGAACTGGATCAATGCTTGATGTGCAAGTTGGAGGCGGAGGTCAGGCTGAGATCCGGGCGGACGGTATGCGACAAGACAGCGAAGGCCCGCGTGCGAGCCATCCACGAGTTATAATGTATGGAATGGTTAAAATCTCACGGGCGCACTCTACGCCATGTGGCCGTACTCGACAGTAGCAGCAGGATCAAAGGTGGCGCACCACGAGGTGGTGTTTGGCATGCAGTCTAGTGAGAGACGGGCAGGTCGAGTGTGGAGGACCCAGAAAGAGAGCAAAAACGCGGAGTAGGGGCCATACATACCCGGCACCAGCGTACCTTTGCACGGGGTAAGGCTCCGATGCACCGCGAAGTCGGGATGGAGGAGCAAGATCTAACTCGCGGTGAACAGTGGTGCGCAGGACGGCGAGGGAGGGGAGGGTAAGCAGAACAAGCCTAGTGCCAACACCCGAGGCCCTGGTGAGGTCGACGGCGCGCGCCCCGTCGCCTTCAGAGGCCAGGCGTCACGCAACGGCCACGAGGCTGCGTCGTGGGGCGCACTCCATGTCGAATTGTGGTTGCGGATGCAGCGTCCAGGGCGGTGCGCTCCCCTGATTGCTGAAGGAAAAGGCCTCAACTCCCCTAGACGACCTGCGGGGGCGCACATCAGACCACTCACGCTGGCCCAACTTGGGCGATTGCGCGCAGACTTTTCCTCCAGTCTGTCGCTGTCTGAGTAGCTTCACCGGGAGGGCTCCGTGGCGTCTGTCTTGGTGCATCGTTGGCCTGCCTTCGCACCCCTCTTGGCCGTCCACCACTGCTGTCGGACGTGAGGCTGGAGTGCCCGAGTCGGCTGGATGCATAGTGGCGTGGACAAGCAGACGTCGAAGAAGACTCGACGTTGCGGGGTGGCGGTGGCATGCTCTTACGTCAACGCACGCTGGAGTGCTGGAAAGGGGACAAAGGAGACGGCGATCGTGCGAGAAAGACTCACCACCACGGGCAGGCGAAGAGTGGGCGATGCGGGGAAGCCTTGTCGCCTGTGTCAGGGCTGGGACCCGGGACGGCTCGCTGCGACAACAGGCCGGGATGCTTGACCGCCGTGAGGGCTTTGGGGGGACTGTGATCTTACTCAGCCGCCTCTTCCTGCGCGCTTTTGGCAGTCGTCATGCATCTTCCTGCACCCTTCATGCATCCTCATCGCGGCCTCACCAACCCCGGAATGATGCCTGACGCTGTTCAACCATCGCCAAGACGAATTCCGGGTACCAGTTGCGTGGAACAAAGCCAACGTGCGGCTCTTTGACCGCCTTTCACCGTCGTAATTCGTGACAGACTCATGGCTTGCGAACTCGGCTCTTTGACCGCCTCCCACCTTCGTAGTTCGTGACAGACTCATGGTGTCGCGAACTCAGCTCTTTGGCCGGCTGCTACTTTTGTACATGTCATCGCCGGCAGATGTCTACGTGATAGACTCATAATGCCGCCATCTCGGCTCCTTGTTCTATTATCACATTCTTGTCAGCACTCAACAGCCTGATAGTAGGCGTGGCTCTCACCATGACTGCCGAACTTCCTCAAATGCCTGAGGATGCAGACTTCATCAACATGCCATGCCAGCAGGAGAGCCCCTTCATGCTGGGCGTGAGGACAGTGGCACACGCGTCAAGCACTCTGTCTCGTGCCGCCGTGTGTACAGCTGTCTACCACTGCTTGAAGTGCTTCAATGGGATTTCTCATAGCCCAAGGGGAAGAGCTTCTTTCTGATTCAAATTTCTGAAATTGCATCAAAGCACCCCAAGTAGTCACGGCGGCTTGCTCTAGTGGCCGAGGCTGGCTTTTACTCCTCAAGGCTGGTGCCCCAGCTGAATTGACTTTGACACAGCCGCGTATTTGCAGGTTTTAACCATTTTTCGCGACATTAGGCGCAGTTTTCGGTGTGATGAAAACTGCCCTGCTTACTGCGACTCGGAGTCGGCGCTCCCAGGCTGAGATAGGGCTGAGCCACACAGGACCTCGTCACGACTGCGTCTCAAATCAACCGACACCCGAGAAGCGAGCGGGCGAATGACAGTCGCCCAAGACTGAAGCTACCCAGCACCGCAGTCAAGCTCTGCCCTCACAGCCGCGCTCCCGAAGTCTTGCCCGGCGAAGATGTGCGAAGATGCATCGCAGCTTAGCCCCTATTTGGGAATTAGGCGACGTTGATCCTGTAGCATCCCCGCTCCACTTTTAGCTTTGAGTGGCCAGTGCACTGAGGCGCTGCTCTGTGATTCGTCCGCTCGCTCAATTTGTGTCGGATCTTAAGCACGCCGTGGGTCCTATCTCTTGCTTCACCGTTCTCCGCTGCTTCATCTGAACCTTAAGGGCAACATGCTTAATCTCATGCCCGGGATCAGCTACGTACATCGGCAAGGTGCACCAAGGCTGAGCTCCTCGTGTCGACGTGTAGCTATCTTTAATCCTCATGGGTCCAGGGAGCTTTGTAGATATATAGCGTCTGACCTCGTCACTTTGTTCAACATCAAATCACTGCATCATCTCATTCTACCATTTTGTCTCACAATCGTCATTCATTCTGCCATCTCATCTTCCAATCAACACTCATAACGCCCATCGCCATGACTTCCACAATCTCCCACATCGCAACCAGGACAACTTCCACAGCTACCCCGTCTTGTACAACAGCAGTACCCGGCAAGTACGGCTATGTCGACCCTACCGCCTGCAATGCAAACTATGCGTTTAGCCCAAGCTTCACCGCCGCCATCGCCTTCTCTGTGCTATTCGCCATCGTCACAGCAGTCCAGGTCACACAAGCTTTCCTCTTCAAGAAGGGATTCTGCTGGGTCATGATTATGGGATGTTCCTGGGAGTTGGGATCCTTCGTCACACGAGCACTGGGCTCCCACAACCAGCAATCTGGAGCTCTCGCTTTGATCAATCAGCTCCTTCTGTTACTCGCTCCACTATGTAGGTTATTCCCAGATAGTCACCTTCGAGCCGTTGCTGACTTTGCATTGCACAGGGATCAACGCTTATGTCTACATGACCGCGGGACGTCTTATCTGGACCTTCCATCCTGAGAGGAAGATATGGAAAATCAAAGCAATGTCTATTGGGAAATACTTCGTCTGGCTGGATATCTTCTCCTTCATTGTCCAAGGCATCGGAGGCACTATGCTCCAACCGAGCGCGTCTGCCAACCAACAGAAGCTCGGAAAGAACGTCTACATGACCGGAGTGGGCGTGCAAGAGATCTTCATCGTTTTGTTCACCATCCTCATTGTCCGATTCCAGATCGAGATGATGCGACTCGAGAAGTCGGCGATGATACCTAGGACTCGAAAGTGGTTGTTGCTCACCGGAGCCCTTTATGCAGCCTTGGCTTTGATTACCGTGAGTCAACTCCCTGAGTTACGCCTTGAGACATTAGCTAATGTTTCAACTAGATGCGCATTATCTTCCGCCTCATCGAATTCTCTCGTGGTATGACCGAATCAAATCCTCTCCCATACCATGAAGTCTATCCTTTGGCCCTGGACGCATCACCCATGCTGCTAGCCATTACCATTCTCAGTGTGATCCACCCCGGCATGGTTCTCAAGGGACCCGAAAGCGAGTTGCCATCTCGCAAAGAGAAGAAGCAGATGAAGAAGGAGAACAAGGAAACTAAGAAGGCCATGAAAGCGGCAGGGAAGTCTGGCAAGCTTGGGTATGGAACCGAGTACTCGCCCCTCGGCGGGTACAGCTCACAGAACCTTACGAACGACGTGGAGCTCGAGGTACCGCACGAAAACAGGTTCTTGAGAGACGGATATAGCTCCCCCAACCACTCGAGGGACCATTCGAGGGACAATTCTGGAGACAACTTAGGATACTACTCCGGGCCGCCCGTTTGATACGGTGGTTGATTGTTATGGCGTAATCATAGATGGGCGAGGAGCTTAGAGTCTCACGAGGAATTTGGTGCTTTCGGCGTTTTGGGCGTTGTGGAAAGTCTTCATTTGTTTGAGCGGTAATGGAACATCACTAGAGCAATGATAGCATTATAGATCTGCATTCGATTGCTCGCTTGAAGTTTATTTGTTCAGCATGGTGCTGTGCGCACGGGAGTCTTGATGTACCACGCCACTCAAGAGATTGGCATACACCTGTGAAACATACTGATAAGGCTCGACGGCAGCTTCGTTCCACGGCAGATTCTTCAGCCACTTGACTATGTATTCATAGCGAGACACCAGATAGACTGCGGAAACGGGAGGATAAGTAGCCGCCGCAACGCAACGGTCAAGATGCTGTGATCGTCACCGTCGAGCCTTGGAATGTGCAGTCGCTGTAGCAAGAGCGGAAGCAGAGAAATGTTGCAGCCGCACTTGGACATACCGAGCCCACGCTGTAACTCTAGCGCATGCCGTATGGTGTTAGTGAAATTGTGACAAAGAGTCTTAGTGTTGTGGGCAACGCGCTCTCTGATTCGTCGGGCCAAACCTCCACTCTTCCCGGTGGCCACCACAACCTCCGACGCCCTTCATCAGCCTTAACCCATCTCGCCATCATAACAGCAGAAGTCATCTCACGTGGATCTTTCATTCGGTAGAGCAAACACTACGACCGCGCTGCTGGCTCTGTCTATCGCAACGCCGTCACACGGCTCCGGAGAAGGGTGGCTGACCAGACCACCTTCCCGCGGACGATCGGAGGAAACGGCCCACCGCAACTAAAACTGCAAACTCTGACGCGTGTATGAAAAATTCAATAAAAGTGTGGCATGGTAATGTTACTTATCCTATAAAACTCGTTCGCACATCAAGTCATCTTGCCCTTCGCTTCGTCAAGAGCGTACGAGTATGTCCTCGGAAAAAAGGCCGAATAAAACTTTACATCTCTGCCTCAATACCATGGAAAACAATGGAAACATCACTCGGGATGGCCGGATACACCATACTCTCCTCATTTCTTAGGTCGCATTTATGGCAAGCATTAGCACATCTCGGACGTTCAACTTCCCTCTTCGTGCCCTTCAAATGTCCGCTTTCCGAACAATACTCACGTTGCACTCACTCTATGTGAAGTACTAGACTACTCCCGCTCTACTAGTTTTGATTATACAACTACAGAGACCATCCGTTCCCGCCGGCACTTGCAACAAGCACGCGGGTAGAAGCATTCGGCTCTTCGATATCTTTGATGCACGTCACAACTTGACTTGTACCTGAGCATGCTTCCACTTGTATCACCTGTCACTATGGATACCCAATATGTCGGATCGGGCCTGACCGTCTTTACCGATATTTTCTTGCGCAAAGGGTACTTACGTCAAATGCTTCCTGTTAGCAGAAAAAAACGACCCTCTTTATTCCCAACGTTCTCATTCTCCAGAATCCTCCCAAATGTCATTTTCCATACCCCGGTATAGGCCGATTTGTGCCAGACTCTCCAGATTAGGAGGCTCTGTCAAGGAATGGTCCAGAAAGCCCACCAGCGAGACGTCGCCTACAGCACCTACCTGGGACGAAGAAGCATCGAGTACTCACCTAAGTGATGCCGACTTACCACCGAAAAAACCGTTCGACTCTTCGTTGGCTGAAGTTGGGTTCTGCTTTGCAGTTTGTGGATCGCAAGCCCTTGCTGTGAATAATTTCCCGGAGCAATACGTTCATATTTCCTGACATCTCGAGCAGGAATATCTCTTGACCGGCGCTGGGCAAATTTTCAATTCCGTGGCAGAAGACTTTCACTCTTCAACCACGAGTATGGCCTGGGCATCGTGTATCCATAGCGTCATCGTCGCTTCTGCAACTCTTCCGTTCGCACGCGCTGCCGATATCCATGGAGGCTACCCTGTCTTCATCTTCGGAATGATCTGGATACTCGTCTGGACTATCGTCGCCGGGTTTTGCAAAAATACGGTCATTTTTGCGATATGCCGCGCCATGCATGGTTTTGCGCTTGCGGCCATTCAACCAGCTAGTTTGGCCATGATTGGGGCAATCTATAAAGCCGGAAGGCGGAGAAACATTGTGTTGGGTATCTTCGGTGCCTGTGCTCCTTTTGGTTTCTTTGCTGGAGTAGCCAGTGGGACGCTTTCCGCAAACTTCCATCGTTGGCAGTGGTATTTCTGGACTGCTGCATTACTGTCATTCGTGGTCATACTAGCGACAATTCTAACCAGCCCTCAAGCATGTCGCGACCCACTTCCCTGCAAGATCGGAATGGACTGGTGGGGTTCTTTCACAATTTTCTCCGGGCTCCTACTAATCACCTACTCACTTTCTACCGGGTCCGACTACTCCCACGGATACTTCTCCTGGCACACTCTAGTCCCACTCGGCATCGGCTTACTTCTACTCTGCATCTCCGTCTACATCGAGCTCAAAGTCGCCGCAAGCCCCCTCCTACCAAAACGCTTCTTCGCCAACCCCTCCACAATCCCCTTCATCCTCGCCTGCCTCTTCTTCTACGGTGCCTTCGGCATCTTCCTCTTCTACGCCACCTTCTAGTAAGCCCCTCCCCTCCCCCCCTTCCATCCTCCCAAATCTAACTCCCCCGCCCCCAGCCTCCAAACCATCGCCGCCACCCCCCCGCTCACCCTCCTCCTCTACTTCACCCCGCTCGGCCTCGTCGGCATCCTCATCTCCCTCCTCGCCGGGCTCATCATGCACCGCATCCCCCTCACACTCCTCCTCCTCTTCTCCGGGCTTGCCTGGATCCTGACGCCCCTCCTCTTCGCCTTCGTCACGCCCACGGCCTCGTACTGGCCCCTCGTCTTCCCCGCCATGGTCTGCGCCGCGCTCGGCCTCGACCTCACCTTCACCATCTCCACCGTGTTTCTGACGTCGTCGCAGCCGCTCGAGTTCCAGGGCGTCGCGGGCGCCGTCTGCTCAAGCCTCGTGAATCTGGCGATTGCGTTCTCGCTGGGCTTGGCGCATGTCGTGTTTTCGCAGGTCGGGGGTGGGCAGCTGGGGGCGTATCGGGCGGTGTTTTGGCTGGCGACGGCGAGTGCGGGGGTCGGGTTTGCAGTTTGTGTGGTGGCGGTGAGGATTCCGAGGGCGGCGGGGCAGGTGGGGATGGGGAAGGTGGAAGTGGAGGTGGAGGTGGATAGTGGGATGGGGGAGGAGGGGGGAAGCGAGGGGATGGGAGCTGGAGAGGAGGGTAAGGAGATTGGTGTCTAGAGGGGAGCTTTAAGGTCCCTAGGGGACGTAGAAATTGGGATCGAGTGGCTTGATGGTTGGAGGGGGCAAGCAGAGCGTGGGAATGAGGATGGAGATGGGGTGGGATGGGATGGCGAGCATGGGTAGTGTTTGGCGACTTGGGCCTTTCTGAGTGTCGGAACGACTTTCTTCTGCTGAGTTCGAGCAAGGCCGTTGGTGTAGATAGATATATTGAGTAACGACTCTCTTTAGTCCGCAACGAGCGTCATGCTTCAAGCTTGCACATCCCCATTTTTTTTTAACCTAACTCAGCTTTTGGTAGGTAGACATATTCTCCGGACTGTGGCATATTACTGTACGCCCCAGACCCCGAGATCAGGAGGTCTAAGCGCACGTGGCTCACGTGACATCCACGTGCTTCTCAGCATGGCGGGGGTATAAATCTCCCACCGTCGAGCTCGCAAACGCTTTCTTCTTCAGAGATTTGACACTGGACATCAAAAAGTTTGCCAGGATTCGCTGATGTGTGGTGGGTATGGTATTCAAACATCAATGGACAGGACAAAATGGAGAGATGGAGGGATGTGGGATCAACTGAGGCGTCACAAAAGTTGCATGGAGAGGCGAGGAGGGTGTGGGTCAAAACAAGAAGCCATTGCTGCCGATGGGGAGGGTGAGACCGTTGGAGGCTGGTAGGATCAACCAGACATTACAAAGGTCTTATGGAGAGGTGGAGAGGCGTGGGATCAAAAAGCGAGAGTTAACGTCCTGATGAAGAGGGAAAGATTGTCGGAAGCTTGTGGGATCAACCAAACGGTACCAAGATCTCATGGAGAGATGGAGAGGGAGCGGGATCAAAACCCTTTGGTTCACTCTCAAATGGACAGCGGGAGTGCGGTCGGGGGGAGTGGTGTCAACAAGCCAGTGAGGATGCCGTTATGGAGAGAGTGGGATGGGAAGTGGCGGCGTGTATGTTGAATAATGATGGTGCTCATCTCCGCCTGCATTACCCGTGTCTATCATCTCTGTATCGGAACTGTGAGCTCCAGTACATTAACGATGGAACGTACCTTCCAATCCTGGAGCTGCCGGCTACCTTCGCTGCTATAACGCTCATTCCCACCAAACTTGACCAAGTGCCAGCATCTCCGCCACAGCAATTGCCATTGTCGACATATGCTGCAATTTTCCAGCCTTTCCTCAACCATTCTTTTCCGAAACCAATGCTGTTGATCCTCCTCCTTCCATCGATCCAAAGCCTTCGTCTAAGTCCAATCTTGATCCTCCCGGTATGAACGAGGCCCTCTACTAAACTTCGCTAGTCCAATCTCACTTCCCTCAAGCCCACACCACCTTCCAGAGCCTCTCCATACACAACCCCAAAAACATAAGCGCTCGCCAGAACCTTAAAGCATCCCAGCTTCCTTTCGCTCGGACGAAGCACAATCGGACAAGGACACCCCGCAATGACCCAAACCTGATCGCCTGCCTGACAGAACTTCGACACCATGCTCAGCATACTCGCCGCAGTCACGCAAGGAACCAGATCATGCCTATCCCTCATAAAGCTGTAGGAATTATTGAACGGGAGCCTAGCGTCTTGAATAGCTTCGGTTGAAGCATCTGGAAACAGTTCGGCAACGTGTCGCCTTGCTTGCTCGTCAGGCTGTCTTGTTTTCGGGACAGCCAGTAGCGGAGGCCGAGAATATGAATCTGTCTGCGACCAAGGTTCAAGCGACTGCTGTGTCGAACGCAGTACCGCCGAGCTGCAGATCTGAATTTAGGAATGCCTCGTAGCTCTTTGTAAGGAACGTGTCTCGGGTATGAAGCGGGAAGATCCGATCAATAGCGTCGATCGGAGTCCCTGGGAGAATCAGGATCTCTTAGTCGTTCGGATCAAACCTAGGCGTGAATTCGCTGGAACCAGCTGCTTGGTAATTTGGTACGCCCGCGAGATGTTTATGGGAGATAGGCCATATCGGGGGAAGAGGTCTTGCAACTCCCCGAGTCCTGCGCGAGACAACAGTTCGGGTTCGTCCTTTTGACTCAGCAAAAACCTTCCAGTTCTCAAGATGACTTTCCTTGCCGGAGATTTGTAGTCTGGCCGGAACTCGTCTCGATCAGAGTCGGCGGCCATGCCGAGAAGCCCGAAGAAGTAATCCTGCGGTACTGATGCGAAGCGTCCAGGGAGGAAATTGATTAGGTCGCCCAGAAGAAGGGTGTTTTCATACTGCGCTTGCTGACGCATGATTCGAAGGGATCAAAGCGGGGAGAAAGACACCACAATGTCATAGACATCGGGTTCACCAAGCCAAGTATCTCCGGCCGAGGTCGCGTTTTGGTTCAACGTGGACAGATAGAGATGCTGCCAGGACAGTGTGGCATTACCACAAACAATAACGACATCCCTAGTCAGCACAAACTCTTGAACCACCCAGATCCTTCGGAACCAGGGTCACAGCCATATCTTGCGCGCTGGCAGCCACCATTCAGTTGAATAACTAGGTGGGGGCGGCACCGCATTCTATGGTAGAGAAGGCAGTTCCATTCCGATTCTCGTTTCAGTGCCTTCCACTGTTCGACCATTGATTCCGTAGGGGGCAATGTAATACTCCCACCACGACATCATCCTCTCGAAACCAGCCGAACTCTCGTCGCTTTCGTTGCCGAGAAAGACAATGGTCTGGCGCGCGGTGGGGTAGATATCGCCCATGAGACGTACTTGCTCGGCCCTCTCGTCCAAGTCGTTTTGATTGATACATGCTCCATCAGCCCGTATGAGGCGCTCTCTATCAATGTGGCGTAGACGCTAGAAAGCTAGCTGGAGTGAGGCTGTATTCTGAATTACGCCGTCATGGGTTGTAAGTGGGCAGTCCTGTTCAGAGAACTCCAGCAGTACGAAAGTGCCTCGAAAGATTCCTTGTCTTCATCCGTTGTTTCTTCTTCAAGTGCCTCGATATAGTGCTTCAGGCTGCGCGTGATAAGACGGCCATCAAGAGGATCGGCATCATTTCCAGGTCCTAGAATAGAACAAGAATCCGAATTTCTTGGGAACACAGCTTCTCGTATGTAAAGTCTGATATTGGTGAATTCGACTGTATTTCAGGAGGGGTCGGAACAGGGTCACGAAGGTAGTTGCTTTATCTTTTAGTATTGACACCCGTGGACAGCTTCACTGGTTGTCTTAGCGCACATCCCCAATTCTCATAGGGAATACAAACACGTGTTGGTTGGCCCATTTCTCTTCAATGCCTTGGTGAGTGAAGTCAGGCAACAATCCAGTGATTTCAGGCAACATTCCAGGATTTTAGGCAACAGTCATGATCCGGGCCCCCTGCCCACTTGCCAAGCCGCTCGTGGATGGAGTATATAGTCTCGCCCTGCCCCCCCAACTTCAAACCTCAGCTGCTCCCGACCAACTGCTAACTAGGTTTCGGAGGTCGTGTCGACCAGATGAGCGGGTTACTGACTAGGGACAAGTTTCTTCAATCTCGACCAAATTACTAACTAGGCTTTGCCGGTTTGTGATGATGATCTTCACCACTTCTACTATGTGATGATGGATATCATCTCATTTGCTAATGATTTATGCTCTTCATCATCTAATAATGCCCCGTGTCACCAGTTCCTTGACCCGAACCTCTACCGGTAAATGCGGATTCTTGTATGGAGCATTACCGTTGGTGCCACTGCCTGTGGCATTAGGATAGGTCTGTGCTTGCGTCAAAACCAGGACTAGGGCGAGCCCGCCGACAATCCGTAGGAACACCATTTCTAGGGTTGAGAGAGTATATAACGATGCCGAAGCCAGGAACGCGTCGTCGCAAATGTAAGTCAAGCGCAAGCTTTAAGCTGTCCCATCAAGCTGTGAATTTAATCTTGGATAATATCAATAGTGTATCTGCGCCCGCAGGTCCAATTCCCAGATCCGCCGTTCGTGGAAAAAGTGAACCCGGGATCCACCATTGGGATTATCGACCGCGGAATTATTTTCCGTCCGGCTCTGGCTCTGGAATTGGAGTCCGTGTAGAGCCTGTACCGCTAGCTGCGGCGCGCTCGAGGGCGGGGTCCGAACCTGGCACCAAAAAGTCCTTAATCGGAGAACCGTTGAGTGGGATGGAGATGGCTTGGACGCAGCCCAGATGGCATCACGCGTCGGGATCAGCAGGGGCAGTCGTACTTTGTTCCAGCCAGACGGTATTGCGAACGAGCGGAAACAGGCTGTGTCTTGTAGGTTGATCAACCTGCCGAAATGGTGGTGGTGTGAGGGTTTAATGCTGGTCGTGGCAGTCAATATATCTTACTGGTCCTATTTTGATATCCAGCTTGGCCATTCGTTCCTTTGAGGGAGGGGTTAGGCTCAATTTCCATATTGAAGAAGCCATGATTCCGCATCTACTCCTACTCTATCCTGTAGCCATGTCTTGACACCGTTGTATGATGGCTTCTTCAACTACCTCGGCCCACCCATCCGCAGTAATCAGTACTATTGGCCTCACACCATCCTTCTTTTCTGGTCCTAGCCAAGCACCATTCCTTAGCAACGTCTTTAAGACATCAGCTCTTCCATTTGATGCAGCAACCATGAGCGGACTTTGTCTCGCAGTCGACAGCGGCTCGAGCAAAGCCCCTTCACCGAGGAGGTACTCAACCATTTCAGTGCTGCCGTAAATCGCGGCAATATGAATCGGGCGATGCCCACCTCCATCCTCGGCTTCGATGTCGGCACCCGCGGCAAGGAGGTGCGTGGCTAGGATTTTGTTGCTTGCTCGTGCTGCGCGGTGGAGTGGCGTGGCGCCATATTTGTCAACGGTACGAGCAGACGCGCCTTTTGCAAGTAGGCAAGTGACTGCTGATTCTGAAGCTTCGCGAACTGCTAGACTGAGAACGCTTTGTCCGCTGCTGTCGACGGCTTCGAGGTCTACTCCTGATTCTAGGAGGAGGTCGACCGTCTCCGGATTACCCTTCATTGCGGCATGATATAGGGGTGTGGTTTGTAGGATGCATTTGGCATTCGCATCGGCGCCTACTAGCAAGAGAAGCCTTGCGCATTCAGTTTGTCCGAACCGAGATGCAATGTGCAAAGGGGTGTACTGGTCATCCGATCTTGTAGCCTCGATTTGGGCTCCATGGTGCAAAAGAAGCTTGACGACTTTATCGTGGCCGTTCTCACAGGCAATATGAACAGCAGTATCGCCTCTCTGGGATTTGATTTCCGTAGAGGCTTTGTACTCTAGGACCTTCTCCACTACAGCGCTGTGGCCTGCGGAGGCAGCGTGGTACAGTGGATTCTTGCCATCAGTATCTTGAAGGTCGATGGCAGCACCTCGTTCCAGAAGAAGGTTCACTATATCAGTGTGGCCAGAAGCTGCGGCGAAGATGATGGGACTCTTGCCCCTGTTAGTGAGCCCATTCAGTGGAGCCTGGCGATCCAATAGTGTTTGTACAGTGGAGGCATGGCCACCATGAGCTGCTAGATGAATAGCAGATTGGAGCTTGTGGTTCTGCGCGTGTATGTCGGATCCCTCGTTGATGAGAAGATTGACGACATCTCGCCGACCAAATTGGGAGGCCACCATAAGAGGCGTGACGCCTTTGTCGTTTTTCTGGTGGATATCAGGCCTAGCCCCACGATCGAGCAGAAGCCTGATGACGGAAGCATGGCCTCGTGTAGCAGCCCAGAAGAGGCTTGTGTTGTTCCCCGCACCTTTGAGACTGATGTCGGCCCCTGCGTCTAGTAACATCCTCACCGCACCTTCATGCCCAGCATACGAGGCAGCAAGTAAAGGTGGGAGGTCGTTGCCAATCTTTTCATTCAATGCTATACCTGCTCCTCGCTCTAAGAAGATCCGAAGAATCTGTTCTCTACCGAGAAGGGCCGCAACGCAGAGCGGAGTCTTACTGGCGTTTGGTAGAGATTTGTAAGGGTCTATCGGGAGTGCAAGGGGATCACTTCCAGACGCTAACAGCTGTTGCACGCGTTGGATGTTGTTCTCTGTGACAGCGAGATGAAGGCCATGGTGGACGAGAGTTCCAGAAGGCGTTCTCTGCCCAGATCCAGGTGTCGGAGAAGTAGGATTCTGAGATCTTGAAGGAAGGCCTCCACTATTGCTTGCATCTTTTGCGTTATATTTACGGGATTTTGGTGATGCTGGTGATGGCGATGTTGGTGACGGCGATGTTGGTAATGGTGATTGCGGATCTTGAGGTGCATCTGGAACGGAAAAGCTCGAGATGTCGTTGTTCTTGAGAATTGCCTCTAAGTCGTCCGCACAAGAGCCTGCAGTTGGGGGTGTTGCGCGGGGTGTGGGGCGAAAGGCTTTAGCTCTTGTCGCGGTCCGGCGAAGTGCCTCTAGGCCAGAAGATTCCGTCCGCAAGTTTCGCTCAATGTCAGAAAGCTTCGTTCTGTACGCAGTCAGTGATTTAAAGTTTTCCAACTTCCCAAGTGTCTTTGAATCAATGAATAATCAATAGGCAATGGATGTTGAGCAAACATCGTCCAGAGACTTCTACAGGTGCTGGCCGGCCAGGCATCCATAGTCCAAGCCTCATTCATTACCATGGATCATTCCTTGACTTCTCATCACATTTCCGAGAGAAAGTTGAGCGAGTTGAAAATGACTTACAATTGAATGCATGTGATCAGAAAGCCAAGGGCATTCCGTTGGTCTCGGATTTCTCGAATGATTCCCTTGAGATCGTCCTCGACCCACATGAAACGTAGTCGTGTTCGTGTTCCAAGTCCTAGACTGTCCAGAGGATCACTGCCCATAGTCAATTTCCCAAGCTCTCTATCAAGGATAGAAAAGGTCTGTGCTATGTTGATCATAGTAGCATTGAGAGATTCGACGAGATGCTGCTGCGACTGATTTGAAGAACCGAAAATGTCAGATTTAGTAAGCATCAACTTCTGAAGCTGGCCTAAACCTGCAGTAGTAGTGTTGCATTCGCCGCAAAGACCAGCTAGCGTTTGTTGAGATCTGTTGAACTTTGCTCGCAAAGTACTGAGAGATTGGCCAAGCCTAATGGAGATGCCTATGAGACTAGCGACTGTTGCCGTAACTGAAAGAGGATCCATTCCGCGTTGGCTGGTGGGGGAAGGGGATCTTTATTGGACACAATCCCGTTCCTTCTCGAGGTAGAGGGGAGAGGAGGACTTGGGAGGCAGCAGTGTGCACCTGGCAGGGACTCTCGTTCAACTTCAGCTCCCGACTGAGTCCGATTACGCTAGCGGAACGCCACGGCGCGTAGAGGGTGAGGCTCTTGCACGCTTCGCCTTCCCTTACCAAATCAGGTCGAAGAACAAAACGTTATGTGGTACTAGAACAAGCTCCATGGTTGATCTATTAGGTCGTCAGCCTTAATCTAGCACCTCCGTTGACACTCCCCGTACTTCTAAAACGCCTGGGCTGGTAGGACCTGCGTAGAGCTTTACAGCCACGAAGTCAAGGTCGCTAAGATAGTTGTAGCTCAGCATAAATCCCTCCATGCTTAGATCAAAAGCTGAACTGGACTTTGGTGGTGTTATTCTTGAGAATAGCTTTATTAGCTGAGACTTGCGTGAGAAATCCGACCTGGATGATGATGAATACAGCATTTATTGATATATTACAAAAGTCATGAAATATTGATTGTTGCTGCATATACGCCACGCTAACTCCCTCGCTGCCCAATGCACATATATACGCAAGTAAATTCTCCGGGTATCAGCATAATATACTCAGAAGGTCCATTCAGTCCTCGTTCTCATCATCTTTCTTATCCTTCTTATCACCACCTCCATTCTCTTTTTTCACACGATCCTTTTTCAAAGCCTCAGTGACCTTCTTGTCTTTTTCATCTTCGAGCTCATCCCACTCAACATCGTACTCGGCCGCGATCTTCTTGATCTCCGCTCTCAGTGCATTGCCATCTTCGATTAAGGTCTCCCATTTCCGAAGATCGAAGCCTTTGAGGGCGTAGAGTTTGCTTTGGCGCTTCGAAATGGTGAATTTCATGGCGGATTGGTATGAGACTTCGCGATTGTGGTAGAGGAACCAGATGTACGCGCCGATGACGGTTGAGAGACCGACGAGGTACTAGCATACACGTTAGCACTCTGCACCCATAAGAGAGTACCGCACAACTCACCGTAACAGGTTCCATAACATCCCACCCCAGATCTGTCTCAAAGGTCAACCGATACACAAGATACCACCACCCACACAGAATGCCAAATCCGCCCATGGCTACTCTCTGCGCGCCCCGGTGAGCAATTGCGTCGCATTCTTTCTTGACATCCGCCATCTTCGAAATCTTGCCGCTTGTATTTCTTAAACGCATCCGCAGATAATACGTGCGATCGTTGAAGCTGGGAACCCCAACCCTGATATCATTCGGCGCGCCCTCAATCTCCACCGCAAATTCCTGCCCCCTCGCCGCGTCGCGGATGAAGTCCCCAATCTCAGTCGAGCTAGACCACCGTACGAATTTGCGCTCTTCCTCGCCAGTCGTGGGGGCTTCACGGCCCAAACCGGAGTAGGACTCGACGCCACCCTGGCCTTTACCACCGCGTAGGGCATCCGCTTCTTCAGGCGACTTCCTGTTCAATTTCCCAGTTTTTTCGAGCTTGCCATCAATTTTGGTTTCGTCTGAGGCTTCAAATTCCGCGTCGTCTGCTTCCGTGGGCGCGGCACCGTGTTGATGCACGGGAGTCTTCTTAGAGCCTGGGTTTTCCGACTCCTCCGTCTCTTGATTTGAGTCCTCGGCGCGGAAGTAGACATTTGGTATCTTCTCTTTATCGCCCTTTTTGATGGTCGGGAGCTCAGACTGAATGAGGCGCTCGAGGTATGAAAGGGGTTGTGACGGGTGCACAAGGAGTGCTAAGGGCTCGACGTCTCTGCGGTCGGAATTGGCGTCCATAGTCGTGAGTGGTAGGATGAGCTTAAGCATGCGGGAGGGGGTGGTGAGAAGTTTCCCTGTCGAATCAGATGTAGCTCTAAGAATCGACGTCTCTAATGGCACTAGAAAGACAATTGTCTCCATGGCAAAGATATGTCACGTACCCTTCGTCATTGCCCCGGCATTCCTCTGCCTAGCCACAGGCGGCTGATCTGACCCTTCTCGCATCCATGGTGTTCGTATCTGCTTCCCCTTGTCTGCTGCCACTCTCTTATCGTAGTCCAGCTGCTCTTCCCCGGTAACCTTACTATTGAGCTGATCCGCGGGTGTAGCGTTGGAGCTATCATCAAGTGACCGTCCCTCGATTCTCCACCGTATCCCAGAGCTGAAATTACTTCGTTCAGCTGGATTCACGCCATTGAAGACGCCGGTGAAGAGGGATCCGCAGACATAGGACGACCGTGGACATATCGGGAGGGAGAGGGCGGCGCGGAGAGGTATCCGCGGCTTCATGGCTGGAGGTGTGAGAGGTGTGAGAGAAGCAATGGCATAGGAGAGGGACGAAAGAGGTGAAACATGCTGGCGCTATGTATTTAGCTCTCGTGCCTGGGAAGAAGGCGTGTTGGCAGGGATCTCACCTGTTCTTGACTTTCGACGTCATTCGCGGTCAAAGCGCGGCGCTTGTCCGCATTGAGTCTAACAGCTATTTTTCGTTTTAAACGCGTATATTTCCTCCCATTTGCCCGTTAAGTTATGCTTAACTTAACCTTGGCTCAGTCGCTGCTAGGTCGCATCGCTTGAATTGCTCTCGTTCAACTCGAAACTACTCGACTTCAAAGTCACCTCTTGCTTCTTCGTATCTTTTATGAAGCTGTTCAACTCGAAGTGTTCATTCTGTTAGCTGGTCATAAGGCAAGCACGTAGGAAAGTAGAGCTGGAAGAGCATGTTCAAGATCCTGCTTTGCAATGGGCATTCAACAGGATAGGAACGTGACGTATAGTAAGGAAAGCCACGTTGAGTAAGAAAGCGGCATGCAAGTGTGCAGCTGCATTCCTACGTTTCTACGTTTCTACGTAGACTATTCCACACGGGATGCTTTCACATTCTCCCCAAAAGTGGAGCATCCAACAATCCTTCGCCGACATGTTCGAGCCATTGAAACCCTACTAGCCGCTTGCTTGATCTCTTCGGTCTCCAGCAACCTATTTTCTTCCTTTTCCGCTCCTAGAAAATCTAGTGTCGATACTTCTTCTGAGGAATTGGAGCCCAAACTAGAATCGTCGATCGCTCTGAATCGTTCTCTGTACAGGGTCGCAGGTAATACATTGTCCTTCCAGACAGGCTGAACATGGCGAAGCCTCCAATTCCTGGCTACTGTCCACACTGGACAAAAGAGCCAACGGCAAGCGAAGCTATCATTACCAGAGCGACCAATCCAACCATGATGTTATGCCTGAGGACCTTCGGTATCAAGGGTGCTGCTCCAAGCATACTGCGGCTACCGTTGTCGAAGTCTTGAAAGTGTTGAAGCGAACGTGCTGGATGTCCAGAGTACCAAGTCCATTTCGCCTGTGAAATAATCTTGCCAGTCACTATGACTGTGGTAGTACGGAATATGGTTGCTAGCAGCAGTACTGATGTTGATAGAGGAACCCTAATTTGGCGGCTTTCGTCCGTCAACCCTAACAGTATCCCGAAGATAGTCACGACAAGGCCGGCAGGCGAACAGGAGAGCAATAAACTCCCACTTCCAGTATTATAAGACGTTGTATGGTTCACTCAATGATTGATGTTCGAACTTTGCGTCAAGCGGGGCGGGTTCCGAGTTGCTAAGGTTATGGGTCGAATGTGCTACAACTACCTCATCGGAGGAAGGTTGTCTACGAATCGTTTCTCTGACTGACTTCAGAGGCTGTGGCTCGCTTGGGAAATTTTCTGAAATGTGATTATTTGCAGCGCGTGTCTCCATGGTGTTCACCTCGCGTGGCTGATATGCAGGTTCAGCCAGTTGGCTTTCGCCGCTCAATCGTCCGGATACTCTCGGAGAAATAAATGTATCGAATCCACTCTCTTGCCGACCAAGAAGGTTTGACAGCTGCTGTGCGAGATCTTCGGGTGGGAAATCCGAGGCTGCTGTACCTGACTGGCTTACGAGTTGCTTTGGAATGGATTTCAGTTTGAATGTCGAAACAGACAGCATGTATGATTTGCCCGATTTAGACAGGAGGTAAAGCTTCAGATATATTCGTGACTCTGAGAGTGTAAAGAGCCAAAAGATGGGGTGTACGAAACAGAGACGGCACTATTGTGAAAGGAGAGTGGAACAAGGCTCAACTGGACAAGAATTCGGTATTCCTGTTGCCTGCAATGAACTGCATCCTTGTATCGGGGACCCGTCGCTGCGCAGTATGAAGGGCAGTGTGAATTCCTACGACCGAGTCATCCCGACAGACGAGACGATGGGGGCTACAAACCATGCGCTTATGTATATGAACGGCACGCCTGACCGCGCTCACGCGACGGTTGTAAAAACTTCTCATCTGCAAGTGTTGCGGGTGAAATCCTAGGCCATTGAGCAGTGGAGTAACAAGCAGAAATACACGCTTATAGTGAAATGCTAGGGTAGGTATTTTCAGCAATCTTTTATTGAAGGCTGATGAAAGCACTGACGAGATGAAATGATATGGCAAGACTAAGTGTGACGACGACTGAACAATAAACCATAAACTCACTAACGGAATTAGCTACAAAGTTTTCTCTTAACAGCTTATCACTACCATGCTTTCGTTGTAACATAACGTTCATGACCTTTATCCGCCCCCATCTCCACCACCATCGCCCCCACCTCCGCCATCTCCGCCACCATCTCCGCCATAACCTCCTCCTCCATCTCCACCATAACCTCCTCCTCCATCTCCACCATAACCTCCTGCATTACCGCCATCTCCATAATATCCACCACCCCCAACATAATATCCACCTCCTCCATAATATCTACGTCCCCCAGAGTACCCGTTATTACGTCTGACCCTCGGAGGACGACTGCTAAAGATAACAATCAACGCGACGACGACGCTCCCCGCGCCGAGTACCCAAAAGATAATCATCCCTTTGCTAGTACTAACGGGATTGGCAAAACCGTGGCTATTTCTAGCCCACTGTCTAAGCATGGCATAATACAGTCCAGTAGCTACGGCGTACATGACTGCGGGCAGGATGAAAGTTTGCATAGCGACGTGAACCTTTTCGCGCTTGAGGAAATAGACGGCTATTACGAGGATGAGGAGGACGAAGGTGACGGCGACGCCGGCGATGAGTAGGTAAGCGCTCGCGTGAGCGAAGCTCGTGTTAGCTTTTAAGCCTGCCGTGTGTATCAAGGTTTTCCAGTTGTCCAAGGCGTCGGTCAAGTTGGGATGGCCCGAGAGGTCGAATTCCACGGCTGAGAGGACGTAGGCTGGGAGGCCCAGTTTTTTGCTGCATGTAGTCGTGCTGTTTGTGCCTCGCCGGCAAAGGCCTGGGAGGTTTAGCGCGTGGCTCAAAAGAGAGGGAGAGCCCGTTCACGTACCACCGAGGCCGAATAGGTATTCCTTGGGGAGAACATCGAGCGCGAAAGCGGTGGTCCACTCGCTCGGAATGGAAAGAGAGGTGAATATCTGCGGCGTAGATGCGACGCTGCCGTTCGGGAGGATGAAAGTTCCAAGCTCGTAGATGGATTGTGTGACGTTTACTTTGGCGATACTGACAGTGTCCGTCGATGAACTGGTACAGCTGACCAGCAAGGTGATAGAGAGCGCAATGGCACCTTGGAGATAATTAGCTCAAGCTTCTTCGACTGAGTCTAGTCCGCAACTCTCGGAGCTGAGTCAATTGCACACTTACCAAGAGCACAAACGATAAATGCCAGGAAGCCCGGGGTTCTAATTGGAGAGCGTGTTGTAACTGCCATATCTCAAGTCTACATCAGACGACAAAGAAGGCTGCTGTTCTCAATTCAAGGCATAGTGAAATGAAAGGTAAGTACACGGCCACAACAGACCTGTAGGCCTTTGTAGCCTGGGGGGCTCCTCAGCCGCATTAAATGAATTCGTACGCGAAGTTCGCGACCCTGAGAATCCAGGCAAGATCGGGTAGAAGGGGGATAGTTGAACATTAACGACGACTGCGCCATGCGCTCGCAAGGGAAAGCGAAAGCTGGAGGTTTCGTTTCAACCCTGGAAGAGAACGCTTATGCTAATCAAGCCCTTGTGGTGGCTTCTTATCAAGCCACTATATTGGCTCGAAAACCTCATTTGGACAGCTGGAGCCGGGCGATGCTCGCCTCAAGAACCGGTGACCTCAAATGGTGTACATAGTCAAAAGCTAAAAGGTTTTCAGAACCACGAGATCATCAGACCTTCAGAATATTCTATGCAGGTCTTAGGGTTACTTTCTAGTGGGCGTAGAGTTGACTATCGGCCCTCGGACTATACCCGGGTTTTGGTATCTGTAACCCCTTTTTTCCGGTAACCAAGCGCTAAAACCAAGCCACAAAATTACCGTATGAGGTAGCCATTTCCGACGCTTTTAGGGGTGATAACAGCCCTCCAGTCAATGAATCTTCAAGCCGGTCAGATATTAGCCCAGAAAAGGAGGTTTACAGGGGTTGACTCAGTTTCCGCGCTAGGTCACCGGACGCAGGAAGAGGCAGGCATGGTATACTGGGAAATGGGACACTCGCTTACTAAACTTCCCGACTACAACTTGAATTTTCCTGCTCCACAACCTTATTCAATTATTCTATAAACTGGAAGGCATGTATAAAAGAGCTGACTTTACTCCTTGTAAACTTTTCAGCTCGTACATCCTACGTTGTGGTGTGTAAAGATATCAAAAGTGGTACGCCGGCACCAGATTTCGAGTGTTCCATTTCCCAGTATACCATGCCCTGGAGGCTGTATAACGTTGATACCTACTTTAACAGTTAGGTGTAAAATGCATGCACTTGTCTGCTTATATTTAGGGGTCTAACGAAAAGTCTTTTCTGCGTGTGTTTGTTTCTGTATGTATTAGATCTATAAGAGGATCAGATTTGCGTTCAAGACTATTTACTCGGCCCGGGCTGCATCTGAATCCATCCAGTATCTTTCCAGACACCAGCCTTAGTGCAGTCCTGCACGAGAACACCTCCTAGTCTTGCATACTTAACGAAGCCGAACCGAAAATACTCCACGTCGACCCCCTCCGTTCTACTCCATGTGAATGTCGTGCTCCGCTCATCAAATCTACGAAACCGTTCTACGTCATTGACTAGCGCGCTGATACCGTCGTATCCATTTGCTAAATCGAGGGAGAAGGTTATGTTATCCCTAGTTATAAGTGGGATTGGGATCGATGGTAGGAAACTGCCGAGTTTCGCGTCTGACCGTAGGGCCGTAGCGGTCTGAAGGATGCTGTCGAAGCCCCAGCGACCGATTCCATTAATGAAGAGGCCAACTAAGAAGCCTTGGTAGAGGAGGCTCGGGCGGGTCTGCAGTGTCGTTCCAGGCAGCAGAAGCAAAGCTAGAATGTAGTGATGAATACGAAGATTCAGACGCGGAATTGCGAGGAGTAGGAGGATTGACGCTAGAAGAATGGCATATATAGCGAGGTAGCGGGCGAGCCTGCCTTCGATTCTGAATGCCCATGTCTGAAAGACTGCTATTCCAACTATTAAGAGTATTATCAAAATCAGCGCTGTGATTGCGCCCGGTTGCTGCTGTAAATCGTGAGGCGTGAGACGTGAAATGGGTATCTTTTCAAAAGCATGGTTGCCGATGGCGCCGATCCAGCAGGCACCTAGCCACAAGAAAGTCCTTTCGAACGGTGCTTTCAGCTTCCGCAAGGTGTATCGGACGAAGTACTGATAGATGAAAAGCGCCACAAACGCAGCAGGAAGAAAGCGGCCTGTTGCCGCGGATATCACGCCATCATATGTTGTCGAGTCCGGAGGGTCTGATGCAAGAGCCGTCTGGAAGAAAACGCTGGTGAAAACGGATCCAAAGAAGAGGGCAGACGAAGTTGTGTAGAGCGACAGCACGGTAGTGAATACAAGTGAAACTCCGAACGCGCGCCATTGAGGATCCTGACATTGAGCAACTCCTGGTGCCTTTAAGAGAAACCAGCAACCTTCTAGCCAATCAATCCTGAACTCGGTTAAGTATTAGCCCAGAAAAGAGGTATACCAGGGTCGACTCAGTTCAGCGCTAGACCACCGGACGTAAAGAGACGATGTATCTTCTCTTTTCAACCGCAAGTGCTTTTGTAGTTGTTAGAACACGTGCACACCACGTACACCACGTGCACCTAGCGCAGAACGATTCTTTCGCCAATATAAAAGAACAACTCGTACCACTCCCAATGAACTAGAGAAGGAGGAACCCGGAGGCAGATGAAAATAACCGGAGGAGGAGACTGATGGGTGGTGCACACAGTACACGAGCGACACCAATATGGTGTGTGCGCAGAAGTGGTGTGCTCTGAAAGGGAATGCTTCATTAGGTGCAATGGGATGGATTAACATACCTATCCCGCCCGAAGTATGAGTGGAGGTGCTCGTGGGTCCCGCCATGATGACCTTCAGCAGCTACTTCTACCGAACCGCTTCACTCTGAACTCTTTCCTTGTCGCTACTAGAAAGGTTCGTTAAAAGTGACCGCTAGCATACGGGTATACTGCGCTCCGACTTCAATAATGATAGGCAACGGCCACCAGGATACTCCGGAATTGCTGCACATCATTACTACCCGGCTTGAACACCCCTCTACAGACACAACTTCTACCACCAGATCTCCCAAGACATGAGTAGAGCTGGTGACGATTTTTGACAGCACTCAACGGCTCCACATCGTACCAGGCGAGCAGCCAGTTTTGACCGGTACAGCCATGGACAGCTCATGCTCGCCAGTGTAGCTCGTTTTGAAGCAAGTCTTTTATACTCCTAGCTAGGTACCGAAGAGAGCCTTAGGTCAAGTCCAGTGACTATCACCTGAGCAGGGATCTCCATCCTCGAGCTCTCAGCTATTATGTCGTAAACCCCTTCCCAGCCATCGAAAGATCAAGATATACCACCAAACCATCTCTCAATCAATCTCACTTCTGCTCGCATTCATATCATTCTCACACCACCTCCACTACCCGCTCTCCACAGTCACCTTACTCTTCTCTATTCCGCCTCCTTCTCCTCTGCACCCTCCTTCTCTCCCGTGCCCTCCTCCTTCGGCGGTCCATACCGAATCATCACAAACCCCGCTCCCTCGCCCTCCACATCCTCATACCCAAAATGCCGATAAATCGGCATCGCCGCCTCCATCGCCTCCAAATACATCGGCGTCGACGGCGTCTGCGAATCCGCAATATCCGTCACATCCTTCATCAACAAGCTCGCAACCCCACGGCCCTGGAACTCGGGAACAACCCAGAGCGGCGCAAGATGCCTACGCGCAAACGTCAGCCAGCCATTCCTCTCACCTCCCTATAAAACCCCCTTCTAATCCCCCCCCCCCAAAAAAAAAACAATCAAGCAGCTCCCACAACCGAATCTCACTCACCAATACCCCCCCTTCCCCTCCATCTTCGCGCCCCTCACCGGATCCCACTTCAGGAAAATCCCCGTATAGACCTCCACATCCGTCCCGCTCCACAGCTCCTCCTCATACTCTTTCGTCCACCCCATCTTCTCGCGCCACCCCAGCACGTCGGTGGCGTCCTTGCGCCAGAAGTTCAGCGTCTCAATCGCCGTGCGCGCGGGGCCCAGCCAGCCGGCGTGCCCGATCACGCGGTCGGGGTGGGCGGGGTCGTAGCCCGGGGCAGTGGGGGCGAGCGTCGCTTTGGTCCAGCGGGTGTGCGGCTCGCGCAGCCAGGGCTTCATGCGCTCGGCGAAGCGGAAGGCTTGGGTGCTGGGGGAGGGGCGGATGGAGACGGGTTCGATCTGGTGGGGGGGTTAGTGGGGGAGGGGAGGGGATGGGGGAGGAGATGGGGGGGGTGGAGGAGTGGAGATACCTTGTCGAACCAGGCGTCCCCGAAGGAGGCGTAGTAGCCTTCGGACTGTGGGGGGTGTTAGTGGTGGCATGTTGAAATGATTATGTGAGGTTGAGTTTAGAAGATGGAAGTTGAACATGTGAGATTTGAGACGATATGATTAGACTGATGAATGACGAGAATTTGAGATTATGAGATCGAGAGGGCTTGAAATGAGACATGAGCGGTAGAGAAAGACTTACGAGGGAGATCAGATCCGCCTCAGTTACCGGCGAAATGATGACCTCACCAGGCTTGAAGTGAGGGCGTTTCTCGTTAGATTCAGCCATGTCGAGTTGCTCTTGTCGTGAGAAGTTCAGAAGAGTGACACAGGGATGTCGGAAGAAGTCGTATCTGTAGAAGCAGATTAGAAGCAGACTAGAAGCTCAAGCGGCCAGAAGCGGCTTGAAAGCGAAGTGGAAGTAGTCGTCAGCTGACTGTGTTGATAGGAAGGAAGGAACTTCTAGGTCCTGATGTCGAGAAAATCAAGTCAAGTGCGGCTACAACAAACAACCTCGAACGTCACGCGGGCACTTTGTACCTCAATATATATCCATCTTGGTGTCACCCGAAACTGGCGAATGAGCCAACATGAGTCGAATTAGCGCCCGTTGCACTCGTGCAGGGGGACTCCACTATTTTCACCTTCTGCTTAGAGCAAGTCACCGTCACTTAACATGATACTACACCTTGAAACATTCTCATAAGCAGCCTTTGAAGGGATTGGAGAAGGGAGAACTGCGGACAAGACTGGGACACTGCGGGTAGCATGTGGGTAGCCGTTACTGACCTTCCGAATTGGTGCATGACTGGTTTTTAGCGAATGAGAGCAATGGCCTATTACGGCGTGCCTGAAGTAGCACATTGCAACGTGAAGATAGTCGCACTAGAAGACTCGGAGACCGAAGAGTATTATTTGCTACCGTACTCAGCCATGCATATTTCAGTATTCGGCAGAAAGATCTGGGATTATTGCAGCAAGAAGGACCTTCACCCATTTTCCAGACCCATAATAACTCCATGAACAGACCCTCTAATACTCCAAACCATGCTACCCGCTTTACGCAACCCCCTTACCAACAAGCACAAGCAACGCAATATTCATAACCACAATCACCGCCCAAATCACCACCGCAAAACTGGCCGTAATCCAATGATTCCGCATCTGCACATCCCGCGGACTGTCCCTCTCCGCATCCTCCCCACTCCCCTCATCAACCCCACCCGCTCCCACCGAAACCTTCATATACTGACTGCGACACGTGAACCAAATGAGCGGCGCACTAGTGAAGGGCAGAATCACACTCAGCGCAACCTGGCTGCCCTCCAGCGCCCGACTCAAGCCATGCCGCCCCACCGCGCCTGCAATGATGATGCTAGGCGTGATGCTGATGCTGCGCGTCATGAGGCGGCGCACCCAGGGCTTGACGGTCCAGTTGAGCTGGCCTTCTGAGACCATTTGCCCGGCGATGGTGCAGACGATGCCGGCGGAGGTGCCGGAGAGGAGCAATGCGAGGGCGAAGATGGTGCCGGCGGCGGGTGCGAGAGATTTGGAGAGCAGGTCGTGGATTGTGAAGAGGTCGGCGTTGTCTGAGCCATCGACATTGTATAGAGAAGCGCCGGCGACGATGAGAATGGCGCTGTTGACGAAGAGGGCGAATGTGAACAGTGAGACGGCGAGCTCGACGATGCTGTAGGTCATGCAGGAGCGAATTGCGGCAAGAGAGGGGCGGTATTTAGCGAATTCGGTATCGCGGTCGTCCCTAGTGGTGTCGTGAGATTCGGTGGTTCCTAGGTCGGAAAGATTGCCTTCATTTTTGTCGAAGTCGCGCAGGCGGGCTTGGACGATCCCAGATCCGAGATAGAGACTATGTGGCATGACGGTGGCACCAAGGATTCCGCATGACTGGAATAAGCTGATAGAGATTTAGCTACTGTATGGATATGAAGAGCGATTTTCTTACCCTTGGGATTCTACGATGGCTGAGGATGGCAGGTAGCCACGGAAGACTTCACCGACAGACGTATTTTCGATCAAGCTGAGTTGGAAACAGAAGCATATTACCACTCCGAGCACCAATGCCATTACAAAAAATTCGAAGGCGCGTAGAGCGCGTATCGAGCCAGAGGGTCGGTAAAAGAACAAGATTATGAGTACATCCACGATGGAAATGGCACAGCCAGCAACCAGGGGTATCTTCAGAAGGACGTTAAGAGCAATGGCAGTGCCAATGACCTGCACCTGAGGTTAGTAGGATGCTAAGCGCATAAATGAGAGAACACACCTCCGCCATATCAGTAGCAATGATCGCCGACTCCGCAAAAGCGTAGAGCACATAATTCAGCCAAGGCGGAAGATGAGCCCTACAATTCTCAGCGAGATTCATCCCCGTGACCGAGCCCAGCTTGATGCATAGCGACTGGAGGAAGATGGCGAAGATGTTGGACATGAGGATGATGAAGAGGAGCCTGAATCTATAGGAAGCTCCAGCAGCAACGTCCGTAGCATAGTTACCTAGAGAATCGTTAGCTTCGATCTTTCAATTACAGGAACCCAATCTTTCAGAAAAAGATCTGAGTGGCAAGAGCTTGATTTCCACTCGCACCATTCGTCGTGAAGCAGTCTCCAAAGAAAGGTGTCGCGGGACCCCAGACTCCGCAAAAAAAACCCCCACCGCCACTCACCAGGATCTATATAGGCCACCGCAACCATGAACCCCGGGCCGATGAAACTGAGATACTTCGCGCCAATATGCCATGCCTTCTTCCCAAATCTCACCATCGCCGGTGTTGGTCTCTTCCCCAAACCTCCATCTTTCCGTCCTCCATCACCACCCTCTGCAGCAGCAGCCAGAGTACCGTTCTCAGTAACCCCAGCCCCGCCCACCCCCTTCCCCTCCTCGCTCCCATTATTGTTCCCCTCATTATCATTATCCTTCCCCCCCTCCTCAATCTGTAGTTGCTGCAGCTCCCCCATCTCCGAACTATCCCGCCTCAGTCTCGCATTCGCCATTTCGCCCAAATCCGCCCTCGTCGTCGCATCAGCGTTCAGGGAATCGGGATTCTGATTCCAGCCATCCATATGCGCTGGATTGACGCGCGAAGGGCAATTCATGGTGTCGTATGTACGGGATCGGTCGTTTATAGGGAGGTCGTCGGCGGTGAACCGTGGTACTAGGCCATCCGTATTTAAATTCGGGCGAAGGGTCTACGTATAGTAGGAAAGTCAAATTGGACTCGAATCGGTGGGGTAGGGAGCTTTACATATAAGCTAAAGGTGATTTGCAGGCGTGGTCCCGGAGGAGTCGTAAGGTCTTGGACCCTGGTAGAACAAATAGCGGTCGCGGTTTCTCCCGAGCATCTAGACACGCTCAAAGTTTCGTAATGCCACCGGCTCTGTGCTTAACTTGGCCGCCTCTCCTCTCTCGTCAGCCGCCACCTGGGATATGATCCTGTGTCTGCTTGGCGCATGTCGGTGAACAGCTTGGCCGGGGGAAAACGCTGGCGGGGCTACCGTGTGAGTGCTGCGTTCTCAATTGCAGTCGTCAATGATGGGGCGGGCACTGACGACACTTTGTTCGGCATCTCGACTTCCGAGGTTCTTTGAGCCCGCGCCTGAATTAGAATCATAACCTTTGTCATGCGACAAGAGACCGAGAGTTGCGCTCAATGACTTGGCACATGAAGATTTGGATCAGGTTGGCACGGTTGGGTACAGCATTCATGCATTTGTCGAGTGAATAATAGCATTCAAAGCTTGGCACCCGGTCCCTTCACCGCCCACCTCATTTCAATTATTGCCTAGTCACGTGCCCGTCTTTCTTATTTTCAAGCAATCCTTCTTCCGCCGCCATTCCATACCCTTCCAATGGCTGACAACCTAAACTCAAGCAATGCGGACCACTCCCGTTAAGTCATGGTAAGTGCGGACTTCACTCCGAGAGGCGCGATGCCGGCCAGCGTGCCAATATCAACGCCATCCTGCTTCTCCTGATACACGAGCGCACCGACTATTTGGAAGTCGGGAAGCCGCGCAGCCTCGCGGACGACAATGCAGCTGACGTCTCCGGAACTAAACATCGCAATCTTGCATGGAGTATTTCGTCCAGCCATGATAAGTATGAGAGCTAGGATGTGATATGCAAGGCTGCTGAATCGAGGATGTTAAGTACATACTTGATCAGTAGCACGCTCCAGCTCAGGCCATGGCCCGTTGGTCTCTAGATTCAACTTGCACATGCCGAGGAACAGCTTTCGGTAGAGAATCTGCCCAGCTCTCCTGCCAATCTACTGTATGGGCCATCTTTCCATCGCAGGTAGCAACCTGGAAGCCAAAGTTGCCAGTGGGAGACTGGCTGTCTCTGTGCATGGCTGCTAGCCTTGCAGTGAACTCGTCGGGCGGCGGCGCCGTCGTTACATCCATATCCACAAACTCGGACAGGTAGAAGTACGTGGCAGGGTTCTCGACTTTGTACTTTCCAAAGCCGAAGGGCTCAGGAATGAAGTCAGGCATGAGCTTGTATATCTCCCTGGAAGATTCCCACTCGTCGTTGAACATGATTCGACCGTGTTCGCTATACGCTACCTGTAGCCTTCGTATTAGCTCTGGCTCTTCCACGATAGACTTGGGGGTACTTACTTTCAAGAAGTACGCCTTTTCAGTGCCGTCAGGTTCCAACGCCATGATTCTTCCAGTGATAGTCCAGGCGCTAGTGCCGAAATCCTCTACGGAGAGGAATTTTCGTCCCTCGGGCAAGGCTGAGAACAATGTCAGTAGCTTTCAGTTGTGATGTACCCTTGGATGAAGTTTACCTTCGATCACGGCTTCGTCCATGGGGAACACTCCGTCAAGCTTCGCAAATATTTCCTTACTTGTACTGATCGGAATCACCACCTATGTCGTTGCATGAATGGGCCCGCTATGGTGCAGTCCAACGAGTTATGACTCAAAGCTGCAAGAGGACCGGGCACGAGGACCTTGTTTCATACCCTCCACCTCTCTCCTACCTCTTGAATATTTGAAGGGATGAACATCATTCCCCTTCTCTACAACTATGACTGACCACCAGGAAATATCGCCGACGCAAGATACCGGTACAAAGGCTGCACCAACAGACAAGATTGAAAGCTCACAATCTAGCGAAACGTCCTCTCCAGGAGAAGAGCAGTACTCCGTATTCTCAGACGGCATACGCACCTACTTAGCCTACCTCCTCGGCTACATCATGACCATCTCAACCCTCACAGCCACGATCTACTTCCGGCTGATACCAATGCTTAGCAAACACTTTTCCGTCTCTGTTCAAGCTATCAATTTGACAGTAACCGTATACGCCGTCTACCAGGCAATATCTCCTGGGATCTTTGCGGTTTTAGCGGATATGTACGGCCGTCGTCCTGTTCTCCTAGCTTTGATTACCATGTATGCGTGCGCGAGTTTGGGCCTCGCCTTGAACCGCAGTAGCCACGCCGCGTTGATGTCTCTCCGCGCACTGCAGAGTATCAGCGGCCCTGCCACTCCGCCAATTGCGTACGGCATCGTTGCTGATGTCGCCATTGTATCTGCTCGCGGAAAGATGCTGGGTCCTATGCTGTCAACGTGCAACGCCATATCGGCTGTGGGACCAGTCACTGCGGGAGCGATTGCTTTGAGCACCAACGGGTATACTTGGGCCCTCTTGTCATTGCCGGTGGTGGCCCTGATTTGCCTCTTCCTGGTTGGGGTTGGACACTCCCGGAGACGGCTCGCAGCGTCGTCGGCAACGGACCAAAGCCAGTTCATGGAATAGTTATGGCGAACTTGGGCGTCCAATTTACATGGCGCGAGAAACGACGAAGCTCCACAGCAAACCGCGACTACAATCGGGGCATCATTTGAGAAAATCAACCCGGGACCTGTTAAGTGTCTTCGGCTCTCTTCGAAATTATCCTATACCCAGATGCCGCCATAATACTTTTGGATGGTAGCCTCATCATACTCCATCTATTGCATGTTCCAGGTTGCTATCCCAGTAATATTCGAAGAAACATATGGGCATAACGAATTGAAGATTGGTCTCGTTTTCCTATCAGCCCTAGCCGGTATGACCGTTGGAGGCATCATCGCTAGCAAGCGCATCGACAAGAACTACGCCAAAGCAGCACGCAAACACAATATCGATATCAGCGATAAAGGAAGGGCAAACTTGGGCAATTTCCCGATAGAGCGAGCCAGATATCGAAAAAATTATCCCTTTCGTAATGCTCGAAATCGTGCTAGTAGTAGGGTATGGATGGGCAGTTCAAAGACGCGCTCATCCTTCGGTTCCAACCATCCTGCAGTTTTTCATCTGCGCATGTTCTACTCTTTTGAGCCATACAGCTAGTGCTCTGCTCGTTGATGTGTTTCCAGACGCGCCGAGCACTGCGTATGCCGCGGGCCAGATCATGAGATGCGGGCTGAGTGCGGCTTCGGCGGCGGTTATTGAACCTTTGGTGCATGCGGTGGGACGAGGGTGGTTTTTTACAATCTTTTCCTTGTTCACGGGAGTTGGCTGCATTGCTTGTGTACTAATTAGTCGTTGGAAGGGTATGGGATGGCGGCAAAAGAGGATTGCGCGACCATGCTTGAGATCGAGAAATATGCAGAGCAGAGACGAGAAAGTCTAGGCAAGAGTGAGGTTAGGTGGGCGGTGTAGGAGAGTGGTTCAGCAGCGGCTCAGTGGAGTATGTATTGCATTAGTTGATGAGCGAGGGAGGAAGCTAGCTATAACGAAAGGATAGACATACGGGTTTGTGCTGACCAAGCCAATATTTTGCACCACGACAAATGTTGTTGACGAAAACACCTCACATCTACCAATGAAAAAGCGGTGTGCACATCTCTAGTTGAATGATGCAGGGCCAGTCTAATTAGATCAGTCTCGAGGTAAGAGAGCTTGCGTATAGTCTTGGTATTCAAAAACCTTCTAGATAGGGTAGCTCTTCACGCAAGATATACCATCCTCTTGGAATATTGGCAGTACCTTGCTTTCCATTCATCGCAGTTCGTCAGTCATGGTCTCCTCTCCACTACTCCCAACCAACGACTCTCTGCTTCGCTCGCTCCCACAACCAAAAACTGCTACATCCCTCAATCATATAAGAGAAAAGCTAACAGTCAAAAAACATCCCTCGTCGCCCGAACCCGAAACGAAGGGGAAAAAGGCCTTCGCTCGGCCGCAATGCCTTTTGGATTCTGTTCTCGCCGAGAACATCTTGTCCCGGACTGATGGAATCGTGATCCAGCGATATTCAGGTGTATAATTTCCCAAATGCGCCGGTTGGGTTCCACCCACATGAAGAAGTGAACAACACCCGTGTCAAATAATCCTGTAAACGGAAGAAAACCCCTGGCCTTTGAAATAAAAACACCATCCATGCGCCGTGTAATGGTAGATGATGAAGACTCCCCGGAAAACCTCGAATAAGTAGAGGTAAGTAGGTAATCGCAGATAGGATCCCGGTCCGATCCAACGCCGAGGAAAATGCCCACGCCGCCAGCTAGCGGGCCATGCCGGAAGCCAAATTTTTGTTGTCACAATCGTCTCAACGTTGACAGAAGAGCTCGATCTCTCCTAATTGTCCCGCCATGATCTGATCCCGCTGCTGCTCTTTCCATGTCTCAAACGCCGTCTGGACGTCCTCGTCGGATTGTATGCTGACATAGTCGTCCTCATCGAGGTACTTCAGCTTGACTTGGCCTGCACTGAGTGACACGTTGGTGGACCGCTGAAGCTTCGCATCGATTCGGTCCTTCAGCGACTGGAAACTAATATTTGTGCTCACGACTAGAGTCATAGTGCTTCCCGCTGACGGGCAATGCACCTTGACTTTCAGTTGCGATGGAATTTGGACATCTTGTGATTGAGGCAGAGGGGGGGACATCGTTCGCGAATCCACAGAGGCTGGTGTCATGGTCCGGTCAAACGAAGACGCGGGGGTCATGGTCCGGGGCATTGGAACGTGCCTCGGATCATACCGATTGGAACCATTAGAAGGCTCCATCTCTGTTTGGGAACGTGGCTGCTGTGGGAAGCGTTCTCGTGCGATGTTCGGCGACTGTGTGGCAGCTCGTTGCGGTTGCGGCATACTATTTGGAGAGTTGTTCTGACTTCGGTTGACGATTCCAGGTGCATATGCGTAGTGGGTTGGGAACGGTGGAAGTTCTGGAACAGGAGGCTGTTGCCCATTTTGGCGTTGACCTTGTCTGAGAGGATTATGGATATCAGGACTGCTCGCCGACCTCATTCTGTTCTGCGCTATAACCGCGCTGTGCTGTGAGCCTGCATTGGGAGGTAAAGAGGGTCTCTGCATAGCATTGTTACGACCTCCTGGGTAGGCACCGGGACCCATGGATCCCTCTCGAGACATTTGTCGTGCCATTGCTGGTGCAGTGAAGCGGTTGCTATCTTCCCCGTGCCAGGCATTGGGAGGCGCTTGTTGGCGAGGGAACGGGAACATGCCGGCCGAGGATGAGCTTGTTCGGGATGATATTGGCGAATCAACAGTGGGCGAGAAGAACGATTCTGGATGCGTTCCAGGTGTAGTAGCACCAGCGAGCTGCTGAGTTCGAAGGGTTAGCGCAGGTTGGGACTCATAACCCATTGGGAACCTAGGTGGAGGTACCCTCGGATCTGCCTCCGCCATTGGAGGACCGCTATCACCAGTTGTTGACCTGGATCGCAGGCTGACACTGGAACCATTGGACCTGATGGCATAGCCTTCTTGAGTGGCTGGAGTAGCGGCACCATGGTCCTCGGGCTCCTCTTCGTCATCCTCTTCCTCTTCCGCGTAAGGATTTACGAGGTTCGGCTGATTCTGCATGAACGTGAACTCAGTCGCAGAGGCGCTTGTGTTCGTTCTACTGCTGCTCCTGGCGTGGTCTCTCCACACTCGCCGTTGTCCGTCGACTTGAGCGGCCCACTTCTTCATGGTCTCTTCGGATTGAAACCTGATGACGAAATTCTCGATTCCAGGATCTCCCTTCCAGAATATCTGGCAGGTGTATGAGCCTAGGACGAGCCGTTAGTGTGCTGATCACTTGAAGGAGGAGGGGTTTGTGCGTACCTGGTTTTGATATCGAGATAGTTTCTGTGACGTTTTGCATAAAAATCCGACCTTTCAATTGCAATTTAGCTTTGCCTTTGCTATTTGTTAGAGACTTGTTCGTGATGCGATTCTTCTGTTTGTTAGGATTTTGTTCCTTGCAACAAAGAAGGATCATCTCGAAAAGATAAATCTTATACTATAAGCACCAAGTCAGCGGGAGCTTTGGCATTGGAGTTCGTATGGCAGTACCTCTCGTTCCTCATTCTTCGTGCTTATACTCTCGCCTTTTAGCACGGTGAAGGTACCGTAAAGCAATAGTTCTCCGAAGCCTTCAATACGATGGCCTTTCCAGTCCTCGACAAGGGTTCTGAGCTCTTCAACCGCCTCAAGCCGCTCTTCACGATCAATAGCTGCATTCGTCCGCTGGAGCACTGATGATGCTGCTTCGATTCCATTTGAGATATCCTGTTTCCGAGAATCATCGAGATCGCCTTTGTCGCGCAATTCCTGTTTACGTGAGCAAGTGCACGCTGAATGTGATTGGGAAGCCACGTACCTTGAGCAGTAGAGGATATTTGGCTAGTCGCTGGAAAGGCTTCAAAAGGAAAGATGTTAGAACAGTGCTCGACTCGACCATCTGACGCAGTTCATCCGAACCACCGGTGTCTTTTAGTTTGACGAACTCCCGAGTGGCCGTATCCTCGCATTTCTTCTGATTTGCGATATAAGGCTCATACACCTTGAAAGCGTCTTTGTACAGGACAAAAAGCTTTCCCCAGTTCTGTTCTTCCTCGGGCTGTGCGTTCGTCTGTTCCACGCGGATGAGGAACCGTCGTTGGAAGTCCAGCAGGGCGTTTAGATTCAGGAAGATGTCGTGAATGCAGTCACCAGTGACGATTCCTCGCCTCTCAACCTCCGTCTTGAAAGCCTGCAGCAGCTCAAGATGCTGCACGTATGTTCGCTCGGTCTTGACCATTTCATCCACAATATGTTGCCGCTGGGTGCGCTTCACGCCCGGTGCGTTTGATTCATCAAAGCGTTCCTCCTCCTCGCTTATCACATTGCACTGGACTAGGATGTCGAGAACGCGGTTGACAACTTTGGCGACCTAGTAGAGTGTCAGTTGAAGCAAGTTGAGTGGCTTTGGGTGTATATAGGGAACACCTTCGAAGAAAAAATACGCCAAAGAAAATCTCATCTTACCTTTACAAATCCAGTCGTGTCGTCACCGTATAGGTCGGTAATGATGAAGCACTCAGCTGCCGGGAACTTGAACTCATTCATGCAAGCTTGAATGAACTTGAAAGTGGCAGCTTGTGGTCGTTTCTTTTCCGGAATCCTGCCTTCGTCCACCACCAGAGGGCTTCCCGGGTTAAGGGCATTGTAGATGTCCATCAAAGGATAACCCCGTCTGAACGTCCGCCAGAGGATAGTAACGGGATCTGTGTCGTCGTCGGCATCTGCAGTCTCGTCCACCAGCCAGTGGCCGAAGCCAGGAACCTTCCTCAGACGTGTCTGCAAGTTGAGGCAGATCTGGAAAAGCGAGGTATCCTTGTCGGCCCGCCTGTTGAGGACACTGTCGGAGGCCTCGATTGGGCCGCCATTGTTGACGGGCGTCGCGGTCGGGAAGGGGGGATTGAAGAGGGTCGAGGTCGAGGTGGCAGCGCTGGACTGAGTGTCCCGGGCGGTGCTGTGGGACCAGTTGGAGTACTGGCTGGCGTAGCTCTGGTGGCTTTGGGTATGCATGAGGGGTGACGGGCCGCTGGCCGAGTTCAAGCGAGAGTGCGTCGTGGGCGCCGCGTGAGAGGTATGAGCGCGCGCAAGTCCAGAATGCAGGGCGACCTCCATCCTAGCAGTTCATTCTCCGTCGCTGTTCACGACAGAGCTGGGGACGTGGTGGCGCCCTGGGGTCCTGGGGTCTGGGAAGCGCTTCGAGGGTGGTCGGGATCGGGTCCGGCGCTGGCACTTGCGGGGCGGCGCAGGAGCGTGATGGGGCGTCACAACGCGATGGGATGCGGTGGGCAGCAGCGGCGGGAGTCTTTCAGGGCGTGAAGAGGCGGCGAGAGGAGCAGTGGTGGGGATAGAGGTGGTAGTGGACGTTGTCGGCGATTAGGGGGACGTTTCAAATCCTCGCTCGCGCGCTAGTGTCGGCGTGGCCCCCAAGACAATCCTGCCACCACCCTGCAGTGCGCGATGCGGTGATGGGCGATGTCGCTGCTCGGGATGCAGCCGCCAGTGTGATTTCCTGCGGCCGCAAAGCGAGCCTCCCGCCGCGTGATAACGTCAGGTGCCCGCGCTGTCGAGGCTCCACGGGCAGCACGAAGCGTTGGCGGCTCGCGGTCCCCACAAAAACAACGTGAAGGTCAAAGGCCCGGTGTCAGGGTCCCCAGCACACGCCTAGCACGACTGTGCAGCCAACGGTCGAGCCTGCGGGCCACGGCCGACGGAACGCGTCGAACCATGGACCGCGCTCACGGCTTCAGCGACTCCGCCGCCGAGCGCCCTCGTCGCCATGTTCTGCATCCTCGACGGGCGGTGGCAGTAATGTTTCTTTGTTTGGGCAGCGCACCCAACTGGGCTGCTGCATAGACTTCGCCGCCAAGTTCCATCCTCTCGCCGAGTCTATTATAGCTCTTGGCGACGACATCAAACTGGGCACGCAGTCGCAGCGAGAATCCCGACGAGGCCTGATCTTCCTGGTGTTGCACCTCGAAATATGGGGTGATATCTTGATAATCGCTCAGAGCCGCAGATCATCGTCGAGCAGTCTTTTTCAGCGGCCCTAAAGTGGCAAATCCCGTTCACTGAAACATTCAGCAAACTCGAATATGCAGGGCACTCGCGTGCTGTATCCGCAAGCCTATAATGTCCGCAAGCAGAGGCCTTACTGACTATCCAGCGTTTGACTAAGGCCGCTAGTTATCATCAGTAAAAAGCTTGAGCGACTCATGCGACTACGTCACGTGATGAAACTCTGCCTCCCGACCATCCGAAGCTAGACAACTACCGATGAAAATATGACGTCCGAAAGTGCCCAGACGTTAGCTTGTACCCAACTATCCGGCAAATCAATAGAGACAGACACTCAATAGATGCCAAAACCCAATAGGTGCCTAACGTCCATTCAGGCATCTTTCCGAGCAGAAGTCGCATGTCTAGCGCTAGCGCAGCACTACTCGTTAGTCTAGATCTGGGCATACGATTTATCGTACCATGCTTGGCAGATTGTTGCTGTTGTTAGGAGCACCTCCAATAGCTAGGCGATGAAGATCCTTTTCTAGCTTCTTTTTACTAGCTCAGATCCCTCAATATCAAGCTTCACATCCGGTCCAGATTTTTGCAAGAGTCCGTAGCGGCTGTAGTAAATGAGGATGTACAGACTCAAGCGCCGGTAGTGATAATTCTCGTCCCCATGACCTCAGTCTATCTACTTGCCCACGGCATCCCGTCTCGGCTCATACGCCGGCAGACTCCCCATCTCCTGCCTCCACCGCTCCCTCCTCGTCTCCACCGTAAGCACCACGAAGAAACTAGCCGCTAATGCGTCCATGAAGGCATGAGCGTCGCGATCAACGCTCACAAATTGTGGAACCACCTGCTGGAAGTCTAGGTACGCGAGCTTCGCCTCCACCGTCCGCGGATCCGCCTGTTCGCCCGTTGGACGTCCGCTAGGGTCGAGGCCCCACGCTGGCCGTTTGGCGTAGATGATGCCACGCTGATCCGCGAGCTCCTCGAGCGTGCGCCACGACTCGGCCGTGTATAGAAAGGCGAGGGGTATCTCGGTCGTAGAGCCGTCGCTAATGTTTGGGCGGCGGTAGTAGAGGCCGTAGCAGTCTCCAATATCGCCAATCGAGCTTCGATCACCGTAGCTAAGCGAGTATTGCTCACCCTTACTATGAAGAATTGCGACGCAGCGCACACCGGGCACGTCGAGGTCCAACTTTGGCTGGATGTCTGCGGTGCAGGCCGGGCTGTAGACAGCTGTCACGGGATGCCGGCGTGTTACGACTAGTGTATTGAACTCGTCGGTCGAGGTCGTGCTGGGGTTGGTGTTGAGAGCGTAGTACGGTGCACCTTGCGCCGGTCCTAGGGTTAGGCGTTCGGCGATAGGCTGGATGTGCGTGAGGGTTGCGCGGAAGAGGTTCAGTACTAGCATAGGATCCTCTACTGGTATAGGTCCGGCATACTCCCCCGCCGCGATGGCATGGAAGTATTCAAGGTCGCAATTCAGAGAAGGACTGGCATAGGTGTCGCGGGTGACCGGTGCGCGAGGGGTTGGTAGGCTAGAGTTGGGGATGTAAGGAGGCGGAACGAAGTTAGCAGCGAACGCGCCTGTACGTTGAGGCGCGGTGCTTGTGAGCGTAATTATTGTTTTTGATTTACGGACGGGCATCTCGGAAGTTGGAAGCCCCTTGGGCGCCTGTATTATTCCTAGATAAAGGCTGATTGACAATAACGTGATAGAGAAGAGAGTGTAGGTCTATGAAGCGTGTTGTCTCGAACTGTGAGTAAGGATAAGAGAATGAAGAAAAGTTGAACAGAACAGACGAATGAGAACTGAGGGGTGAGAACACACCCTCACCAATGACGGCCAGCCAGGATGGGGATGAGTGCATAACACATGGCTCTATCGATATGTTCCCATTGGTTGGTTGCTACCGGAGAACAAATGCCCGAAGGTGCCTCCAAAGCCTGATGGCGCAGGAGCTGAAGTGCGTCCCGAGAACTTCTCAGCTGCAGCCCATTCCGTATTGTGGCTTTGGTGTTGAATCTTGAAAGGGGAACCGGAAACGAGAAATTCAGGGTTGACCATTGGCGCTAAGAGTGTCTGGGAATAGCGTCATGTGGAGGGCCAACTCCATGCAAGCCTCTTCTCCACGTTTATTAGGGAACTCTGGCCTCCCACGAACATTGTCGAGAGGTCTAATTCCCAGGATCGAGAAGCGCTAATGTTAAGTGAGGGGCCAGTACAGAGGAAGACATCTTCATAGAATTCGGAACAACTTCAGTCGCGACTCATGCAAAAAGGCCGGAGAAGCCAACTTTGGAATCCGGAGAGACCCCACGCAAGGCTGGGAAAGAGGCTTGCGAAACCAGGTCGTCTTATTGGTCTCGAACGCCCATTCCCGACACGCTCGCGTGTCCAGGATGTCGAGAGATGCTGGCAAAAGTCTGCCTCGTATGTACGACCACTCACGGCCGCCAGAGGACTCGAAACGACGCCATAGATTCAATCCAGGCGCTCCGAGGCGTATTGAACGCTGTTCTCGCCCATTCACGAGACAGCCCCGAAGCTCAGGGCCGAACCTCGTGCGCAGCCTGACCGGTTCGCATCTACCTATATCATAATGTTTCCTATGTCGCGCGCCCGGCAGGTCCAGCCTTACCCTTCCATGTCTCACTTTCCTTTCATATTCATACAACAGTGATGCAGGCAAGGGAGGAGATTTCTATTAGTGCCGCTGGACTAGATGGCTACCATGCCAATGTAGATTACCCTCTTCGCGCCGCTACTGGTCAGTATATTTCCTAGGACCACTGGCGCTATCATTAAGCTCTCTCAATCTGCACGCAAACTCCTACACGTCGCCCTGAAATTCTGTGCCTATTTTAAGAGTTCAATCACAAGACCGAGGAAGCTGATTGTGTGTGCAGCCGAATATGGGCGCCGAGGAGCTGATGGACGATCCGCAAGCGTACCGTCGAGTGGGATGCCCGGCGGGGATATACGAGTGCGACTTAGCTATGCTCCGGAAAAGCAGAACAGCGTCCAAGTTGGGGGGGAAGGGACCCTCAATGGTACCAGATGGGAAGTAAGACGGGATCAAAACCTCTTCCTAAATGTTAAGGGCGGTGATGGCGGCAATGGGGGTCGAGGAGAGAATGGGCAGCAAGGCGGCCAAGGTTCAAGAGGACTTGATGCCACCAAACACTCGGATGCGACGGTTAGTACTTTCGATTTATTGAATCTACGTAAGCTAATGCGTGATTCGTAGCCCGGAGGACCAGGTGCGCCTGGTGGAAAGTACAAACACACCACCTCTTTCCATGACGCTGTGGAGTCTAATAATTTTGCAGTGGCGGCTACGGGACTGACGGGGCCAATGGCGCGGACGCTGGAAACATCTTTATAACAGTGGCAGAAGATGACCTTGACACCTTGTCTTCAGTATTCTGGGAACTGAACGGTGGCAAGGGCGGCTTCAGTGGTACCCATGGGCAGCCCGGAGAGGGTGGCGTTGGCGGTCAAGGAGGCCGTGGAGGCAGATGGTAAGCTACTGCGCATCTTACACTTCTCGACGCTAACAATACATACAGGGACGATCGAGTGGGCGACCACACTAGAACTATAACACGAGGAAATGCTGCTTCTGGCCCTCAGGGCCCACCTGGGATGCCTCCTGCTACCTACCTCTCAGGCGGACAAAGTGGAAGGACAGGGTCTTCCCAAGTCAGAGTGATCAAGCGAGACCTTACCGAGGCGACATATCCCAAGCGATACATGTTGAAGGTAGTGAGCTTCGATGTAGTGGACGAGAACGAAGACGCCATAAACGAGCCTGGAGAGCACATCTATATTAGAAATCTCATCGTCGAGAACTTTGGTATAGTTTACGCGGTACACCCTCAAGGGTTCCAAGCGCTTACAGCCTTCCAGGTGGAATGCCTTCGCCGAAATATAACCCCATCAAGATTGCTGTTCATGGTTCGGAATGGCTTGAGCCCGTAACAGCTACGTTTTTACCGGAGGAGATTCAGGTGGGAGCACGCGTGAAGGTTCCGGGTGAAATCAAGGCTCTGATCAAGAACGAAACGGCCAATAGAGCACCCAGCTCCAGTCTTTTCATACATCACGAGGTTTCTCTAATTGCGTCATTTGAGCGATTGGAGAGGGCTCTACCCGAGTTCCATGTAGGAGGCGGAGCTCCCATTCAAATCCAGTACCCGCTTCAACTGTCACCTCCAAGACATCTTGACTGTGTGGCGAAGGGCGATAACGTCAGGTTCTCGTGGACAGTGAGTTAGCCTACATGTTCAATCATGCCTGTGCTGACAGGCGACCTAGCTGAAAAACATCTCCACAAAGCCCTATGGAGTCCAAACGCAACATGGACGCTACGCAGCTACCCGGCTGACTGATCCTGATAGCGTCTTCAACCTGAAATATGCTAGTGGAGAGAGTTCTGCAGATGACGTGATCGATGAGCTTCTTCCAGGTGCTGAGGTTCCCATTGACCAGGACTTGATGGTTTCCAGTTCGGCTATGGAGTACAGCGACAGTGTCCTTACGCTCGACCTAATGCTCTCTGACCCCTCTAAGGTTCAGAAAGGCACGCCATCGGTCCTTTCAGCCCGATCGGTAATGACACACTTGATCAAAATGCAAATCTCCGGCATATACCAGTACAATCCCAGATCAAGATACTTGCTGGTGGTCAATTCCGGAACGCCCAATAAGGCCATCCACCAGATCATCAAGTTCATTCGGACTGGGCTTCAGCTCGATGTGGATATATACAACATCAGTTTGACTGGGTCTTTCATCGATCCGGAGACCAATACTAATGTACTCAGCCGATACGAAGGCAAGAGCATTATCATCTACGGGAATTCTCTTCCATATTTCCGCGCGGGCAATAGGAACCCATGGGATCTTATGGATGCTTGGGAAGTGTGCCGACTTGCTAAGGCTGGAACGAATTTCCTGTTTGCGAGTGCTACAGACCCCAACAGCCTTCACCAGTGGGGCTCGGTATTAGCTTTCCCTACTCCAAGCACTGCTACTCCATCAAGCATCAATGCTGAAAACCTTGCGAGCTTGCTTGAAAATCTGAAGCCTGGCAAATCGGCTCCGGACAATACGCATACATACCACAAATTTACGGCGAAAATGAATCCGGCCTTTGGATGTTTCAGCAATCTAGAGAGCACTCTGCTGAAGAACTCGCACGCTGCGGCCAAGAAACTTAACAAAGCTTATCCCCTTCGTCGATATATAGCCAGGCCGGATCTTGTTACGGATGCCAAAAAGTCTTCCGGGTCTGTCATCGTCTCTGAAGGATTATCGAAATCCGCGAACATCCTGGCATCAAAACTCCCACATCCTGAGCTCGAGTGGATTACAGAGTATCACATGTACACGATTGTCTCATGTTTACCGTTCAGCGATCAAGCGCGCATTTTCTGGAATCTTGTAGGCCAGTGGGACAAGCAAGGGCTCCCATCGACAACAGTCTACAATGGACTTCCCCATCTTCTAGAGTCCAAGCCTATCGACCTCCCGGTGTATGCCATCAACGAAAAGGTTTGAAAACACTAATGCCTCGAGTTGCTCTCTCGAAACGCAACAGCTAATGCCTCTATCATAGGTCTTCACCGCGATTTGCATGTCGATCGAATTCAAGATTGGCACGGAAATCACCAGATACTGTGACAAGCCGTCGTGGCCTTCTCCAATATCTGCCGCGGACATAATGGCCCATCTCCCACTCCTATCTCAGCTCTTCACAGTAACACCTCCATCTACCCTTTTATCCTCGACCGAGCGCTCCGAATTCCTCGTCAGCACCCTAGGCACAATCGCCGGAGCCCTCCGGCCCATCGGCTTTAGTCAAGGCTGGAATAACATCTTCGGCATCAAGATTCGCAAAAGTCAGGTCCGGTCTCAAACCACGCAATCCATGAATCTCGCGCTCAGCCGCATATTCGCCCCAGATGCCCTCTCGACTGTGCAGAAGTCGATCCAGACAGCAGCCAAAGACACGAAGCAAGCCATCAAGAAGTCCAAGCAACCAGACAACAACCTCAGCCTAGTCTTGCGCTCGAAGTTTGACGCCTTCACCAATACGACTGGTGCGGTACCGGATGACTTGACAGAGGGCACGGCAACGAACTACACTATCTCTCAGGGCTGGTCGAGGAACGATTTATTGACGCATCGACAGAAGCATGCTGGACGGCATAACAAGATAGTTGCAGATGAGGCACACAGCAGGAACGTCATTGCTGAGCATCTCAACCCCGAGGATGAAGACGAGGATGAAGATGGGGATGAAGACGAGATTCGGCGTCATGAAGTGCCACCTTCGACTCAGACAGGAGCGGCCTATCACGAAAAGGCCCAGCAGGCATTTGTCGAACAGGTCATGGCACAGTCCTCGAATGCGCTCTCTCCAACGTCCCCAGTGGAGATGCCAACGCCTGCCTTCAGCCCAGTCTCTCCGGTGACTCCAGCTGAGCTGCCGAGCTTTGACCCGGACAAGATTAGCACTATCGTCACTGTCGCGCCTGCCGAGCTTCCGGCTTCACAGAACGAGAAGCTTGCCGCTCAACCTACGGTGACAGCCGTGGAGCTTCAAGCAAACTAAGCTCAAAGATCTGAGAGGCTTGATTGAATAGTCTAGGACGCGATATGAAGACTCTACTTCTTGAGTATTTGTATTTATGTATTTCGCCTTTGCCGTTCGAAGCTTGTACTAAGCTGAAGCCTTTTACTTTGTCAAATTTCAGTAGCATCTGCTCAAGTGCATCTCTTCCTACATATGAAATCTCGTTTGTTATCGATCAACTTTAAACAAGTAGCTTGATTTCATAGCTAATTAACTTCGGAAATTCCAAGTCCGAAAACCCCTCGAAGTGCCTCCGCCACCGTGAAAGCCATCAAATTACCACGTCCCAAGGTCCGAAGCTCCATTTGCACCAACTTTTCACATGTAATTTCCACGACCCACTAGATCATGCAATAGGAAAAGGTCAAATTACAGAGTCATGAGATGTATAAATGGGAGCCAGCCCGTGCAATTTGGACTCGTTTTTGGCATATTATTGCCGGACACCCTACATTAGGCCATACCAAAAGGGTGGATCACACGACTTCAAAAAGTATGAACGGGAGTCAGTCCGCTTTTTAGACCTTACGTCAACTAACTCTAACTAGCAAGCTGATTTAGCGTCTCTGGCTTCCGACATTCTTCTGAAGCATATTTCTAACGCCATCTCAAGATGTAAGATCGGGTATCTCACATCTCTCATACCCGCCTAGCATACGCCTTGACAACACCCATTCCACCCCGCAGCCGTCCCGCTACTATCCCCATACTCCACCGCCCCAAACGCTCCATCATATGCTGACCCAATCAATTCGTCGACCTCTCATATATATCGCCCCTCAGCTTCCCACTAATCTTCTTGCCCCTTATCCCCGCCGCCGCCTCAAATACCAAATCGGCGAACCGCTTCAGGGTCCCGCTCAATAACTAACTCCCCGAAACACAACCACCCTATAGCCCATGTAGCGCCAGCTCCCAGGCCGGGCCCACGCACCTTGAGAAGATATGAATGGTGAGTTCTTGGTACGATCATACCACGAGAGTTTTCGCATGAAGCTCTTTTTGATAGACAATTGCGAGTTTAAAAGTGGGAGTCAAGGATGCGAGTCGTTGGAGGTTGATAAAGTAGGCAAGGAATTAGACTAGCCTATTCTGAGGCTAGTACGAGCGTGAACCGTACCCTTGTAGGACTACTCACCGAATTTGGAGGATTGTTTTCGCACGGGAGCAGATATTACATTCAGGAGGCGACATGGCTTGCAATCGCAAGATCGTTTTCAAAGCTACCATTCGCGACTTTTCCCTCGTTCTATCTGGTCTACTTCGTCGCCTCGCCTATCAGAGCCGTCCCGCGCAACCGATAGCGCATCCATCGGTGGGCCCTTCAGCTCTCAATGCACTTAGGGAATGTAGCCGCTTTAGGGATAGTTTCACCGTCGAGAACTCGATTTGTATGGTCCATTCCTCGACGCTACTCCGCGAATTCAAGCAAGGGATGCCCGATGGTATATACTATGTAATGGATGTACATGCTTGCACTCCTTCCTTTGAGTCATTTGAACTTGAATTTAAAGAGCACCGCATCGCCAGGGAATCGGAACTCCAAAGTCGTCTGCTACCCTCATCGCAGAGACGACGCATCCTTCTAGTAATACCATGCCATCCCAACACCAACCACCAGCGAGCCAGACGCCTCCGTCGCCGTTCTTCCAGCCTAGTCTCTCTTTCTCCGACTGTGGCGCTGAATAGTGTTTACTGAAGATATTGTTTACGATTCTTCTACTCCTCGGATTGCGCAGCACTCGAGTGAAAGTCGACGACTGGATGATCCGATCGGGATCTATGGAGCTGAACGGACACGTTGTGACAATTGCTCCTGAGGGTTGCACGTGTACAGATTCGGTGATGTGGGATTCAGCGGTGCTCGTCCGGAGGTGTATTATTTGAGCATCAGACCGCTTAAACCCTCTAGAGATCTCCTGGATTGGCTCACCGAGGGTGGTTTCGTCGGTGTGTATGACGCTCTCCACCACTGCGGTAGGAATCGGCTCCATTTCATATCTCAATGGTCGAAATATCTTTCCTACAATATCTGGAGACACTGCCAGGATCACCCTGTCAAACCTCTCCTGAACTAGCTCTTTATCGTTTTCATGATCAAGGCTTCTCCAGGTAACCTGGATAACGCCATCTTCAGCATCTATGGCTTCTACCACAGCAGCTAGACGTGCGTTTACGTCTTTCACTAGCTTATTCTGGACCGAGCAAACTCCATTGGAGACAGTGTAGTGTTGCGCTCTATGAGTTAGCCGCTTGTACTCGAGCACGTCGGAGGCAGGAAATGCTAGAAGAGTCTCGTGCGGACAGGTCGAGACACCCGACATCAGCGGCAGAAGGTAGTGAGACACAAAGTAGGGCGCCATCCGGATCCTCTTCAAGTACTGGTCGATCGTTTCGCATTCCTGCGTCTCATTGGCCGGGTATGGTCGTACGAAGAAGCAGCAGAGAGAAAACCAAGTGTACCACAGCATCAGATAAACGATCTCTATCAGATGTGACGTGGTCCCGATTGCATTTGGTTTCACCGGAGGAACGCGGTGGTTATTGGATGAGTGTATAAAGTATGAATTTCCAGCTTTCTTCTCCGCTGACCCTGGATCCCGTGTATTGACCTTCGAGAAGTCGAATAGGAACGGCTGGGCGTGGTATAAGACCCCGAGGTGGTCATACATTGCCCTTAGGTTGTGGTAGTAGCCGCCGGCGAATGCGCGCATAGGAAGGTCAACTCGGTCTACACGCTTGGAATCTGGACTTTGGACGGAGAGTGAGGCCGAATCGAGGGAGAGGACTTTGCCCTAAGGCCTGTTAACACTGGTATTGAAAATAGACGGCCTGGGCAACGAACCGCTTCAAACAAAGTAACGGCATACTGCTGGCGAGGGTCTTGATTCAACAAATACGCGGTAACGAGGCCCGCCATGCCCGAGCCGACAATGGCAACTCGAAGCTGCTTCTGCTTCTGCTTCTCCATTCTGAACGCCAGGTCGTGGGTATCGAGGGTATCAAAGCGCAATTGAATTGAAGAACTATGAGGAATGATACGAAGGCATGGCGCAATAAGTATGGGATCGCAAAACTGAAGGCTTGGAACGCGCAACGCAAACGAAAGCAAGGCACCGGCTGGTCACAGGTTACGGACGAAAGTGTCGAGAGGCACAGCATTAGAAGACGGAGATAAACGAGGCGCGAAAGTCACCAACCAGCCCCCACCCCCAAGACCACCCCACCTGGAAGGGCTCCGCTTCGGTGCATCGTTGAGCGTCCGAGATATCCGACGCCGACCTCACCTTTATCAGTCAAAGAGGCGAATGGGTCTGCCGGAAGAGCTGCACAGGACATGGAAGTACTGAGGGTTGCTGTTGTTGGCGCCGGGTCAGTTCAGTCATCAGAAACTTCATCCTAGACTAAGCTGAAAGCTGACACGATAAAGGCCGGGAGGTCTGGTCACGTTGAAGACTCTGTTAGAAGCCTCAACTCCAGAGAGACCAATTGAAGCTCGTCTTTTTGAAGCGTGAGTGCTGAGCTTTTCTTGTTCCAAGGCCATGACAAGGCTTCATCTTGGCGACTCTGTTTACTCCGTCCAAGTCATCAATTACTATCAGTACTACCGATATCTGTAGAAGCCATTGCTCATTCAAAACAGCGAAGAGGACATTGGCGGTACCTTCCAGTACCGCTCCTACGAGAATGCGGAGCTTGTGAGCTCGAAACAGCTTACAGCCTTCTCCGACTTCCGCTTTCCACTGGACCAGCCGGATCATATATCTCTCCCGCAATATGTCGATTACCTAAAGTCATATGTTGACCGATTTGACCTGGCTCCATTCATCAAGCTCCGTTGTCCTGTTGTAAACATCTCGCCGCTAGAGTCTTCAAGCCAGAAGTGGAAGCACCGCGTCAAATACATCGACAACTCCTCCGGTGAGGAACGCAACTTTGATTGCTCACATGTTGCAATATGTACCGGATTGCATGTGCAAGCCAATATCCCGAGTATCAAAGGCATTGAGAATATTCATGGCGATGTCTTTCATTCGTCAAACTACAAGACCCGCTCTCAGCTCACCGGTCGCAAAATCCTCATCCTGGGGTGTGGAGAGACTGCAATGGGTACGTTGAACATTGTAAAGAACTTACGCAACAGCTAATATGATTCATTAGACATTGCATATGAAGCAATGAAGGCCAATGCTATCTCGGTGACGATGTGCTACAGGACAGGCTTCCTATCATTCCCCAAAGCTCTCAGCAGATTCCAAGTCTTCGGACGACAGTTCAAGGGCGGCTTGCCTATCGATGGACTCATCACGAATCTCTTCGAGACCGCATACGTCCATCGGGCGATCGCTCAAAGCCGACTACGTTGGTTCGTATCAGACTTTGTTATCAAGCGTGTCCTCTGGTTCCTCACAGGCACCCAGGCCGGCATGAATCAGCACGTTGGAGCTTTGCCACCAGAAAGACTCGGTCGCGCGTACGTGTTTCTGAACAAAAGTAACAAGGCGATGCCTTACCTGAATCGCCCGTACAAAACGAATAACGCGTTCCTCGATTTTATCGGCAACAAATACGTAGACCCGCCGGAAGACGCAAACTCAGATAAATGGGTCGACACATGCACGTTTCCGGTCTGTATCGATGAGACAGGCACCGTCATCTTCGAACCTCGGCCAGACCGCAAGGACTGGCAAAGGATGAAAGACAAGGCTGTGAAGCCAGATTGTGTTGTATACTGCACTGGGTAAGTTCTCTACGTTATTCCACTTTTTGATTGCGCTACGGAGACAGGCGATATCAAATCTAACAACTTTTTCTGACATGCTTAACAGCTACAAACAAGACTTTGCTTGGCTGGATCCATCTTATCCGACCGCCTCCTCGGCCAACATCCGCAACATCGTTAACGCCTCCTGCCCCTCCGTTGCCTATATCGGCTTCGTCCGACCCGGCGTCGGCGCCATTCCACCAATCGCAGAACAGCAGGCAATGTGGTGGGCCGCTCTCATCCTCAACCGCATGACTCTCCCGACCGGTCCTCCTCACTACCACCTCCTCGCATCCAAGGGCTCGCGGATCCAGTATGGTGTAGATCACAGCGCGTACATGAGCACGCTTGCCAAGGACTTTGGCGGGGCTCCCGGTCTACTAACGCTCTATCGCCGCCACGGCTGGCGTGTTTTGCTCGCCTATTGCTTTGGGGCATCTTTTGTTACCTTTTACCGCCTTGTGGGGCCATTTGAGAGTCCTGAGGCGCCGCGTATTGCAGTGACTGAGCTTGCGGAGACAATCATGCGGAGAGGGAAGATTGGAAATCTGCTGTTTGGAGTGATTCCAATGCTCTTTTATGGGCTCCTCAACGCTATCGCGTACATGCTGGATTTCATAGGGTTACTGCCAGAGGAGAAAAGCGTAGTACAGATTGTAGAATTCCGGCACATGAGGGATGAAATTATGCATAGCGATACGCTGGTGAAATGATGTCCAGCAATGTTCCAAGTTGGGCCCTCGATTTTTGTTCAAGACATAGTAGATATGGCAATCTGAAAGGCAAAAGGGGACTAAGAAGACTGTAAATGAAGCCAACGAAGCCACACGCATCTTAGATTACTCATGATATCCACTTTAAGATCTTGCAAATACAACTCGCAGGAGACTAGTCTCAAGCGAGAATAGCTCGACGCTTTTTAGGCACTGCTTGCTTCTCTTCCTTGATCACCACTCCTCGAATCCGGATTCCAGATACCGTAAACATAGACAGAATCAAGTCATTAGGGCTAGCAGTTTCAATCATCCTATTCTTCATGCAGAAATCTCAAATCGTTAATTTTATGCTGCCATTAGTGCCCTTCATCTACTTCTTTACCTTAGAAAACGACCACATAGTCCCATGGATAGACCTCCGACAAGCCGCCGTCTTCATATGTGGTATCATCTTCATTCCTACTATGCGCATGCTCGTACCACGACTCAGAAATGCCCTCTGGCATGAGAGCGAAACGATCGTGGAGGTGTATGGTTTGGAGCACGGTCGGTTGAATATCGAGATGCCGCCGAAGAGCATGTGGATGAACATGGGGTATTGGGAAGTATGCCACGATTTATATAATTCAAGTTGCTCAAGCTTTTAAGTTCCAAGAGATGAATACTCTTCATGACCTAGCTCATGAAAACAAGGACACGAACGACTTCCCAACCGCCTGCCGCGCTCTCCTTATCAAAGTTCTCGAGACGGCCGATGTGATGCGGTCCAAACCCGGCATTGTTCAGCTAGAAACACTCGAACTCGTTGACTTGGGGTTCGGCTGCGGAGACCAAACCGAGTTCCTGATGCAACAAGTCGAAGGAAAGTCAGGAGTACCATATCACGCCGACGAATGGGCTTGGACGACCGAAACCAAGCAAAAATTCCCCGTATTCGACCATTACACTGGCATCACGCTCTCAAAAACCCAATGCAACTACGCCAAGGCTCGTCTACAGCGCGTAATGCCTTCCGATTACGTCCACGACCACGTGCGGCTATTCTGCGGCGACGCCGCGAGGCCGGAAGCATGGCCTGAGGCGATGCGGGTGGCGACGCAAGGGACGTCCGAGTGGAAGACGAGATGGGTGCTGGCGCTTGATACGTTCTACCATTTTTCGCCCTCGCGCTGGGCGGTTATTCGGCATGCGCACGATAGGTTGGACGCTTCGGTTATGGCGTTTGATCTAGTTTTGGCAGAGGATGTCACGATGGCTCAGAAAGTTTTGCTTTATCTTGTTTGCGCCTCGTCCCGTTCTCCATTCGCGAACTTTGTGACGGAGGGAGTGTACCGTCAGAAGCTTCAAGAAGTTGGGTATAGAGCGGAGGACATCGTGATAATTGATATCACAGAGCACGTCTTTGCACCGCTCACTAACTTTCTCAATCTGAGGGAACACGATCTAGATACGATTGGACTAGGGCTCGGCGGTCTCAAAGCAGCGAAGTGGCTCTTCGGGTGGTGGGCACGTACTGGAATCGTCAGGGGAGTTGTTGTAGTAGCTCGACGATAAGAGTCGCATCAAAACAGTCTCCTACGTCTACTAAAGTTGCTTTCCCTTCCCCTCTCTCCTGACATCGCTCGCACCGAACTGCTGCACGAGCGTCCAGAACCCCCAGCTTATCCAGCAAAGAATGACGTCCCATCCCACACTGCTGACAGCGGGATGCTCATACAGCGCCGTCAATACCCCACCCCAAGCTGTTCTCGACGCTAGCGCTATGAATACAATTGACAGCATGACAAGGAGAGAATAAACACGTTCATAGTACCGCTCCGCTGCTTTCAGAGACCTATGGGTCGTGCCCCAAGACTGAGGCACAACACTATACAACACAGGCGGCATAAATAGCGCGAAATGAGGCAAAAGCAATATGTACATGAAGTACGGCTTCGAGACTGAGATGGGCATCATACCCGTGCTGACGAAGGTCGCGAGTAAAGGGATGAGGAGAATTGACAATGGCGGGGTCCAGCGCGATGGGTCTTGCTGAAAGGCCGGTGGTGAGGCGGGATTCAGCGAGACGGCGAGGAAGAAGAGGTTTGTTGCGAAGGAGATGGCGACGACTTGGCCTAGGAGCATGTAGGCCCAGAGATGAGGGATGCGGCGGGAGAAGCCTGGACATGGGGACGGTCAGTCCTGTCATCGTCGTAATTTTTCAATGTAGACGAGAAGATTGAGGATGGATTCTAGAAAGCAAGCTACCTTGTTGCCCGAGGAAGACGCTCCATATAGATGTGAAGAAGAAGATCTGCTGCGTCCACCAGAAGCGTTCCGGGGTTTCGAGCGCGGTGCCCCAGGCTTCTTTGAATAGCTTTGTGTCCCTCAGCCAGGCTCCAAGCTCGAGGGATCCGTCTACCGAAAGGTGTATAGATTGTCTAGATGACCATTGTTGATATGAGTGAGAGAAGAAGCAGAACATATAGTACCACGTCGTGCCAAGACTGATCGCAGAAAGGACAGTGAATAGAACGACTCGTCTAGTACTCCTAGATTGATTTGGTTTCAAATTTTGAGCAAATGAACGGCGCTGGGAACTTTTGTACAACGATCGCAAGATTAAGATGGCGAGTGAGAGACAAAGTAGCATATAGGAGGAAAATATACCTATTGGACGAGCACTGGATGTTCCAGACGCCAGCTTTGGAGTACACATCTCGATCGGTCGTTTCCATTGCAGGAACCTTCTCTTCTGGATTCGATACTCGGCCCCTCACCGGTTTTTCGAAATTCGCTTCGCGAACGCGCGCGCGTAGCGCGGGCCTACAAGCTCAACACAAATACTAGCTCAACGCGTAGAATAATACAATATTATCTTTTGAAGCCGTGAACCTCCACAACCAAGCCTGCTCTTCAATAATAAAATGCCGCTATCATGCCTACGTATGCCGAACAAGCACAATCAATCACTGATGCCGCCAAAATTTTGTACATTGCGCAGTATGCTCGCGACTATGGCCTACCCTACGACCGCCTCCTACGTGCCTACCATGGAGGCAATAGTCGATCTACACGTCCTCCAATAAATCAAGTACTTGATGAAGCTCAAGAGCTTGCCCTAGAGCAATTCCTGGACCATATAGAACGCATTAGCTTCGGTATTCGGCACCGTCAAGTTGTATCAGCCGCGAACGCGATTTCCTCTGAGGCCTACGAGTATGACGACCCGCCCGTAGTTGGCATCAATTGGGACAGGAGATGGCTCAAGAAACACGCAAAATACAACAAGATTGTGCAGAAACCTATGGATATACAGCGCAAGCAGGCACAGCAGCCTGCACGCATTGCGGAGTGGTATGCCGGCCTTTATGCCTGGCGCGGTGAATGGGGTATATTGGATGAGGATATATGGAATTTTGATGAGAGTGGCGTGTGCATATGAGTAGCCAAGAACCAGCTGGTGTATATGCAGCATGGCCGGCAGGTTCGTATGCCTCATAGAAACAACAGAGAGCTCATCACCTTAGTAGAGGCTATCAGCGGCGCAGGTGAGGCTATTCCCTCTATGGTTATCGTTGCTGCGCGCACTATATTGGAGGGCTGGTGCGACTACCTGTCTGATGACTACCTGGTGAATGTCACCTAGAATGCCTTTACTACATTAAGCACTTCCATAAGATAACAAAAAGACGTGTAGTAGGCACCTGGCGTCCTCTTTTTAGAAGACTTCGACGGCTCGTGCACGCTGACACCTCGTGCACGCCTCACCAAGAAATCCACGGCTCACAACATGAAGCTTTTCAACACAACACAACGAGATCTATACACAGAAATCAAGGAGGAGAGGCAACTAGGGTCGCTCTTTCATTCTATTGTAATTATAGAGTTGGCATATCGCTTAGGGGTGATGCGCAATCGCTGAGGCCGGCCAGAAGCTGATTTGGCTACCCCATCTTCAATACCACAATTCTGCTCAACAGTAGGCTCCTCAGGAATAGTGAATACAACCTTCTTAACCTTCTGCCTCTGCTGCATTGCCTGCATCCCCGCTTTGAGCTGTTGCTCCACCTCACGTGCCTTACGTGCCTCCTCCATCTGTTGCCCTTTAAGAACCTCTGCATCGTTCTTTTGCTTTTTTGTAATAGCCCTCTGATTACGGTTCCGCTCCAGATTTCTCTCCTTCTCTTCCTTAGCTAGTTGCTTCTGTACCTTCTCCTCTGCCTTGGAAGCTATATCACGTGCCTTTATATCTTCCTTTTCTTAGAAAAGGTCTCTTGCTTAGCGCACCTTAGTGGGTAACCAAAATATAGCACTACTACCTTCTTAAGCCCCTAATTATGCAAAGAGAGGTACCTACCGCTTCCTCTTCTTTTGCTTATTCTTTATAGTTTCTTAATAGCCTCTAATACGGCTTTCTAACAAGATATTAGTTGCTGCAAGCTCGGTAACTCCTTAAGCAAGCGCACGCACCTCTCTTTTAATATTATCCACTTTTAAATTAATAAGATTAATTACTATTTTCTAGAGGCGTTTTTTAATACTCTTCCAATCGCCAGGGCCTAGTTCTGCACTGTTAGACCGGCTAGAAGTTAGGCGCTTAGCATCCTCTAGCACCGGTTCCTGCTTAGTGTTAAAGAGGTTTAAAATAATATTAGGATCCTATAGAATAATGCCAGTCTTTCTCCACCTACTAGCTATATTATTAGGCGTTATAGCCTTTATATTAGTAATTTAGAAGGTCCTAAAGAAGTTTCTTTTTATAAAGTGTAATAGGCCCTTACTTTTATAAAGGTAGGCGTCTAATTTATTAGAATAGTAATAAGCAAGCGGTGTAAAAAGAAAGATATCTAATAGCTATAGCCGGTAAGTTAAGTAAGGAGAATAGATATAGAGAAGAATTCTATAAGTATTATAATACTTAATAAACTTTATATTAATATAAAAGCTGTAGCTATTAATAATTAATAAACGCTAGTCTCTTCTATTATATACCTTTACCTTTATCTTTTAGTTAAATATAGTAGTTAACTAAGCGTAGCCGAGGCTATTATTAGTCTATTCTATTAGTAAGGATATAAAAAAGCAGGAGTATTTATTTAGGTTAAAATCCTAGAGCTATATATTTTATATATCTTTAAAAACAGCTTAATAGATAAGAGTAGAAGAAAGCACTATTTTATTGCTATAGATAGCTGCTATTACTATAATCTACTCTCTATTACTATTCTATATAATATAGAAAAGCTGTCCTAAATTATATACTTTTCTACTAAACACCCTTTTTATTTTTTAAAGATATTTAATAAGAAATCCTTTTTTATCTATATTATAGGTGTTCTAAAGTAGAATACTATACTTTATTAGCTTTTTTCTTAGCATTTTAAAATATATACTATAATATAGCACTAAATTAGCCCTTTTCCTTACTTTATTAATAGGGTTAAGGTATACTAATTTAAAGTGTTTTTTATTACGTTTAACCTATTATTACAACCTGTAATACAAACAACCTAAGCGTAGAGGCACTTGCAGAGATAAGTAAGCAGATAAAACTAATTACGTAAAACTAGGTTACGGGACTAAAAAAGTTATATATAGAACGTATAGAGATCTTAAATTCCCCTATAGACTGCTAGTAGATAGAAATAATCTAAAAATAGGATATTATAAGGACGGAGCTATATAATAGCTTAAAGAGCTTAAGGAAATAAGCTAGGTAAGCGCTTAAGGGGCTTAAGGCTATAAGCTAAGAAAGTAGCTTAAGGGGCTTAAGGCTATAAGCTATATAAGTAAAAGGTTTTTTAGGACGGAGCTTTTATATATAAGGATGCTCCTTTATATAGATAGAAACCTTATATTTAACTTAAAACTTTAATACTACCTATTAGAAGTAATAACCCCGTCTTATATTTTAATTAATTATTACCTTACTTTTTAAAGACTATTACACCCTAATAATAACTTAACCTATACCCTGCCTTAGTATATAACACTTAGAAGGTATAGAAAAAATAACCTATTATACTTTAAACACCGCTATATTAAAGGAGTTATATATAGACAATTAATTAGAATAGCCCTACTAACCCCTTCGGGCAGTATAACTACTAGACTAACTCTAACTATACCCGAGGTAGTAATATATATATAGGTATTGCTTACACGGCTATAAGTACTAGAAAAAGCTAGTAACACTAAAAATAAAAAGATTGCGGCCCTATAAGGAAATCTCTAAACTATCTAAAAGGAGCTTACTACTAGCAGAACGGTTAGCTATAAAGGCTATAAAATAAATAAACCCGAAGAGTTTACTAGTAAAAGAGGAGCTTTAAAAGCATTTATAACGCAGAGAAAACTATACCTGCGTATAAACTAAAGCAACCTTAAATTTAAATTAGATAAGGTCTATATAGCAGCCACCTTCTTAAAAAAAAAAGCGTTTAACTAGTTTAACCTAATACTTATAGACTAGCTCGGCAACGCTAATACAGATAATTAGAAACTAGAAACTAATATTATATTTAGCAACTATAGATACTTTAAGTTAGCACTTTAGATAACCTTTAGAGACACTAATAAAAAATAGACAGCGGAATAGAAAATAGCAGTTCTAAAGTAAAAAAGCTTAACCAGCCGCTATACTTTAGAATTTATATAAATTACGTCTAAGCTATTATAGGAAGATAAAGCTCTGTAAGTATAGTACTATAGAGGTCTTAAAAAAGATATTAAAGATAAAATTATATAAGGCGAGAGGCCTCTAATACTCTATAAACTTAAGGAAATAGTAATATAAATTAATAGTTAATAGTATAAATAACAACTAGAATAGGCAGATAAAAGGGGACTTTATTCCTACGCCCAACTAGCTAGACTAAAGCCAAAAGTAACCAACTATAACTATAGAGATTATATAGAGATTAATATTATAAAATAACGCAATAACTAAAAGAGTAGACTAATTACTAATAAAGAAAGGTAAGATAGAAAGCGCAACAGTGCATGCCTATTATACGGAAAATAAAAATACTTCGCAAGTAAGTACTCTAAAAGCACCTAAACAGCAGCAGTTATAGTAAAGCTAAATATAAACCGCTATAATTCTATATTATAGACCGCGTGCTATAATAACAACTGCTTTACCTATTAGTTAAATAAGTAGGTAATAGGGTACTATTTAATATAAAAGGCAAAAGGATATACTATTACTATAATAAGGAATAAAGAGTATAACAGCAACTTTATAGACAACTACTACGCGGATATAGAAGTTAAAAGTATAGAGATTAACTACCTATTAGAAACGGATAAGGCGTTCTAAATAATTAAACCGCGATTAGAACCCCGAAATAATATACCCGAGCTATAAACCAATAGTAAAACTAAGTTGCTAAATATAGAAGTATAGGTTAACAGAGTTATAGCTACGTACGAATAAAGCGCAAGAGAGATTCTCGCACGCCTTAATAAAAGATAAAAAGCGTAAGAGGCCGAAAATGCTACAGCAGGCGCAGAGCTAAAAGAACTAGCAAGTTACTAATTCCTAAAAGCTATAGAAAGAGTTACCGGACAACTTATTAAAGAAAAAGAAGAAAAAATAGCTACAGCCGCAGGAATAACAATAATAACGCCAACCCTTAATATAGAAACTTGCGCGAAATTGGATATATTTAAAGGCTTAAGCCGCAATATCTAGATAAAATAGAATAATAAATCACCTATTAAGAATAGTAAGGAGTACTATAATAGTAATAAAGATTATAAACTAGAAAAATAGTCTAGTAATAGAGAATTTAGTATAGGACTAGAGCGGGAACTGCTAGAGCTATATAGAAAATAAACTAAGATTAAAATCTATAGAGCTTTATACTCTATTAGTAAAATAGGCGTTTATAATAAGGAAAATAAATAGCTAAATAGAAACCACCTATTTTATAGATAGATATCTTAGGTATTATATATTAAAGATAAATATAATAAGTATATAATATATAAGAAATATTAAGAATAGTACCTATATTAGACAAAATATTATATTATTATACAACTAGTACTATTTAAGGAAATAGAGCACTATATTATAGGTAAAAAAGATAAACTTATAAAAATAGCTACTATAGTTCTAGACCCTTAGTACCTAATAGAATATAGGAAAGGCTAAAACTGGTAAATATGCTACTAGGACTTATATCTAGTGTATTACGAAATAAAACACGTAAACTATTAGCTATAAGAATAGCTAAAAAAATAAGCAGGCGCTTAAGCAATAGAATAGCTAGAGTAGCTAAAAACAAAGTCTTATAGAGCAGCTAAAGACGAAAGAATATAAACCGCAACTATTGCTACTCTAGTAGGAAAAGCCTATATTATAGAAAAAAAAAGGAACCCGGTAATATAGCCTAACTCTATTCCTATTTAGAACTATAGACACGTAATCCTATT